CCCCCCCCTAGATGTATAGAAATAATGAAGGCAAACTTGTACTTCTACTCGCTCACCCTCTCCAACTTCAATTGCTTCAGTTGGTGTTGAAGCCTTAAGTCCCCCACCCCCACTATCCGCGGCTCGGGTCGATTTTAGGAAGGTGCACGGTACGTACCCCATTACGTCGGTTGCATGAGGTCCAACATGGAAGACGCACGAACCACCAACACCAAGCCAAGCTACGACGACCTTCAAGGTCAACCTCAGATGTGAACAGCTCCATCTTCCTTAATATCTCAATAACAACTTGGGTTACTTGGCCAATAACACGATGCCTGTCCAGCAACATGTGCTGAACTGGCTCTACAGCGTTCTCACAAGCGTACGTATCTCCTCCTCTATCTTCCCCCGCTCGTTCGCCAAGTTCAAAGAGCTGACTTGAACGCGCTACAGGAATATCACGATGTAAACCGTGCCTACAACGATGTCGCGCAGGCTCTCGACCGATTCCCCTCGTTGTCGCCGCGAACCGATGTGCACAGTACGTTCGCATAGAGCTATCAACCAGCTTGCGCTCTAAACTCCAGCTTTGTCGCATTCGGATATTGACCCTCACCAGCGTTCTCGAATGGCGCCAATGCCTTGTTACTTCATCTCTCGGGGACTCTCCCTGTTAATTTTCGCGGGACGACGTACCGCTTCCCCATTTCGATATGGGTGCCACACGCTTATCCGCGAGAACCACCCATGATATACGTTGTGCCGACCGAGACCATGATGATTCGGCCGGGACAGCATATAGATCCGCAGGGTCTGGTATATCATCCATACTTGGTGGGGTGGGCTGAATTCTGGGACGTACGTTGCCCCCAAGCCACAGCTACACTGTGATGTTTCGTTGCTGACAAGATGATCAGAAATCCAACCTTCGGGACTTCCTCAACATCCTAACCGATATCTTCGCAAAAGAACCTCCAGTCGTAGCTCGGCAACAACAGTCCCGGCCACCTCCAGCTCAAGCTAATCCGACACCTCCTCCTGTGCCGCCTCTGCCTCCTGGCATGGGATCAACTTCGCGGCCTGCAACACAAGATCCGCATCCCTCAGAACAGCCGCGCCCTCCTCCACCACCGCCGAAGGGCCCTCAGACTGCATCACCTGCGCAGACACAATCTCAAAATGGACCGCCTTTACCTCCAATCCCGGGACGTTCCCCGGCGCAGTCTAACCGCATGTCACGGTACGACTCAGCTCCTCCTCTGCCTCCTCAAGTTGGAAGTCCAAATGCACAGGATCCGAGATTGCCTCGCCCTCAGGAGCAGTATGCGACTCGTCATATACCGCCTGCTGGACCGCCAATGGCTGCGCAACCTGGATACACGAACGATACCCAGTCGTTTGCGCCTCCGTCACAACAACAATGGCAAATGCCACCACATCATCAGCAATATCAACAGCCTCCGCAACCTCCGGCATGGACGGCTCAGGCAGCTCCACCACCACAAAGCCCTGCAAAACCACCACCACCTCCTGATCTACTTGATGAACCATTAGAGTTAAGTTTGCCAAATACTACCGTAGCGGCTCCTCCTATCCCGCCCAATCCCGAAAAGGATGCGTTGTTGCGACAGCTAGCTCAGACACTGTATTCGATCAGGATGCGCAGCCGGCAGCAGAACGACTCGAGCATGGCTGGTTTGCAGGCACAAAGAACAGCAATGTTGTCAGCGATACCAGCCTTCCAAGCTGAAGGTGGCCAATTGACACAGTTGTCGAATGTCTTGACCTCAAACTCTAATATTCTACACGATGCTCTTCATAAAGCGGATGCAGTGATCGAAGGATCCAAGAGCCACCCCGTTCCGGATGTTGATGAGCTCCTCGTAGCTCCTACAGTAGTCGCAAACCAGCTATACACACTAGTGGCAGAGGAGAGAGCTATAGGTGACGCCATATTCATGCTTGGACGGGCTGTCGAGCGCGGCCGCATTACACCAGCAGTGTTTGCCAAGATGACGAGAACTCTTGCTAGAGAATGGTATCTGAAAAAAGCACTTGTGCGAAAGATTGGGCAAGGAATGGGTTTGGCCTCATGACGGGATACCATACGAGATTTGGATTGACGCAGCTCCCTTACCAAGCGGGGGTTTAGTATTGTTCTTACAGCTGGCAGCCGGGAAGAGCTCCAGGATTGGCATCGTGCATGGAGTAGCAATACGTGGCCAGGCACTGGGTGAAATACGACAAGTAAGAGGCGGATTACAACATACTTTTGAAACGAAGCCAAACAACCAGGACGACCGGCTAGCTGGATGCCCGTGAAGTCTAACTTGCGATCTCAAGCCATCGATACGGTTGAGAAAGACTGGGCAGATTAAAAGTCCAATGATCGAGACCAAAGCGGATAACTAACCCCTTGATATCAAACTGGACCCCATATCAAATTCACTCCCCCCTCATTCCATCCATGGCGGCAATTGGCGTGCACGGAGTCAGGAACACGGGGGGGGGGGAAAGAAACGAATCCGTCGCTTGGACCGTTAGCTCTCGACCTGTCAAGATATGCACGGATCGATCTCCTGCACCGAACGAGTCTAGCGGGCTCAGAGAACAATACTAAGCCTCAAAACGCCACGAAATGCAAGAACAATACTAAGACCAACCTCACCCCCACCGACCTTGGCATTCTTCGTTGATTGTGATAACACCCTTTGAATACAAATCCTGTTCCTTGACTTTTGCAGTGCCTAGAGTGCTCACAGTCTTCTTGCCGCTGACAATATCTAATTATTGCTTGCTAGCTTAACTGTTTGTTCTTCAAGACCGTTCTCGCCTGGCTTGTAGTGTGATCTGTTAACCATGTTGCCACTTTCTCATTCTCTTCAACGTTATACAAGACATCACTCTCACTTCACTTCCCTTTGCTCTCTCTTATATATATCTTGAAGAGCTCAGACCTCTTACTTCTCCGTTCGCTCGTGAACTATATCCATCTTTGCCACGTTGAGATCGATCTCTACCAACGACCCCTTTCACTTCCAATCTTTACTCTTTCACTATCAGATCGCAATGTCGACCTTTGATCCGTTTACGCAGAACGTCACGTTCTTAGCAGCAGATGGAAACACCACCATCAGCATCCCCGTGGTGCTCGTTGACGAGATGCGTCGTATGATGGTCAACACCGTCATCAACTATGCCACACAACTCGGCGCCTGTCTCGTCATGCTCGTCGTTCTCCTCGTCATGGTCCCCTTCTCCAAGTTCCGAAGACCCTTCAACGCTCTTCAGATCATCAGTCTCTTCATCTGCTCGTGTAGAATGGTTCTCCTGTGTATCTGGAACATCTCCAAGTTCGCCGACTTTTATCCCTTCTGGTCTCACGACTTTAGCCATATTCCTCGCAGTGGGTATGCACCAGCCATCGCTGCCAATATTATCTCGCTCTTGCTCGTCATCTCGATTGAGACGATGCTCATGAGTCAGGCTTGGACGATGGTTAAGCTGTGGCCGAATATGTGGAAGTATATCATTGCTGGTCTTTCACTCGTCATTTCTCTCATGACGATCTGTGTGAGAATTGCTTTCACGGCTGTTCAGAACAAGGCAGTTCTCGATACCATTCCGCCATTGCATATGCTCTGGCTCATCAAGTGGACGGTCATCATGAATGTGTCTTCCATCTCATGGTGGTGTGCCATCTTCAACATCAAGCTCATCTGGCATCTCATCTCCAATCGTGGTATCCTACCATCTTACAAGACGCTCACCCCCATGGAAGTCCTCGTCATGACCAACGGCATCCTGATGATCATCCCAGGTAAGTTTCTCCCCCTAACTCCCCAAGAGACCACTCACTAACACTCCACAGTCATCTTCGCCTCTCTTGAATGGGCTCACTTCGTCGACTTCGAAGCAGCATCCCTCACCCTCTCCTCCGTCGCCGTCATCCTCCCGCTCGGCACCCTCGCCGCACAACGCATCGCCGCCAGCAACGCCAACAGCGCCCACTCCTCCGGCGCCTCAAGCGGCATCCGCTACGGCGCCAGCGGCCCCAGCTCCTTCACTGGCTTCAAGGCACCTAGTTTCAGCACCAACCGCAGCGGCACCACCGACAGGCCTCACGTCTCCGTGTACGCCCGCTGTGAAGCTGGGACTTCGTCTCGCGACCACATCAATCCCGAGGATGTTGAGCTAGGCAAGATCGACGGTGACCACGTCCGGGTTGACAAAGCCTTCTTGCAACGTGAAGAGAGGATCTAGGCCACTCTTTGCAATTTCAGCTTCCACGAAAACTGCTTTTGGGAAATGGTATTACACGTTCATGTTTTCGACCAAAACAAAACTTCTAGCGCGGCGTATCGGCACAAGTTGCTTTTTCTTCATGTTACTGCTTTTCTTAGCGAACAGCTTTCATACCCAATGCGGTTGATGATGCTTGAGATAACTCGCATCCTACTTTCTTTAGTTTATGGTATCTCTTTTGACCCCATGACTTTTAATCAAGGACGATACTATCTATGCCTTGCTCTTCTTTAGTTAAAAGATGGATAAGCGCTCAGGCGCACAATAGCGATGAATACATTCGGCTTACTAACCCTGCCTTGTCTACTGCGACGTCCAATGTTAGTTTCAGAGTCTTATGTTATCAGCTGCAAGGTAAGACAGTCAGAATGTGATGTGAGTGATTGACACTATATACTGTATAACAGCTACCATCCAAGCCCGAGTCGCACCAAAGATAACATACCCAAGCCTACTCCTTCATCTGGAACTTGTGCGATGAGGCATTTATCTACTCGCTGCGGCCTCCTGAAATCTTTCTGATTTTTTCCTCGCACAAACTAACAAGTCGCTTCAGCTCGTTCGCGCGTACCGGTCGAGGTTGCTCCAACTCACAGGCTACCTTGGAGACAAATGGGCTGTGTGCGGGTACAGTCTGACGACCATCCTCAAGGAGCTCGATGAGTTCAAGCTCCTTCTCAATATCGGGTAGAGAAAACCGGTTTGCCGCTCGGGACAGGCCGTGCTTGGTGTGAGAGAACCGCCTTTGAGGTTCTGTGAACAAAGGAGGCGGCGCTACACCAAATCCAGCCTCGCCATCCATGTTGAAGCCTGCCTCGGTGATGGAATTTCGAGGGAGAGACGATGGCTTTTCTAGTAAAAGAGGCGAAATGATTTCGTTGGTAAGGAAAGTTTGGCCGAGAACGGGCTGACCGGGAATCGCATCAATTGAATGGGGTGATAGCGGTTCGTCGTTCGCAAATTCAACAGCCTGACCATCCTGCACCACAGTAGCATCATCAGAGCCCCTAAGTTGGGAGGGGGCGATATCTCTCGAACTTGTAGTGCTCCATTCTGAGGGTGTCCTTCGGTAAGATGTAGAAATTCGTCGCAGGGTACCCTTGAAGGTCCTCAGAGGACCAACAATAGAACTCTTTCGCTTGTTGATGTTGAACATAGACTGCTTACCAGTATCAATTGTATGAGTAGAGTCGAGTAAAGGAGCCTGGCGATCAAGAGACTCAAATAGGTCGATCTTTTGCTTCAAAGGTGAAATATACTTCTCCGTGTTACGCCGACCGACAGGAGTTTGTGGACTTTCCACCGTAGCCCGACTCCAACGAGGAGCATAACTTTTTGACCTGAATTTTGGCGCATTCAATATTTCGGACTCCGAAGAATCGGAGTATCCCAAAAGAGGATGCTTCGATGGCGAGTTGGGCGCCTCGTTCTTGGTAAGGATTGACTCGCGCCGTTTGGTTTCAAGAGCACCAACAGAAGCCACTGGCTGATCCTTCAACTGATCAAACTGCTTTCTGAAATTGGAAATTCTAGAGCGTGGTAGGCTGGAGCGACTCGGAGTACTTGCTCTCGCAAATCTGAAAGATATGAGACCGCTGTTATTGCTCGGAGGTTGGCTGGGACCATCATGGGATCCACGGGATTTTCTTCGAAGGCTTGAACTTCCTGCAGAGACTGTATTTGACAATGAAGATGCTATCTTGCGAGCATTTCGCACCCAGCCATTATGTCGGGTCTCTTCGATTGTGACGTTGTTATTTTCAACAAAAGCATCATCACGAACATCATCAAGCTTGAATCGACTCGTAGATACCGCCTGCACAGATGATGGTGTCACTTCGGTGTACTGAGACTTGATGTAGCTTGGACTCGCATCAGGCGTACTCATGACGAGGCTGTTACGCTTGAAAGAAGTCCATGAGTCATCTGGTCGATTCAAAGGAGATCGCCATGTGCCAAAAGGATCATCAGAAGCCAGGAGTGTCCGAGGTGAGGGAACAGTATGAGACGTGGGCGAGAATGTCTTTGCAATGCGCACTGGATTCGGCGTAGTGGGAGCATCGTCTGCTCGTGGTCCTGCGGCTGACCGTCTTGTTTTGATCGTTTGCCAACTTTTGGAATGAGCCAGCTTTGACGGCGAACGAGGAATAGAAGTACGGGTAGGACTAGAGGCTTCTATTTCTATCAGACGGTCAATGTTTTCCTCCAGAAGATACACCCGAAACACATACGCGCCTGTTGGTCCGCAGCCTCAAACATTATTCTTCTCTCTGCCACAGACTTTTGCCTTGCCTTTGAGTCCGCATTTCTAGTCGAGATCACAGGCGACTGGGTACCAAAAGTTTTCACTCGACGAGTGCGAGGGGTTTCTTGGCTTGAAGGAACGAAACGACCGGACGAGACATGGCTGGAATCGGTAGAGCCTCTTTCTCGGATTCTTGTTGATGCATGAGATGATGGTTTTGAGGCGCTCGATGAAGTCTGCTCGATTGTCGAAGTTACCTTGATGGCAGAGGCGGGCTTTGTCTTTGAAGGAGGAGGAGGGCTGCCAACAGAGGAGACTGCCTCAAGGACTTCAAACTTGGAGAGAAGCTGGGCGAACTTGCTGCTGGTCAAGCTGCGGGTATCTGAACTTTCGGAGACGAACTTGCGTGGTGAATTCTTGCGAGAAGACGAATGCGTGCTCATGTTGGCGGCCTTCAAAGACGGACGAGGCTGTGATATTGATGAAGATCACGTCTTGATGGTATGATATCAAGAGAAAGTGTCAAATGTCGATGCCGTCAAAGTCTGTTCAAAAGATGAGGATGAATCTGCCTGGAACAACATTGTAGAAACGACAGAGATGTCATTAGTTTGGCAGCTAAAGACCGTAGGCCATGATCGCAGATGGAAGGAGCGCCCTCGTCTGATCGCATAACCTGAGAGGAAAGCGCGATGCCGATGATGAACATGCCAATTGAATACATCGCAATGCACCGCAATCCTCAAGCCCTTAGAAATAAATGTCTCCAGCAATCTGTTGTGGTTAGCATAACAAAGGCGAGTCTTCACAGAATGCGACCCAGCCTCAGGGGCCAAACGGGAGTAGGGGAGACGTCTTATCATTTCCAACCCCAGCCGTAACGGCCATGTCGATTTCTATACAGCCTATATCATAATGCCCAAGTCAGGCACAGGCCAACCTTGAAATCCCATCCTGTCTAAAGGTACACTGACGCCAACTAATGTACAAGTATGTCGATTATGTAGTTCATGAGGGATGCGCAATCCCCACTCATGACTGATTTCCTCCTCTCCAAATTCTTGATCGTGTATCGTTGCGACGTCATTTACTGGCTGTCCAGGGATCAGTTCGTGTTCGTCGAGACTCGCATGTTGGGTTCAACTTACGGAGGCAGAAGGATCTCGCCCCAAGAGCTGGACAAGAATGTCACAGCAGCCTAATTCCTTTGTCAGTACCAGTTCACCCCCAATTTAAGATCGCAAGACCAAACTTACACCGAAGATGGCAATGCTGCGGACAACAGCGGCGTTGTCGGGAGAGGTAAGAGCGTCATAGGTGGAGCCGATGAAGCCCTTGGGGGCACGGCGACCGCGAGGCTCAACTTGGATGCGCTTGGGAGGCATTTTGATTATATGGCCGTGTATATGAAGTTTATCGGTTCGTGATGACTCTAAGTCGAGAGAAGGAAGCGGGCGCGTGGTGGTGGTTGATCTGGTCGTCGAATTGGAGCGAAAATTTCCGGGACAGCTCGCAATGAAGCTTTTCCACTGATAGCGCGCGATAGCGGCTAAAGTCACATGACGCGCGCTTGTGAGACTCAACCTGGAAGCTCAAAAGCCAACAGCAGAATTGGAAATGCAGAATTTTGTTAACCAAGCTACCTTAACAAGAGAATTACGGAGAGTCTCATTTATCTCACTTCGTAAAAAGTCTCGACTTGTTATCTCAGTTGTACTTATTGATGTTGGTCCAGCTCCCACTGTAAAAGCCGAGTATGTACCGAATCCGGCAGTTACCCCACCATGACTGAGTATCGCCAACACCTTCGTCATCCTTATCGCGAGCTTATCTGAAATGTAAACGGAACCAGTCTCTTTGTCAGCGGACAGTTATACAAACTTCATTTAATTCTTTCGGAAATCGTATTCATATTCCTTCAAATCTCACGTAAATACTGGAAAAGCTCATTTAGTATATATTCATCCGTCCGTCCGTCGTTCTGGTCAAGAGGCGCATAAAGCAACAGTGCTTCACTCTTATTGTCCCCCCTGTTCCCTCTTTGTGCTTTCATCTTTCGACCTTGCACTCAGACAACACAGCTTAATCACGGAAAAATACATACATTCAAAATGGAATCGCCAGGCCCAGGTGGCTTCTTGCCAGCACCTGCTGGTGGAAGTCTCCCATCACCTGCCCCCTCATCAGCTTCATCATACTCAAACATCCAAGGTCTTCCTACACCGCGAACAAAGGCCCTGAAGCCCAACTCAAGTAAAGAGTTCATGGTGCGACGGTACGCTGAAGAGCAGCTTCTGCTAGTAACACGGCGATACGTCAAGAAGTTTGGCAATCCAGAACCAGGCGATACAGTGGTGGGATATGCTAGGTTTGGCGAAGTATGTCGAGATCTCGATAGCATCACCAATGTCTTATGGAAATCAGGCACTCGTAAGTCACTCAAGGCCCATGTCTTGATGTCTAGTACTAAGAATGTGTAGCATCGCTCCAAATACCCTTCTTATTACGTCTCACAAGTGACTTCACACGATATGTCCGGTCATTCCCCCCAGCACCAAAGGCATCTTTCGCAATACTCCGCAAACTAGACCATTGTTTCGCAAGTCTTCTTTGCGGCCAAGACATTGAAACTCACGAGACATTGCCCGGTTTTGAGAACGGACTACGCGGCGGCATGACAACGACAGAAATGATCCGCTGCCGAAGTTTAGTTGATCAATGTCGCGTTTTAATGGTGGAAGTAATGCGAGATCCTGCTGAAGAGGACGAAGAAGATGAAGAAGCAGAGACAGACACTGACACAGACGCGGAAGAACCTGGGATCAAGGGATGGGGAGGCGTAGAGGACGATGATGAGATGATGCTGCAGCTTGATGCGGCGCGGGTCTTTGAGAAGACGATTGTGCAGCTTAACGAGAGGCTTGGGGATCTGGAGCCATTGCAGATGTCTGCCGATTGAGGTGTTCTAAATACAGAAGCACTATATTCTGGAGATTCAGGTGCCGCGCTCAATGAGCTGAATTGACTAGTTTCAGGCGTGATCATGCACAGATACGAGCTGAATACCTTTGAACCGGTCCTCTTGTGGGGTGAGCATTGATCATGGTGCTTGGCTGCAGGACTGAGGTCTTGGATCGTGTTTCGCGAAGAGAGATGAACCAGGTCTTCTATAACATGGGGATAATATAGGATTTGATAAGGTTGGTAGATCAGTGGGGGATGAAGCGAATGACGCTGGCACAGACGGTTGATTGTCAAGATCACGCGTGGTATTAGGTATCCGAAAATTCGTGGCAAATCTACGACGGATCAGTCATTTCTACAATTACTGGATCATGGCTCGACAATTATTTCCTAACTAACTTGCCCAAGTACAAGTGATGATAAAATAAGCATTTACTTGACTGCATTGCCACCCACGTTGCTGGGCCGCGAGCTTTCAATTGAGGCTGTGACTGGCCTCACCTGTCAAATCGTGAAACACAGCGCGTCGGAAATTTAATTACCAGTTCTCGACACTACCAAAAAGCCAAGCCTGAGTAAAACCTCGCTGCTCCGAACATTTTGACTTTCCGAATCGTAGATCGTCTTAATGATTGACAGTAGCATAAACTCTAACTGATTGTCTCACGGTAGCCGAGATGCACTTTTCTCAAAATGGCAATGAACCATTACGATACAAATAACCACCTGCATGATTCTCTAAAGATATAATGACTGAATTATTCAGTATTGAGCTGAATTCGCATAAGATCATATCTACAAGACGTTCAAGAAGCATGTCCTTGTTAGTCCCATTATCCCTGACACCTCCTTTCTTGAGCCGCGTAGGCTTCTTTTCCTCGTTGGTTAATGATTCTCACGGCTTTGTTTCATATACCTGCCAAGATCCAAGCACCATCCATGTCCACCACCAGTAACCGCTCGCCAACGCAATCTTCATAAACAATTTCACAAAAGAAAAGAGCCTTCTCTTTTCGGAGATGAATTTCTTGTCTGGTATGAATGTTCTGGGGTTCACATTGGTCGGCGAAAGCGAAAATGATATCCATATTTTCTCTGACCCCTGGTTTTATTTCCGATACGCTAGTTAGCCCCGGTTCATACGCTGCCACGCACGTTTTTCTGTAAAGAAAGTTGTCTTGGGGTTTGTCAAGAGTGCATTATCTTGTATAACATCAGGCATGAATGCGTTGTAAAATACGAACTTGGCAGATCATGGTTGGTTATATGTGTACTGCACCATCAACTCAGACTTGGCCTGTCCATCACCATACCAAAACTCCTCCTCAACAACGAATCAACTCCAGAACAAATCTTCAAAACATAGCATCTTTCAACCCCTGCCCTCTCGTTTTGTGGCGGACCTGTCCCGAAGTGCTAGCTCCATTCCCATAAACCCATCACGTCAAACCATCCAGTCATCCTCCTCCCGTCCCTGAACATCACCCGCCCGCCCAGCCCTTGATTCATGCAACACCATTCTACCCCATGTTCTCCATGCCCCTTTGGGCAACTAAGCCCCGAGGTGAACAGGAAACATCCGGTCCTCACATCTCGTTTCTGTCTCCCCTAAGATGGAGGACTCCACTCATAGGAGTCGTATATATAGAACAATGCGCATGTAAACTCGTCTTGTCTCCTCTCCACACCTGTCTTTCTTTCTGTGTCTTGACGTTCTTTTCTGACCTCTTTGCTTTCGAGATACGTGTATCTCAAGCTTCTTTCGTTCCTTTTATACACATCGCCTTCTCCGGTTTCATTCCTTTAGCCCTGGAGGCATAACATTCCTTACCTGTGACATTTGTTCTCGTCCACTCCTTTAGAATTCAGTATCAAAGATATATTTCACAGTTTCGATCAGTTCCACTCCGACTTACACGATGCTCAACTTCATCCCCATTATCGCCGGCCTCGCCTCTCTGGTCTCAGCTACCAGCGCCCCAACCCGCCCCGATCTCAAACTTATCTGGAAAGACGAGTTCACCGGGTGTCAAGGCTGCTCACCCAAGACGAACAACTGGAACACGGCCCTCAACATCAACTCCAACAACGAACTCCAGGTATACTCCACCTCCAACAAGAACATCCAACTCTCCGGCGGTGACACCCTCCAGCTCGTTCCCTGGAAGGATGGGAAGGGCGAATGGACCTCTGGACGTCTTGAGTCCAAGAAGGCTTTCCACGCAGACAAGAACAAAGCTCTTCGTGTAGAGGCTAGTGTTCGCATGGGTGATTCAGCTCGTAAGCAGGGTATCTGGCCTGCTTTTTGGATGCTCGGTGATGCACTGCGCCACGGAACTGGATGGCCTCTTTGTGGCGAGATCGACATTTTTGAGAGAGTTAACGGCGACTTGACTGGCTTCGGCACTGTTCACTGTGGTCATGAGGGCGGCGGTCCCTGCAATGAGCCAGAGGGTCTTGGACAGCGGGTTACTATTCCGGATAACGAGTTCCATGCTTGGTCTGTGGTTATCGACCGACGGGCTAGCAGCTGGCAGGATGAGAAGATCACCTGGTTGCTCGATGGAGAGCCCTTCCACAGTATCACGGGCAAGACACTCAACGATGAGGGCACTTGGGCTACTCTGGCTCATTCTCCCATGTACATTCTCCTCAACGTCGCTGTTGGCGGAACCTGGCCAGTAAGTTCCAGCAATTCTATAGTTTCAAGATATCAGAAAACTAATGGCGTCATGCAGGGCAACCCTAACAAGGCCACCGAAGCCGGCTACAAGAACATGATGGAGGTCGCCTACGTCGCCGTCTACGAAACCACAAACTAGCTACCCTCATAACCAGCAATTCTTCAAAGCTTGTTGCAAACTTCTTCTGCCAGCCCTTGCTTGGCACTTTCTTCATTTCTTCTTACCCTCACCCATGTGAGTGTGAACGGCTATTGAGTGCCCTGAGACTGGTCTCGTGGTCAACTCGACGGTTGTTTGCTGGTTCGAACCCAGCTTTGTCTTGTTTCTATTGCACTGTCTTATAGATTACGGATACACAAAGTTCAATATCCGTACAGCGGATCGGTGTAGATAGATATCTGGATACAAAACAAGACTCACGACGTTATGACACAAACTTACTCCCAACTCAGCAATGTGACTTCTGTGCTGTGACGCTAAATGAGATAATCCCTTGTAATCATATAAGCTCTAAGCGGCATATTTATTGCTCTCAAGGTATATGGTCTGGTTTATGGGTACGGTAAGCGTCTGGAGAACAAGGTTTTCCATGAAGTGATCGATGGGTTCAAGAGGCATATGAAGGGCAGATCCATATGTCAGCGCCCCCCGTTTTCATGAGAAATTGGGGAACTGGATACCATCTTTGCTCAATTAATGTATAGCGTCGAAAGGATCATCCTGATAAAATACTCTGACTTCTTTTTGTCATCGTCAGTGACGAACGGATGCCATCCTCGATGCCAATCAACTCTGCAACTTATACACTTGCTCACTTTCAAAGGACATTATGACCAAGACGACGTTATGGAGGAAACTGCTTCAATATTGAACAAGCCTGCCAAGTCTTTTGTAGCCAGTTGTCGCTGACAAGAGGCTATCTATGTGTCTAAATATATACAATGAAGATCTAATATGTACAACAAGGGTCGAACACCTGGTCCAGGATGCCATGCTATACACTGACAAGCCTGTTCATGAGAGGATCCCTTCTGAGACGTTTTATGGTCTCTTCCACAATCGATGGATCTACCATTTAGTTGGGGATGCACTGAGAGTAGTACTCGTTCTGCTTGACACACTTGCTTCCAGTAGCGCAAGCGAGGTTGCCGTTGGGATAAGCGGACTTGGAACCACCACACTGGTAATAAGCAGGGACAACGGAGGCCTTGGCGGTAGGGTCAGTCTTGGCCGGGCAGCTTCCTCGGGTTTTGGTTCCACGGACCTTCTGGGTTGTCTTGGGCTTGTTGACAGGTTGAGCGGGCTTGGTAGCAGCAGGCTTGGTGGCGGCAGGCTTGTCAGTCTGGGGCTTTACAGCAGGCTTAGTAGGCTCGGGCTGAGCGGCAGCCTTGGTGGAGGACTTCTGGACAACAGGAGCGGAATCCTTGGTCTTCTGGGGCTGAGCGGCAGCGGCAGCGGAGGTGGTCTTCTTAGCGGAGCTTGAGGGCTGGGGCTTGCTGGCCGAGGTATCGCCCTTGTAGGCAGGGAAGCTGGAGTCGTCATCACGCTTGCATCCACTGATGTCGAGGAGAGCCTTGGGGCACTGAACCTGCTCAAAGGTGAAGTCAGGGTTGTCAGCGTTCTCGAACCAGTCGAATCGCCAGTGGCAACCGTCCTTGAGAAGCTCGGGGAAGCTATCACATTCGCTTCGGGAGGAGATACCGCCGTACTGGGCACCGCCGAGGGCCTTGCCGAACTCAGAGGTGCAGCCGTCGAAGATACCGACACCGCCGCCGGGCATCATGAGATCGAAGTGGTTGTCGCCGAGATCACCTCCAGTGTTGGTGGACTGGACGATCATCTTCTTGCCCTTGACGGGACCACTAGTGAAGGTCAAACTAGATAGAGTCAGTGTGTTGTACGGGATCAATCTGTAAGGAGACTGACGCATAGCAGGCACAGCACCAGCTGGCCTCGGAGCCACCAGAGATCTTGGTAGCAGCGAAACCGTAGGCAAGCTCATCGTTGACAGCCCAAGGAGAGTAGTTGGTGCAAGCATAAGCAGAACCACCACCCTCACAACCGTTGACAGCGTTGGTGTTGGAGATGGGGTTGTCGTTCTTATCACAGGTTAAAGCAGGGGCGTTGACAGCAGCCTTTCCACTCCAAGAGCAAGAAGGCTTGCAGCAATCCCAGTATCGAGTAGAGTGACCGCTTCCAGAAGCAGCACTCACGGCGAGAGGGCCGGCCAGGGCGAGAAGAGTGTAAGATCGCATTGTTGCAAAAGTTGGTTTGTTTAAAGAGTGACTGTTTTGAAAGAGAGTGTATGTAATTCTAAAGAATGAATGAAGTGAATGAATGAGAAGGCAGTGCAGGAGTGTCCAACAACCAGAATATTGGGACGCACACCTCATCTTATATACAACCGCCCAACCCTCACTCCCGCGTATTCAGCCCATGCTGCGCCGTGAACTGTCAGATATCATGAGCACATTTCATCCAAGTGGTCTGTTAGTCTAGGTCGAACTAGCGCAGGTACAAATTCAAGGATCACAAAAAGTCAAGATGACAAGCTGATGGTGGTGCAATGATTGGACCTAGTCAGCATATGGATGCAGGTCGGGAACGGGAAACAGATCCTCCACTAATAAGACGTCTAGAAGCTGGTCTGACGGACAAGGGACGGCAAGGCTGGACCGAACGAGTGAGAAATGAAGTCTAGGAGACTTTGGTTTCAGGAACAGTTGTGGGGAAATTGACAACGGTCTCTCGGCCGCCTCTCCCGAGATTGGGCCCGAGTGGCAGGGATAGAGATTGGAAGTTGAACGGAGCAGACAAAGGCGATGGTTCTAGAAGTGGTAAAGCCCGGCTGCACGATACAGGTGGTTAATAAGAACGATGCCGTTTACCGTAGACGCTGGAAATGAGGTGAGACTCCTTCTAGAATCCTCTGGTGGTTTAGCGCTAGGGGGGGCCGTTGGTGTGTAAGTGGGATTTGTTGCCCGCATGGGTGATGGTTGAGCTACTGTAGCGTTGCCGGATGGAACGTTGACGCGAATCGCCCGCCAAGAGGTGAAACAGATAGACTTTGAGATGGCGGATGCGCCGGATCGTCGGCACTTTTAAACACTTATTATGAAGCCGCGATGGCTTCAAGTTACGGTGCAGTCAAAGTATGTAAGGAGCCTATTATCTTAGCTCCGGGGTCAAGATTATTTTGGACTAATGTATAAATACTGAGTGTGGTACAAGAGCATATGCCGATATGGCTCTTGGATTCTACGTAGTAATCTATGTGAGTTTGCAGTGAGGTTCTGATTGACTCTGCTGGGTGTATCATAAGCTTAGTGCATTAGTTTATCTGTTTAGGATGAACTCTATGTGTTGTCGTAGTGCTAAGAGCGCACTCTTAACTTTATTTTCTGGACGTTGGACCTGGTTGATGGATTCGATATTCCTGTTGTACTTACTCCTTAGACGACTTACCCTGTATCGCGGAGATTAACCTCGCGATTACCAACATTCTGTTTAGTAGGTTACCGTATTCGAGCTGATGCTGAGGCCGATACTTGAACTAAATGACAGCGCAAGTTGTGCAAACTTCTCCTTTCTCTTCGTGCACAAGGTAATGGTAGCGTTGGTTCGAGAGAATATGAGCTGTTTTGGGCTGGGATCTGATTACCCTAGACCAGTGGATCGAAGATTGGAATTTTAGCACGGCGGAGATGGGTCAAAAGTTGACTGAAGCTCAGCCACAGACTGTGGGACACTAGGCGCCACACAATGTTCGCTCGGCCGGTCAATATTATTCATCAACGTGGCGTTCTTTCTTCTGCTCTAACCAAATCCAGAATAGCGCATTCTGGGCGCGTCTCGTCGCCTCAACCTCAGGCTCCTGAATGCTTAGTGAGGATTCATTGTAACAAATTCATCACCTCTCCACCACGACCCTTCACCTCGCGCATTCCTCAATATCGCTCTATCTCCTGGCTTGAGATTCCTGTCGACCTGTCCAACTCATCGGCAGATGCTCACGGGGTGCATCAGGCGCCAGGTCCAAAACTGACCGCCCTGACTTCGCTGTCGTAGCTCCTTTGTCCTTCTTTGAATAATTTCGACGCAACTGCCTAGCGGGCGCAATCCATCGACTTGAGCAGCAACACCTTGTCGCTAACCTTTTAATACCCCGAGAACTCGATCACTGTATTTATAGCGACAAATACCGACATCATGGACGACTACGAGAACGAATCCGACTACGATTATGGCTACGATGAGGGTATCACCCCCGAGGATTGCTGGACCGTAATCTCGTCCTTCTTCGAGACAAAGGGTCTTGCATCGCAACAGACCGACTCCTTTGACGAGTTCACCCAGACAATGGTGCAGGATCTCGTCAACGAGTACTCCACCATCACCCTCGATCAGCACAACCCTCCTGCGCCTCCTGGAGTCAACATCGCCTTGCGACGATATGAGATCAAGTTTGGGAGCGTCATGGTGTCACGTCCTTCTATGAGCGAGACTGATGGAACTGTGACCAACCTCCTACCTTACGAATGTCGTGACCGCAACCTCACCTATGCCGCGCCGACCTACCTCAAGATCACCAAGAAAGTCTCCGTCGCAGTCGACAAGGAGATTCCTTTGCACGAGATGGATGACGAGCAGCAGGCGGAGTACAAGCGAACCGGCGAAAACCCCACAAAGCTGGTATGGGAAGTCGAGGAGGATGCTGGAAGCATAAAAGCTGAGGATGAGCCTTCGGAGATGATCTTTATCGGAAAAATGCCCATCATGGTCAAGTCCAAGATTTGCCATCTGAGCAGCCATTCGGATGAGGACCTCTTCATGCTCAACGAGTGTCCTTATGATCAGGGCGGTTACTTCGTTATCAACGGTAGTGAGAAGGTCCTGATCGCCCAGGAACGTTCTGCCGCCAACATTGTTCAAGTTTTCAAGAAGGCCCAACCTAGTCCTTACACCTACACTGCTGAAATCCGCAGTGCTCTTGAGAAAGGTTCCCGTCTTATCTCCAGTCTTACGATGAAGCTCTATGGCAAGGGAGATTCTGCACGAGGTGGCTTTGGCCAAACTATCCAGGCTACCCTGCCTTTTGTCAAGGCAGATCTCCCTGTCGCCATCGTCTTCCGAGCACTTGGTGTTGTGTCTGATGAGGATATTCTGAACCACATTTGCTACGACCGCAACGATAGCCAGATGCTGGAAATGCTTCGCCCTTGTATTGAGGAGGCTTTCTGTGTCCAAGACCGAGAAGTTGCCCTTGACTTTATCGGAAAGCGTGGAAACAGAGACCAGGCTAGTCTCGGTCGTGAGAAGCGTGTTCGTGTTGCAAAGGATATTCTCCAAAAAGAGACTCTGCCTCATATCTCCCAATCAGAGGGTAGCGAAACCCGTAAGGCCTTTTTCTTGGGTTACATGGTGCACAAGCTGCTACAGTGCGCTCTTGGACGTCGTGAGCCCGATGATCGTGATCACTTTGGAAAGAAGCGACTTGATTTGGCGGGCCCTCTACTGGCGAAGCTCTTCCGTGGTATCATTCGAAGGATAAACACTGAGCTCTCTAACTACCTCAAGCGATGCGTTGAGAGCAACCGAAACTTCAACCTGACTGTCGCTATCAAGCCATCAACCCTTTCCAACGGTCTCAAGTACTCTTTGGCCACTGGTAACTGGGGTGACCAGAAGAAGGCGGCAAGCTCGACAGCCGGTGTCTCTCAGGTGTTGAACAGATATACCTTTGCTTCTACTCTTTCACATTTGCGTCGAACCAATACTCCCATCGGACGAGATGGTAAATTGGCCAAGCCTCGACAGCTTCACAACACTCACTGGGGTTTGGTGTGTCCTGCCGAAACACCCGAGGGTCAAGCTTGTGGTCTGGTCAAAAACTTGTCTCTGATGTGTTACGTCAGTGTCGGCTCTCCGGCCGATCCTCTGATTGAATTCATGATCAACAGAGGCATGGAAGTCGTTGAGGAGTACGAGCCGACAAGATACCCCCACGCTACAAAGATTTTCGTCAACGGTAGCTGGGTTGGTGTTCATGCCGACCCCAAGCATCTCGTGAATCAGGTCTTGGACACAAGACGAAAGTCTTACGTGCAGTTCGAAGTATCACTTGTTCGTGATATCCGAGACCGTGAATTCAAGATTTTCTCAGACGCTGGCCGTGTCATGAGACCCGTCTTTACAGTTCACCAGGAGGATGACTATGAGAACAACATCACCAAGGGACAACTAGTGTTGACAAAGGACCATGTCAATAGGCTAGCCCAAGAGCAGGCAGAGCCTCCTGCCAACCCAGCGGACAAGTTTGGATGGGATGGCTTGATCCGCGAAGGAGCTGTCGAATATCTCGATGCTGAGGAAGAAGAGACAGCCATGATTTGCATGACGCCAGAGGATCTCGAACTTTACCGTGAGCAAAAGAATGATGAAGCTACACTCACAGAAGAAGAGAAACGGGCCAAGCAAGAGGCAGAGAAGAGGGAACAAGAGGAGGACCGCAACAAGCGATTGAAGACAAAGGTGAACCCCACAACTCACATGTACACACATTGTGAGATTCACCCCAGTATGATTCTCGGTATCTGTGCCAGTATCATTCCTTTCCCCGATCACAACCAGGTATGTATGTCCTATGACCATGCATGGGCTCAACTAACAGCAATAGTCTCCTCGTAATACCTACCAATCTGCTATGGGTAAACAAGCCATGGGTTTCTTCTTGACAAATTACTCTCGCCGCATGGACACCATGGCCAATATTCTCTACTACCCTCAAAAGCCTCTCGCCACTACCCGATCTATGGAGTTCCTCAAGTTCCGTGAATTGCCAGCCGGTCAAAACGCCATTGTTGCAATTGCTTGCTACTCAGGTTACAACCAGGAAGATTCCGTCATTATGAACCAGAGTAGTATTGATCGAGGTCTGTTCCGAAGTCTGTTCTTCCGATCGTACTCAGATCAGGAGAAGAAGGTTGGTCTCAACTACACTGAGATCTTCGAGAAACCTTTCCAGCAGACAACGCTTCGAATGAAGCATGGAACATACGACAAGCTTGATGAAGATGGTATCGTGGCTCCTGGTGTCCGTGTGTCAGGTGAAGATATCATTATCGGCAAGACTGCACCCATCGACCAAGAAAACCAGGACCTTGGCACAAGAACTCAATCGCACCAACGTCGTGATATCTCGACACCACTGCGAAGTACTGAGAACGGTATCGTTGATCAAGTCATTCTGACAGTCAACGCCGATAACGTCAAGTACGTCAAGGTCCGAGTACGAACAACCAAGATTCCTCAAATTGGTGACAAGTTTGCTTCTCGTCACGGTCAAAAGGGTACAATCGGTGTTACATATCGACAGGAGGATATGCCTTTCAGCCGAGAAGGTCTTACTCCCGATATCATCATCAACCCTCACGCCATTCCATCGCGAATGACAATTGCCCATTTGATTGAGTGTCTTCTTAGCAAGGTTTCAACGCTGGAAGGTATGGAGGGTGACGCCACACCGTTCACTGATGTCACAGTCGATTCAGTCTCAGAACTTCTGAGGAAGCACGGTTACCAATCTCGAGGTTTCGAGGTCATGTACAACGGTCACACTGGACGAAAGCTCCGTGCCCAGGTGTTCTTCGGACCTACCTACTACCAGCGTCTTCGTCACATGGTGGACGACAAGATTCACGCTCGTGCTCGTGGTCCAGTTCAGATCATGACCCGACAACCTGTCGAGGGTCGTGCTCGTGATGGTGGTCTCCGATTCGGAGAAATGGAACGTGATTGTATGATCGCTCACGGTGCCGCTGCTTTCCTGAAGGAGCGTCTGTTTGAGGTGTCGGATGCTTTCCGTGTCCACGTCTGCGAGATTTGTGGACTCATGACACCAATTGCGTAAGTTGCCCCTACAAATACTCATGAATAAGAGCTAACATGTCTCAGAAACCTTTCCAAACAGTCATTCGAATGCCGACCTTGCAAGAACAAGACCAAGATCGCGCAAATCCATATTCCCTACGCCGCCAAGCTGCTCTTCCAGGAGCTGCAGGCCATGAACATCGCCGCAAGAATGTTTACCAACAGATCTGGAGTTTCAAACCGATAATTTAGATTGATTACGAAAAAAAGATTGACGATGCTTAAAATATTGGAGGGAGGGAAAGCGCTGCAAGACAGGAGCAGCTTGCCTGTGCTTTGTAATGTTTGGGGAGGTTCATCATGTATAAAATAGCCAGTTCGTTAGGAAATATAGCAAAAACAACGAAATGCATTGATGCAACAAAAATCTTTAATGGCGCCGTAGTCGCTAGAGAGGAGTATGCTGATAGTACAATTTTTCTTGTAACCTTTCCCGCCGTTCTTGGTGTTATCGATTCGGAAGACCCTTCTCCGCCGCTGCTATCGAGTCGTGCACTGTCTGCTCACGCTTGTATTCTGCTTCGAGTTGCTTCTGCAAGTCAAAGTCCAATTGTCTTTCTCGCTTGATTCGTTGTTGTTCCATATCTCGAACGACGCCTTCGTGCATGGCCTACGATCATTGTTAGCTCTAAGATTTCTGGGGGATGGATTGGAGGATCAATTGAGCAGTGGGAAACGTACGGCTTGCTCGAACTTTTGCTGGAAGTGTACGCCGACAACTGTGCAGACTGTGAGGAGCGATGTACCCAGCAGGGTGAGCTTTGAAGCTCGAGACATGGTGGCCTCAAGGTCTTCTTCGGGGCCGGAAACGGTGGGTTTATAGATCGATGGAGAGATTAATTGGTTTGCGACAGGCAATGATTAGGCCAATTGACCCGACTAAACACAATTCGAGTACAGTATATTCTGGGAAAGATTATGATCAAATCGCAAAAGAAGGGACTTTGTCAGCCCATGACGTTTCAAGCGCACAGCGTCTCCGGCGGTTCCCACACGCGCTAAGCGCTGTAGCTCTCCCCCTTCCGCCCCAAACAAGTAACGTACCTTACCTAGCGGTACCTGCGAATCAGCTGCCTGAGCTCAGCACCCGACGTAATCCTCTACCAAGTGCTTGTATGCAACCATTCGCAACTTGAACTCCCATCAACAACGACGCCATCACGAACACTCCTCGAACCTGATAACACGATAATTTCTACGACCGAATCGATCGCTTTATTGTCACGTTTGATACTACGACATCATGGTTAGATGCTTCGCGAATAGGATGGAGGATGATGGCTAATGATTCGCAGTCTGCCCAGAACTCAGCTGGTATTCAACAGCTGCTCAACGTACGCTGCATCGGGCGCTTTAATTCTCGTAGCAAGGAAAACTAATCTGTGATGCCAGGCTGAGCAAGATGCTTCCAAGATTGTCCAGAAAGGTGCGCTCCAACCTCATCTCCCCGCCTTGTTTATAGGTTAACTAACAACGATTCACAGCCCGAGAATGTAAGCGCCATTTCCTCACAAACCGATGAATCATCCATCTGACAGCACCGAACGATAGACCGTACCAAGCGCGTCAGGGAAGCTCGCGATGAAGCCAAGCAAGAGATAGCCGACTACAAAGCCAAGAAGGAAGAAGAATATAAGAAATTCGAGGCCGAGGTACGATACTTCCATCTAAACGGCATACCGTCTATCTGAACGAGACACCGTCCGCCCCAACGATGGAAGAATACTGATGGTCGTATAGCACAGCAAGGGCAACGAGCAAGCCGAGGCCGAGGCCAACCAGGAAGCCGAGAAGCAAATCAAGAGCATCCAGGAGGCTGGCAAGAAGGGACAAGCTCAGGTCATCAAGAACCTCCTCAGCGCCGTCTTCGACGTCAACCCCGTTCCCCCCACCAAGTCCTGAACGACGGAGCACCCACCAATGTTTATAATTATGAGCGTTTCAGCTTGACACACGAGAGGAGATGCAAATAGACGAGGAGGATTTGTGTTACAAAGACCAAATTGCGTGGTCCGCCCTGCAGCGTTTTCCCTTCTAAAGGAAATGCACATTTTGAATTATTAAGTTATTTTACTGGACAAACTCGACTAGAGTGCTCAACATGTCCCTCAGATCCTGGTTCTCCTCCGTGGTGTCTAGACCGTCCAGCTGTTCCTTTAGTGTACGACCGATTACAGATATCTTTTCATCGCGCTCGGCGAGGATTTGTCTGATCTTGCGTGCTGCTCCTGTGTCTTCTGCCACTAACCAAGCGAGAACTGTATCAATGGTCTGGAGTGTGAAGAGACCGGCGTCGATTCTCCGGGATAGCCATTCTAGCTCTGCTGCTTCCCGATCATCTTCTGAAGTAGTGGCTTTTTCAGCGTCGTTTTGCTGCTCTGCCAATGAGACACGAGCGACGTAGTCTCGTCGGAATTTGATGAGTTTAGAAATCTTCTCGTAGTCCTTTTCCACAAACTTGGCTAGTGTTCGTATCCTCTCCGCGGAATTAGCTGGTAGAAGACGCAGCATTGAAGCGAAGATCTCAACAAGATGTTCTGCCAATCGATGATCTTGAGTCTTCATGAAGAGTGTGAAGAGACCCTTGAGACCGCCAGCCTCAACAATCTTTTGACAGACATCCACACCAGCATTACCACCAGCAGCGTGGTTGAGAAGACGAAGAGCCGGTGGTTTGCTCTTCTTCCCCTCCTTCAGCATAATAAGACAGAGTTCTACACCCTCTGCGTCGATGAATTTTGCCTTTCCAGCAGCTTCATCTGCTAGGCATGTGAGGGATGCGAATACGTTCTCCATGTACTCTTCTTCATCGCCGCCCTTGTCGGGATCGCGTCGTCGGTAGGGGGCGATGAGCTGGAGAAGCAAGTCGACCGCATCGAGGTTTATGAGTTTTGTGCGGTTGGCGACGGCCATTTGGGCGAGAATGGCCAAGATTTCTGCAGCGTATTGCTTGTTCTGGGAGACGGTATCTTCCTTTCGTTGGATGCGCTGGAGGAGCCATTGCAGTAGTTTCTCATCCTCTCCTACGCGCTCAGCGACTGATTGTCGGGAGCACAAGTTCTCAATGAGTCCTAGAGCATGGTAGATACCGTTACGATCTGACTCATCGTCTTCGTTCAGACGGGAGAAGTTGGAAACCAGTAAACTGAGGAGATCTGCCTCCATCATGGCATCTACCAGCACGTTCCACTGCTCATCCTCCGCCGCGACATCTTCGTCCGTCAACTCGCCCATAATCTCGATCGCATCGATGGCAATATCGGTGTTCTCGTGCGCCAGCAGACCGATAACACTGGCTACGCATTCTAGCCTGACGAACTCTGGGTACAATTCAGGATGTTCAGAGAGCAGCGACAGCCCCTTGATGTCGGCATCTAGATCAGCCTCACTGCCAATGAACTTCTGTGGTTGGTTTTCGAACTTGGCGCGAAGCTCGGCATTCTTGTTGATGTGCCTCTCCAAGTTCGTCAGCGTTTTTCGCAACCATGCTGCATCGATCTTTTCAGGCGCTCGGCCAGCGTCGGCTTCCTCTACATAATCAAGGATCTCTGATTCTTGTTTTGTAATGCCACCGCCGAAGAAGCGACCTTCGTCATCGTCAGGAGGTAGTTCGGGACCGAAATCTTCGTCATCGGCGGGGGGAGGCGCTGGGCCAGCTTCCATGTCTTCGTCTTCGTCTGGCGCATCGTTGACTTGGGCATGGCGATTCGAGCCGTTGGCGTTTATCTTTGCTGATTTGTAGATTTCATCTGGAGATTATAAGTTGAAGTTCGCGACAAGGAAGTGGTATAATTAGTCGAGACTTACTTGGATCTCGAATGGGATCAAGCTTGCGCTTCCCCGAAATGCCTGAGCTCTAGGATTTGTTAGACGCTATTGAACTTGGAGATTGAAGTAAACAAACCTTGAAAATATCATCAACGCTCGCCATGGCAAAAATAGATGGGAATGCGTGAGCGAAAGAAACAGTAGACTTCGTTTTCGGTATCTGTAGGTGACCAAATTATCCGTTCGCGATCGGCGATACCTTTCAGCGACGCGCTCAAGCTGATGATGTCTGATGTCGGTTACAATTATTACATAAGGCAACGAAACGCGCTAAAACTGAAGCACGACAGCGTCGTCCAGGGGGTCCAGGGAGATTCCGCACAGTGCTCCCGCTAAAGGCAAGGGAAGGGTCAGACACGCAGCACACTCAGGATCAGCCGATACTATGGAATACTTGGCCGAAGGGCTGGGGTAGGGAGATGCACAGGTCAACTGCCGGTCACTCGGCACAATGCGCTATCTTGTCACAGATTAGAGACAGAGAGGAACGCATCCCTAGGGTACCGATACCTCCAAACCACCAACCAAAACCCCGAGATGCAGGTACGGCTCGTCCCCTGACATGGATGGGCTGGGTTATCTGTTCCCTGAGCTGGGCTGACTGGTCGGTCTGCCTTCTGGCACGAACTTGAGTTGTTTAATGTTTGACTTTGATCTTTTTTACTTTTACAACATCCCCTTTTGTTTCGACAGCGAGTGTTGCATTGCATTGCGAATACGAACGATAGAGAGAGAAGCCATATCGAAATGAGAATGCGAATCTGCGACGATATTCAACTTGGATCTACAACTTTTACGACAAGCAAACTTGTACTATTCTGTTCTGTTCTGTTCTGTACCTGAACTAAGTTAATTGCGCCGGAAGCGGACCCCATCTCCACGACGGACCAGACACCTCTCACTGAAGCACGAGTCTGTCACTGCTGCTGCCAATCGAGGTTAGGTGGAAAAGGTCCGGGCTTCCACTAACCTCCACTAACCTAAGCCTTAGCAGTCCAAGGTCCCCTAAAATCGCCTACAACTGGAGTACAAGGGAAAGGGGGGAAATTGTTGGCTTTTTGGTGAGGATCTAGTAGTATCGCTGGACTGGATCGGATTGGATTCGTCTTGGCTTGGCCTTTTTAGAAGATCGATTCATTTCAAAGAGGATGCACGACAGTCAGGTCTCGTCTTCTCCTCAATTTCTCAATCACAATCACAATCACCACCACCACCAACGCCCGAGCGCGTCTCCCTCTGCTGCTACGGCCTCCGCAACCGCTACAGTTCCGCCGCCTTGGGCTTTACCTGCCTATGCGTCCTCCGCTTCCGTATCGACCGACTCTAGACCAGCGACTGGTAGATCACATTATTATCCTCATCGCGACCCGTCGAGATCTGCGCTTTCGCCCTCGGCCTCCCCCTCGCTAAACGCCCATCCTCATCACAAGCCCCCAGGTCCCCGTCTGCCACGAACTTCCTCACTTCTCCCTCCGCCCCATATAGAACCTTCGCCGAGAGCTGTAACTTTCCAGAGATCGGATCGCTTATCGCCCACTCCCACGCCTGGCAGCAACGGAAACGGGAACGGGAACGGAATCCCCCACAACGCCGCCGAGAGCTCATGGTTATTGAATCGTCTTTCCTCTTCGACAGTGTCCACGAATTTCAGTCGAGTTTCGGCGCTACCCCCCCGCGCCAACCATAACAATTCGCGACTCGGTAAAAGCCCCAGTATCGATGCGACCACTTTCATTGACAACTCTCCACCGCCTTCCAAACCATCCCCTCGGAAACTCCAGAAGAATCACCGACCAAGTACATCAGTCTCCAACCCCGACACCTTTGTTTTTAGGCCCTCAGAGGAACGAAGCCAGTTACCGCAATCCCTGCCGCTAATCGTAACATTATCGCCCTTGGAGGCGCCCGCTGCGCTAAGCGATATACTCAACGTTAAATCTGAAGGGGCTGGCCCTGGCTCTGGTTCGAGTGAGCCTGGGCGATCAACAGGCGCCCGCCAGGAGGGACAGTCCCTGAAGCAATCCGACAATTCAGACTCTCCAGCGCGATCCGTTACTTCAACGCCGGGCAGTGCACGTTCAATGGCTGCATATCGACCTAATATGCAGTACGATCAGGACCAAGAGGCTTACCCGCCTCAAAGGGGGCATTCCAGGAGTCGATCTGGTAAGGGAAGCAATGATAGGGGGCGCGCCAAACCGCCATCTCAGAAGGCCATGTTACATCGTGCCTTGCAGAAGGCGAATACAGCGGTTCAGTTGGATAATGCACAGAATTTTAAGGGCGCACGAGAAGCTTATGCGGAGGCTTGCGACCTCCTGCAGCAAGTACTACAGAAGACAACTGCCGATGAGGATAAACGTAAGCTGGAAGCAATTGTAAGAACTTGCCTAATTATCGACATCTGATACTAACTTGCATAGCGACGAACTTATACAAGTCGAATTGATGAGCTAGATCAAATGGCACCCTGGCAAGAAGAAGAGACCAAGGCGTTGCCCGCCCGCCCTGAGAGTTTAGCACAGCATTCCGAGTCAGAGTCTGTATTACGATTGGATGATGATGATGATGAACCTAATGATACCGCTGTCTTTGACACCGCTACAGCTGCGAGAATAGATAGTCGCAGCCCTCAACCTCGAATTGTCAATTCACCGCCACGAGATGATAACCAAGGCTATAAGAGACGAAGTGCTCAGAACAAGCCAAAACCTATCGTTACAAGTCTTACACCCGAGCCTGGACTTCTTCAGTCATCCTTTTCACGATCACCAGTTCGACTTCGCACTCCTGAACATTTCCTCCCACAACGACCCGCGGACCCATACATGCCAGCTCCGCTCTCCCCCAGACGCCCACTATCTCCAGCAAAAGAAGTCAATGACATGGACGAGCCCGTGCGAACCGATTTCTCCATGAGCCATGACCAGCAGAATGACCATGCGCAAGAGCATAACGTGCCGCAAACGCATTTCCGGGAAGACAGCATGAACTCCTGGTTGGATCCCATTGACGAATCGGGAGGCTCGACTGCATCATCTGTTCATTCGCGCACTTCATCGCTTGGCTTCAGAAGGAAGCACATTCGGGGCGTTAGTGGAGAAACCGAGGCTGAATTCGATACGGCATTGGACGCAGCTATTGAGGCCGCCTATGATGATGGGTATGAGCCAATGAGTCCAATGGACCACAGACGAATGGTGTCAATGGACGCTGGCGAGGAAGCAGTAGCCAACGCTATGCGCAAGGTTGAACTTGCTCGCCAAAAAGTCAGAGAGACTGAGCAGGAGGTATATGAGATGGAGAGGGATAACCGATCTCAACAGCAATACCAGTCTTATGAGTATCAAGGCACACCTAACGACTTTTATAACGATAACTCATCCGACGAGGAGGAGAGGATTTTGGATGAGATTGCTCGAGATTACGGTCTCGAATCATATAGACATCGCCCACCACCACCTCGAGAGTCTGACTCTAGTGGTGTAACTTCACGTACCTGGCATAGCTCACAAGGGTCAAATCCCCCAACGGGAGCTACTTCACTCTCTACTGTTACAGAACTGCCACCGCCTATAATGCATCTTACACAGGGCCCAGCTGCGCCTCCACCAACACAGTCTTTACCTGAACTACCCCAACGACCTGGATCATCCGCTCAAAGTGTACGAAATAGACGACTATCAGGACAGAACCCGAAACAGCTGAAAATTGAAACCTCCAAGCTCGCTCTTCCTATGCAGAATTATGCCGACGCCAACCAGGCCAAGTCTGCTCCTCTGAGCAGTCAAAATATGGATACTCAAGTCGAAACAGATACAAAGGCTGCGAGTGCGAACCATAGACAACCCTCCCCTCCACTATTCGAAGCCAGTCCGACAGATATGACAGGATCTCGACCTACACCATCGCCTTTTGGACAGCTGGGCTCAGAGAAGGGCGACGACGATATCACCGGCTCTCCCAATACACGAAAACTGAGGAAGAACTTTTCGTCGTCAAGTCTTCGAAGTATGAAGAGCCGCAATATGTCGTTGACACATCTGGAAGAAGGTTCGGATTTGTCTCCTGGAACCCCAGGAAGCAATCCCTTTGGATCTCTCAATGCTCCATCAGTCCCAGCTCTGCCTACACCTCTTGCCACGAGCTTCCGCGAGCGATCGGAAACAAACGCGGCTGGACTATCATTGTTCGATGATCACTTCTATTCCCCGACAAGCCCTGGTTCGCCTAATTCGCTCATCTCCGATCCTCCAGCTCCCCTTGAGCCTTGTCCTACCGATTTCATGCTTCGACCTTTCTGGCTGATGCGATGTCTTTACCAGACATTGGCTCACCCACGGGGCGGGTACATCAGCAGCAAGCTCTTTGTTTCTAGAGATGTTTGGAGGGTGAAGGGAGTGAAGCTCAAGAACATCGAAGACAAGGTGGCCAACTGCGATTTCCTCACAGCTGCTTTACTCAAGATCGCGAGAGTGGATACCTATGATGCCGATGCAGTCTTGGAAGAGATGCAATCCCTGGAGGGCATTCTCGAACAAGTCCAAACAGCATTGAGTCGCAAACTTGGCAATGAAGTCGGCGTTCATGGATCTGGAGCACTGTTCAAGGACGCATCCACCGGCGATGGAGATGCGGCTGCGGGTGTGCCGCGATCAGCGAGTGTTTCTGGGAAATCCTCCTTCTCATGGCGACGTCTGCGATCGAAGAACTCCGCAGTCGGACTCGGTGGCTCTTACATGAGCCGTGTCAACACGGAAACGTCTAAAGATATACCCAGCATTGCCAGTCTACCAATGACACCAACACCAACAAATCGTCCTCCCAAGCGAGATCTGGCTCAGGTCCAATTCACAGGTCCGAACGCAATGTACATGAGCTCATTGGCACGCTTGTTTGATGCAGCTCAAGCTATTGGTAAGTTCACCACCCCCAGAGTATACTTCACGTTCTAACCAGAAGTAGATCAAATAGCAAGACAAGTCGAGGATCCTGGATTGCGACACGCCGACAAGACTCAAGTTGGTCTTGAGCTATGTACTCGACATGCAGCGGAGTTCTTTGGGTTCTACGTGTGTCGATTCGTACTATCGGATCTGGGATTGTTGCTGGATAAGTATCTCAAGCGTGGTAGTGAATGGGTTCTCACATGATTGGGACGAGACGTAGGCTGAACTCTGTACGATGCAGATGGGATGACCTTGCAGCCAAAGAGATGGATGAACATGCAATGCAGAAGGATGAACCTTGGAACGATGGAGACGGAACGAACTTGAACCTTTGGAATGGGAATGAAATGGGATGGAATGGAATGAATGGGTCGTTATAATGCATGGGCAAGGCGTGATGCATTCGGTTTTCCTCTTGGCCAAGTACTTAGATGTATCCCGCGTAACGGGAAAAAGGCTCGATACCCAAGCGATCTATATGTTTCACTGTTGAAGTTTAGTTTTACGAATGGGACTGGATGAATAGCATTGTGATAGGTTCCCTTGGAAGTGTGTATTGAAGGGGACAGCCATACAATTGATGATGTGTATAGTTGGTGTTTTGTGTGCACTGCACTGCACTATCGCTTGTGTTTGAGTAGGCAGTTTGTTTCATGGTTAAGGAGACTTAATATCACTTTCAAGTCCATGAATCCTCTGCTAAATATTCTCGAAGTAACAATTATGAGTGAGTATTCAATTCCATTCTCTCCCTCAAGCCCAGCATCTTAAGATGCTGTCCGGTAATATCACGGAAATGGAATGCGGGACGACGACAGGGGTACGTACCTCCACCACGCCAGAAGGATTTCGTGCATCATGGGGAAATCTTCAATCTCGAATTGCGCCTCAACCACCCGCCCACTCACCTCCTCCTCAGCCATTGAATTGGCCTGAACCACCGCCTACCTCAAACCTTGGCCAAATGCGCCCTAGAAAAGTCTAGATGAGCCTGGCTTGGAGCGCTGGCCGTGCCTGGAGTCGGCAATGCCTCTCACAAGCTCGATCACGGCCCAGCTTCACTCCTTCGCACATCCTCACACCGAGGATATACACAAATCTCCGTAGATACGCTACGAAGCCTACGCCCGCTGAACTCGAAGCCCGAATCGCCGCCATCCCCATCGAACGATACCGCAACTTCTGTATCGTAGCGCACATCGACCATGGGAAGAGTACGCTGAGCGATCGGTTGTTGGAGTACACTGGTACGATATCTGCTAGCGATGCGAATAAGCAGATTCTGGATAAGCTCGATGTTGAGCGGGAGCGAGGTATTACCGTCAAGGCGCAGACGTGTACTATGATTCACAAGCACAATGGGCAAGATTACCTGCTTCATTTGGTTGATACACCAGGTCATGTGGACTTTAGAGCTGAAGTTACGAGGTCGTATGCTAGTTGTGGCGGAGCTTTACTTCTCGTCGATGCATCGCAGGGTATTCAGGCACAGACTGTGTCGAACTTCCATCTTGCGTTTGCGCAGGATCTGGCTCTTGTTCCGGTGGTCAACAAGATCGACATGCCAGCTGCAGATGTACCGCGGGTACTACAGCAGATGAAGGACAGTTTTGAACTCGATCCCAAAGACGCTATTATGCTGAGTGCGAAAACGGGAAAGGGCGTACCGGATGTTTTGCCCGCTGTTATAGAGAGGATTCCTCATCCTGTTGGTGATGAGAAGAAGCCGCTGAAGATGATGCTGGTGGATTCATGGTACGATAACTTCCGTGGTGTTGTGCTGCTGGTGAGGTTATTCGATGGCACGATCAAGGCGGGCGATAATGTTGTCTCTTTGGGGACGGGGATGAAGTACACTGTTGGACAAGTTGGCATTCAATACCCGCATGCCATACCCCAAGCGACTCTCAGCGCAGGACAAGTTGGCTACGTATACTTCAACCCCGGCATGAAGAAGATCCAAGACGCCAAATTGGGGGATACATTCACATTCGTCGGCTCCGAAGAAAAAGTCGAGCCCTACCCCGGCTTCGAGGAGCCCAAGCCCATGGTCTTCGTGGCAGCGTTCCCCACTGATCAGAGCGACTATAGTCGTTTGGCAGATAGCATCGGTCAACTCGTCCTCAACGACCGAAGTGTTACGCTGCAGAAGGACCACTCTGAAGCGCTCGGTGCGGGCTGGCGATTAGGTTTCCTGGGAAGTTTGCACTGTTCTGTATTCCAGGATCGGTTGAGGCAGGAGCATGGAAAGAGTGTTATTCTGACGGAACCGACTGTGCCGTCGAAGATTATCTGGCCTGATGGGTCGGAGGAGATTGTATCGAATCCGGCGCTGTTTCCGGAGACGAGTAATCCCAAGGTGAAGCAGTCACAACTATTCGAGCCGTAAGTCTGTCGAACTTGTTGTATCGAGCGTTACTGATTGCGTCTGCTAGATATGTCACTGCTACAATCACCATGCCAGAGGAATATCTCGGTCGTGTGATTGAGCTTTGCGAAGCCAACCGCGGAGAGCAGAAGAGTCTAGAGTTCTTCCACACAACGCAGGTTATTCTACAGTATGAGATTCCAACGGCTCAATTAGTCGATGATCTGTTTGGAAAGCTCAAGAGCGTAACGTATGTTTGTTTCTCAGGTCCTTCGAGGCTGTGCTGACGTGTTTGTAGCAAGGGATACGCGACGCTGGATTATGAAGATGCAGGCTGGCGAGAGAGTAACCTTGTCAAGCTGCAGCTGTTGGTGAACAGACAGCCCGTTGATGCGATCTGCAAGGTCGTTCATTCATCGCAGGTTGATAGGCTCGGAAGACAGTGGGTTACTAAGTTCAAGGAGCATGTTGATCGTCAACATTTCGGTACGTCGCCCCTCTTCCTAAGCTCACCCTTCAAACCCCGTTTCCCATGTGTTAACACTCATCTCAGAGGTCGTCATTCAAGCCACAGCAGGTAATCGCATCGTAGCGCGAGAGACCATCAAGCCCTTCCGCAAGGACGTCCTTGCTAAGTTGCATGCTGCGGATGTATCGAGAAGAAGAAAGCTACTGGAGAAACAAAAGGAGGGTAGGAAGAGGTTGCGCGCTGTGGGTAATGTCATTATCGATCAGTCGGCCTTCCAGAGCTTCATGTCGAGATGAGTGTTGGATATAGTGTACCATAGTGTAATATAATGACTGGATGATAGATAAAAGATGAACAGTTTTGTGACTTTAGTCAATGTATACGATCCACGTGAAGGTCCGTCTAGCCCTCAACACCAGTACTACCAAGAGGACAATCCCATCTACTCCTTCACCTAAGCATCATACCCCGGATCCTCCTCCGGCAAATCAAGCCCCAGCTCAACCGGCTCTGTAAGCGACAATCCCATCCCTCCCGCCAAGGTCCCCTCGTGCTGTTTAATCCCCTGCCCATCAAAGTCAAAAACACGATAATCACTGTTAAAGAACCAATATCCTGCAACACCCAATCTCAAGAACCCAGCGTGCGAGACCACGAAGATGAGTTTCTCAGGTCTTTTCTTCAAATCCTCTAGTGCGCGCTGGCCTCTGGCGAGGATGGACTTCTTGGTGTACCAGTATCGCTCTGCAGATGGAGATGTCTTGTCTGGCCAGAGAGGATCGACGCTGGAGAAGTTTACTTTTGGGAAGGATGGTGAGACGGAGGAGATGGGACTTCCTGTGTCACAAGGCTTTGAGGAGTTTTCTAAAGAATGTAAGTGAAGTTGTGATGGGAAGGTGAATGGGATGGTACCTTGCCAATCTGCGTTGCCCTCAATCTTAACACCCCGCTCAACAAGCCAACCCAGCGAAAGCATAGCAGTCTGCATCGTACGCCGCATAGGACTAACAACAATAGCTACATCATCTATATTATCAACCTTATCAGAGAATGTAGAGATCAAGTTCTCTCTCAGATGAGCGCATTGCTCCTCGCCCTTTTCGGTGAGCGGAGGATCAGGCAGTGACCATTCTTGTACACATTGTCAGTGATATAAATTAAGGAGATTGTGAAGGGAGACTTATGAGCTACATTGTGAAGAGCCTGAGCGTGGCGGATGAGCACGATAGTAGGAGCCATTGTAAGTGATGATGTTGAGGTGAAGAGCGGTGATGGGGTCCGCTTTCGGAGAGGGTTATTGGTCATGACGGGTTGAAGCTCATTTGACTTCGAACGTGCTTATACTTCAACAACAGCTCAGCATATCATAGTTAGTAGAGTATAAGTAGATAATGATTAGAGATTTATTATTATAATTACTCGTCTTCTATATCCAATTACAAATGTCTATCGCTTCATATGCATTAGATTGCCAAAAGAGCTGCGACGCCGATTATCATCCCCATTAGAGATGCACCCTTTGACGTGGCTGCGTTATCAGTCGATGATGGCGCAGCGGCGCCTGATGATGCTTCGCCGGCTGTAGCTCGACCTTCAGCTGAGCTTGCGTCTGTAGTAGAGCTTGAATCCGCTGTGGTAGACGCAGCAGCAGTGGTAGTGTCCTTTGTTGTTGAGTCCTTTGAAGCATCCTTTGTTGTTGAAGCAGCTTCAGTAGTTGACTCAGTCTCCGCATCCTTTGTACTTGTCTCCTTCGCCGTACTCTTCGCCTTTGTACTCGTCTTTGTCGCAGCCGTCGTCGTAGTTGCATCCTCCCCAATCCTCTCCTTCACCCACTCAGCAACATCATCAGTAAAAACATCAAAGTAATTAAGATGTGTCTCGACCTCATCACCCTGCGCACAAATCGGATCCGTCTCAACACAGTAATTCCTAAAAACATCCCCATAACTCGCCAGATTCTGCAACATGCCCGCCGGTCTAGGAAACAAGCCATTCTTTCCCGCGCCAGAGAGAACATTGAACGGCTGATCCTTGGTATGTCGTGTATCGCCAAACACCATCGCAGCAACGATCTTGCTACCAGGTAGTGTCTTGGGATTCAGGCCCTGTAGATCAGGTTCCACGCAGTTCTGGAAGAATACACCGCCTCCGCCGCCGAGGATATCGCCGACGACTTGGCCGCCCTGTGAGTAGCCGCTCACGACGAGTTTAGAGTCTGGACATTTCTTGTTGTACGCTGTGATCTGCTTGATACCATTCTTCACACCCTCTGTGACGGAATCGCAGAATGGATCTTCTAGAGCATTCTGGAACTGGATATCCTCATAGTCGCAGCTCTTCAAACCACTGCAGATAGCACCGGCGAGTTTTCCCTGTCGTCCTGGGTAGGGTTCATTGTTTCCCTTGGCGAGAAAGATGTGCACGTCTTTACAGTCGTCGCGTATGCCAATGGCATTGACTGTAGCAGTAGCGAGTAGAAGAAGTGTAGTAGAGCTGTGCATTTTTGATGATGACGTTGAAAGAAAGAATGTAAACAAAGAAAATGTAAAATGTTACAATAAAAAAGAAGAATACACGAGACGAGACAAGGAACGACGTTGCCGGTCACAGAACCTGTTTCATCAGATGAACAAGGATCCCCTGAACGCGCACCGGGTTTTAAGCTATCTCGCCCACGGCAAGAAAAATATGGGACGATCGACTTGGGCAAATTTGCGCTGCGATAACGGCTAATCAGACTAATCACCACACGTCAAAAAGATGGGACTCGTTCGTATACACGAGTTTAGTTAATTGTTTTATCCACTTGAGATGTAATCCAAAGCCAATTCAGCTGGAATGACCTGATTCGACCTTGCAGAAAATGTCTCTTAAGCGAGCGTTGACTGACTCAGTTAAACGAGAAGCGAGGACTAGCGGAAATCTCTTCTCTTAAAGACCAGTCCAACTTCTCACTAGATGATCCAGATATCGTTTAGCGACCAGGGTCTGCCAAGGGATGTCTTAGATCATTGCTGTCATGTCTACTCCCGAATGGAGATGGACTCACCGTGGCCTCGGGTGTCAGAAGACACAAGACACTTGGCATTGTCTAGCCAAAGAGCCTGCTGAGTTTATACGGAATTGTCAATGATTCTTGTCTTCAGGGTCAAGTGTCAAGCTCTACCACTTACACTAATCTGGGCAGAATATCTCGCAATCTGTGATCACGCGTTGTGGCTCGGGTAAGTGGTCACATCTCTAGCTAGCTGTACGAGTAAACCATAAGCCGACGTTGGCTTTACTGTATGAGGCGTGCCTTGAAATCCTGTATAATGAGGCCTCAACATCTCTAAGATACCATCCTGGGTCTGGTTCTTGAGCATCTCATCGCTGCCATCTCAATCGCCGAGACTCTCATCGAGTCCCCTCTTCTCTGCTTCATGAATGCCTACCCTTGCCTTCATTTTGTCACCATGCCTACAAAGCTGTTCAATTATCCTTCCAGGTTCCTCAGAATTTCTGCGAAACCGCCAGTGGTTGCTTCGTAGCCGCATCATGACTGCTCTCGACGTCAATGTGGGTTCGCGGTCTTCGTTCTTCAGCGTATGGACCTCGATCTCTAATACAGACGTTCTTACTCAAAGATTTAAGGCTGCTCAATTGGTAGAGACGGGCTACTAAGTTGACTTGCTTAGAGTCGGCATCTTCGTGGTCCCCGACTCATCGGTAGAACCTGGTCTCTTGAGGGATGCGAAGGGGCAAGTTAGCCAGCACAATGAATGAGCCATGGTATAAGGTTGCGAGGGGATTTTAAGACTTAGGTGAACTTGGCGATGGTAATCAGTGTTGAATGAGGTAGCCTCAATGTTTCTGAGTATACGCGGTATTCTTTGACCTTAGCGAGTGTATTGCGCCAATGACCTGACCAGAAAGCTTACCCCTGGTCAAAGAGGTATGTTCAAGGCTATCAAGTTACTGGTAGTCAAGCTCATAACCGAATTTAGCTTCATATCAAGCTGTACAGGCGGCACCTGGGATGTAGGCATGGTGGGTGATGCAAGGGAAGAGGCATTGGTAGTGATGGTGATATGAGAGAGACTGTGGGGCCTTTTGAGATGGGTAAGAAAAGCGATGCTGAGCAGGCCAATCTGAATTTGTATCTCTCGAGTGCTTAATCTACAGTTTGATCCGGTGGTACTGCATGAGGGCGATGCAGGTGCAGACCACAAATGAGACCAAAGAAGCTGGCTTGATAGAAAGGCGGTTACCCAGACCCCAAACGAATACGGAGAGACAAATGAGCCCCTTAAATATACCCAAAATCGTGCTCGGAAAGCGGTGATGCGCCCGTCCATTGGGGGTGTCGTACTTGACGTCGGCTGCGGTGCGAGGAGCCTAGTCTCTTGGGTAGCGTCTGGGCTGCTCAACCTGAAAGGATACCTAGAGAGTTTCAGCCATCGTATACGGTCGACGATATAAAGCTGGTTTGACTGTGCAGTTCCGTTTCGTTGATAGATGACTCGGAGCTGTTCTCCTAAAGCAACAATGAGCCACGGAGGAGCCCCCTTTAACGAGGTAGTGGGGACGTTCAGAAGCAAGAGTTTCGACCAAACTAAAGTCACATCTAATCGGATTGGATCAAACAGAACGGAAAAAAGTAATGCTCGTTGAGAGACGGCTAACCTTGGTCTCCTGAAGAAGCAGTGAGCTCAGGAGAGAGTTCCCTCATACACCGAGGTTGAGGGGACGCTCAGACGCACGGGATCAGATCAAACCCAAGCCAGATTAGTTAGATCACATAGAATAGAAGGATGCGCAAAGGTAACAGGCTCATTGACTGGCGGTGGACCTCAGTCTCCTGGAGAATCAGCGAGACGTAAGGAAGTCTCAGCCAAGGAGGCAGCGCGCTCCTTGGAGATACAGCCATCGGAATTCTGCAACGGCTATGGCGTGGTGGTGCTAGTTTATCTTGGTGTTATGTTAATCTTTGTTAAGCGGATGAGAAAAGGTGATGACAGTCGGTAATTGAGTAGTGACTGATGCTCCTGCATGTCACTCAGGGGTAACAGGTAGCTGAGTTCCACATCCTGATTCATAACGATTGTTCATTATTCAAGACTACTCTGACTAGAGGAAGTAAAGCCTAATTTCCCAGAATCTCATCCTTTCTCTTCTGAAGCAAGTAGTAATACTCCTGAATCGGGGTACTCTTCGTCGGAACCCTCTCACCCTCAAACTTGCCCTTTCCATGACCATTGAAGTGAACCTTCCAAGCTACTCATCATTAGCAGGCAAAATCACATACAAGAGGACTTCAAAACTCACTGCTCGCGTCAAAGCCGAGGTATGACCAGCTATCATTGAGATAAGCCTTCTCAGTGCCAACCTGGATAGTCTTGACAGTTCCCATTTGCCCAGGAGCAGGTCGAAGCTCCTTGAGGTCTGCCACGAGCTTGATGAGACCTGTGACGAAAGCGAGGGCGACGTCCTTGGCGATGCATTCGTGTTGGCCGTAGCTGAAGGCCGAGACGTCTTCTTTCTTGCGCTGGGGGTTGAACTTGCCCGCGTCGGGAACTTCCTTGGGGTTACGGCCAGCTTCGCCCTGTTCATTGTTAGATGCGTTACGCTTGTGATATGAGATTGCGACTTACGAGCATGAGAACGACGGCGGTGCCAGGCTGGATAGCTTGGCCTTGGACTTCGCCAGGTGCAGTCGCAACACGAACGTTGCGCTGAGAGCTTGTCATACGTTGAGCTTCAGCGACGTAGGCATGAAGAGTAGCATCATCGCCCTTTTGAGCAATGGCCTGGACCTCAGCCCAGATAGCCTCATTCTCGGGACGAAGGAAGAATGACAGAACTTCATAGAACTACACACCATTAGCGCACGATCTTCACTTTGTCATCAAACTTACAGCAGTGACAGGAACACCGATGCCACCAAAGGCAGTAAGCCAGAGGTTATCAGTGACCTGATCAACATTGTTGCCCTGCGCAAGCAGCTCTTCCACAAGCTTAAGACCACACGATCTCAGCGAATCCTTCTTGAGGTACGATCTGGCACCGATCCTGTTAGCAACGGCAGATACCAGTCCAATACCTCGAGGACGTCCAGCATCAGCCTCCGCAACAATAGTCTTTGTCGTTTCAATCATTCTCTTCGCACCCTCTTGAGCACGACGACGACGGTTCCATGCCTGCGCGGGATCATTGTTGTTAACGCCCCAGACACGAATGTCGAGAAGACTGCGGTAAAGCTCTGCAACACCGAGTTTACCATCAGGGTTCTCCTCGGTTCGAAGATCAAAGTAGAACAGATCAGCGAGGAGCTGCGTGTTAAGAGGGATGGCGACATCGCGAATGATGTCGATCTGATCAAGGCCCTTCTTGAGAGTGAACGTCTCCTTGTTAATAAGCTTGGTACCCTCACGCTCAATAAACGCATGGACGGCATTGTGCATGTTGGGAATCTTGCTCATCGCCTTGGAAAAGTTGGCGCGGTGCGTGTAGTTCTGAGGCTGATCGCCCGCAAGCATGAACCAGCCAAAATCCTTCTTGCCAGGGAAAAGAGTGTTGAGAGGCTTGAGCCAGGGAACGACGTATTGCTTGGTGTTGCTGAGGATCTGCTTGATAGCGGGTCCTGAGGTGAGAACGGCGACCTTGGGGGGTGCCTTGGGGTCGTCGAGAGTGTACTGGTCAAAAGTACCGATTTCTTTGGCGATCTGCTCGTTGGCCTTCTTGGTGTACATGGGCTGCATGACTGCGATGGAGTTGAAGGGGAACCAGTTTGGTACACCGCGCTGGATGAGCTTGTAGAGCATTGAACCACCGAGAGTCTTGTAGTCCTGCTGAACTTCATTGTAACCCCAGGCAGTGAGATTCGACACGGTGTAGTCAATAGTGTTGAACCTGTCTGAACGAACAAGCGTAACAGCATCAGACAGAACAGCTCGACCAACAGAATAAGTCGGCATAATACCAGAGCCAGGGTTGCGCTGAGGCTTGATGTCCTCAATCATGAGACCAGGATACAACTCAACCATATCAGGATCAGTGTACAACTTCTCCAGAATATTCGCAATGTCAGGGTTCGAGTTGATTTCGCTGAACGAATCATAGCGCTTGAGACCAAAGAACTCTCTGAACTCATTCAGCGAAGCACACTGCCACTTGCGGCCCTGGATAATACCCAGAACCTCAACGACCTTGAGAGCCTTGGGGACCATGCGAGCACCGAACGTACCGGCAGGGTCCTCCATAGCGTCCTTGAGAATACGAACAAGATCCTCATCCTTGAACGTACCATCGGCCTGACGCTCAAGACCATCAAAGGTACGAACGCTAGGATCCTTGGGGGTGTTTTGCTCAAATGTGAGAAGAGCCTGCCCAAGTTCCGTCCAGCTGACGTCCTGAAGATCCTCAGCCTTGCGGCCGGGGAAGAGCTTGAGGAAGAAGTTGTTGATCCATTTCTCGTCTCGCTTGGAGATGCAAGAGTGGAAGCGGTAGAGAAGATTGAACTCAACGCTGACTTGGTTGCCAACACCTCGAGGGACACCGTCGCCGTCGAATTGCTTGTCGATGGCAACACGAGGATCAAGAGTCCAGTCACTCGCGGAGTGGTGAGTGTTGGTGATGGCACGGAGATAGTCGTGCAAGCAGATGTTGATGTACAAACCACCCGTAATCAGACGAGCGACATTGAAGAGGTCATGATCTTGCTTCGCAATAGCCTTTGCCTTGTCTTCCTCGGAAGCATTAGGCGGCACTGACAATGAGAACCGTCCGTTCTCGTTGATCTTGAGCAGAATGTCAGCCACATAATTGTGGAAGCGACTATACAGCACGAGCATGACATTTACACCCGCAGGTTGACCAAGAAGACGCTTCTCATGAAAGGTATCAGGCTTGAGCTTGCCCTCCTTCATGGTACGAATCTCATGCTGATCCTTCAACGAAGAACCATACAGCGGCGCAAGATCGAGATACGACGAGGTATCAGACTTGTTCATATCTGTACGATTCGTACGGAAGATATCGTGAATAATAATCGCAGCGTGATAAAACAGCATTGACGAAATACCCGCTGGATTCTCCTGAAACGTCGTCTCATCTCTCGCCATGAGAAGATCAAACAACAAACCAGGATCAGGCTTGACACCATGAAGTCTCTTTTCCGACTTGACAGACTTGGCATACGGTGTACCAGCCCTACCTAGATTAGGCTCAAGAATGTTGTTGAAACTGCCGTCTGGCATACGGTACTGATGAAGACCATCTGGAGCCTGGGGCACTTGCTCTCGAAGAAGAACATCAGTGCCAGGGACTTTGAACTCGATTGTATCGTAGAGTTCGCAGTTATGCTTGTGGGCTGGTTTATCAGAGTTGACGACATCATACTTGACGTCGCCGCCCATGTAGCTCAGGGGCGGATGCTGAAGATTGCCCCAGAGGGTGTCGATGAGTTTGTTTGTAAGAGCTGTGCGAGCTTTGGAGGTTGCAGGAAGGGCGGTGAGGATACCGATGAGGAGTTCAGTAGTTCTACACCTGTTAGTCGTGCTCTGGGATATGATGTAGGTGAGTGAATTACCCCTTCTTGTCATCGAGGGGTTGACCCTTTTGGAGAAGCTCCTTGACAAGACCGAGGAGTTGAGCAGGACTAGCTTGGCTTCGAACACCAGCAAAGTCCTTCATGAGGTCCGCAACGAGTTTCTCAGGGTTATTCAGAAGACTCGACGGATCTTCCTTAGAGTCCCCGTAGGACTCACCAGCCTGAAACTTTTCATTGAACGACATGATGAAGAAAGAAGTGTGTGCAGAGAAAAAACCAATCCAACTTTCTTCACCGGCATCTCATCCCTCCATCCTTTATACCAAATATGTCACTTGTAGCTTCTTTCACGAGCGGTAACCACATCGCGGACCCTTGAGTCTAAGTGGCGTTGGTGCAACAAGAGGTGATAACACCGTCTGTCCAATACAAGCTCTCGTATTGCCAACGCGGGATGCAAGCTGAGACCATGACGGAAGGTGATAAGCTAGAATACAGCTCTACTGGGATGAAGCTTTGAGAATGAGGGGTTGTTGAGCAGCAATGTCTCACAGGCTGTTGTTGTTCTTTTTCCGTGTGAAACCTTGATGCGAGATCTTTCAAGTTTGGAAGAGAGGGTGTGCAGCGGCCTCAAAGATGATCTGACATTTCAATTACCAAATCTGTACTCGACATTCCATCCATGATCCATCAACTCTTTTCTTCTCTTCTGCTTGGCGATGTTCAAGTTAAGTTAAGTTAAATTAAGTTAAGCTAGACTTCGATCTACAACGTGACATCTCACCTCGTCTAGATTACCTTTTCCATCAAAATCTCCTAGCTTTACCGCCAATGCAGGCGGTCCGTTCCGGCCAACCAGCGCGGACCCCGTCGTCCACAATTGGCTGAGCTCAATCTGCCGAAGCTAGACATTTGCTGACGGGCGTTTATGCCGTGTAACACTGTGAATGATCGCCATCGGGCCGTCCGGCAAATAACAGGTGCCGGAGTGAACTAATGTCTTAACGGGGGGAGGTTGTAAAGTGAGGGGTTGTGAGACCTGCAGTTCATGTGTTGTTTGATTTGCTGGTGTTTGAAAATACATGGATTATGAGGGGCAGATGAGACAAAGTAAAGGGAATCTAGATCTGAATGCTTATGCAGTGAGCTAGGGATCGGAATACATTGGGAGATATGGGTGAGACAAGTCGCGTATGTACTGATGGTCGAGTTGGAATCATATCATGACAGATCATCAGGCTAATATCGGGTGAATCTAAGCAATTGCTTATTTCAAGTTACACAATCCAAGCAAAGCTCAAGACATCTTCTCAGAACCAACCCCTCACATCAAGCTCTTCTGATCTTTCAGATCTCTATCTAACACCGCTTATCTGCACTCTGCAATAGTACTCCTTTTATTACATGAATCTCATCAAGACAAAAAGAAGCAAAATCTAACCAATACATAACCTCCCTCCAAAACATCAGGGTCCAGTCCAAGTACATCATGCAGCTACTACAGTCACCGACTTTCACAAGCCTGGAGCCATGCATATCTCCCCGCCTTTCAACCTCCAACCAACAACAATGGAATTGTGGCGTGTCGAGCATCAACTGCAACAGATCGCAAACAGAAATCAAGTCTCAGCCGCACCATATCACAGCATGCTCAATTCTCCTCTCTTTCCCCTCCCCAAGCCGTGCCTTAGCCAGACATTCAGCCGTCTTAGGAAAAAGCGAGGTTCTCGTGGCTGGCTGAACCGAAATGCCAAGGACGAATCAATATTCTCCGATTAGCATCCCTTCATTCATCATTCTCGTAAGGGAGGAGACAACAATGCATGTGAATATCTCACTCTCTGTACTGTATACATCTCTCCTCACATTGCAGGTGTGCTATGCTACACGGTTCGGGAACCCAGTGGTACAAGCAAAAGAACCACGCAAGGAATTTCGTTGACTCCGCATAAAGGAAGCATAGCTGGCCCCCAGGCACTGAATTCCCGTCTCACCTTGGAAACTCCCCCATCATTCTTCTCCCAAAGATGCCTCACGCTGAGAACGAAAACACTGAATCCACTGAGCCCAAGAAGCTCATCCTGTGCTTTGACGGCACAGGAAACACGTTCAGTGGCTCCAATGCTGATACCAATGTTGTCAAGATCCTTCGAAAGTTGGATCGAAATAATAAGAACCAGTTCCACTACTACCAGAGTAAGATGCCAGCCATTGAGTTGAGAAGCGGTCGCTAACTGTGCATAGCTGGAATTGGTACATATGATATCAATGAAACGTCTGTGAACAAGGGTATCTTTGGTGAATTTGGGAGTAACATCTCAAAGACAATTGATCAAGGCTTTGGCACCACCTTTGACGCTCATGTCATTGCTGGCTACCGCTTTCTCATGCGTTACTATGAAACTGTAAGTCTCACATCCCGAAGCCCAACTTCCCCAATTGACATTGTAAAGAACGCAAAGATCTACGTCTTTGGCTTCAGCCGAGGCGCCTACACAGCCAAGTTTCTCGCCAGAATGGTCAACAAGGTCGGTCTTCTCTGCAAAGGCAACGAAGAAATGGTCCCCTTCGCCTACCGTCTTTATCAACGCTACCTCCAAGGCGAGATAAAAGACAGCGAGCATGCCCAGTGCACTTCCAAGCACAGCAGCTCAGAGACAGACACTCCCGCAAATTGCGACACGACACAGCTTCTGGGCACAAAGCCTGAAGATGTGAGTGAAGAGACTCAGGATGCTTCCAACGAGATCGAAGCATTCAGTCAGACATTCTGTCGCAAGGAGACGAACCGTGCCGGTGAAGAGGAGAACATCAAGGTGTTCTTCCTCGGAATCTGGGACTGCGTTGCCTCCGTCGCTGTTCTCGAGCGTAAAGCAAAGATGCCCGTTCCTGTAACAGGCACAGCGACACATGTTCGTCACGCGGTAGCCATTGACGAGCGTCGCGTCAAGTTCAAGCCCGCTCTGTTGGCACAGGACATCAGAGCCGCAGTGCACAGCCACGATGACGATGAAGATATCAAGGAAGTTTGGTTTCCTGGTAATCACGGCGACGTTGGCGGCGGCTGGCCCGCTCAGCCTGATGAGCAGGAAGATGAAGCTGAGAAGCCGTCTTTCTGGGGCCGTATCAAGAACGCGTGGCTGACGAGAAAAGCTGGTAAGGCGAGTCAGAATCTGAACAAAGATAGATTCCAGATGAGTGACATTCCACTCGAGTGGATGATTCGCGAGGTCAAGAAGTGTGGCGAGATGGATAAGTCACTGCAGGCGGGAGTGCATTGGTGCCATAGTCTCAAGCCATTTGAGAGGAGTATGGCAGATCCTGCCAAGCGAAGAGAAGCGACGCATGGATTCATGCACGATTGTCTCGCCTTCGGCTACGGAACAGCCTTCTTCAAAGTCCTCATGTGGAAGTTCATGGGTAAGTTATCCCGGACCGTCTCAATCCCAACTAACACGTCCCAGAATGGCTCCCTTTCTTAACGCGCTGGGAACTCGACGACACGACAGACGCCAACGTCAAGCTCCTCGGCTGGAAACCCGTGACATTCCCTCCCAACAGAGGTTCATACCGTGACATTCCCCGCGGCGCAGTCCTCCACCAATCTCTTCTCGACCGACTGCAGGAGTTCTCAAGCTACACGCCCGGAAATAACCACGGCGACAAGTCGAGTGCCTGTTTCAAAGGCCGTAACAAGGCTTTGGTGTATAATGAGAAGGAGATTGAGGGTTTGTCTGAGGATGCGAAGGCGCAGAAGTTGAGTGAAGCACACTTCAAGATCCATTCTAAGGGGAGTGACTTGGTCTGGGAGGATGATAAGAGGCATCAGACATATGACTTCAATCCTCATTTCAAGGGCGCTCTGCACCCTGCAATTGTTCAGTAGTTTAGGTTCGTACGGGATGGGAAAGTTGGCAATACGGTTGCTTGGATGTACGGTTTGAGGGTGATTTGGTTGGAAGTTGTAACAGGAATAGGGAAGAGTCTGCTATTTCTAGGCTAATATTGTACCAATTTTGGGGGATTCCTATCTTCAATCATCTCGAGTCATTCCAAGAGAAGTGCTATGCCAGCCACGTCCTTCCGCCGAAGTTCATCTGTATGTTCTCTTCGTCACTCCAAAGTAGAAGCTATCGGATCAAGGACCTTTCTCGCCGCCTTCGTGATGGTTAAGCAGAGTGGCAGTTCATTCGAAGACGAACAAGCAGACTGATACGTTGCCGGGCAGTCAGGCGCTGTAGGCAGCGTATGCCATCTCGTCTGTCGCTCTTCCAACCGCTCAATGAAAGCGACGAAAGACTTGTCCCGATGGTTCTCAATGCCAAAAATCTCCGATTTGACGACATTGTACATGAGACTCTTCCACTGTTCGGGTGACACTTCAATCGGCACCAACACTGTATCGTCCGCCGTGTGCGATTGACCCAAAGGATTGAGAGCGACCTTTAACTTTTCTCCCTTGTCGGTGGCTTCAATTGCCTTTGCACCAATCGTCTTGATGAACCTGACGTAGGACTCAGCAATACAGACGCATAGAATGCCCAAGATGCCCGCGTTTTGTAGTACGGATGAGAACCGCATGGGGCATTTTGAGCATTCTAGAACATCTGTTGCGCGCTCGAATGTATTTCGCAGAATCGCGAGATCATCGGGGACAATGAGTTCGGTACGGACTCCGAGGCGATTGAGGAGAAGATAGAGGATCGACAAGCATGCGCACGAAGCGTTGATGTCTGTTTGTGTGAGGATGTCGTTGTGAGATTGCGCACTGCGGAGGGTTAGAAAGCGGGAAGATTGAGTCGTTCGACAGATTTCTTACGGCGCGAAGCTCTCAAAGTCCGCGAGAAATGGCGGTATATCTGTATTGGGTTCATGATGGCTCAGGCGCTCCTCTGTACCGGTCGTTATTCGGGCGGTATTTGATTGCGCTGGTGATGGCCCGCGATCAACCCGACGAGCAGGACTGGACGGTGCGCGCGCTATCACGCAGGGCCTCTTGGGTCTGCCAGCGCGTTTCTGCAGAGAGTAAATACATCCTCGATTAGAAGCGGTGCATTTTGAACACACCGGGTATTCTCCTGAGCATCGGACCTTTCGCGATCCTACGGGTTGGGAACGGATAAGCCAGCTGAAACCGGCACTCGAGGTCTTGTCACTTACTACATGGCTCGCAGGAAGCTCTGGCCCGACCGGGTGTAGAAGTCTTGGAGGACGTCGCTGGCGATAGCATTTTCGGAATGAATTATCGCCTGTCGGGATAGACTTTGGATTGTAGACTCTCGATGTAGGGAATGATGCAATCCACGAATGCTCCGAACGGGGAATTTAATGTTCCGAGCGAAACCCGCTTCCGGACCATTTGCGCCGGAGATCAATGTCGGATGGTTTTACGCGGATGATTTCTAGCTAAACTCTCACGATCATCATGTATTGTTCTTGAGATGCTGTAACAAAGAATTCTTGGTTGTAAATCACTACTTTGAGCGAATACACTGGTCTAATCATCTATGTAAACAAAACGTGTGCGTGAGCCTTGGCTCCAAAGTAAGGCTCACAAAGAACAGAATCGCAACACCAAAACAAAACACGCCAAAACACAATTCCGCTATCCAACGGAGATGCAAGAAGCTACAACAGAAGGGAATTTGGGCAGTCCATAGTTTCCTCTTCTTGCTCTTGCCCTTCTCCATCTGTCGGGCTTCTTCGGTGGCAGTAGACTTTCGTTTGATTGAGACACCACCGATAGGCTTCTTTGGGATATGGCCAATGGGCTTCTCTTTCGTCCGCTTCGGGATGGTCTTTCATTTGAAGAGTGCCGGATCATATGAAGGATAGTAGTTTAGGTCCTAGGTACCCCCTTCATCATAGTTGAGCATGGGAAGGAAAGGTTGCTGCATGCCTGGACGAGGACGAAGGCTTTCATAGCGCTCATCGTTGCGCTTTGCAACTGAGTTACTCGGTTTGAGTGGCGGCTCAGCCCGAAGCGCGGATTCATTTGCCTCTTCGATCATATCATGGAAACACTTCAGGTCCCAAGCTGCCATACTTGCAAAGGTCCAGCTCGGTCGAATCCCGCCCTCAGGGCCAAAAACATGTGGAATCGCCCAGGCGTGGCTCAAGTCACACAGCTGGCCTTCGTAATACTGCTGAGACTTGAGGTCCCGTACAACGATGCCGCATTTATGGAGCTGGCGAAGATTGCGAAGCATGCGCGGTAAGTGATTGATGTGTCTCTGTTCCGCTTCTCTTGTCATATCGCCTGTAGGACTTCGGTGGTTGGGGATCCAGTCTTTGACGATAGCCATGATGGGTAGGTCAACTTCATCGTCCATCATTTCCATCACTTGTATTGTAGGCCATTTGGCTTCCGGTATGGTATTCTTGATCGCGGCTTGGACCTGCTCGTCAATCTGGTGTAAATAGAGGCGCAGGTGGCCATGCACTTTGCCAGCAAGATGCTCCCGACCAAGCTCCTTGAGTCGACCGTAGGCGCGACACTCGTTGTTGAAGGAAGTCGCATGAACACGTAGACTGTCGACCACATGCTGGGGTATCTTTTCACTGGCGGTCAGTCGCTCTTTCTCTTCTCTTTCGACGAAATAGTCTTCGTCAATGGGGTCCAATTCGAAGTTCGGCTCGTGCACGTAAACAGGGAAGAACTAGGCGCGCATTAGCATTGGCATGGTGATTCTGCTCACTGTACCTACAAGCTTGATGACATAGATCTTGCCATCAATCTCGGCTTTAACGACGACTGAGTGACAGCCAGAGCCGAGATATTCCAGGAACTTGAAGTCGTGCTTGGTGAGATCATCGGTGAAACACTCTAGCTTTGGGCCTTCACAATCCGGTAGCGGTTTCAGTGTAGGCATTGTCAAAGACACAGTGGGAGCGGATGTTGAAACGAAAGCGAATGATGAATAAGGGACAATTTTCGAAGAGTATTGACGTTTGTTTGTTTGGTGGTAAGGATGTTTTGCTGTCTGGTATAGTTGTACTGGTTTCAGGTAGAGTAGGCTTGAAGGGCTTCTTCGGGGAAGTTGAGGTTATTAACTTGGAGCCAACAATATCAAAACCCAGGGCGCTGGGCGTACTCAAGCACAATAAACTGCTGTGTTTCTTTCACTCGTCCGCTCCTAATTGAACACATTCATGCAAAGAAAATGAATCCAGAAATAGCATCCCAGAAAGGGCATAGTAAACAACAACTGAAGGCGCAAAGCGCGGCGCAACAGGGAAGCCGACCGTGAATTTCTTTGTCGGCGCCAGGGGGATATTTGGCGGTCTTTCTAATGCCAACAGTGTATTGTTAGCTGCAAGCATGGGCCATCAGTCCCTGACAGCACTGCTCGTGGAGAACGGATTTCTTTGTTATACCACTGAACATGAGACGCGGCCTTGTTCAGCAGTAAGCCCGCAGCAAGACTGACCTCTCATCAAAACACAGCACAACTTCGCTTTCCACAGGAGCTCTTCCGTAGTTTTAATGTCGCAAATTAACGAGTTTGGCTCAAAGAATCAAATTACTGCCATAACAGCAAGCTTCAGTCTCATATTGAACGGTCGATGGCTTGCCGTTGTGGCGATTTGGGGTTATTACCTGAAGCTTGTATTGGCGCCTATATCTGATTTACAGCTCAGAAAGCTCCTTGTTGGCGCCTGTCTTTCTCACAAGAATTTATCCCGTAGTTACTGGGCCGCAGATTGATAAGTCTGGAATGAACAGTTACACCAGGACACATCAGCAAACCTTTTCTTATCGTGTTAATCGAACTTTGACATTTAGTGACGTTTGGCCCCAGTTATTTCTGACCTTGTTAATATCTAGACCTGGTTGCCGTTTAGCAATGTCGATGTCCTGTTTGCTCCAGGAAACGTGGCTGAGTGTGTGTAAGTCAAGTGTGGAAGCTGTTTCCTCCAAACTCATATGAGTGATGAACAAGCTCTTCAATACCTATCCCAAAACACACAGAGTTACTTCAAATTCATTAATGCATGGAAAGAGATTTTGTTTCGAATAGGCTGCACTATCCAGGGGCACGAAAGATGGTGTGAGAGCAACTGGCAGCCTAGTCAGACTGTCTTGCAAAGAAACTAGAGGAATCCATTCTCAAAGCACCAACCACCTATGCCCATGTAGATTTCAAAGCAAAAGAAGAGTAACCGCCATGTCGACTTGTTTAATTATACCTTGAGCTTTGTGTAGAAACGAGAATATCGATGCCCTTCACTTTTGGTCCAATTCGTTCTATCCTCATCACAGATCAATTATTCTTTGAGCTTCCGATAAAGGGCACTTTATCAGGGATATCATAAGTTATAACCAACAAGCCATCCCCTACACAATGGTTTTGTATACATCGCCTTATATCATGACATCATGACATCATGCTTTGTTCTCATCAAAGAAACCTGTGTCCCTGCGAACTAGCCACTCAGCAGCGATGGCCCAGTCATGAGGTGTATCAGAGCTGATGCTGCTTGCTCAGAGCAACCGAGTTCTTAAAAGAAAGAAGGAAATAGCACCATTGTATGTATGACGTTGAGGTGGTTCAAAAGTATGACTAGATTGATATGAAGTTCTTGACTTTTATGCATCAATTATCTAATATCTCAACGATGTAATTTGATTGGGTGCAATATTCCCGGCACCACATTTAGCGTCGGACCATTTCACCAGGTATGTTGCGCCTTATCAAAGTTCGGACTATTTTACACGGATGGTTTCCTGGCTATGTTCGGTTACGATATCATTAGAAATTGAGCTAGCTTGTTGATAAACGTAATAAAAAGGTTTGGGATTGGTGCCCTCTGACCATCACAAAAACCTTTCACTTAAAACGGTGACGACCTCTTCTGCGGCATTCCTCATCTCACCCACGCATAAACATGCCCTTCTCACAACAATCACCCAATGAGATGTGGGAAAGGGTCCAATTATCCGATAAGAAAGTTGACGATCAAGGCGATACAGCGAGTTCCGGAGAAGAGCAAGGTCAATCAGTTACCAGCATAATTTGGAACGCTGATGACCCATATGCGAAGAACGAAGGCTCCTCACAAGATGGAGAACGGAAAGACATACAGCCACAGCGCGGCCTCTCGGCCTTGGATCGAGTTCTGAGTAGGACTTCTGTTACAGATAGAGATCCCGGACCTCCTCCTGACGGTGGATTCTGGGCTTGGGCTTCAGGTGAGTGGGGTCACAATTGGCCTGAAGAGTGTTGCTAACATGTGCGTAGCTATTGCTGGGCATATAGTGATGCTGAACTCATGGTATACAACAATGGCTTCCATATTCATAATGACGATACTGACTCTGATCAGGGGATACAATAGCTCCTTTGGCGTCTTTCAAACATATTATACTACACATCTCGACAACCCAGCAAGCCAAATCTCCTGGATAGGATCAGTCCAAATTTCCGCCCTATTCTTTATAGGAACCCTCTCTGGTCGGCTCACGGACGCTGGTTACTTCCGCATCACATTCGCTGCAGGCACACTCCTCACCTGTCTCGGTGTCTTTATGACTTCTCTGAGCACAACATTCTGGCAACTCCTGCTTTCACAAGGTCTATGTACAGGACTAGGTAATGGTCTGATGTTTACTCCCAGTCTTGCTGTTGTTTCTACATACTTCAAGCGAAGAAGAGCGTTGGCTTTTGGAATCACTGCTACTGGAAGTGCTACAGGAGGGTTGATATTTCCATCTATGGCTCGCCAGCTTCTCGGGAAGATTGGTTTTGCTTGGACCGTTAGAGCTATGGGGTTGGTGCAGCTGGTTACACTGGTCATGGCGAATCTACTCCTGAGACCTAGAATACCGCCGAGGCAGTCAGGTCCGTGGATTGATTTAGCGTCGTTCAAGGAAAAGGGTTACTTTTTCTTTGCAATCGGAATTTTTTTCGTACGTTTTTGGTATCGGGAAAGCATAAAATCATACTAACGGGAATAGACATTTTGGGGAACATTCTTCCCGTTCTACTACCTTGCCTCTTTTGCAGTCTCACAGTTGGACAACCCTCTCACATACTCAGCCGCTTTGAACGTCCTTCTCGTTGTTAACGGTGTCGGAATCATAGGCCGTTCACTCCCCAACGCCATTGCACATCACTTCGGAAGTATAACAGTCCTCATACCTGTCGTGTTCATCTCATCTATTTGTTTATTCACGTGGCCTGCAGTATCCACAGAAGGGGGCCTGTATGCATGGGCTAGTATCTACGGCATTGTCGCTGGAGCATCTATGAGTTTGTTTCCTCCAGCTTTATCAGATTTGACGACGGATGTGCACAAGACAGGTGTCAGGATGGGCATGATATTCACGACGAATAGTATCGCAACTCTTACTGGGCCACCTATCGCCGGTATGATTATTAGACGTTCTGGAGGGCATTATCTGGGTGCGCAGATCTTTGCTGGTGCTTCACTCTTTTTGGGTGGGGTGTTTATCTTTATGGCTAAGCGCTTCAGGGTGGTGACAAACCAGGACCGAGCTACATAGCTTTTAACTATTTATCATATTGCAGTGATGATAAGGAAAGGGTGTCAATGGGGAAGGGAACGGCTTCTAAGGCAGTCAATTTCGACAATTTGTCAGGGGTTTCACACAATTTATAGCAACTTTAAACTTCAGCGATCGGGTTTGCATTTCAATAGCCAGGAATATATAATTGAAGATTATAGAATATGATTGGGTTGACTGAAATGACATGCGATTGGAGAAGTTCATTGCCAGCCAATCATGTAAATATCTCCCTTGTGTAACCGCACAGGTCAGCCAATGTCCGCACGAAATCGACCGTTGTGGCAGCCTCGGCTATTTATTTCATAATTTTATTTATTATTTTTCGAGTTTATAGGGTAAAGAAACAAAACTGTCCAGCCTTACACATGATTTAACTGCCTCGAGATAGACTGGAGCCATAGAAAAAGGGAGTCTGTTAAGCGAGTCCAACCGAAACTAGGCATCTTCGCGAACGTTATTGTGCTTCTGATGTCTTTTTTTGCCTTGAACCCCTACTCTCAGACCGTCATGCCGTGGGCTCGTAAGGTGGTAGATTCTGTTCATCTGTTTTGGGGCTACAGGGCACAAAGAAAATGTTGGCCTTTGTTTTTGGCGAGTCCCAAATTGTCATTTTGAGGCATTCCTCCCCATGACTTGCAAAAAAAGGAGAGTAAAAGTGAAGAGGTGTCGAGGTCGTGAAGTTGGTGATAGCCCGAGATACTTCAGGCTCGTGTGAGAGTACGCCGTGTTGCCTTAATTACCACTCCCCAAGCCGGCCGATCCCTTTGGATCACCTAAAGCCACCAAAATGCTCACCAGAGCCAAGAGGGACGAGGCAACCATGAAAGTGGGGCCAGCACTGCCTTGTGTCAAGGATATCAGAGCCAGAAAGGATAAGGCAATCATGAAAGCGATGCCAGCATCACCTACTTTCAATGATACGTCTATTGTCTCAGTGGTCCAGGCGGCCTTCAGGTGAAAAATAGCCGTTTCAGTTGATTTGTCTGTTTTGGTTTCGCCAGAAGAATTCTGCACAGGCTTCTCAACATCATGGACGTTGGGTGGGGGTGGTGCATCACCTTCAGTTGAAGGAGTGTTGTTGGAGACAATAGCCATTGTTGCGTTCGTGAGAAGGTGATTAAGTATTGGAGTGGGTGATAAAAGAGAGGAAGCTTGTAGGAGTAAGGAAGAGGGATGTAGGGGTATTTATAGGCCTTTTCCTGAGAAAGCTTATCCAAGTTCTGGGAGATGCCAAATAAGCGGAATATAGAATTTTGTCTTTCAGATGCTGTTCGTATTAACTTTTCTCTAAAGCACAAATAGCGAGCCCTTGTCGTGAACCCTGAGTGACTCCATAGGCACAGGTGACTCCAAGAAAAGGCTTCATGGGTAATAAGTTTCCTAATTCTAAGAATAGGCCTTCTACGAGAACTAAGGAGTAGATGTGCCATTTGCAGTTGAGACTTGTGGCTGAAAGCTTATAATCACTACACAGAACTCATAGAACTTAGGAGTATTATTACTAATGAAAGTACTCTGGTATAACACAAGGAGAACGATTCCAATGCATTTAATGGAATCCTTATCGTTGGCTCACTCCTCTATGCAACATAACAAGACCGTGGTACTGAAACGATTACTTGGTGAAGAGGGGACGGGTTGATTGAGATTATATCCAGAAATGATTTCTCAATTTGGCATCCAATAGGAAGCCATTCCTGGAAACAGTGGTTTCGTGGTCTAGTTGGTTATGGCATCTCGCTCACACCGAGAAGGTCCCCGGTTCGAGCCCGGGCGGAACCATTCTTTTGCTCTTTTTGACAGCTTTTGTCGGCCGTGTATTATTGTCTTGCGTTCGGGGATGTTGATGTGGCCTATTAGACAATATATAATAAGTGTTCTGGTGTTTAATTACTTGTAGAAGGTATTTATTTCATAACTTCAACACGTAAGTGTGAAAGCAATTGACAAGCGAATAATTGCCAAAGATCTGTCTCCCCTGCTCTTGTCCTTTGTTCGAGGCTTAGAACAAATAAACATCCTGTTCATCCCATTGAAACTCGGGTCCAAACTCATTGGCATACCTCCCTGCAACATCCAACTCGTTTGTAAGACACCGATCAAACACAATATCATGAGTTTTCATTGCGGTTTTCCAAGCTTCCAACGCCTCGTGACTGAGTATAGGAACATCCGTCTTCCCAAGCACCATCAGGCCCGTTGCCGTGCTGAAGTTAAACCCCGCACGCGATATATCCTCTTCAACACCAGTAGGATCGAAAACATGTCGAACCGAGAGTTTTCTTATCTTGGGCATGTGGCAAACAGCTTGTGCCGCCGCCAAAAGAAAACGATCCATGGTTCCCTCTTTCATGCGAGATTTGAAACTGTTTTCTATCTCGCAGCCTGGGGGGCAGTAATGTCCGTCAGCCATTCCTTCACGGGACTCTTGTCGTTGATACTCTTCTTCTTCTGCCGATAAAGGATTTTCGCCTGTGACTACCCATTCACCAGAAGGAAGAACGTCACAAAATGCGAATGTGAAACTCTCGAGGGTCGGCCAGCAAGAGGTTTCTGTCGAAGGCTGGAATATGGCGCTGTCGACGCTTGCAAGAAGGGTGATCTCTCGAATACCGTGTCTCTGGGCAAGTCGTCGTACTGCTTCAGAGAGAACCTCTCTATTTGACTCAACGGGGATGATGCTTGGAGGATTATAAGTCTGGTCTAGAATCCTCTCCCGCTGGTAGTCAACAAGCAACGTTTGCACAGACATGGGTATCAAGTCCAAACTTCGCGCAAGGCCTACAATACTGTCAGCTTGAACTGGTCCCAAAGATAAAGAGCAGCCTTACTGTTTCTCATCACAGCTTCCCCGTAGACATAATCCCGTACGCTCTCTATTGCCCTCACCCCAAACTTCTCCAACCGTGGCATCTTACTTGCAAGTCGACATATATCCCCAGGCGTAAACGTAGGTGTATCAGTGGACCCGCATGCTCTAAAGACTGATATCATAGGGAGTTCTGGGAAATCCTTCCACGTGTCATAAAGCTCCATGTGCTGCATTCCTTTTTGCGTGAACGTTACGCGAAATCCGCTACAGGACATCTCAAACATCATCTCCACGTAGGGCTTCTCTCCACGCGGGAGATCTTTAAGAATCCCAAAAACCCTCCCTACGAAGTCATTGAATTCGCGTTCATCGTTCGGATGATGTTGACGAAAGTCGCAGTCTCCGGGGCCTTGCGTGAATCGCTTTGGTCGTTTACATATGTGGCTGGCAAGAACGCACTTCACCGTGACGTTTCGAACGTACGAGAGTCTTTGTGGTGTCAGGCATGTGGCATACTTGTATTCCAGGACCTTTTCTATTCTCAAGTGCAGGTCTTTGAATAGAAATGGTTCAATGAGCTGTTGCCAGCGCCGTGATACTGTTGCAAGGGCGCTGAGCCTTAGTGTTTTTTTCCATCGTAGTCCACATATTAAGCCTTGATGATATGACTGTGGGAGATTCCAGATGATCTTTCTCAAGATCTCTGTTGGTAGACGCTCGGTAGGATCCATGCGGGGTAATAGGGATAAATGAAGGGTGAAGTTGTTGGTTGCTGGTCGTCGCAGGTTGAAAGTATAAGAGAAGAACGACACGTGATGTGATGTTGGTCGCCGAGTAAGCAGGGATAGAGCAAACTTGTAAGAGCTCAATTAGTTATCTGCCAATAGATTTGCTTTTTATATTTGAGGAGGCCGCTTGCCTTTTCCATGAGGCCCCAACGCTTGGATTGGCACATTCATATGAGGCGGCTTGTTTCGGTTGGTGCGCCAAGCTCTGTCTGTAGCCGTCTCAATGACCCTGCGACGTGCTTAGTGAGAAAGACTGTGAATTGAGATGCTCTGATCCAGTTCAGTGGTCCAATAAGTGATGTTTATTTGATCTGTTAATTCCCTACAAACGGTTGTCTTGTCTAGGTAAGCTGTTGTGGAAAAGGAGGTTCAATTACGACCAGAATCAAAGTGGTGGCCCTTAATGGCATTCACACTATCAGTATTTTGCCCATCATACCCTTTAATTTCTCGCGGTCTAAGCAATCAAAAAATCCCTATACAGGGAACCGTAATTGTGAAGTCGAACAAGTACCCGCCCAAAAGTTGAAGGCCGTCGGACGCAGAACGGAACGTATAACGTATGTGTCCGATAAGCTCCAGCGCAGTTGGCAGTCTTCTGTGGCCATTGCATGGTAACCGTAAGAGCTAGTGGAATGTAAAACTTCCATTGGGCCAAGAACAGTGTGGCTTCTGTTGTCGCGAGCTTCCGTAGACTGACGGGCGATTACAATAACTTGAGTGGAGCAATCATCCATGGTGACTCGAAGCCTCGACAATCTCATCTTGGCACCTCAGTTGAGTCCGTGCGGGACGTGTCTCACCACGCGACAAAACACGACGAGCATAATTGACCAAAAATAGCATTCTCATTTACTCAATTCATAACTCATCACTACCCTCATCCGTCCATATCATTAATAAGTCGTAAGGCTAGGCGTGCTAGGATCCTGAGGGAACGAAAACTTGGTCTCCACAAAGATCTTCTGCATCCCATCCTCCCTCTTCTCAAACTTGTAATACACCTTATCCAGATCCTCGAGTCTGACACGGTGCGACAGCATCTGACCGGGATCAAGCTCACCCTTCTGGATCATCTCAAGAAGCTCATGCCAGTATTTGTGAACGGGCGCTTGACCGTTGCCGATGAGACGAATGCCTCGCTCCATGAGTGAGCCGATATTGAAGTGGTTGGTCTAGTCATGTCAGTTGCGTGTATAGAGAGTGGTTGGCATTGGGGAGGGACTCACGTAGCCAACGTAAACACCAGTAACGCCACATCGTCCAAAGTTTCGCACGCCCTCAATCATCTCATTAATAATCTCACTCGTATCCGTCTCAATCCCAACAGCCATCTCGAGCCAGTGCATCCAGCCCTTGGCATACTCACCAGCCGCGCACTCAATCGCGCAATCAGGACCACGGTTACCAGTGAGTTCCTTGAGACGACTGACGACGGTAGGCTTGTTGGTTACGCCGTGCGACAAGTGCTTGTAGTCCACCAGCTCAAGCTTGTCCTTGTGCTCAGCGGGCCAGTGGTCTCGAATAAACGACAGCCGTGGCTCAGTGTCGACAAAGATGATTTGGCTTGCGCCCTCTTTGATGGCGAAGACACCTGCCATTTGACCAATTGGACCAGCGCCGAAGATGGCGACCGAGTCGTCGGGATAAACAGCTGTGTCCTTGACGGCGTTGTAGGATGTAGCCAGTACATCAGACAAGTACAGCGCTGAACATGTCAGCATAGCTCACTCAGCAGAGACGAATACTCACCCTTCTCATCGGGAACATCATCAGGAATCTCCAAAAGATTCACATCCCCCAGCGGAACACGCACATACTCCGCCTGGCCTCCCGCAAAACCACCCGTGAAATGCGAATACCCAAACATACCCGCCGTGCGACCACCATACATGGCCCTCTCGGTGGTATTCGAGTTAGTCTTCTCACACTGCGACGAGAGTTTCTGCTTGCAGAAGAAACAATCACCGCACGCGATCTGGAAAGATGCGACGTAGCGCTTTCCAACGTCAATGCCCTTGACGGCTGAACCGACCTGGTCAACGACACCACAGAACTCATGGCCAAGAATATCGCCTTCGCTGAGCTGGACGACTGTGCCGTGCAGGAGATGCAGGTCTGAGCCGCAGACGGTGCTGCCTGTTACTTTGAGGATCACATCGCGGTCTTCAATGATCTTGGGCTTGGGGGCGTCGACTGTTTGTGTTAGTGGTGAATGTGTAAGTGTCAGTGATGGAGTGAGACATACCCATCTGGACTTTGTTCTTGCTAATCCATGCGAGAGCCTTCATAGTATCACCAGACTCTCCGGCGCCTGGTTCACGGTATGAAGTCACATCTTGGGCTGTGACGGCATTGTCGCCGTGCCCAATGACCTTTTCGGCCTGGTAAGCTGCTTGAGTAGCCATTTTAATAGAGTTCTAATGCGATGTACTGTTGACTGGAAGAACCTTGATGGCACGGCAAAAGGCGGTATTTATTAACACGTATTTATTTATCATGACCTCATATAACAATCTTCTACCCGTCATATGTAGTATCGTCACCATGACTGTGTGTTGTTGTGGAGTTGATGCCATAATGACGATCCCTGCTCCGTACGTCATTGACTTCTCGAACCCGGGGATTATCTTCCACCGTAAGATGTAAGTGGACGCTCGGAAGTATCTGCTCGACTAAGCTTCATTACCGATGAAATAATTTCCTATTCTGTACCTGTCATCTCGATCTAAGCTCATAGCCTCATCATAGTTCGGCCGGTCGCATCGCTCCCGTCGCGCCAAGCTTTACACTACACTGATCCCCTCTTGGAGCTCCGTCTTGGTGGGCATCTTGTTAACCCGCATTAATTCTGCACTCTGGGCCATAGCTGGGTCTCTTCCCATGCTGGCCATGGCGACGACCGTTTCGCCCTTGCAGTAGTAGGCCACAAACTTATTCTCGGCCGGACTACCCTCGAGGACAAGATCGTCCCAGCCAGAGGCCATTGTGTTGCCGCAGTACCGTAGTTGAGCTCCCAGGGCAGACCAGAAAATGGGAATAAAGTGCTCAGTCTTGCCGCCTGGGTTGACAATGTGGTTCGCAGCGATGCGGCCCGCCTTTTGAGCAACGTTCCAGTGCTCAATTCGCACGTGCTTGCCTTCGCCTCCGGGGCCGTGGTAGGGGAACGTAGCGATGTCGCCGATGGCATAAACATCCTTCAGACCTGGAACAGAGTAGTCGTCGTTTGTCTTGATAGAACCGTCGTCCTCCAGTTTGATGCCGCTGTTGTTCTTGAGGAACTGGGTAGCAGGTGCGACACCGACGCCAAGAACAACGAGATCCGCCTCCAGCTTGGTACCATCCTTGAGAGATACGGAGCCAACCTTGGACGCGTCAGATGCAGAGGGCTCGGCCTTGTCGACACTTGCGCCCATGTAAAACTTGACACCTTTACCTTCAAGCGCCTTCTGGAGGCCTGAACCAACCTTTTCGCCGAGGACGCGCTCAAGAGGAACATTCTCCATACCAATGACGGTCACATCGTTATCGCCGGCTGTCGCGACCGCCAATTCAATTCCGATGAATGAAGATCCAACAACAACAATCTTCTTGCCCTTCTCGCCAATCTGGTCAACAATCTTTTTCGTGTCGTGAACACTTCGGAGAGTGAAGATGTTGTCGAGGTTCTTGAATCCCTCGAGCGGCAGTCGTCTGGGAGTTCCACCAGTAGCAAGGACCAGCTTGGTGTAGTCAATCTTCTCGCCTTCGCTGGTGGTAACGAAACGACCCGAGAAGTCAACATTGTTGACCTCGCCCTGGACAAACTTGATAGAGCCACCTTCATAGAAATCCTTGTTTCGCCATTGCAGCTTGCTGAGGTCGGTCATGAGAGCCTTGCTCAACTTTGTTCGATCGATGGGGTAATAGCCCTCGTTGGAGATGACGGTGATGCCACCCTTGTAGCCATTCTCGCGGAGGCTCTCGACGACACCCAGTGTTCCTGAACCACCACCGACAACAACGACGTGGTCGTCCTGAACACTTCCAAATTCGGCGCACTTGACCTTGGGCTGTCGCTTGGATGACTTGATGGCACTCTCCTCTCCAGTGAGATACACGGCACCGTCTCGTTCGGCGACTTGGAAGACGGGGAGATGATCGAGAGCGGGGGCATCTTCAATATCGCCGGTCTTTGCGTTGAAGCAAGCTACGATTAATTAGTACAAGCATAAATGGGTGAGGACTGCATTTGGGCATACCTCCGTGCCATGGGCATGTGATGCGACCATCGCTAGTCAAAACACCTTTTGCGAGAGGTGCACCATAATGAGTGCACTTAGAACCTAGAGCTTGAGTCTTTCCTCCAGTGTTGACGAGTAGAACCTTGCCATTCTCGATACCCTCAACTTCAACCTCCTGCTTGGAGCCTGGAGAGAGGTCGAGCGACGAAACGCCCTTGAGCTTGTATTCTTGCGCCATTGGTCTGTATGTGGAGAAAGGCCTTGCTAGAGGAAATAATCGAGGTGTTTGTATCCGAGCTGAGCGAAAGCTTTGAAGTAATCTAGGATGTGGACGCATCAAAACGTCTTATTAAAGAAGAGAGAGAGAGAGCTGTGGGATGGTAGGTAGCAGTGGGAGACCGAAATTGAGGGAAACGAAGAAACGTGGACATGGCGCCATCAATTCGACGGCAGCTGCAAAGCAGTGCAAGTGCAACACAAAGGTTCCTCCCTAACAAAACGCAAGCATCACCACTGGAAGCTCCGTATCATCCATGCCCACGATGATGTGGGGGATGACAATGGGAGTGATTTGACTGGTCGAAGCTTTATGGACGAGGTTGTGGATGACGACATGCCGACGTTGTAAGCCGTTCTCTTGTTAAGGCTGCACCACAATCCAACCGTTTCCGATGTATTTGTATCTGTAAGCAATGCCCCGCATAGAGTATGATGCCACTATTAACTGCCGGCTTACGAGGCATTGAACGAATGCAGGCGGTGTAAAAGCATGAATGCGAAAAATGATAGGGTAATGATGGCTTAGAGGGCATTAGAGTTCATGTCAAATCAGATAGACTACCCTGGACCATGTTAGTTGTCTCATCACGTGCCTTATCTTCTTATCTCAGAGCGCTAAACCTGCGTCATGGCGAATTCAGCAAGGGGTGACAACCTTGAATTCCACATCCAATCACACGCGAAAAGGAAATGAGGGAATCGCGAGCGCTCAACACGTCTTCCCTGCGACTTCATCGCACTAACCGAGTCCAGAGTCTCCGCCCCTGATGAATGCCTAAAGAGATCCCCTGTACGAACTGTTCGCAGCCTATTACCCTGGCCGTCTCTGCATCACATGGCTTGTGCAAGTGGCTGAGGTTGGTTTCTGTTGAGGCCTCATCTGCCTTGTTTATTCTCTCAATGCAAACACACGTACGAATACAAACAAGTCATCACTGTCATATTTATCTGCATCACTTTCTTTGTTTACTCTACCGTAAAACTTCAACTGTCGGCGATCTCGCTAAGTCAGGAACAGAACTCCACTCCTACCCAACTTAGACTCGCGCGGGAGCCCACATACCAATTACAACGTCAGCCAATTATACACAACAAAGGCCCTCTTTGTTTGGCTCAACAGTAAACACCCGCCGTTCCCATCAAAACGACTCGAATCCGACGAGACGGCCATCGTCTTCTTGCCTCGCCTCGACTCTGGCTTGTCACGAGTCTAATACCGGCTGCCGACGAACCATGTTCTAATCCTCACCCTTCGATTCATTCCTTATCTCCTCCGATCTATAGTATTATCATGTTGCCGACCGATCCCTTATCTTCCGCCGCCTTCATTACCTTTCGCGAATCCTTCATCCTATTATCCGTACAATAATCAAAGCTTCAAGGCCTCTCCATCTCCGATTTCGCTCCGCCCATCATGGAGAGGCCGGATTTTGGGCCGGAGCCGCATATCTCTGAGATGACTTGCTGCTGTGGACGAATCGACTGCGCTCTCCTCAAGAAAAATTGCTCCATTCTAGAGACAGTCGAAAAAGATGTCCATACCGCGGCACAACTTGGTCAGGTTAGTCAGGTACCAATCCTCAATTTTGGGGCATTCCTCTGTTTTTATACGGCTGTCACTTCTTCCACCGCCTAAACACCCGCGTGTCCCGCATGCCAGTCCCCGCTAGACACGTCAATGCCCCATCAGACTGCTGACTTGTCTGTCTCCCTTGTAGGCTCTACTCGCTAGACATGAAGCATATATGGCCGACGCGGAGAGAGATCGTCTTGATCTTTCCTCCAGGATAGAGCGTCTGGAAATGGCCAAGCAGGAATTAGAGGCTGAGAATGCCCTGAAAATTGAGGAGAATCGTAATCTCCTCGACCAGCTTGAACTGCTCAACAGCACCGTCTCCGAATCCGATACAAAGATCAAAGCACTCGAAGCAAGTCTGCTGTCGTCTCAACAAGCCGTCCGAAGACTCGAGTCTGCTGCCCTGCGAGCCGAAGATGCTGAGAGGCATATTTCCCTCTTGGAACTCGAACAGGATGATCTCTATCACGAATTGAGGTCGACGAAAGAAGATGCTCGAACACATGCACAGCGTTGCAAGGAGGCGCAACGCGGTATCATGGATATGCAGGATCAGTTGGAGAGGATGGAGGAGGAAGCTCGAGAGGAGCGTCAAAGACATGCCGAGGTTATTGGGCGAATGGAGCGTCAACGTCAAGTTGAGAAGCAGCTCAATACAGCCGCCGGTCGTCTAAAAGGTGCAGCTGCATCCAAGACACTGCAAGAACCGAAGCCAGGGAATCCCGTCGTCAATCATTTTGTTCGGGATCTTCTTCAAGACAATGCCAATCTACAACTTGGCATGGCTGAGCTACGAGAGATGCTTCTCAATTCGAACGATGAGATTCAGTCTCTGCGAGAGCAACTTGTCACCCACCAACCTATTGCCGATAGTAGTACGACTCTCAAAGACGAACTCGAGGCTTATGAGCCGCCGACGACTCCTCGAATATCGCAAGAGCTTCACATCCACCACCACTATCACGTTACAGCCAAGGCCGATAAACACAAAATGAGGCGGAAGCGCGCGAGCTTGAACTCTAGTATCTTTTCAGCTTCGACAAGTTCTGGCACATCCACCCCGAGATCTTCTGCTCGCTGGAGTTTGGGACCTGCCCTGCCTGCCCTCGCTTCCATCAACACCAAAGAACCCAACTCTGTCATCTCAATGCCCAAACAGAGATGGTCCATGCTCTCAGAGCAACCCTCTGAAATCGCGTCGTCCGTTCCAAGTTCACCACGATCGAATCTGCGAAACTCGATGTTTGACTCGAATTTTGGCGATAGCGATTATCCAATGTCGCCAGCTACAAGCTTTGACCCCATGTCACCCACCTGGCGGACGCACCGTAAAGGCCCGTCTGACATTTCGGCTTTCAGCCTTCAAGCACCTTCCCTCCAGCTTGATCCAGGTACGCCGCCTCAAAATTCACGTCAATTCAACGATGATGTGATACATGAGGAGGACGAAAATGAGGGTGAGGAGGTCATGTCTCGAATTGAGACACCCGATCTTGGCAACACCCCATCAATCGACGAGAGCTCAATCGTTGAGAGCTCTGAAGACAACCGAGACGACTACATGCCGCGTCCAAGGATTCATCGAGCTATTTCTCATGAATCCATCATGTCTCTTACAGGCGGGCTTGACATTCACACACTCAAGGCTCGACCTAGCCAGCTCACCCTTCGACCACTTGGTGGCGCTGAGGCTGTCGTTACGGGCGTTACAGCGCAGCCCACACTCTACAGAGGTGCAGCTAAGCGAAGCACCGCTGCCCTCCGAGACACTTTCGCTGGTCTTCCCGCAAGTAGAACTGTGTCCAACCCACTTAACAGGCCTGGGTCAAACAGATCTGCGTCGCCAGCTCCTTCGGATACCCCCCAAGGGAGCCCCGCAGGAAGAATAGGAAAATGGGTTGGCTGGAGACCTTGGGCTTCAGGCAATGGTGAAAACGCCCCTCCAAAACCTACGGAGAAGGAAAGGGACAGGAATATTAACCGGACGCCGGGGATCAACCAGCCCGGTTCTATTCCTGGCTTTCATCAATATTGGGCTGCTCAGAAGCGAAAGGGCGCACCAGCTCAGGTCACTACTGTTGATGTTGACCGTGAGGCCCTGGTAGAAGGCTTACAGGACTGAATACTACCTATGCGCTCAAACGTACATTGCACCTAATTCACTACTGGATAGTGGAGTTGATCTCATTTGTGGCGTTTGTTGAGGAGGTTACCTGATGGAGATACCCTGGCTAGACAAGCCTAGTCCCTTTGTTTTACACGTTGGTATGCATTCGTTTGGTGTTTTATTGGTTCATCTTGGGTATAAATATCATAATCATACATATCTTTATCCTCATGCTATGCTGCTGTTGAGCATAGTCCAGTACGTAGTGTCTACACCTTGCAGTGCCCAATCTTCTGGGTCGGCTGTGAAGCAGGGCCAGTTGGAGTCCAACACATCAGGTGTGAAGGCGCACGTTGTGGATAAGTCGCAATTTTCGGAGCCAAGGTTTGGCGAGTTGAAGGACAGCGGGAACTGTGACATGTCGACGTTGCCACTGGGCGTGGTGCTGTTGGACGCTATCATGCTCGCTGTGGAGGCTGGCGGCGTCGGACCGGGGTTGATGTTCACCGTACCCAGGAACGGGACGTTGAGATGGACGTTTTCTCCGCTTGTGCCTGATTGTCTCTGCACGATGGGCAAAAGCTGCCGAATTGTTTCCGCCGCTTCAATGCAGAGCCGGTCGTTGTTCAGCGCTCCCATTTCTTGCATCCTTTCTTGTGTCTTTTCGGCAAGGTCTCTGTCGTGCTCTTTTTCTGTCTCGTAGCCTGGCCAGCGCCAGCCGAGATAGCCTAGCAAGAGTGTCATGGCTGCTACGAGGGCGGAATAGTCTACGTGACGGCCTGATACAGATGTTGTAAAGCAATTGCGGTATTCGATGAATCGGGCGAGCACGTCACGGCTTGCTTGCATGCATGTTGCGCGGTTGTACTCGTATCGTCTTTGGCCGCGATCGCGAAGAAGATAGGGAAGATGGAGAAGAATGAGAAGCGAGAAGTGTCGGATTTGGAGCTTTATAACGCTCATTCCATCACCCGATGCGTCGGCTGTACCGCAGCATATGGCCATGTCGGGTAATTTCCACCACAGACCATCATCCATCATCTTGTAAGCTTTCTCAAGCTCCATGTCGATGGATTGCGTGAGAACATATGCCTCACTTCCCTTGAGCTCATTCCTATCCGCGATCTTGCCCGCCATCATCGCGTACACCTTGCCAAGCTTGTCGCTCGGTGCATCCGACACGAGAGCATTGTCTTCTGCGAAACTGTTATCGCGCGAGCCAATTGGCAACCCGAGAATGAGAGAGACGTAGCGATCGTTGCAGTTGATGCGGAACCAGATGACTGGTGGTGAAGGGCGATGTTTGTTGCTGAATGATGGATCCACGGATTTGATTGACTTTGCGCTCTTACGATCAATGCCCATAAGCTGCGCCATGTTCAGAGCCCGACGACCCGTCAACCACGCTTTTCGCAAATGTCCTGCGTCGCTTTGGTAAAAGCTCTGTAAGATAAGACACTCAAGACCTTCCAAACACCCGACAAAGTCATCGTCGGACGTGACTAGACGTCCAGTAACAGCAATCCACTCTTCCATCGTTTCGCGCGGCGATTTACTCAACCCGAGGGTACTCCCATCGAAGTATGGGGGCATTTGCTGCAGACAGACGGCAAGTTGTAGAAGACGCTTGGCGAGAATAGCGGGATGGCTTGTAGCGGGTGGTATCTGCGCCAGCGACGATAAAGGCTCAGGTTTCCCATCAATCTGATCCTGCTGCGAGTAAAACATGGCCAGAACAAAACGCGCACCAGGACTCTGCTGCGAAATAGCATACAGAATCTGCTGCGACGGGAAAAGCGCGTGTAGCTGCGCAGAAACATGCGTCGCCTTCGCAGAGCGGCTTGGGAACTTGTGCGTCACGATCGCAGCATCAGGCTGGTCGAGGATCTGCTGCGCATTATCCACGACAGACGACTCAAACACATCAGCCGTATGCTGCGTGAACCTCTCCAGCGCAGGGTCTTCTGATTCAGGCGATGGGAGCGGCTTGTCGACCAACTTCTCCATCAGCTCCTCCAGCCGGCCGAGGCGCTGGGCAAGACGCTTGTCTTGGGGAGCGGAGGGCGGCGTGGGGACATATTCTTGGGATATACAGCTTGTTTCGCGCTGTGTGCAGCCTATACAGATTGGATCGTCTTCTTTTGAGAATTGGCATTTTATTTTACGGCGGCGGCCTGGGCATGTAAGCACCTTATCTTGTATGAGTGGAGGGGAGATTTACATTCCCAGCAGCTTCGTGTTCCTTTTCGAACTTTGCGGCGCTTGGCGGGTGGTTCGGACATGTTTTACGAGAGAATTATTCGGCCGAAGAGGAATGAAACGTTGGAGAGTGTGAATATGAAGGGGTTTGTTGCGTGAGAATGTGAAAGGTGTTGATGATGTATACGGACGAATGACGGACGAAATGCGGACGAATTGGTGAGGTTTTGTGGGGTGCGTCGGGAGGATTAGCCCGGCTTATGGTGTCGGCGTCCGGACGGGGGAAGTGTATTTGTAATGCAGATTAAAGTAGAATAGATAGCGTTATTGATGGTGCCTTTTTGTGATTACTTGGTATGCTTTGATGTCGATCTATTGTTTCATATTGGGAGGGTAGCTGGTGCTGTTCACTGGTGAGAGATACTGGAGACCGCAGCGATGTGGTTCAATCCGAAGGATGAGTACATACTTCTTATGATAGAACGCGATGACAACGTCAAAATGAGGCATTCACTGTTGCTTCACTCAAGTAATTGCATTCATTTCGCATTCTGTTTGTAGGATTATTCGCAGACGGATTTGGTAGTCTCACTCAAGTCTGGTTGAGGTGGCCGCTTGTTGATGCGCAGTATCCTCTCTGAATAGCTTCATTTTACAGTATCGCATCACCACAGCACACACGGCCTCTAAAACAATGACTTACATGTACTCATGCTCAGATTGCATGTGCGCCTTGGTTAGTGCCATCTCCCACTTAACCCGCACATATCACTATCGTTCCCAGAGACATGGCTTCTTCGTCTAGAGAGGAGCAGTATCAAGATCTAGCGAGAAAATAAGCTTGTAGTTCTCGAATTCGCTATATCGTCAAGAGGCTGGGGATTGTGCGGGCGAAGCAAAAAGAGGAGATGGTGGCTTGGGAGAGGATGGTAAGATGGGGATAGAGCGGTCTCGCATCCGCCTCAGAGGAGTCTGATGATTGACATTCCAATCGTCCAACCCAGGCAGGGAGGGGGACAATGAAAGTTCGGAACAAAGAAGGATGCGGCCAGCCTTCAATCAGCTCAGGGTAGATGACATTTAACATCGCACGCGCCCCACCACCCTTCAGCAGTAGGGCACACAAACTCAAACACCCGTCATGCTTTGCCGTGAGAACTTTCACTTGTAATAAAAATTGCAAAGTGAGTTAAGTATAACTCAAAAGCATATTGAGATGTTGCTGTGTTATCCAAAAGGACCTGGTTGCTTGAGTTTGTCTCAGTGCGAGACCCTACTACTTTGACATCGCCAGATATATTGGATTTCCAACGCCGATAACCAACAAAAGCACTGCCCTATGGATCTGAGGACAAGGAAAATTATCCAGCATGCTTTCATTGCTACCAAAGATTGAGTTTTGTCTGAACTGAAATCCTCAGATGGCTACTCGTGTTGTTAGTGTGAGCAGGGGACCCCTGTCACAAGGAGTGGCAGACTAACGGTATATAAGCCATAAACTCTGGTCAGACTTTGTCCTTCGGGACACATTGGTCTATTGAAACGATACAGGTAATTATTCCAAAGCATCCTCGTTCAACTCCCACTAACATCCACCAGAGAAGATTAGCATGGCCCCTGCACTAAGGATGACACGCTCAATCAAAGAGAAGCTACCAATTTTTTTCTTCTTTTCTTTTTGTCCTCTTATGTTGATTTTGTTCTATCGTTCTTCTTTGCGGTCAAAGTGTATTCTTGTGGCTGGTAATCGCCCATCTCACGTCGTGTCGCGTTGAACAAACATCGTGAATAACGGGGCCGTGTTTAACCGGAGGAGGCCGGCGCATGCCGGTCTCGCAGCTCTTATCAGCCTGACAGGACTTATCTTATCATGGTATCCTTATCTCATGCCAGCTGCTCCACATATATTCACCTCACTTCAGCCCTTTTAACCTCAAGTTACCCTATCAGTTCTCTTCCTAAACCTCAATCTAAACCTGTTTGTTATAGAATCCTGCTCTCAAGTGTTATTTTACTCTGCTTATTATCACAGCATTGTCTTGTGACCTAATCTAATGTATCACTTACCGCCCGCCGCTTGTTCAGTTGGATCTTAAAGTTCAAGGCAGCAGGCGAAAGAGGGCTAAGAAGTCCAAGTCCAAGGGGCACTCTGTTGTCGAGAAAATGGTGATAGAAATGTTTTAGACTTCCATGAATGATAGTCTGTTATTTTACAAGGCTATTAATTGCTAATTATGCATTTGTAATTCGCGCGCGCTGGATGCTGAATAATGGTTGGTCTCACCAGATTGTCCAAGTCCGTGGAACGCCGTGGACTTGAGAAAATTGGGTCACTTGTACTCTTATCAACCAGAGACGCGCTGTTTCGGAACGCCATGGACACGCGTATGGATTACCTTGGGGTTATCCCCTGCTATTGAAAGCCCGTGGAGCATTTATTTTGGCTCGGACTCTGCTTCTCGGATCGGTCAGAGTCTGGCCGCAACATGCGTGTTGCGTGCTCAGCTTTGTATTGAAGCTGAATTGAGACGATGGTACTCAGGATGTCGCTGTATATAAATGGCGACTGAAAGACGTTGTCGAAGAGTTCATCAAATACACCACTTCAATTACAATCACCACTTCAATCACAATAATCGTCAAAATGCCTGTCCGCTACACTTCCAAAGACGTTCGCCCTGAGCCCTTGGCCCAAGAACTTCACCTCTATCCCTCCGGCCGAGTCGCAAAAAACAGGTTTCTCAAGTCGCCCATGGCTGAGTCGCTTGCGAGTTGGGATCCCGAGATCATCTCCAAGAGAGGAATTCCGACCGACGAGTTGATTGAGCTGTACCGACGGTGAGTTCACCAGCGCCAGTAGATGACCCAGACTGACAGCTTTAGATGGGGCGAAGGCAAGAATAACTTTGGCATCGTTATCACTGGCAATATAGACATTGATCTCAACTCGGTCGGGGCCGCTGCATCTCCCGGCATTCCCGTCGATGCTCCCTTTGAAGGCGAGCGCTTCGAAAAGTTCAAGCAATTGGCCGCAGCAGCCAAGAAGGACGGTTCTCTATTCCTCGCTCAAGTCAATCATCCCGGGCGACAAGTTCCCTACAAGTTCAACCCCGTCGCCATCTCAGCCTCTGACGTTCAACTCGGTAAGTCACTCACTGGACTTTGACAATGTGTACTCACTGTCACAGACCCCAAGATGGGAATGACTTTTGGCAAACCGCACGCCGCGACAAAGGAGGAAATCGCCCAGATCATTGAAGGTTTCGCCCACGCCGCCGAGTATCTCGAAAAAGCCGGGTTCGACGGCATCGAACTGCACGCAGCTCACGGATACCTGCTCTCTCAATTCCTCTCCCGAACCACCAACAAGCGCACCGACGAATACAGCACTCAGACCGTCGAGAACAGACTCCGCCTCATTTCCGAAATTGCAAACGCCATCAAAGCGCGCGTCTCATCGACCTTCATCGTCAGCGCAAAGCTCAACAGCGTAGAGTTCCAGGACGGCGGCGTGACAGCCGATGAAGCGAGGGAGCTCTGCGAGAGGCTTGAAGCACTGGGATTCGACTTTGTTGAACTCAGCGGCGGCACTTATGAGCGCATGGCGCTGTCGTGGGAGAAAGAGTCGACCAAGAAGCGCGAGGGTTTCTTTCTTGAGTGGGCGGAGGCCATCACCAAAGCACTTGAACCAGCGCATAAAATGAGGATCTTTATCGCTGGTGGTTTGAGAACGGTGGGAGCCATGGTAGACGCGCTTGATGTTGTTGATGGTGTGAGTATTGGACGGCCTGCGGCGGCAGAACCGCGTTTGGCTAGTGATATTATTGAGGGACGCGTCAAAGGCGCGATCCAACCAGCTGAGATGGTTGAGAATGATCTTGGTATGGGTATGGGTGTCGCTGGGGCTCAATTTGCGCAGATCGCAAAGGGCTTTGAACCGCTTGACGCGAGCGACAATGAAGTCGTGCAGATATTTGGCCAGGATATGGGTGGGTGGTATGAGAAGCTTGTACAGGACGGGGACAAGAATGAGTTTGTTCGTGCCATTCAGTATTCGGGACCTCAAGTTCCGTATGGCAAGGTCAAGGCTTGATGGATCATGAGTTATTGATTGCGATTAGACATGTTATTAGAGTGTAGGGTACTTATTCTGAGTTATTGATTGCGTTTTCCTGAAACAAACTCATGTCATGTCATGGCGTTTCAACGGTTCTAAATTTAGGGCAGACGATCGACAGCCTGAGGAGGCTATGTGGAACCCTGCGTCCGGAGAATTTGTCAGCCCTCCAACCTCACTTCATCTCACTGCGCATCTGCAACAAGACTCTCAACATTACTCATTATCAGCTGTACTCGTCGTTGTTAATCACTGGAACTTACCAACCCAAATCTGGTGCGAAATTATTTGAATAACTACAGCCATGTCGACCCCCGAGACAGATCTTACACCGTCTAATCGCCGCAAAGGTCAGCAACTCGAGTTAGGATACGAACCCAGCTGACAAATATCTCAGCCTGCGATTTGTGCTTTACGAAAAAGATCAAATGCGACATGCTCAAGCCAGATTGTTCGAATTGCATTCTCTATAATACGAGCTGTCGAACCAGCATCATTAGACGGAAGCCTAATTCTGCGAGAGTCAGAGCTGGGGCTAAACAACAAGAAGAGTACGCCCCTGTTCCCCCAACTTTTCAGTTCAAATTAGTAATTGTTTCAGGAACAATCGCCAAGAAGGCCTCGAAACAAGATTAGCTCGTATTGAGGAGCAGCTCCAAATCGTTCTCAACGCCGCAAAAGATGCTCAAACTGCTAGACCGCAATGGCCAGACGACCATTCCAGTCCAAGTGACTCAGCGGAATCAGTTCTCAACAACTCCGCAAATTTTGAAGAGATGGCGAAACGAGGATTTGCCTGGAAATTCGATCCAGTTAATCCAGCAGTTTACCAAGGCCCTCAACCAAACACTTTGGAATTACCTCCCCTTGATGAAATCCTACCTATAGTAGACCACTATTTCACAACCTTCAACGGCGTCATTCCTCTTTTCCAACAGTCAGAGTTCATGAAACTTCTCACAACATGGTATAAACAACCCGAAACTCGCGACAGAGCTTCGTGGGCTGCTATTCAGACCGTCATGGCCATCGGATATCGCACACCGCAGCTATCACTCCGAGACAGTCAATCAGTGCACATTGAAAAAGCAGATCAATGTCTGAGGAACGCGCAGACTGTTGTATCGGAACTTGTCACGCGTGATGAGGATTTACTCGGCGTTCAGATCTTACTAGGTATCGTGATGCTGTTCCAAAACAGTCGCGACCCGAAACCCGCGAGTGTTCTTATTGGAACGGCGGTTAGGTTGGCGCATAGGTTAAAGTTGCACTCGCAAGAAGCGGCGATGCAGTTCCCGGCTGCGGAGGCTGATCAGAGATCGCGTGTGTTTTGGATCGCGTATACTCTTGACAAGGTAAGTTGTTCGAGCGCGTAAATGCAAAAGCTCACGTTGATAGGACATTTGTCTTCGTGCGCAAACACCTTCATGCCAGTTTGATGAAGATATCGACATTAGTCTCCCTGCACTTGCGCCACCTGACAGTGTTGGTTTGATATGGACGCAAAACGGCCAAGTCCACTTCAACTACCATCGAAGGCGCGTGGAACTCGCTTACATACAAGGCAAAGTGTACGATCTTTTGTACTCCAACCGCTCAAGCAAGGTGACAGCCCAAGAGCGACAGCGACGGGTATCCCGACTTCAATCTATGCTCGATCAGTGGTACGAGCGCATTCCAACCGTCTTCCATATCGAGCATGTCGCTGCGACAGTGGGACCGAGCCAGCTTGTGCAGATGACAAAGATGCACCACGCATTTTTGCTGACGGAAGTGATGATTCATGGCATTTATAGCCATAATGCAGAATGGGTAAAGAGGATCAGCTCTTTTAGTAGAGCTACGATAACCTCTGTGGGAAACTTGGAGAATAGAGGGTTTGATGGCGCTGGGAAGTGTCAGGATCAAGCACCACCTTTACCCGAGGGATGGAATCATTGCGTGGACGTGAGCAGAGGGTGCATGAAGTTATTTCAGGAAGCTACACCAACAGAGTGTCTAATTTGGTATGTCAGTTTGAGTTTGTTTCGGGAGATTGCTAATGATTGCAGGCAATGTAGCTGCTCTCATTTCTCAGCGCTAATCGTCCTCCTCGCCAACATGATTCTCAATCCCGGCCACAACTCAATCCACATTGACCAACATCTCTCAGTAAAAGCCCTCGATCTCTTCGACAAGCTTCTGAAGATCATTGACGACGAGGCGTTCAGAGCTTTGCGAAGTGTCGTTGGTGAACTTAGCCAGAGGGCGCAAACGGCTGTGGCGGTGTATAGAGAGGAGCTGAAGGGATTGGGGAAGGATGTCTTTGAGGCGCTGAATGTGGATGATGTGGCTGTGCGGGAGGTGGATTTCTTACCACCGGGAGACATGTTTGAGGGGCTTGATGGGCCGTTTGTGGGGTTGGACGGACCGTTTATCGGATTGAGTGGGGAGCTTGAGCAGGGATTCGGAGATGGGATGAACTTCATGGATGGAGGCATGTTGGACATGGAGTTTATGAGATGAGATGTGACAGACATTGGCGCAAGAAAGGAGAGAAGAGGAATCTCAGGCTTCAGCAATGCGAAGCGAACAGTCACGAACAGTCACGATCATCAAGTAAATGGCGAGAGAGAAGGAGAGTAATAAATTATTCTAATCTGATGGGTTCAACAACAAATGACAAAGAAACAAGACAAAAGCAGTAATCGACACAAGGTAAGGACTGTAACACCACGACAATTACTCCACCAGCAGCAAGGAAAGAAAGACAAATGAGTCGACATGGGGGAATGCACAACGACAGGAAAACAACAGAGACCGAACAGATGTTTGGGTTGTAAGGGAAAAAAGATGCCGACGCGGATCACTCAGTGATGTGTGCATCCTCGAAAGGAACGCCATTTGGGAGCTCAGTGATGGCTCCTGGCAAGTGGTGGAAAACCTCGCGGCGAGAGAGGTGGTGCCGGTTGACCCAGTCTCCGTCGATGTTCTGGAAGCGGTACCAGAAGTTAATGGGGAAGGGTTGCAGATGTCGGAGGATTGGTCGGTGGCTATTATGCAGAGCCATCATTACCATGAGAAACAGCGACAGGTTGACTGTCAAGACCCCAGGACCTGCTGCTTCCCAAGGGATGGATTGCCATTCGATCAAGCAAGAAAATGATGTGCCGCTCACACGGGAGACAATGAGCTCATGGTCGGAGAAGATGAACCCATAGCGGGTCCCCGCGTCGTGACAGTACGTCGCGAGACGAAGGAGCGGATAAGACTGAGAGGACTCGCTGTCTTCCAGCTCGCGTGATGTCCACTGGTTGGAGGTGTAGGCGCAACTAACGGCAAGACGTTCGCCATCGCTGGTCACGAAAGACAGGGCAGAGCGGCGGCGGTGGGCCAGAGGTTCGTCCGTGAGCACGGTAACATCTCGGCGAGCTTCGCCGCATCGGCTTGCGAGAAGGGTGACACCCGTAGCGATTGGTTGTCGGAGACGGTGAACAATATGCCCCGTCAATGCCTTCTTCAGGTCCGTGATGTTGGTGGCTGGAACGGATGATTGCTCATCGACCACAACGGGCACATTGTAGTTATCCAGCAGGTCTCCGTATGGTTCATGGAGATTTCCGAGATCAAAGTCTCTCCATCTTTTGATGATGGATGAGGCGGCCTGGAAGGTGGTTTGGGACATAGCGATGTTCGAATTTCCGGTAGCGGTCTGGAGGGTCGGGTTGGGCGTAGTGAGCGACCGGCCGATCGTAGCCCATGCACTGGGGAAGTTTGTTGTAGAAGACATGGCGCGGAAACAACTGAACAGAGGTTATAAATGTTTGAAGTAGTCGAGAGTACTTTAGACAGGCAAAAAGGTTAAGTCTTGAGTCGGATGAGTGGGTGGAAAGGAGTATTGGGTAAGGCAGAGACCGGACATATGACTATTTCCACTTCCCGCGACGGCCTTGTGTGCCTGATTCTGTTTACAAACCAGAGAGACTCCTAAAAGCAGAGAATCTGATCTATCATGAGCATGAGGCACGGTAGTGACCACCAGACTGGTACCGCTTGAGGCGGCGACGGTGGTCTAGAAGACCAACCCCTGTTCGCTTGTCGCGGCGCAAGCTAGTTACAAGACTACTCCATATTGTCAAACGCAGCAAATGGCTCTTGCGCAAGCTAATGCCAATATGCCTATGATAGCGAGCACCTGTGGCTTCCTGAATGCCTCGCGTAGCGGATGGCTAGCTGCAAGATTGGAACGCAAAAGGCGACATGCGGCGAGTTGCAAGACTACTCCCTGTTGCCAAACGCATTTCACGGCTCCAGAAGCAAGCTAACGTTCATCAACCTATGAAATCGGGCACCGGTGGCTCGCTGTAAGGGTCTTCCGTAACTCCAAACGCAGTTCATGGTTCGTGCGCAGGCCAACGTTAATATTGTGATGACATCAAGCACTGGTGATGTTCTAAAATCCTTACCGCACGGGTCGCGGAGCAAGGTGGCGGATAGCTAGCCGACAAACGCAGTCCCTGGCCCCACCAGCAAGCTAAAGTCAATCTGACCCTATTCCCTACGTAACGCGGAGGCAGATAGGTTGTACTGAGCGGGGATTCTCCCAATAGAAGCCGCAAGAGCAAAGGTACATGGGCTGCAGTGGGAATTTATCCTACATCAAGGTATCTCTGATAGTGCATGATGAAGGCCAGTACTTTCAGCCTCACGATCATATACAGTAAAGTGTTGTAGCTAAACCAACATCTGGGAGATAAAAGTTGAGTCAAACGCCAGCAAACATAATCTACCTTTGTTGTCCCCCAGTTCCTGGTGCCTGAAGCAAGAAAAAGTCAATCTAATTATGAAACCGTGCAACGATGGCTTTTTAAAAGCAGGTTATTCGCAGAAACGAAACTGCTTATTCCCCGCTCTGCAAGATGATAGATGATCGGCTGCAAGGCCAGTTCTGTTGCCGAACTAAATCCCAGGTCCTGCAATAGTTAACGCCTACTGGCTGATAATCCTAGCAACCGTGGCTTATTTACGGCAGTTTCCAACAGTTTTCTCTTCAATTTGCCCCCTGCTACAGAGACCCTGATTCGTGGGTGGCCATAGCCTACCTGGACTCTGTTGCACAACAGCCCGCTCTGGTTGAATGCCAATCACCATATGGTATCAATGTAATCAATGAGCAAGAAATGAACAGAATGCGGTGACACAAGAAAAATGATGCGGTCATAGACACGCGCAATAGCACGAATGCCCTGGAACGGATGATTTTGTAGTAAACAAATAGGCAGGCAAAACGTGCAAGACATGCTGAGTTCCGTGCTAGGATAGAGAAACCGTCGCCTTTCGGCTTCTCCGTTTGAATGAACGCGAAATTCCACGGTCGCTTAACCTTTGATGTTAATAAAAAGTGAAACGTAGTGGTTGAACAAACCAAACGACAGAGCAATGACCGCCCGACCCAAGCCAATTGGCACCCATCCACTTCTCATCTCATCTTCCTTGTCACACAACATCTTGTAAGCTCTTGTCATATTTTGCTTATTCTTAGGAATAGAAGTTCTTGCCGTGTTGTCACCAGCCACCTTTTTGAGAGTTATCGCGCGGTTGGCAGACTCCCGCCCTCTGGCATTGCCTGCACGGTTCCTGGGCTCTCCCCTTTCATCAATTACGGTATTGTTCTGTTCGCAGAGTCTACCCTTTGAGAATTACTGCACGGTTGGCAGACTCTCCTTGTTCCAATTACTGCACTATTCCTGGAATGTCCCTCTTTGACGATTGCTGCGCTATTTCTGGACTCTCCTTCTTTGACAATTGCCCCGGATGCTCTGACATTCAATGTGTTTCAACATATAAACACGTCCCATGGCTTCTTGTATTCCACATTCATCAACACCTCAACCCATTCGAACCCCTGCGACCTTGACGCTCAAGATACTGAAGCAACACCTCACATACCGCTGCGAACCCACAAATTTTGTCATGCCTCAGCTGAAACCGCTTCCGGACTGTGAAGGTCCCAAGCTCGAGTGTTTCATTGACGACATCACGACCTGCGACTTTAAACTTCTCGGACCTCTCGGCTCTGGGTGTCATTCCCAAGTTTGGAAGGCTGAAATTAACGGCAAAGTCTATGCTATCAAGATGGTAAGTGTGTCATTTAACCCCCCTTCTTCCATTTCTTTATTGTCTAATCATCCCAATCATCAATTAGTTCTTTCATCTCGGGGCACACGAGCCAAGCTTCCTCATGGATCCTATTGACGACGATTTCCCAGACCCAGATGAACCGGAGCCCCTCGTAGTAAGTAACCAGATTTCTCAACCGACGATCGATAGTCTCCGCCTCCATGCGACCTCGTTCTATAACGAATGCCGTGTCTTTGGGCGTCTGAAGGAGCTGGGACGCGAGGACCTTGCTATCAAGGCCTATGGATACCTGCAATTTGATCTCAGCGACGACAAGGTCCAGCGACATTTCCTACCATTTGGAAACGGCGCGAGAAGACATCTGGCCTCTCTGGGGAACAAAGACCCCACCGATGTAGATGTGATCCGCCGCACCATGCAGCACGACGATCTCCGCATACCCATGATGGCCATTGTCAAAGAGTGGGTGCACTCTTTCGAGGGCACAAAGTGGGTGCAACTTATCGGGGGAGACTGGGCATCACGGGAATCGGTCAAGAGAGACATTGGACACCTGCCTCGACTGCTGCGTAATCTTCGAGAGCTGCACAAGTCAGGCATCGTGATTCGAGATCTCAAGTGGCAGCAGTACCTAGACGGACAGCTTGTAGACTTCAGCTTCGCCTGGACTATACCACATATCTTCGGTCCAGAGAGCGGCCTCCGACCCCGCTGGAGCTTTGAGAGCATGGCGGCATGGGACCTTAAATGCTTCCAAACCATTCTCAATGAATTCGACGATAGAGCAGAAATTTCAGTGCCGCGCCTACGGAAACATAACCTCGTGGCATGGCAAAGCGACGATATGTACGAACGCCTTCGGCCCAGGCCTCAGTTGTACGGGCCTGCCCTTCCCATGCTCGTCTACGACGGCGACTTTCAACCCATGGTGCACCACCCGCCTTTTGACCCCGCCAAGTTCAACTGGCGGGCTGTCCAGAAGTCAACAAAGAAGGGTGCCACCAGGCGCGTCACCAAGACAAAGGCACCTCAAAGAAGAGCGCTAAGAGAAGCGTCAAAGGAGAGAAGAACGAAATGACACGCTGCGCGAACAAGACAAGATAGCGCCCCCCGGAGAACACTTGGATAGACCTGATTGCGTTTTCGATTCTGCTAGCTACTCGCGATGTTTTAATACCATTTGATGTTTGATAGAGATAGAATAAATATACTCTGAATTTACTACCCCGCACGTTGATCTATTAGAAACCTCAACAGCCCTCTCTGCAACGCACACGGTGCCGCGCAACCATGATCCTCACCCTCAAACTCCCAGCACCAAACATTTCTCAAATGAGGCGACTCTTCCATCCTCGCCACCAAAGCCAAAGCATTATCCTTCATCTTTCGCAGCGTCGCGCCCTTTTGTTTCTTCTCAAACTTCTCATCCGACTCACCAGGCAATTGAATCAACGTCTGTTCCGCTCCACCAAACATGACCAACAATCTTGGCGCGCGACCAGTCAAAGGGTCGCGCTCATTGAAGCGCTGTTCCTGGCCACGAACAATGCTGCAATTGTTGAACCAAATAGACGGACTCGCAGCGATGAATGTATCGAAAGACTCTGGCTTCGTGAACAGAGCGTTGAGGGTGAAGAGACCGCCGTACGAGTGACCAAAGAGCGCTTTGGGACTTGCTCCCAGAGGGACACCCGGGAAGAGAGTGCTTTCAATATACGGTTGGATATCTTTCTTGATGATATCCAGAAAATCCGATGCGCCGCCAAAAGGACCAAGCGATGGTTTCCCATCTGGTCCAGGGGGAATATCATAAGCCCCATCAGAAGACGCAGGTGTCAAGTCCCCATTCCGGCGCTTGTCAAAAACGCAAGTTTTGTTAGGATACCCAACAGCTACGATTACAGCTCTCGTCTGATGCGTAAACTCCAATCTCCGCGCGATATCTGTCGCAGTAAAAAAGTACGCATTTCCATCAACAATGTACCTAATCCATGTTAATTCCCTGTTTATATTGAGGTGAGGCTTTTCTTACACAGTGGAGACGATGGCATCGTCATTCACTGGAGCGCGATCATTCCAACAAAGCGGCCAGGATACTTGAATGAGATAATCGCCTCTTCGGGTGGGGAATAAGAATTGGCATGAGTTATGCGCGTTGGCGCTTTCGAGAGTTACTGGGACGAGAGTCATGATTGGAGATGTTGAGGGGAGAATCAGGTCATGGTGATGGATGCGGCTGATGTCTGATGATCAGATAAGATTAGATAAGCGAATGAGAACATCGCGAGTGGGGATGCAGCAGCAAGTCTGCACAACCGGAATAGTTTTGTAAGCGCATATTGCATAATGTTATGTAGCAGAATGAATTCAATTCGGCATACGGGTATATTTGGTATCCTTGAAATACTGACGTGCCGAATAAGCATACAAAGTCCGTTATTCCACTGGGTTGATGGCATTAAATGAGCTACCCTACAAAAGCTTCCATTCATGGCATTAGCAAGATCAAACAATCCCATTCATCTATGAATTAAGGGCTAATCGCCTCGCGCTCCTCAGCGTCACTTAATTTCATCACATTTATAAGACATGCGGCGCTGACAGTCACTAATACCGACATACTTGGTCCATCATGCTACTGAGTACCGAGGCGGGGTTACGAATCAACCGATGGCCAATTGTAAAGCTCATCGGTAGCGCAGTCTCATTAGCGTCCAGTGAAGGTGAGATACCTCGTCTTCGGTTATGATCAATTGCGTGAGGTTGGATACCTGATAGTGCCGGTAGCTTAATAACACTCTAATTTACAAGATGCATCGTCGCTCTTGTCTTGGAAGATCTGTCCATTCGGAGCAATTGGCTCTTTGATGTCGAGATTCTATCCTCTTTAAGTCTTAGTCTTTCACTTGAGCTTATCATTATACGCTACCTAAGACAGATAAAGGAACCAGTCTCGCCACCATGCACGAGCTTGATAAGAAAAAAAGAATTTGCCAGTGGCTTTGCCATGCATTATATCAGAAGTCAGTCAATAACATACGAACAAAGCAGACTATGGCCAAGTGTGACCCTGAAGGCTGTGCTCAAATTGACTTTGAACCAGTCAGTCAGTACTTGGCATGAATGGGTAGCACCAAGCAGTACACTTTTTACTTTATATCACCCATCACTCATGGCGCATCAAAGTTTCAACTCCAGAGACAGGACAACAAATAGGCAAGACAACTAAACTCTAAATACATAGAGCCAGGGCATTGCTTCGCTCTGTGTTTACATCTGCATTTACAGATATGTCGTAGATTCAATATGAGAAGGTAATTAACTTTTGTTTCGCGTGTTCTAGTGAAACGAATGTCATGGTGAGGAAGTGCAGATGAGGTTAGGTTCAGATGATGTTGGGCTGGGGAAATAAAGATCAGATAAGACCAGGTGGGCCAACGAGAACATCGTGAGTGGAGTCAGATAATCTTCGTGTAGATGGATAAAAAGTGGTGTGGCTGATTAGAAGTTATGATTGGGCTGGTCGAGAAATTGAGCCTCAATTAAATTTGGAGTTTTATGCTGCGTGTTGGGGAAATACCCCAGATCTTCATTGATCACCATAAAAGAACATTGCAGTAGTTCGCCTGTGAGCAACGTGCTTGATTGATCTCGGGTACTAATTCCGCTCGTCACAAATAAATAACCGAATGCTACCAGCCACCATTTCATTCCCTATCAAGACTCGTACCAACTGCGTCATTAGTCCCACGGCTCACGAAGCCGAGTCTCGCCCACATGGCATAAGTGATTGGTGCCTTTTAGTTCCCTGCCTCGAGGGATGTACCTTGCATGTGACGCAGACATTTCCACACAGCATAACTACGGGATGTGTGCAGTGTCGGTTAAAAGAATAATTCCCACCACATCCAATCGTCTTGCACATGTGCTTGATCCGTCCCGTGCACGTGGGCCCTGGTTTATCTGCCGTGGGGGCCCCGTCGATCCTTGCTGTTTCCCCCTCTAACCCGTATTCGGAATGGTGCACCAGACTCGAGGGGACCATGTATGAATGCAGCCTCCCGTCGGTGGGCGGGCTTGGTTTTAAAAGCCGGGCCACCTGCACCCTGTTTATCTCTGTCTCTTCTCCCCCAGCTCCTGTACGTTATTTGCGATTCACTATTGACTGTTTCTCAGTCTCAGGACTTCTATTCACGACAGTTATTGTTTTATCGGCAAAGTGGGGAGTCGGGACAGCATGGATCACGAAACATCCCACTTGCCGACATGGCAGGACAACAAAACCACGAGCGAGAAGGCTGGCTTCGCTGGAGATGATGAATCATCGGCTCTTTTAAACGACAAGACGAAGAATCAACAAACGATGCAGCTGCGACAAATCTTTGCCAATCGCCTCATGCCCGTCGCATTCGCTCTTCCGTGGGTGATGGGAATGTTGATTTCGTGGATCCCATTTACCAAGATCTCTCTTTACAACGCCCCCGATTTCCTGTACGTTCATCACCAAGGCTTCATTTGGCCGTGTCTAACGAATGCAGTATTCTCGCGGCTCTCATCAGCACCCTCGAAGTCCTCAGCATCGTCGCAGTCTTTATCTTCACATCCCTCCGCCCCTCAACGCTCGAAACCGAACCTAGTCCCAGCACGACTCTCAAAGAGAAATTCTTCCGCGCCTGGTTCTGGTTTTTGTTCATCAGCCCTTTCATTACTGGAACAATGGTTGTTTTGATGGCGAGCGACATTTCATGCGATCCGGAAGATGATCTGGACATGCATCAACCAATCTGCCAAGTTGGCATTCGACTAATTAAAGCGACTGCTTTATGTCGCGCTGGAATTATGTACGTCCCCTTCCATTCAATTACCTCTCTGCCAATAAACTAACATCTCATCAGTGCGACATTTCTCTTTGCTACATCTTCATATTTAGAACAACAACCTACGAAGCGCTGCAACGACTCGGACCCTGCATGATGTTTTGGAAAAATCTATGGCGTCATGATCTTTGTACAACAATACCCCAGAAAGCCTAAAATACATTAAAATAAAACCCAACCATCTATTAAAAAAAGTAAACATTATCCCAGTTTCAAGATTTCTCTACCGAAAACTTTCGGCGCCACTCACTTAATATTGATTTCTGATGACGTTTTGGTTTGTCTTTAGTGCTGCTTTGAGTGCTATCTCAAGTGCTTGCTCGGATGTCGCTCATGCATTATCATTGAATGACGCCACGTCCAAGGGTCTTCCAAGCATCCTCCCCTCCGGATATATCCGCCTCCCGATTCAATTCCTCTTATCGAGGGGTTGCGTCGCTTGCGTCGTTGACACTGAATCGCTTGCGTCGCGTTGCGTTGCTTTGCGTGGTGATACCATCCGCATCTCCCACTTTCCGGCAGTTGTCGTAAGCATTTCGCGTCGCACTGCAATTCAATCCAAACTCTGTTTTAAGCATAGCCAACTTCAGCCTCCGCATTTCACGTCACAGTGAGCTTTGGTATGCAGCAAAAAAAATGCAAACGGGGCTCGCGTGCACTTTTTCTCTACAGAGCTAGACCGATAAAAAAAAGAGTACTCCGTAGTTAGCTGTGCCTCGTTTCGACATACTGAAAAGGTCCCTTTGCTAAGCTCGTTCAAGATGCGAATTCTCGTTCGGCTGCTTCCGTGGGCGTAGCGGGCAGGGCGCTACGCCCGATTGAATCCTATCTTCCGTCTTCCGAGGTTAATGCCTTGGCTTGGATCCCTGCCGCAGGTCTCATTTTATGCATGCTAACGGGGACTGGGGATTGGTTGGACTTTGCAGTCAGCGCTGAATCAGCGCAGCTCGGGTCAATCAATTGTTTGAAGAGTCTATACTGCATACAAACATATTCATTCAGTACGTAAATAAGCAAAACCATGTAATTTGCTATGCCTAGACTTAATGAGAACATAATTGCGTTATTGGTCTTGTCTTGTACTTGGCCTACGTAGAAGTCACCGTAAATAACTGGATATTTAACATCATGTGCAGGACGATTCCACAAATAGTTTACTCGGCGTTATGTACCTGAATATGAGGACGAATGGGCAATCAAGAAAATACACGTTGCAAGCCAAGAATGTCTCTGATAAGGATTATTGGTATATAACTGAAAGGCCCCCAATGCGACATGCCAGACCGTCAAAACAGGCATTTCGGGCCGCTCGGCTATGAACTGTTGTTTGTTTAATTTGTAGTTTTTCTTGTGTAACGCAGGCTGATCAAGTTGGCGGCTTAAAAATAGAGAATTGTCTTCACCCCGGTACTCCATTCTATATGCCAGTATGCGTCCAATGATGTGTTTACAATAGCAAAGCCGAAAACGCAAAAAAGGACAGTCCAACCAAAACAATGCTTCCCTGATTCTTAGTAACCAACGCCGTCATATGCAAATGCAGTTCCCTTCCTATCGCACCCAATCTTTTAACCGATCGCACAGGTATATCCAATTAAAACAACGCCCTTCCTACTCCTGGCCAGCCAGCCCTTTTCGTCTCGTCTCAATAACCGTCAAAAACTTATCAAAAGCATTCTTATCCTTCTCCTTCTCCTCCAAACTAACGTTCAAAAACCCCTTCCCATCAACAGGACTATCAGTATAAGTATAACCCCCACCCTCAATATGTTCCACGTACGGGAAGACAGCGCCATAACTCTGAACAGCCTCAGATCCATACCGTCGAATACCAGTGCCCGTGGTAAGGGGCAGAGGACACTCAAAGTGCTGATGGCTAGTACCTTGAAATGGCTGAAAAATAGCCTCGTGGTCTTCTTCGACGTATTCGTAAAAGTCCCCCTCGTAGGTTGGATCAATTGCTTTCCAAGCTCCGTCGTCTAAGCAACAGCCTTGTCCAATTTTAAAGACGCGGAGGTTGGGCATGGTATTGGCCCAGTGCTCAAAGATGTGGTGCCAGCGGGTATGTGTATGGTACGTTGAACCCTCGCGCCAGGCATTGCCTTCTACCTTTTGGGCGAAGTAACCCTTATCGGAGAGCTCACTAGCCTCGTCTTGGCAAATGGTGCAGCATGCATCTGGCATTATGCTAGCCCGATTGTGATCCGAGTGCAAAACGGTGCACTCATCGAGATAAAGCTTCTCGATGCCAAGGGATCCGATCCACTCAACCTGCCACCACTGGCTGAACTCAAAATGTCCCAAAGCGAGAACCTTAAGATTGGGCAGATCGTTGGCACCAATCAGGCGGAAGTCCATGTTGGGAAACCATCCCCACGGGGTTGATGAAAACAGGGACAGGACCTGGAGATTGCTGGCGATGCTGGGGGTGAGCACTATATCAAGAAGATCGTGGTGGATATCTTGGCTGCCCTTCTGTGTTGTAGTAATGACTTCAGAGTCATCAAGGTCACCTCCATCAGCTACGCTGATACGCAGGTCCTTCAGAGCTCCTGAATTCATGACAGCTTGAAAATCAGGCAGCACTTTGATGCCACTGACATCAATAAGATTCGAGATAGTCAGGTTCTTGATAGGAAGCGGAATGCCAGTTTGAGCCTGTGGATAGCATTCGCATGTAGACGGTTGCGGTGTAGACATGGTATTCCTGCGAACATTATCATCCATGTTCCACGTCCCCTCAAGACAGTGAAACAACGTCTCTAAAAGTCCTAATTGCGTATTGTGGTCGATGTGAGATCTATCGTGTTCAAGCCGCATGTTGAGAGTGTCGAGTCTAGGAAACATTGAGATGAAGGGAACAGCTTGGAAGAATTTGTTCGTGAGCTCCCGACGCTTATTCATGGGACAGGATCCTGTCCAGGTATCGCAAGTGACTTCCCGGACATGACATCTCAGATGTTCAGTCATGGCGATGTCAATGAAACGCTGTGGCTCATCTCTATAAGCGCGGACACGAATGGCGCGGAAGATGATTGGTGTGATGAGGCGGGCAAAAGTGTGACTGACGAGACGAAGGTCGATGAGGGAATATTTGTATATGTATCCCAGGATTTGAACCTGGAGTTCCTCAGGAAGGGCAGAGAGAGAGGGAGTAGACATAATGATGATGATGATGGTAAAGTAAAGATAGGAAATGGAATTGAGAGTGAGGCTGAAATTGAAGCGTATGAGTGGTCCGCGGAGATGGGATGATTGAAGTTGGTGTTGAGAGATAAGACGATAGGTGGGGTCAACCGTCAACTCGAGTCAGGTCCTCGGAAATATAAAGGAGGAAAAGAAAACCTAGGACAACTTCAAAACGGACAGGGCATTTTATAGTCAGTAGAATGATAGAAACTTGTATTTGATAAAAATTTGGCTTCTGAGTTCGCGAATAAAATGAGAACATTCAAAGCTTGACTGGGTATGAATTGCCAGTCGACGAGTCGAGCCACAAGGTTTGAAACTCAAGAGCTATTTTTGAACGGGATATGTGATTTTTAGAGTATAATTACATAGACTTTCGTATCGGTGTTGTGATCTGTGAGAGTGGAAGCTTGAAGGTTAACTTAGGAAGTGTCAAGGTTTAGAGAAGGCTCGGGAGTGGGGTGAGGCAATGAGTCAACCAACTTTAACAGACAAACCAGTAAGAAGAATAAAAAATTAAGCATAAAAACAACAGCCTTGCTCAAAATAAAGTTAAAAACACTTGACTATATATTTCAAAAGTTTTTCTTGCCCAATGACACATCATAATCTCTTCCAACAACTCTATCCTTCCTGACTGGCTCAATCATCCTTCGTCCAATGATACTTCGCAGCTGGATGATCAGCAGGCGGTCTAGCAACTCCCTTCCTCCCATAGACGTTCTCTCTATACGTGCCCCCATCGACAGCATAATCCTCCCAAAACAACCCCCTCTCCCTCAAAACCGGCAACAAATCAGATATAACCTCCTCAAAACTCGCTGGCATGAGAGCATACGCCAGATTGAACCCATCGACGTCAGCTTCGTTGACCCATCGCTCCATCTCATCTGCGATGCGCTCTGGTGTTCCTGCGACTGTGGCTCCTAGACCACCGACTTTTATATGATTTGCAACAGTGTGCTTCGTCCATTTTGGCACCCCTGGGATTGACTTGGACCATGATTCCACGGCGGAGCGAATCGCGTTCGACTCAACATACCGTAATTCCTCATCATCCCCATACTGCGCAAGATCAATCCCCGTCCAGCCCCCAAACAGCGCCAACGCACCATCCTCCGAGCCATACCCCACAAACTCCTTATACTTCGCATCAGCCTCCTCCTGCGTCTTTCCAATAATCGGACAAAACATAGCCAGGAACTTTATCGCTTTAGGATCACGACCAAACTGCTCTTTTGCTAGGGTTCTAATCTCAGCTATGTTCTTCGCCACCGTGACGGGGCTGTGGCCTGCGACGAAAATAGCCTCGGCGTGTTTGGCGGCAAAGTTCTTTCCGGCTTTGGAAGTTCCGGCTTGGAGGATTAGGGGAGTGCGTTGGGGGGAGGGTTGGCAGATGTGAGGGCCTGGCACGGTGTAGTATTTTCCCGAGTGGTTGATGAGACGGACTAGGGAGGGGTCTGTGTAGATGCCTTTTTCACGGTCGAGTTTGACGGCGTCATCTCGCCAGGATGATTGCCTAGGTTCATGAGTGAAAATTCAAATGAAGATGGTGAGTCACGCACCAAAGCTTGTAAGTGACATCGACGTATTCTTCGGCAATGGCATATCTCTCATCGTGGCTCGGCTGCTCAGTATGTCCGAGATTTCGAGCAGCAGAGTCAAGATAGCCAGTAACGATGTTCCAGCCCAGTCTTCCACCAGTTAGATGGTCCACAGTGCTGAGTCTTCGGGCAAGATGATAAGGCTGCTCATAAGTAGTCGCCACGGTTACACCAAAACCAATATTCTTAGTAGCTGCTGCCATAGCTGGCACAGTGGCAAGGGGTTCATTGACAGGCCACTGCGCGCCTGAAATGATGGCAGGATCTGGGTTACGAGGACCTTTGTAGACATCATAAGATCCCTGAGAATGTGAGCGACATGTCATGTGATGCAAAGAGAGTAACCCACAAGAACATCAGCGATAAAGATACCGTGAAACTTTCCCTTCTCAAGAAGTTGAGCCAGTTTTACCCAGTGACTGATATTATTGAAATCCCATGATTTATCATCCGGATGTCTCCAGAGACCAGGTGATTGATGACCGCTGCATGATTCAACGAAGGCGTTGATAATGAGCTGCTTCTTGACCTTGGGGGCCTCTTGCGATTCAGACATTTTGACTGCAAGTTGTCTCACAATATTGAGTGAATGAGGGGTAAAGAATGAGGTAATATTAGTGAATGAGACTTTAGGTGAGCGTAATACTCATATAAGTGATATGCGACATATAAAAGTGTTGCGCAATCGCGGCCCTCGAATCGCGTGCTTGCGGAGATGGTGGGGCTGGCTTCGCGTGTACCTTGAGATCTACTTGCATCAATTGCCGATATCAGATGGTGTGACGAGAATAAACACTATTTTCGGATAAATGGATGTGATAAAAATACCGCTCATATATCATTTCGTGGCTTCACCGTGTAGCCTGTCAGCTTACTTGAGACACGCCTGACTTCCATCTTAGGCAATTCTCATGTTATACAGCAGAAACGGGCCGCACCTCTCTTCTTTTCTTTTTTCTATAATAAATAGGTACCGAGGACCCGGGACTTGGTCGGTAAGCAATTGCCGAGATAAGCGTAGATCACGTCAATCCATAGCTGCAGGGTTTACATGTCACATCTCATCATTTTAGGGCGAAATACGCCACAGCCTCGAGGCCCCAAACTAACTAGGATTTAGATGTGACAGGACAACGGAATAGGGGGGACAGAAAGATAGACGCATATTTGTGTCCAGAGACTATGCTCCTGCGGTTGTGTAATACAGAGTGGCACAAGGCTGAGTTTGACTTACTGAGAAGAAATAGACCACCTTCCAATACCTACCATAACCATGTCATTCATAGGGTATAGGAAGTAAAAGAACGTAGAATCTTTACTCTAATTGATAAAATAACTAGTCTAAAGATCTTCTAAATTCATCCTAAATTTAGCTAAATATTCTCATTAACTAGGTTAGAGGTCATAGGTTTCTTTCTCCCCGATGAGTAAAAGGGTTCTTCTGTCTACCCGGTCGCCGAGTCTGGGGTCTCCAAATTCATTGAAAACAAATCCGATGATGAAACGCTCGTGGCTGAAGATAAGTCCAGTCCCATAAAACCCCCACTGGATGCTGTCGTTGGAAATCCAGCGATACACTCTGAGAAAACATCAGTTTCTAGCGCGCCGCGTATTAGCAGATACACCTGGAGGCAGAATTGGAGGAAAAGGTATGCTGTTACAAAAGACCAGAAGCATAACCTATTTCGGCAGCTTACCTTCGTATGCGTCCCAAGTAAACTGATCAAGCGACATATCTGTATCCTGAGGCGTGTCGGCGGTAGAATCAGCGAGAGGTACGCCAATCTCTTGTTCCTGCAGCCCTAGTCTGAGGCTTAGATAATCAATCGCCCGCCTGGCTTCCCTAGATACTGTGGTAGAGTGCAGCCAGAGTGGGTACGCGTTACGTAGCAGACCGTGGATCTTTGACCCTGTGCTCTCGTCCAGCGAAACATCCGGCCGCGACTTGGTCAGCTGCACATAGTAACACAGAATGCTCACGCCTAGCAAAAAGACTGCCCGCGGCCGGGAGGACAGGAGCATCCACCTAGCCCACCTTGTAGGATACAGCAGTCCATCTCCCTGTGTTTCCTCGAGCACTATCTGCTGGAATTCCAGAACTTTGATCGCCGCCTGGACACAAGCTTTGCGTGAGTGTTGATAGCATGCCTGGGTATAGGGCGGTGCGAGATACTTCCGGTGAAGCCAGATTGTTAGTCTTTGTATGGCGAGCTGGAGCAACACGCGGTGCATGACGATCTCAGGCGCCACCATGAAAGATTGACTAAGGGGCTGCCATTTGAAAATTGGCGGAAGCGATGCTTCAGCTTCTTGCAGCTTCCGGTCCAACTCCATGATCTCTGTGTACGGATGCTCCTTGGTATCGTTGACAATGTCGTTGACCAGCCCCATCATCTTATCTATCCTCCCCTTAGCCAAGGTGTATAGCACAGGCGTGACTTCCGTCTCGGGACGCGAAGGGGGTAAATAGATGGTATCTTCGTCGAAATCTGTATCCAGCAGGTTACGCGGCTCAGCTGTGTCATACTGCTGGGCCTTAAGCACACATGGCAGCGCCATCTGGCTCGAGAGACGAAGATCCAACTGCACAATGACTGCCCACACGCGCCGCCGCATCTCACCAGAAAATGGTGTAATGCTTGGGAAGTTGTGGGGATCTCGATGATAGCCCTGACTCAGGGCGAGCTGCACGATGATACCTTGTACAAGCCACAGCCCGGTCTCATCCTCCTGGGACATGAACGACTCACAGATGAGATAATTAATCAAGGTTTCGAGTACGTACTCCCCACCTCTGGTATACTGGCCTAGTATCAGGCTGTGAAGAGTCTGTTCCCGAAACACGCGCACTCGCCCTTGAATTTTCGGATCCGTTGGGTCATCAATTGAGTGTTGACATAGCGTAGCGACGCACATAGTGCTAAATAAGAGCCCGATCCAAATGCACGGCATGGCTGGTGGGTCCTGCCAGAACTTATCATACTATTTAAGTGGTTCAAACTGTCAGCCAACGTAAAGAATTCAGGAAGTAGTTTCCAAAAGGAGGAAAAGGGGTAGGGGATCCATACTGAACCATAGGTATACACTCCGATACATAGCAAACAACATACCTTTTGAAGAAAACGCCCACTGTGAAGTATGCTTGGTACAACACCTTGTGTGTTAAAGTACCTTGCGACCATTCGATCAACAACGGGCCTGGCCGGAATTGAGGCAAGAAGATCAGCTTTTGTGGTCTGAACCGGCTCATATAGCAGCATAGGTCCAGGACTATGGAGAAATAAATGATCATTGGTGGCCAGTAGCCGAGCTTCCTCTTGCTCCTCGTAATGGTCTCTAAGCTCAGAGATACTGTCGAGGACGGCGGTCCAGTGCACGCTCCCGACGTAGCTGGCACCAACACCGTGTGAATTCAGACGCATGCTGCCAGGCTCTGAGGCTCTGGGGGGATCAGTACTGTCCTTGCTCTGCGATATAGGCGTATTTTTTGAAGCTGCCACGGGCGTTTCCTCGTCAGGTGTTGTTAGTGGGATCGTAGAGATACTCTGCCGGGATGGAGGATCTGAAGACTCTCGAACGAGGCTGTCGGCATGCACAACTGGCGTCTGCTGCTGCCTAGCTAGGGAATGAACGAGATCTTCTAGCTGCTGAATGCGATCCCTGACGCTGACTTTGCTTTTGCCCCGGCTTGTACAGCCTACCTCGTAAGTGCAGGATAAGCCAATCCCCCTGTTCGTGCAGGTCTTGCATGGTAGCTGACGGTCACATCGCACCCTGAGTGGCTATCTGTTAGTTTCAGTGCTTTCTCTAGTGCAAATGTGTGAACTACTTTCGGTTCCTGCAAAAGGTACATGAAAGCAGCGGTTTCTCCCTCCGACGATCTCGAAGTTGAGGCAGCGAGTCTTTGATAACAGTGCTGGGCTGCTGATTGGACAGGCTCGGCGTTTCTGTATAGGCGGGTGGCTCAAGATAATCCATTAAATGCAAGCTTTTGTCACTTTGGAGTGAAAAGAAAGCGTCAGCGGAAAGTCAGAGTGGAAGTGACAGATGGAGTATTCGACGGAGCAAGGTGGTGGTGGGTGTCGGGGGATAGGCGGGTCCATTGGACGGAGCAATCGACGGAGCATTTAACGGAGCATTTAATGAGCCAGTCAGAGGACGGGAGCAAACGTAAGCGCCCCACCTTGCGCTTCCAGCTTTACCAGACCTATAAGGATGGTTAAGTGGGGCTGATATAAAGCCAGTATTGGCCAAATATCTAATTACTGGCTTCATTGAAGGACTTGGGGATCACTATTGAGGCAGTATGAATTTGATAGAAACTGCGGGATACTTGAGCATGATGATTGTCTGTTCTTGTATTGTTTGCTTTGATTTAGTTCGCTGGATGATCTGTTGCTAATCATGTTCAACAACGGAGCAAATCCGGGGCAAAACAGGGTCACATGGCCAACTACTACTTGAGTTTGCCCTTGACACCACTATTATTTCTTCTCTTATGGCAATATATAACTTGTTTTCCGACAAGGTTAGCATCGAGGCAGAGGCAAGAAAGCTCAGAAATCTAGGAATTCGGATAGCTTATTCTATGCCCACGACTACACCACATACGACGACGGGTATCTGGCAACAATGGCGAAAGGTCAAGCCGAGAGCGATAAAACCGTTTGCAATCATGAAGCAACCAAGACAGTCAGCGTCTATGCTACGGCTCAAGGCGATATTGGCCACGACAAGGAACCAAATGCCGACAAGCAAGAAGAAACTATTTCTGAAGATATCCATGCTGCAAATATGAAGACTGATGCTGAAAAGGATGCAATGGAAGCTGGCGAAGTAGCTCCTACACCAGACCCGAATATCGTCGACTGGTCTGGCCCTGACGACCCTGAAAACCCACGCAACTGGTCCAAAGCCTACAAGTTGACAAACATCATAGTCATCAGCTTATCCGTCCTATACACCAACCTCGCAACCACCATGTTCGCCCCCGGCGCCGCTACCATGCAACGCGAATTTGGCTTCAAGAGCAACACAGTTGAAGTCCTGACCATCACCATGGCATCACTGGGTTTTGCCCTGGGCCAATTATTCATACCCCCTATGTCTGAGGTTTTTGGCCGCATGCCGATTTACAGGACAAGCTCAATCTTGTACATAGGGTTTACGGCTGGTTGCGCGCGTAGTACTGATGTTGCAGAGTTTCTCGTCTTTCGTTTGTTAACTGGTATGGCTGCTGCCTCGTATATGTCTACGGGAGGCGGTACGGTGGCTGATCTTTTGCCGAAGGAGGAGAGGGGTGTTGCTATGGCTATTTTTACCGCTGGACCGCTCTTTGGCCCTGTATGTACCCCCTTGAGTATTTGTCGGATTTTAATAAGCTGATAATGAGGCTAGGTGCTTGGTCCTATTGTGGGAGGATTCGTTGTCGAGAATCTCGGATGGAGATGGTGCTTTTATCTCATCTTGATGCTTGTGAGCACTACCCCTTTTCCTCCTTTTCTAGCGCAAGATAACCAATATCTTTCCTCTAGGCTGGCGCAGTCACCCTCAGTACCTTCTTATTCATGCACGAAACAAGCTCTATCAACATACTCAAGTCTAAGGCTGCTAGACTTCGTAAAGAGACAGGCAATCCAAACCTGCGGGCCTCCGGCGATAAGCAGATCCCGATCAAGCAGCTCGTCCTCCATGCCCTAACCCGGCCTATGAAATTCCTCTTCACATCGCCCATCGTCGCTCTAATCTCACTCTACATCGCCTTCAACTTCGGTGTAACCATGCTTCTCTTCGCCACATTTCCCACCGTCTACGAGAACACTTATCAATGGAGTGTTGGTGTTTCCGGGTTGGCGTACATCGGCGTCGGTATTGGTTGCGCCATAGGGGTCATCACCTTTGCCAAGCTTAGCGATCGCCTTCTAAATGCTGAGGGAGGGAACTACCATGCAGAGCGGCGGCTTATAATGATGATGTTTGTATCTCCAATGTTCCCCATCGGCCTGTTCATCTACGGTTGGACTACTGAGTACAGAGTACACTGGGTTGTGCCCATCATCGGGACTGCGATCTGTGGACCCGGGGCGGTAATCATCAATTCATCTTCGCAGACATATATCATCGACATCTTTGGACCTCAAGCAGCGGCGTCAGCACTTGCTGCCATTACACTGCTTCGCAATCTAACGGGAGCTTTTCTACCCCTTGCCGCACCGACACTCTATGCAAACCTTGGACTAGGCTGGGGGAATAGCGTGTTGGCCTTCATCACTGTTGGATTCATACCTGTGCCGATTTACTTTTACTTGTACGGTGCATCCCTTCGGAAAAGGTTCCCTGTTGAGATCTGACGCAGAGGATTGTGTCACTTAACGATACCAATCTTATCGCTTACCAGCAAGTGCATAATCCTGGTTTATCAATCACTCTTTTTGCAAAAGTCTTTCATTTCTTCTTCTTTTGAATTGGCCCGAGCCATGAACTTGCACTTGGCGTCCCTGTTTCCGTATCAAACTATACTACAGCAGAAGTAACATAGAGCTCCGAGTTATGTTGGTCTCATTTTATGGTTTAACATTTCAATGAAACAGTTTTACGTATTCTGGTATAAACATAGTATAAAGCTCAGTTTATATCATGTATTTTATCAAATTAATACAAAAGCAAGTGGAAGATAGACTAGTGGCTTAGTCATTCTGTATGACATGCTTTGTGCCGCCCATCTCATCATTTTAGACCAAAACACGCCAATACCCCAGCTGAACCTTGATAACGCCAATCACGCAAGAGAAGATCAGCCCACGGGTGCAAACCACTAGATAACCGCTTTGACATTGACACAATTACTGGAGAATGATCGCCATAGATAAATTGCTCAACTGCCGAGGTTAGCTTGAGCTGCAGATAGTTTGGGCCGTTTGTCCCTGCAGCTATGATAACGACATACGTGACGTTGTACACGCAATGTGAGGTGCAGTCTGCCTATATAGACAACATAATTCTCAGACCATTGTCCTCAACTTATTATTCTCCATAGAGTCATATTTCATTATACCCAAGCATTTCTCATCATGGCCACCACTTTTGAGAGCTCTGACCCAGCTGTCTACAAAGAGTACGAAGCCCAATGGTCCACTCTCCCCACCGACGCTGAGGGTTGGATCAAGCGTGCCAAAGACGTCGCTGAAGTCCTAGCAAAAGACGTTCCAGCTCGAGAACGCGCGAACAAGTCTCCCAAAGCTGAAGTCGCTCTCCTCAAGCATTCCGGCCTTCTAAAGATCCTCGGTCCAGCTAAATATGGCGGCGGTGAACAGCCATGGAGTGTTGGTTTCAGAGCGATTCGTGAGGTTGCCAAGAAGGATGGGTGAGTTTTTGTTTACATGATGTTGAAGTATGGATGCTAATTAATGGTAGATCTGTTGGCATGCTTCTCGGCTACCATCTCGTCTGGTCCACAACCGCCAACGTAGTCGGAACTCCCGAGCAAGCAGACCGCACCCACAAACTCATCATCTCCAACAACTACTTCGTTGGCGGTGCCGTGAACCCTCGCGACAACGATCTCAAGATCACTTCCAACGGGGACAAGCTTATCTTCAATGGTTTTAAGAACTTTAGCACCGGCGGTGTAATCTCAGACTTGACTGTTCTTGAAGGTGTTTACGGTGAGAAGGAAGAGCACATCTTTGCTATTGTTCCGACGCAACAGCCTGGCATTCAGTTTAAGCATAACTGGGATAATGTTGGGCTGAGACTTACCGAGTCAGGGGGTGTTAATATCGAGAATGTTGAGGCGCCGTGGGGTGATGCCTTGGGGTGGGATGTTGAGGCGAAGAAGCCAGATCCCAACATCTTGGCTATTCCTTTCACGAGTCTGTTCTTGCCAACGTAAGTTGCCCGTGCTCGTTATTATTCTTCGGATTTACTAAAATGAGGTACAGGATTCAACTCAACTTTGCCAACTTGTACCTCGGCATTGCGGCCGGTGCTCTTGAGTTTGCCAAAGAGTACACTGTCAAGAACACTCGCGCATGGCCCTTCGGCGGCGATGTAAGCACCATCCCCCCCCAATCCAACTCTTTCTAACAAATCCACAGAACAAAGAGAAAGCAACAGACGAATTCTACATCCTCTCCACCTACGGCAACTTCTTCGCCCACCTCCGCGCCACCGAAGCTCTCGCCGAGAAAGTCAACGCTGAAGCCGACTCACTCTACGCAAAATACTCACAAGATCGCTCCGCCGTTACAGCCGAGCAACGCGGTGAGTTCGCAGAATGGGTCGCCAGTCTCAAGGTCGTCACTACAGACACTGGTCTCAAGATCACTTCTGGAGTTTTTGAAGTTACGGGTTCGAGGTCTACGGCTGCAAAGGTTGGCTTGGATAGGTTCTGGAGGGATCTGAGGACGCATACTTTGCATGACCCTGTGGCGTATAAGAATCGGGAGTTGGGAAGGTATCTTTTGTTGGGAGAGTATCCTGAGCCTACTTGGTACACATGATCTACGATAGTTTCTGTTATGTCTATGAGATAGATCTGAAGATAGTGACTGAGAATTACATATCCCGTCTAGTACTTAGGTTTAATGGATAATGCATGAGAAGGATTCAAGTAGTTGGCTTTTACTTCTGTATAGACTCTAGCCTGCTACATATCAGGAACAGAGGCAACACTAACAAGTCAGCCCTCCCGTCGCATATTGATTTCAAATTGCCTTCAACTGCTCCCAGTATCATATCTCCTGAATAAAACTCTCTTCCTGAAGAGAAAAGAAATTCCTCATTTCTGTAAACCAACACCTTAGTTCTTTGCTTTGTTAGTTTCTGGGCCCGCATAAGCCTCAGTCTGACCAATCTTCGTCCAAGGTGCGAAAGCCTGTTATTGCGGTTAGTTTCAGAGTAATCATAGTGACTAGAAAGAATACTCACATTCTTGACATTGTGCAGCGTTGCAGCAAGTTCCGGGAAGTGTCGACACAAAACATCCTTCATCGTGTTATTCTGAACCCAATTGATGCCCTCACGAGTGTACACCTCAGGGCACCAACCATCGCCGGCAAGGAAGCGATCAGACTTGATGCGACGGGTGGCCATGAGGATAAAGACGCGGAAGGCAGTGTCGCTGAAGCCAAAGCCCTTGGGCAGAGGCTCGCTGAGTGTACCAACCAGAAGATCCACAGCCTCAAGATCTCCATCGTAAACATCTTCCAACTCAGCAGCCAACTTGGCATCACCGCCAGTGAGATCAAGGAAGCTCTTTGCAGGTGCCATGTGAAACAGGCGTCGGAAAGCGTTATAGCGGGGAACGCCGCGTTCACGGTCACGGAGGATGTCAATTGTTCCTAAGTCCAGGTGTCGACCGTGGGGGAAGTCCTTATCACCTGGGATGTTCAAGTCGCGCAAGAAGTTGGGCATGTTGTGAGCTCGAATAGCACCTGGATAGTTGACGCCGAAGGAGTAAAAAACATCAGCGAATGAGAGACCCAAGCCCGATTTGTCTTCATCAAAGGGTTTACGGGCTGACTCGAACGCAACCTCTTTGATGGGCAGAGTTCCCTTGTGTTGACCATCTTTGATGCTGAAGAATGCTACGTTGTCCGGGATGAGAGGATGGAGACGGTAGACGGAAACAAATTCTTCTGTGAGACAGTATGGCACGTTGTCGTGATCGACGCCTGATCCGGGAATACCAGAAATGACTTCTGATTTGTTGTCAAAGACACGGCCAAAGACATGCCAGAGCTATTACTATAAGTCAGTAATCAATCATCATAGCACAGTCAGGGTTAGACGCCATACCTTGTCACCCAAGAGTCCCCACCAGTTCGCATTCATTCCAATCTGCAGCGCCGGGTGCTGAAGGATACCAGGTGTCCACTCAACAGTATGAATCTTCGCCATAAGAGCACAATTGATCAGTCGAGCAGTATCAAAAATTTGATCACTCGACCAACTCGGGTTCGAAAGATGAAGCTGCGTGGCAATGGCATTATGCTCAAGCGCGAATAGCGTATGAAGAAGTTCAAGTCCCAACCACCAGTTTTGTCTGAAACCAGTCTTGGGAATACCATCGTCTGATCGAGGGAGGAATTGCACACCATCTTCACGTGTTACATGAAGTTGGCCGGGATACGATTTATCGCACTGCGCTCGAAGAGCTTTTGTCTCGGCTTCAGTGGATCCGTAGATCTGAGAGGCATCCCACCAATGGGTGCACTCGTTGGTATAAGCAGGCGTCTCGATATCTTGTCGCGAAAGAGCATCATCTTTCTTGGTTCGAGGAATCTTCATGATACGCTCAGACCACCTGTCGGCTTTATCTAGAGGAATCTCAACGTCTTTATCACCATTTGTGACAAGGAAGTGCTGAGCCCAATCATGAACTTGGAACTGGATCCACGCTGCGGCGAGAAGATTGACAATCTCGGCGGGTTTGAACTGGCCTTCAGGTCTAGCAAGAATCTTTTCAGATATGATTCTTGGATTGGGCGTAAGCAGCTCCTGCTGAGTTGGCGGCGTGGTATATTTTCTCGGGACATTTCGACCAAATCTCATACCAGCGCACCCCATCTTTGGTTGCGCCAGATCATTGAAATCGCCATCTGAGTTCCTATTCGCGATGAACTTTGAGTTCTTCATGGGGCAATCTGCTGCAGTGCCCTGGAACTCAGCATTGGGGTAGGTGTCGTGAAGGTTCTTCTCGCGGAGTTCATATCGAAGAGCGAGGAGATTGAAAACGCCGAGCCATGTGGGGAGCTTGTGCCAGTGGACAAAGATGTTGACGAATTTCCAAAGACGAATGTAAACGGACTTGAAGATGGGTTTGAGGGAGATCATGTTGAAGTGAGAGAGTCCAATGAGTAGTGTGACAATGGATAAAGAAATAGCGAGAGATTCCTTACTAAGTACAGAAGCCATCGTGCGTGTGTCCTCACATTTCAGCAGGGGATCATGGCCGCTTTATACCTGTAATCACAAGCTTCAAACTAGGCAGAATAGAGGCACATGCAAGTCATCCCTCCTTGTGATCTATTACCCGTTGGGCGAGAGGCGTCGTGCTAGGTATCACAGCATGCCTGAAAGCTTATTTGTTGACTTACAGAGCTTCATCCCCCTCCACTCCTTATTCTTCCGAGCCATTCACCTATCGCTAAGGTCAGCAAAATTAGTGCCTAGCAGAAGTGGGGAATGGCGTTCCACAAAGTGTAAAGTCTATCACTGCCGAAGTTCATTGTAGGCAATCACAACAGTCAGGTCATACACCGTTTGGGTTGTGCATTGCATGTGTTACTACAAGTGACCAATCTCGTATATGAGCGTTACGAACATGTGAAATCAGAAGAGGGGACTCCAGGTTCCTGTGGCGTTGGTTCAGCTTTCAATAGTTCAGCCCTGTGGCGGGAGCTAAGCGCGTATAGAACACGCACCATACCATATCCACGAGACTTCAAGCCTTAGCTATGTGATAGTGTCCCGACTTATCGATAGTCTATGGGCCTAGAACTAAAAATGACCCTTTAGCGTTGATACTCCAATTCATGGCTGCGGCTGAAGATACAATAGTTATTCAGTGGCTGAAGCTTCTTTCTTCCGTTACGAAAGTCTTGTATTTGATTGGCTGATAACGGTTCGCAACTGAGACATAGTTTGCAGCTGAAAGCTGGACTACGTTTTGAGCAGCCTTTCTCCAAGTCCTCCGCTTGGACATATGGGGGATTGGCATGAGGAGAAGGCCAAGGTGGTATAGCGCTAGGGACCCGGGCGTTTAATACTCCAATCGATAGAGATACCATCAAATCACTCATGCTTTGCCTAAACTTCGCCTCTGAGACGGGGCTTTCGGGCATTTTGAAGACGACAGGCTGGTTTATGAATGTTTTTCTGAAATATCTGCCCCATAGCAGGACAGATTGTTAGAATTAAGCAGTATCAAATTCTCTAAATGCCTGTTTCATAATTTTGTACTGTGAAACCTCGAGCTGCTGGTCATGACCCTTTTAAGCTTGCCCAAGATGTCTCTAGGTTGACGTGAGGTAGGAACGTCAGTTCGACTAAGCTTTATACCAACAGTAGTTGGGGCTTTGGGAGGAATCCCGTCGACAAACCAGCTCTGGGCCATTCATGCCCCAGTCTTCGTCGTCTACAGAGCCCGCAGCGATGCAGCACAAATCCCATGGGAGCTAGCTCTTAGATTTCTGGAGTCATATATCCTATTTCTTTGGCATAAAAGCTTCTGGCAATATGTTGTATTTGCAGTTGATACCTGTGGCTTAGGGCTCATTATCACCACATAGAATTTACTTAGCTGTCTAATTATGTAAGGATGGTACTGCTAAACATATCTCTACCTTGTCGTCGACCTCGGTGACTCAAAATCATCACTGCGGCTCTTCCTTTGAAGATCAAGATGCGGCCGCTCGCCCACAATCACAGCCTTGGTCCCTTCTTTTGCACGAAAACCCCCGTACAGGTAGTCCGCAGTAGCAGCGTGGTAGGTACAGTGATTATCGCAGATCGCGACATAGTTGGACTTCTGCCGCCGGCTGTCGAACCTGCAGATCATGATTCTCTATGACAAGATTGAGAAAGTAATCCAGAGAATTGTTTGACTCGTCCTCGCCAAGCCCGTTAATATAGCTGACGTGTTCTCCAACGGCGTAGATTCCTTTCCAGCCTGCGACTGGGTTCGTGCGGACAACGGAATCGATGGCTTCGAGTAGTTCACTCTTGTTCTCTGGAGCACCACGCTCACAGCTGAACATTTGTTCCAAGCCTTCTAGTTAAAGTCGGGCAGTGCACATGTTGCCGTCACGGTTTCGCGAAAGGTCCGTAGCAGGTATAACATTCTATCATAAACTTCATATCTCGTCGCCCAAAGAGTATCTACAGTCGTAAGTACCTGTCGATCGAGGGGCGAGGCGTAAGGACCTATACGAACCTCCACCGGTCTTTGGCAGCTGAAGCATTCGGAGCAGAAAGCGATATCACAGTGCCACTAGTTGCGGTGAGATTGCATCCTCTCCGACCGTTCACCACTCCTTAGTCCGGCTGCACACCAGGCGGCACTCTGTGTACAAGACAAGCACCTTCTCCAGCCTTGTGAACATGTATCCTTGGCTTCTACCTCCTATCGAGTTCTGCCCATCTCGTGTATGCCGTATCACTCCCTCTTTAAGCATTGGTTACGAACATGATCCACACCCTGCCACGTGAGCGGCAAGCACTGGAACCGCCCTTGTCAGCCAAACCGTTCCTGAGCAATGAGGTACTCTCATTGTCGTCTAGTTGTGATCGAGGACATACAGCAGCAGTTGCTGTCCGCTCCAGGTCTAACCAAACCCCTGGGTCGCCCCTTGCCCTCTTGTGAGACAGATGTGTTGTTTGCAGTTGAGACTTGTGGCTGAGAGCTTATATCACCACAGAGAACTTGGCTCCTTACCCTCGTTTTGTATATTGCTGACTCTGCTTTTCCAACAATGACAGCAACAACCTTCGTTCCACACAGTACATTTGTGTAATGCCGACTAGCATTGTAGGGAAAGAAGACTTGGAGTTGTTAGCTCAATTATCCAAAGGCTGGAAGAGTACTACCCATTGGACTCATTGTAACCTTTATCCTCAAGATTCCCTTAGCGACTGATTTTGTCGCTTCTTAAGTCCGCGATGTACCTAATGCTAAGCCCCAGATCACCGATCGTCTCCTGCAATTGGCTGTAGTCAAGGCTCTAAATAGAAGGACCAAAATAAGATAGTGTATGTAGAGTGAGATCACCCTATGACGCAGGTAGCTGAAATAGATCATAACTATTGGGGTCAAGGCTCTTGAGGAATCTTATCAGCAACTTCTGTTAGTTGGTTGCACTTTTGTTGCCAGTTGTCTCATAATCTGCTCGGTTCAGTCTGCGCTGTGACTACTTGCGCTGCACCTTACCTCCCTTCGCATTTTGGACTAACGGCGATCGGTTCTAGGCCGTCTCCAAATAGCACAGAAACTCCATTCACTTAGCTATAGCCTATAATACACCATGTTCCAGATGTTCTAGCTAGCAATCTCGTTATTGGACTCGTCACTTCTTCCTTGACCATCTTTTTCCAGAATATCTTCGTCAGCGTCTATCTCTGGCGGCTCGATGTCTCCAGATTTTAACTCGTCAGATTTGGGCTTCCTATTGGTAAATCATCCCTCCGTTAGTGCAAAGCCACCACACTAGCGCTGGAACCTCGGGTTCAGATACACCGCGCCATAGGTGCACATCGCATAAGAGCCCCTTGGACAAGTATAGATCGTGATTCAATAATAGCCTTGAGCTACATAACAGTTTAATATCTACTGCTTATAAAGTCTCAGAGCTTTTTCACACGTATCTTGCTATCTCATTATGAGTTTAATAAATATAACTATCTAACTTGTCGTTATCAAAATTATTTTACATTGAACGTAAACCCCATATAACCAACATCGCTTGCTGGCAGTATTGTAGCACGTAGCTTCTTATCCCTCACCAACATCGTATTGAGCACGCCCCAACACTAGAATGAAAGACAAGAGTTGAGGTCAACTGTCAACGATAACATGACTAGATTAGACATTGACAGTCTCAGTAACTTCATGGCCACAGGCTCGGTCGAAGTAGTAGAAGCTCATGGGCGAAGAAACAGTGTAAAGCTGCATCTTCGAGACCTCGGCAGTATAGAAGTAGCAGGTCTTGTACTTGACGTCGAAGCTGACAGCCTTACATCCACCACGGCAGGCATCGAGGCAGTTCTTCATGTTACCCTCAGCTTGCGACTTCTTGTACCAGGGGGTATTCGTGGCTCCGACGTAGCCAGTGGCGCCACAGGTCTTTCCTACAGCGTCCGCGACGCAAGCTCGGTCGAAGTAGTGGAATGTCATGGGCGAGTTGGTGACCTGGTAGAGGCGCATCTTGGAAACTTCGGCGGTGTAAAAGTAGCACGTCTTGTATTGGGTGTCGAAGCTGATGGCCTTGCAGCCGCCAGTGCAGGAGTTGAAGCAGCCCTCGATGGTGCCCTCGGCCTGTGACTTCTTGTACCAAGGGGTATTCGTGGCACCGACGTAACCGTTTCCGCCGCAGATGACGGGCTCAGGTGCACCCGCAAGGCAAGGGGAGGCATTGGAGAAAGCCGCGAGGGCAGTAGCAATGACGGTTGAGAAGCGCATAGTGATGGTGGTTATGGTCGTTATGTGGTTGTTGGGGAAGTTGTTTGGGAGGATGCAGCACCGTAAAAGCTGGCTGCTGTGATCGTTTATATAGATATTATGGACATTTGATTATTTTCACATCGCTCAGGCATCCTCGCATCCGTTCAGAGACTTGACCGTACGATCCGGAGCGACTCCCACCGACTTCCGAGAGCTGAAAGGCTGAATTAGACTATTGACCCATCCGCATGATTTTTCAATAGTTTTTTCTTGGCTGCTACGTTGTTTGCTGCTAATTTTGCTTTTATCCTTGGCTTTAACAATCGGAGATATCAGCATGGTATCCCATTGGACCTGGTCAGCTCTTGGTTGGGGTAAAGATAAGCACCAAAATATCAGGAGTAAAAGCCACAACTGATACACTAACGGCTTTTAGACGGGCAGAACATGTGTTGTTTCTGGGACATTTGGTAGGCTGTCATCCAGTCCACAACAGGTGTGACCATGAATTCAGAGGGCTTTTGGAACACAGAGATGATCGCCAAGATCTGGGGTACTCCGAATGCAGATCTGACAGAATATTCAACAGCACCCTCCGTAGAACTTCGGATGTTTCTAGATACTAAATGTTGTGTATATGGTTCGAAGCTCGCGTATATTCACAATTCTTTTAACAGCTTGGCCATGTAAGAGGGTAATGAGGAGGTTCGTTTAGAGTTGACAGTCGCCCAAGGCTTTCGATAGTCCAAAGCCACTTTTCTAAGCGAACCTGGGCTGGATCGTAGCGACTTTATAGCCCCGTGTACAGTACCCAATTAATCCTCCGACAACAATTTGAACTTCTCTTCGTCCCAATAATCCTGGTGTGAGTTTGAATCAGAGGTCGGCCGCTGTTGACACCGCACTGTATGACCACCAGCAATCAGGGGAACCATGAAGGTCGTAGCGATGTGCCATTGGCTCGTTGGCTCGCTCTGTCGGCCTTACCAGGATCTTGGGTTCCAGCAGCGGAAGACTCGGGGAAAAGTGCGGAATTGGTTTTCCTTACCCTTGATGGTTGTGTATCATCGGATAGCTTCAATTGGTCAAACTGAACTGCCAAGAGCCAATAGCTCCATGTTGGGTTGTCAGCTCGCCGCTCTTTATATCAGAACCAACCACGCGATAAGATAGCCGAGCGATACTGTCGCAACGTCGGGTTTCGACACCGCTGGGACACAGTGCCTGAGTGTCTGGTTGACATCTATATTGTCAATAGCCTGATGCTAGTGCCTGATGTGGTTGCAAGTGAGGGAGAGCTGAGCAGTTTCATCCGCAGCCATTGTGAGAATGGACATACTATAGTGTCATTATCCTTTCCTACATTCTTAGTAATAGTTTCAGCTATTAAGATATGAATTTTCGACCCTGCCCGGCCATACTGCGTCGGGCAGATCACATGAAGAGGTCACCAGCGTTGGGCGGCGGCAAAACAAGCGTACATCATCGACAAGAGCGCTGATATAGGAATTGCATCATGAATGGAGGCTTCTCTACATATCAACTTGTCATGTTGTAAAAAGGGACTCTACTAGAAAGACTCCGTGGTGGAACTAGAACTGTGAGCTGCTAAGAAAACGCATAATCTTTAGAGCTGCTGGGCATCTTTGTCTCCACAACGCGCGTCCAATCTCTGGCGTTTCATAGGCAAGACACAGCAATCCCTTTTCCTCATGTGACTTGCGTTCATTTTCTTCTCAAACCTGGTAAGCAAACCTTTGCAGACTCCGCTGATCTCGAGAAATAGTTGTGAAAGAGTGGAGTCTCCGTACGCAGTTTTGATCTCAAGTGTCAAGCCAGTATTGGAAATCGCATAACAATCATTAACAGATAGGTCGGGAGTTGATGTGACTGTCAAATAAGATCTATCCATAGTCTTTGATATCTAATGTAACGGAAGTTGTTTTTCGGAGATTAGACAGCTTCGGGCCCGATTTTACCTGCCTGATTGGTTCAACGGCGAAGGTGCAAGGGGATGACAAGGAATTGGGTTATGGTCAACAGTGTAGGGGAGATAGGCCCCTAGTAAGCGCAGGTAGCTAATAACGACCCTATTCACGAGACAGCTTCAGTATATATCCCAACCGTTCAATATAGTCAGTCTGTTTTGATTTCATAATGTTGTGCTTGCGACTTGTTACCATTGCCCACTGCAGACGATACGTATCAAATCAGGCTGTCGTCTTACGTCGTCGCTCAGCATCACTTAGAATTTATTGGCTAGAAATGCAAGAATTCCGACTCGCTAGACATCCATTCTTATCCAATGCCTAAGAGCCCCTCATTTTGCTTTCTGATGCACAGCCACTTTTGAGGTTGAAACCGAACACACAAAGTCAGTACTCAACAGGCCTCCAACTGCATCTGGTGAGCAATATTCTCGGAAACTCCGGCGAGCTTGACTTGACAAGACCATACTTATCTATTCCAGACCCTGACGGAGGGTCCCAGGTGTTGAATGGATCCTCTTAGCATCACCAGCGCCTCAGTCGCGCTGGCCGCCGCTGTCTACAAATGCACGATTGAAGTGAAAAAGATCGTTGGCACGATCGCCGACGCGGCCGACTCGCTCTCAGATCTAGCCGAAGAGGCTCAATTAATTCAGGGAGCACTCCAGGGTGTTGAGGACGCCTTGCAGGACAATCAAGAAGCAATCTCGCGATACAAGGTTGAAGAGGTTTTCTCAATTGCAGTCAAGGGCTGTCGCGCGACTTTGGCGTGCATCAAACAGGAGTTTGAGCTGCTTTTTAATCGGAGTGACTGGAAAGCTCGATTCATGGTATTATGGAAGGAAGACGATATGAAAAAGCTGCTCGGGCGACTTGATCGCAAACGAGAGAGTATCTTGTTGTTGCTTCAACTTCTGAGCCTGTAAGCCTAAACTCCAGAGATCCAATGTGAACCTAACTAACCGCATTGCCAAAGGAGCTCGGTACGAGAAGTTCAGGCGCTGGTCGCCAAGAAACAGAGTGCTTTGACAGTTGCGAAAGAGGATATAACGGCTCTCATACCGACCTACTGGAGTTGCCGTGATACGATTCTTGACTCGCTTGACAAGGAAACAGTCGACAGCATCTATGCGGACTGGGAGAATCGAGAGAGCAAGCTGAGTACAACCGAGTTTGACTTCGACTACGAACTCATCAACACGCGGGCCTATCGTCGAGCTCTTGCTCAAGCACAAGCCAAACGCAGCCGAGAGCTACCACGCAGAGAGCTTGACACCCCCGCCCGGGAACCTAACGCTGGGATCATAGAGCCAGTTGAGGACCTCATTGACTTGACCTCTGAGCCGAGTCAACAAACTGCTTCGATGCCATTACATATGCCCCCCAAGTCGTACTCGGACCTAGCAGGTCTGCAGTTCATGCCGATAACTGCGGACGAAAGGTCAGCTAGCGCTGGAAGCCTCGAAACTTCTGAAACTGCCGAACCGATAGATATGCGAGGGATGACTGACCATTTGAGAGAATCCGACATGTCTCCTGAGTCCAGAGATAAGAGTCCACAAAATCGGATGCCTGGAATCCGGCGGTGGCATCAAACTACAACTAAGGAAGCAGTGACTGAAATAAGACAAGACGAAACTCAACATGAAGAGGCACTGACGGGTCGACTGGCACAAACGATGTATCGTAATAGCAACAGTCTGTCCGCTGGACTGTCAATAGCGCGTCATCTACCCTCTTCCAAATCGCACGACTCCTTAGACATAGAGTACTTCGACGCTTTAAAAGGCCACAGTGGTCCCAGCGGTAAGCGTCGTCCTGGGGTTCGTGTACGAATAACGCCTAGTAAGAGGAAGGGTGTTGTCACAAAACACCACCCTGAGGTTACAGAGACTAGCCCCGATTCTCGTATACCTTGGGATGAGCTACTCGACGGTAGCCCTATGGGAAGTTCCAGAGCCCCAAACATTGGAGATTCGATTTTCCAAAAGGGCCCAGTCGATATTGAAATTGATCGCGGTCATAGACGACGACGGGCGGCAAGTCCACCGCAGGCCACCAAGATCGTGGATGAGCTACCAAAAGTCAGAATGATGTCAGCCAAGAACGCGGGCGATTCGAAATATGAACCCTATGATTCAGGATATATACCCGACGATGATATGAGACCTCGGAGTCGAAATATTGCCAGACGATCACGCCCCAAAGCCAAACAAAGCCAGCGCAGCAAAAGCACCGATTCCACCGAAGCCAACGCCGGGCCACCGCCAAATATAAACAACCCTAGGCTTCTCAAGACTGTCGAGGATGCTATACAAAGGCTGATCCTACCTGAGCTCAAAGCACTGAAACGTGAGACAGCACAACGTAGGCGACCATTCACTGGAGCAGAAGCTCGTGTTACATCGGCTCTTGCTGAGTCAAATGAAAAAGAGAAAGGAGGGGAAAACAAAAGGGAAGCAAGCTCTTTATTACATAGTTTAGATAAGGGTGAGAGAAATAGGAATAGGTTCAATAGAGAATGGGAAAGGCGGGAAAGGAGTTGATATTGTAAATGCGATTATACAGAGATTGAGAGAGAAGGATCTTAACAACGACAAACAAAATATACCTATAGGGCATTTATTATATAAGTATTTGTGATTCACTTGACTGTATGCAAAAACTTTGTATATTTAGCAGTATCTCCCTCAAGTTTTTAGATAGGCTTTATTCAACACACGGATAACAAACCATTTTATGGACCTTTGAGAAGATGAGTAGGAGCACAGATTGTTATGGCAATAGCTCTATCCGTCAGGTGAAAATGCATCGCGCGGTGTCTTCCAGACGCCTAGGTTTCTCCTCGCTGTCTGGCATACTGACTGAATTTACCCAAGCAAATAGCGATGATTTCATTCAAGTAGCTTATCTTGTTGGACATTGAGACAGATTATGTCATTCTACATCATCAAAATCTTAACGGCAAATAGGCCCGACGAGCATCAGACTATCTTCCATTTCTGGAAATCTGGGGTATCGGCCGGAAGTACGGACTTGAGAGACACTCCGTCCGTAGGATCCAGGAAGTGGTGTGCTGTTGGTGATGTGACATTGTGGGGGTGGATATTTAGCCGTTGAACAAATGGATCGATGGGATCGAAATAAGCATTTCTATTTGCGTATATCCGTATAGCCGCCTCGCTTGCGAATTTGTCAAGTATTGATCCAGGGGTATGGTCTTGTGTTATTCTCCGGCTGGGCGCAAATTATCAAGGCAATGGCAGGCATTTGAGATTGACTAGTCATCTAGATAGTAGAATCACCTTTCATGCCTGTCTCCGTGTCAACATATTCTGAGTCAATCTCACTTAATGGTGAGCAAATACCACCTCACCCATCGCCTAACCCCCATACGCAGCACCCAACCTGAAGCTATTCGGGAAGCGGACACTTGCAAACCCCGTAGACCACTCAGACCACTGACTTTAAGCTCACGCCACCAATTCTGTCAAGACAACGCTATGGTTGGCCTGATCTCCTCAGGTCAATTGATCACCTGCAACCCTTGAAAAGCGGGCCGCCAAATGATTGGTTTTCAGTGGGTGACCCCTGTAACTCACCCCTGTAATGGCTTTGCTGATGGAGGGTCAGATCTGTCCGAGTAACTCAAAGGCCCCAGGTTTTTTACGTTTTCGCATTTCGGTTTCGCTATTCTAAACGCGAGCTGCCGCGTGTTTGAACGACTAGGTTTGGATGGTGATTGTATAAGTATCTGGTCGTCTTGTATAAGGAGGGATCGTGCAAAATGATTATTTTGTAGCTCAGGAATTGAGACATTGAAAGAAATGAACTGGGTATCGTCATAAATGCAGGCAAGTCATCCATCAACGTCTGCCAAAAGGTCCATCCCCAAAGAAAGACCTCAACTCCCATGAAGTCAAAGCCCCAATCGCAAGAAACCGGGTCTCAAGAAATGTGAAGCTTCATGCCAGGAAGACTTCAATGTCAAACAACAAACCGACCGACCATCCATATTTTCTTGGAGAACTTATTCGCACGAGAGAACGACTCCAGGTGTCCATCACTCTGCTTCTGTAGGCGACGGCTCTCTGCTTCTCTTCCTTTTCAAATCATCACCGTCGTGTAAACTCAACGGTGATTGCTCGCGTTGATTTGGCGGACTATGCTCTGGTGTTGGAAGTCTTATGCAAGTGCAATGCCTGAGAAGTTCTTCGCATCTCGCAAGTCTTTCCAGAAGATCTTGATTCGGACGTCTGCGCTTCCTTGGCGGAGCTGGTAAACTTGGAGTGCAGACTGTTTTGAGCTATCAAGCTGTCAGTATCTGAATCATTAGGACCTTTTAGAGCGGTTTACCCTTATGCAATTTGAACACGGACTCTTCCGATCGCATTTCTTTTTCCTCTGTTGGCAGAGCACACATGACAGCACTCTCTTGCCCGTCTTCTTCGGCTCCGAATCCACTGACGTATTTGTAACTGTAGGACTCAAGTCCGTAGACTCATCCCTATGAGAAACAGGACTCGACATTTTCGTATAAATTTTACGATAATTATCTTTTTACAATATCTCAACTCGCATCTCATGAGATGTCGATGTCGACTTTAAAAGCATATAGCCCAAACTCTGACCCTCAACGACTAGGGTGAAGACGATTGGGTAGCAGATCATGCAACAAAATCCATGTCGGAAAATGGGGTGCCACACTCGGGCAGTCGGGCTCGAGACGCATCCCGAGAACTCTCCACAACTTCCCGACGCGAGGGGTGGCATACCGGGATATTGGAACTTGGAGATGCGGGTAATTTTGGTGAACATGCGATTCGGGAGACGCAGTCTGTCAAGAGTCCGCTTGGCCGACTTAAAAGGAGGTTTATGTGTTCATCATCACGATACTGAAGCTTTATTTCCAGCAATTCGTTTCAGTTTTGTCTTATTGGAAATTGTGTTGATATGAGAGGCTGGAGCGTATTGGGCATCAGATCATAATGAGTCCACTCGCATGCAAGTCGCTTGTACTCAATCTCTAGATTTCTGAATCTCAAACCTCTCGACTTATACTATCTCTATCAAGAAGCAAGTAATCAACATATCCCATAGTACTCAAGAAGATACACAGGTCAAGCAAATCAATCATGGCATCAACTTATATGGGCGGTACCTCCGTCCAGCCAGCACCACTACCTGGACTGGAAAATGTGACGACAAATAATCAGACTACTACCTCAACTCATGACACTCAAGCCCCCGTGAATCCAAGTTCAGACACAACTCCCACGAACTATTCTCAAGACCACATGGCTTCCAAGGACGAAACACCAGCCAAATCCACCACAGAAGATGAAGAAGACTCGGAACTCGAGCGCAGACACAGCATTGTCCGCGACCTGGCACGCCAATACACCAACCAGAGTCAAATGTCTGCTATCAGTGGCAATCCCTTTACAGCAGATGAAAACAGTCCCCTGAATCCCAGAAGTGACAAGTTCAGAGCGTTGGCTTGGGCAAAGGCTATTTCGAAATTGCACAGTGAAACTGGCTTCACTAATCGCAAAGCTGGTGTTTGCTATCAGAACTTGAACGTATTTGGATATGGCCAGCCCACAGATTATCAGAAGAACGTGGCCAATATTTGGCTTGACGCTGCTTCACTTCCACGACAGTTGATGGGATATGGAAAGACAAGGATCGACATCATTCGAGACTTTGATGGAGTTGTCAAGAACGGAGAGATGTTGGTGGTATTGGGTCCGCCTGGATCTGGCTGCTCGACATATCTCAAGACCATTTCCGGCGAGACAAGTGGTATCTACATCAACGATGATGCATACTTCAACTACAGGGGTAAGTCAATAGGCATAAAGGGGTTTTGGGCTAGCTGAACATCATCAGGCATAACGGCCCATGAGATGCACACCCGCCATCGCGGAGAAGCAATCTACACCGCAGAAGTAGACGTCCACTTCCCCCACCTCACAGTCGGCGACACCCTCGACTTCGCCGCCCACGCCCGCGCCCCACGCTCTATCCCCGGCGGCATCGACCGTGAGACCTTCATCTCGCACTCCCGCGACGTGGTAATGGCCATGTTCGGCATAAGCCACACGGTAAACACAAAAGTCGGAAACGAGTACGTCCGCGGCGTATCCGGCGGCGAGCGCAAACGCGTCACCATCGCCGAAGCCTCGCTCAGCGGCGCGCCGCTGCAGTGCTGGGATAATAGCACACGGGGCCTTGATTCAGCGAATGCGGTTGAGTTTTGTAAGACGTTGAGGCTGCAGACGCAGATGTCTGATACGGCGGCTCTGGTATCGATCTATCAGGCCCCGCAGGCTGCTTACGATATCTTTGATAAGGTTGTTGTGTTGTATGAGGGGAGGCAGATTTTCTTTGGGGGGACCAAGATGGCGAAGCAGTATTTTGTTGATCTGGGTTTTGAGTGTCCTGCGAGACAGACGGTGCCGGATTTCCTGACGTCGATGACGAGTCCGCAGGAGCGAATTATTCGGAAAGGGTTCGAAGACCGTGCACCAAGGACACCAGATGAATTCGCAGCAGCGTGGAAAGCTTCCCAAGCCAACGCCCGTCTGCAACGAGAAATCGAAGAGTATAAACGCGATTTTCCGATCAATGGTCCAGAAGCAGAAGAGTTTAGAGCGAATCGACGCGCAGCGCAGGCTAAGAACCAACGAAAGAAGAGTCCATACACGTTGAGCTACTGGCAGCAAACGAAGCTCTGTGTCTGGCGGGGCTTCAAACGCTTGGTTACAGATCCGACTATAACGCTTACGCAGTTGTTTGGGAATTTCATCATGGCGCTGATTGTGGGGAGTGTGTTTTATAATATCGATCAGACGACCGCGAGCTTTTTTCAGAGGGGTGCTTTGCTTTTCTTGGCTTGTCTTTCGAATGCGTTTTCTAGTGCTCTTGAGGTAAACCTGATATCTTCATCATATCCACGGCTTTGGACTAACAGTTCCAGATTCTTACGTTGTATGCTCAACGACCTATAGTCGAGAAGCATGATCGCTACGCCCTATATCATCCATCGTCTGAAGCAGTGGCTTCTATGCTCTGCGATATGCCCTACAAGATCCTCAACGCCTTCACATACAACCTAACACTCTACTTCATGACCAACCTCCGCAGAGAGCCCGGTCCATTCTTCTTCTTTCTTTTCATCACATTCCTCGTCACGCTCTGCATGTCCATGATTTTCAGAACGATTGCTTCTGCGTCTCGAACACTCTCTCAAGCTATGGTCCCCGCTGCTCTTCTCATCCTCGCGTTAGTTACTTTCACGGGCTTTGTTATCCAGATTGACTATATGCTTGGTTGGTGCCGATGGATCAACTACGTCAATCCGCTTGCGTATGCGTTCGAATCACTCATGGTGAATGAGTTTCATAACCGCAAGTTTGAGTGTAACTTGTTCATCCCTACGTATCCGGATGCAGCGCCTGAGAATCGCGTTTGCTCGACTGTTGGGGCTGTACAGGGTGAACCTATGGTTTCAGGGGACAGATACATCAATTTGTCCTTCTCATACTACCATGCGCACAAGTGGCGAAATGTAGGTATCGTCATCGCTTTTACACTTCTTTTCCTCGCGACATACATGTTCTTCGCCGAAACCGTCAGCGCAAAGAAGTCAAAAGGAGAAGTTCTTGTTTTCCGTCGAGGACACAGACTTGCAAAGAACAGAGTTGATGCAGAGTCCAGTCCAGCAGGTCGCGTGGCTATTACTGAGAAAGAAGGCTATGGAGAAGGACAGCCGTCTAACTTCAAGTCAACGAGTGTCTTCCACTGGAACAACGTGTGCTACGACATCAAAATCAAGAGTGAAAACAGGCGTATTCTTGATAACGTAGCCGGATGGGTCAAGCCCGGTACAATGACAGCTCTAATGGTACATCCCACTTCTGCTACCACCATTTTCAACACTAACAAGCCCAGGGCGTTTCAGGAGCCGGTAAAACAACCCTCCTCGACTGTCTCGCCGACCGCACAAGCATGGGCGTTATCCACGGCGACATCCTCGTCGACGACAAACTCCGCGACGCCTCCTTCCAACGCAAAACAGGCTACGTCCAGCAACAAGACCTGCACCTATCCACAACAACAGTCCGCGAAGCCCTCAACTTCTCCGCCATAATGCGTCAGCCAAAACACATACCGGTAAAACAGAAGATCGCATACGTTGATGAAGTCATCAAGATGCTCGACATGCAGGACTATTCTGAAGCAGTCGTCGGTGTTTTAGGCGAGGGCTTAAATGTGGAACAACGGAAACGATTAACGATCGGTGTTGAACTCGCTGCAAAACCGCCAGTTTTACTGTTCGTTGATGAGCCTACGTCGGGATTGGACTCACAGACTTCATGGGCTATTCTAGACTTGTTGGAAAAGCTGGCTCGTAGCGGACAAGCTATCCTCTGCACCATTCACCAACCATCAGCCATGCTCTTCCAGCGCTTCGACCGCCTACTCTTCCTAGCCAGCGGAGGGAAAACAGTGTATTTTGGAGACGTCGGCGATCATTCCCGCACAATGACTCAGTATTTCGAAGCACACGGCGCAGAACCATGTCCGCCTGAAGCAAACCCCGCAGAATGGATGCTCGAAGTAATCGGCGCAGCACCCGGTTCCGAGACGAACCTCGACTGGCCGCAGATCTGGAAAGACTCCTCCGAATTCGCTGCTGTGCAACAACACTTGCAGGAACTATCTCATCATAGGGTTGAGAAGAGTCAGGATGAAGATCCGCATTTGTACGATGAGTTTGCTGCTACGTTTACGACGCAGTTGAAGTACGTGACCACACGAGTTTTTGAGCAGTACTGGAGAACGCCTTCGTATATATACTCGAAAGCGGCGCTGTGTACGCTCGTCGCATTGTTCATTGGCTTTTCGTTTTATCAGGCGCCCAACACGGCGCTTGGGCTGCAGAATCAGATGTTTGCGATTTTTCAGGTGTTAACTGTCTTTGGACAGCTCACGCAGCAACAGGTAAGCCAAAGTCCCTCGAATCTGTTCTAAATTGAGCAAGACTGACTGTTTAGATGCCTCACTTTGTCATTCAACGAGATTTGTACGAAGTCCGAGAACGACCCTCCAAAACCTACAGCTGGCAGGTCTTCATCCTAAGTCAAATCATCGTCGAAATCCCCTGGAACACTCTCATGGCTGCGATTATGTACTTTTGCTGGTACTACCCTATCGGTCTATACCGCAACGCCGAACCCACCGATGCAGTAGCTGAGCGCGGCGCCCTAATGTTCCTGCTCTTCCTCGTCTTCATGCTCTTCACCTGCACCTTTACCGATTTCATAATCGCAGGGTGCAGCTCAGCCGAAACAGGAGGAAATATCGCCAACCTGCTCTTTATGATGTGTCTCATATTCTGCGGTGTTCTCGCACCACCGGACAGTTTCCCCAAATTCTGGATCTGGATGTATCGGGTCAGTCCCTTTACATACCTCATATCCGCCATATTGTCCACCGCTGTGGCGAATACAGAAGCTGTCTGTGCGCAGAACGAATACGTTGTTTTTCCACCGCCGGAGGGTCAGACGTGTGGGCAATACATGCAGGCGTATATCAAGAGTGCGGGAGGATATCTTGTGGACAAGAGCAGTAATAGTACATGCACGTATTGTACTATTGGAGACAGTAATGTGTTTTTGGCGAGGGTTCAGTCACATTATGATGAGAGGTGGAGGAATTTTGGGTTGATGTGGGTTTATATCATCTTTAATGTTTTTGCGGCTTTGGCGCTGTATTGGCTTGTTAGAGTCCCGAAGAATAAGAAGGGCAAGAAGGAGAAGAAGGAGTGAAGAGTTATGAGACAGGCAATAATGGGACGACCACTTTTCTTGGTTCTGTATATCAAGTCATTACTATTTGAGGCTTAATTGAAAGCGCGCTTGTCACAATCGCTACTCATCACCGTCCTGTGTCCATCTTGAGCTTCTCGCACAATTCAATGCGAACAGAATTAAATATTCTTCAATTCTCGGTGTCCCATAACTGCTATCTTAAACTCCAAGCAGCTCAAGAGTTCCATGGTCGACAATACAAGCAGAGTATCTCTCTGCCATGGCGAATACCACCTTATCTGGCTGCATAGTCTGAGGAGTCATAGCCCATAGGAAGCCTTGCATACTATATCGTCGGTAATCATCCCACATATCCTCCCTTGTCAACTTCGGCCCTCCCTCTTTATGCAAAGCCTCCAAATACGTATCAACCAGACTTGCTTCATGTTTCCGTCTATCCTCAACAGTTAGAGCACCCGTGAGGAAGTAAGCCAAGTCAAGAACCGACGGTCCATACTGCAGACCCTGCCAATCGATAAACCCAGGAGTGCCATCATTCGCAATCAGTGTATTGCCGACATGGTCATCGCCATGAATCAGTGAGTAATACTTCTGATCCGCATCTGCATGTTTCCAAAGGGCCTGAAAAGCCTTGCGTATGCGATCAGGGTCAAGGAGCTCCTTCGCAACAGGCGGCCGAACCTTTTCGTCGAAACGGGCTCCCCATGGTGCAGGCTCCAGGAGCGCAAGGATAATGTTTCGAACAGGGTTCTCCAGCTTTGATCCGTCTTTTCCAAAGAGCCAAGGATATTCTTCTTCCTTAGTATTCCATGTCTTTGCGTGCAGACTGGCGAGTTGCTTTAGGGCTTCTCCAACACGCTCAGGTGCCCATGGTTCCAGGGGAGTGCCGAAAGTAGCTTCGCTTGAGACATCTGACATGATGAATATGCCTTGCCCGTTGACTGTATCTGTACCTGCGAACCAGATCTTGGGAAGAAGCATCGTCGTCTGCGGAGCGACATGATAGTAAAACTCAGCCTCGCGACGATAAGTTGGTAACATCTGAGGAACCGTCTCACGAATCACCGGATTAAACCCACCCTTCAGGACAACCCTAATAGGAATCTCCGTTTCAACACCATCTCCAAAAATGAGGTCCACAAAGACTTTGGACGAAGTGCCGTGTATAACAGAACTGATCTTAAAGTCCTTCACCGCAACGCCAAGAGCTTCAGATAGCCACTCAGAAGTAACCTCGTCCGGCGTTAACGGCAGCGGCTTTTCACTGTCGAAATTACCCCTCGGGGCTTGAGATCCCGTGACAAGGGAGTTAAACATCGTGATCGATTGTTTAAAAGGAGGATACGGGGAGAAAAAGTGGTGTTGCTTGTTTGTTGCATCAGCCAGTAACGTGGATTATATACCCTTGTCGGGTCCTCATTGCAACCCGCTTATAGCAAGCTTATCTGCAAGGGCACTACTCGCTGTTCGTATCAGCTCCTTGTTAGGTGGATTTCCCGTCCAGTTGGAGGCCTGGTCCGTTGTAAGAAAACCGTTGGTTCACCCTTGTAAAATCCGACCGGGAGTTACATCCGCCATTTCGTCAGTGGAACATGTTTCATCGTCCGAGATATAAAGTTTACGCTAGTTCCTTCGTCGTCAGCTCAGGAAATACAACTCATGCCACATTCTGCATGTTTCTCTTGTCAACCAGGGTTCTTGTATAATCATATCATTAGCTCTGATGCGGTTGTCAACTCGACAAGACTTGGACCAAGAAAGAACCATTCTACGACATTTTAATAATACCTCTAGCAAGAATCCTCTACTAGAATGGTTGCGAAATTTCTCTGAAGCAAAGTTTATCCCGCGGGAGTATTGGGTTGATGTTGGGCTCACAGGTGACCAGATCCTGACACTGATCGCCGTTAACCTAACCTCATACAGGGTGCAACTCGCTAGGGCTGATGCATGATACCAGAAATGCAACAGCTTATTCAGGAGTCACTCATCATGAACATGTCCATTCTAATGCCGATGTATCCTTCAGAAATTGCTGTCTGATTGGTGCTGGCTTGGCACTAACGGCCTTTCTTTCCAGGGGCTTGAGAACTCTACATTGTCGCATCGGCTTGGCTTTACGAAAAATCCCTACAATGCAACATCACATCAAGTCCAGCTGAACCCTTCAGCCAGCTGTAAATGTGACCTCCTTCCCGCTTCTCGCAATGCATTTTGGCTTGAGTTAAAGTCTTCGGCGTCATGGCTACTCTCGATCCTGGGGTGGATATCTACAACACGTCCGTTGTACCGCCGCCAATTGGCCAGGAGTCCAATTTTGACAGACCGCTCTCCGACGTGCAACTCGCGACAATCACGGTCTTTGCGGTCACGTACTTTCTCGCCACGGTCTCTCTCGCTCTTCGATATGCCACAAGTGCGCTGGTCGTTAAGGAATGGGAACTCGATGTCGTGCTCATCACGCTCGCATGGGGAACGGCGTTGGGCTACTTTATCTCGGTTTGCTTCATGATGAAGTACGGATGGGGGTCGCATGCTTGGGACGTCTCCCTTGCTGATATGGTTCAGTACAACAAGGTACATATACTAATCTCTTAGATATAGTCGTTCTTTACTGACAATGATAGTACCTCTCTCCGACGACGTTGACGTACATGTGGAGTCCGACCCTAACGAAGCTCTCGATTCTCTCCGTTCTTTATCGCATCAGCCCGGCGCGAGGCTATCAGATCTCGGTCTACGTCATTGCAATCGCGTTGTTAATATATACCATCACCTTCACCGTCCTACTCTCAGGGCCTTGCAATCCGAAAGACGTTGGATCGGGTGTCTGCTTAAACAATCTAGCCATCTCCCAGGTCGTCTTGAACATCGCGACCGATTTGTCGATCATCATTCTCCCGCTTCCCACGTTGCATAATCTTCAAATACCCTTTCGCCAAAAGGTTGTCGTCGGCTGTATTCTTTCTATTGGATCTGCGTACGTATCTACAGTTTGACTACGATACAAAGACATACTAACTGAAGCTGCAGGGTTCTGATCGCATCCATCGTCCGAGCCCCTTACGTCCACATCATGGCCACCAACCCCGATTTCACCCGGAAACAAGCCGAAGCCGGCATATGGTCCCTGGTCGAACTCAACATGGGCATTGTATGCAACAACCTGATGCGGCTGAAGCCGTTCCTCAGAACATACCTTCCTAGAGTCTTGACCTTTCTCGGTCTCACAGCGAAGTCGAAGCCTCAAGGAGAGAACCCTTCGAAGTCCAGCGGGAACTGGAGGGGCAGGCCTTCTCACAGTTATCAGCTCAACAGCTTAGAGCATGAGGATCCCCATCATAAGAGTTTTAGAAAGGAGCCTTCAGTGGATGAGGCTGCTTTTGGGGACTTGGACAAGGAACCATCACGCCATAATGGTAGCACTGATGATATACTTAGATCATGACAGTTATCCGCCGTTCCAGAAACTACAACAGCTATTTACAAGAGTTCACAAAGGTATTTAAATAGAAACATTGGCTAGCCATCCTTTCCGATAACGCGACCCTCCCGTTGTACTCCGACACATGCAAATCCTGAACACCATATCTTCGTTATAACGCAAGAGCCTCGGTTAGCTTGAGCTTCCGTAACCAAGACACGCTCTGCCTATCGAAACTCCCAAGGCTGCCACGAAATGACTGCCCAGCAGTTTATTCTTTCTCGCGGCCATCGTCGACTTGAAGATACATATCTGTAGAAAGGCCTTGTTGGCCTACCCCATAGATTTGATCAGGCTCTATGGTACCATCTAGTTCCCCTCTTCCAGTAAGTCCCAGCTGAGATGCAGGAAGTACAAGGCTTTGACCAGTTGTGAACGCCCTGCCCTACAACCTCGGCGGTAATGACGTTACAGGTGAACCAGCACCCGGTCTTCATTGAGAACGCGCGGGTTAGGGTTGAGTGACCACATAAAAAGTGGTTGGTGTTCATGATCCAGACGCACATTGTGAGTTTTATGTGGAGTCTGTTTGAAACAGCAAAAGCTGGCTGATGAGATATGAGGAGGGGGAGAAATTGCCGGCAGCTGCGCAGGCTGAATAAAAGGCAATAGACAGATGTAGCTATTGTCTATATCGCCGAGAAGTGAATTTTCGTCGGTATAGCTCTGAAAAGCTTGAATGATGAGAAGCAACAATCAAGATGGATACTCGCGAGGAACTGAGCCTTGTTATTTATGTCGCAGGTTGCGCGTCGCATACGAAACCAAGCCTGATGGCTCTCATATGCACGATATCACACCTGACTGAGTCTGACCAACGTGTTGGCTGAGTTGCAGATACAAGAAACAAGGGGTTTGAAAAGGATGTCCAAAGTGCAGTACATAACAACCGTGATACCAGAAGCCACAACTCTGACTGCTCATGGTTACTGTTCGGAATAAATTCTCCGAAACAAAAGTGAAGGGCTTTTCACCGTATTCCGTATTAGGAAGGTTTTATGATATGGTGCTTACTGATGACGCCTCCAGAGCCTCGTGAGGCATAATCCTTCCTATTGGCTCTTGTTCCAAAACGACAAATAATCCATGTATATAGGTAAGCAAGGCGGAATCCGACAGGGCGAACGGCTGTCCACGTAAGACGTGATCGGGTCAGCACTACTGCTGTGCCACTTGACAGCCTGAAAATGCAGATTGATAACTGAGAAGTCGGAGAAACGTTAATTCAGCTACTTGTTTGGTCATGAGCTGAGAATCCTACAGATGCATGGATAGGCACTCATTGGCTGGATGGCGTTGCCTCACTCAAGAAGTAGGACACCATGTCAGCATCGCTTCCAAAGAATGGGGCCTCACTCGATTAATTGTGACAATTGTGCGGTTTTTCTTAATTGATATTGGCAAAAGTCTCTATCGCTCCCATCGCTGCCCAGTGCCAACTGACATATTCACGCAGCCTCACTCCATGGCTACGGAAACATAGCTTTCAGGTTGGTATGGTATGATCCGATGATGAGGCATCAATATTAATGCCCGAAGGATTTTGTCTCGAGAATGCGACGCTGGGCTTTATGTTCCTGTCGCGTGGAATGGAAGTTAACCGAAGGCCTCTACAGTTCGGTGAAATCATACTGACTGCGACGCCTCTCGGCCATTGCATCAACTGCCTGAAGATCGTTCAGATAGCAAAATAATGAGGAGTTGAATGCAAAAACTAGGCCTTAACGGAGGGAGGCATAAACAGCAGTGTAAGGTTTGCCAGCAGTATAAAAACAGTGCACAGGGGCTCAGAGAGCCAGGATCGATTTCCAAGAAAAGATATCAAAATCTCCAATTAATTACTATTCTATTCTATTCTAAAAATCTCTAAGCATCTAACTTCATCTAGACATTGGATATCAACGCTAACACCCAAAAGCGCCATAAGACGCAAATCATAATTCAACCTGTTTTGTCCGTCTTGGATTACACTTCGTCTATTTGTTGGAGGACTTGGGCTTCCAGAGAACCCAAGCAAAAGTGATACACAGCTTGAGGAACGCAGCGATCCAAAGAGCTCCAGCAAATCCAACCCAGGACTTAGACAAGAAACCACCGGAAACAGCACCAGCGAAGAGAAGCACAGCTCCAGTGGCTCTTCGGTTTCGATCGGCATTGTCGTTGATAGGCGCAGTGAAGAGCTTTGCGTCGCTCATCATGTCGCAGTACAAACTTGTCAAGACAATAGTCGGCATGGCGTTGTACTTGAGGACACGACTGGCGACAATTTGGCCTGCACTCTGGAAAGCGAGAATGATGATGGCGGCGTAGTCAGTTGCTGGGAACGAGTCCTGGACTCTCTCGATAATCCACCCGTCTTCGTGCACTGTTTCCCTACCATGAGGATGGTTATAGACTGCACCGGTTGTAGCGAGGATAGCTACGAGACCAGTGAGAAGAGCCTGGATCAAGAATGAAGTGATGAGAACCCATCGCTTCTGAGGTCCGAAAAATCGGTGGAAGCTTGAGAAGAAGAGAGCTCCAAAGGCGAAGCAAACAATAGCGAGAAAACAGCGAGACCATGCTTTTCCAGGTAGGTTTTCGGGTTGATGACTGACGCCGAGACCAACAAAGATTGTGTTTCCTGCAACATGTGAGTTTGAGTTTTGAGATATCGATTGAGGCATATGAACTGACCTGTTTGCATACTGACGAAACAGCCATACATGTTGAACGCAGCGCTATCAACGAGACCAGCCACGAAGAAGCAAATGAGCAGCAGAATATCACCCCATCGCGTATCAATCTCCGTCGTGAATCTGCTGGCCACAGGGCTCTTGGACTCTCCCTTTGGCCCAGCTTCGGGGTTATCGCTACCAGAGTCGGGCATATTGACCGAGATGCCAAAAATTTCGGAGAAACTGCCGAAACGTATTTCCTCTCAAGAAGTCGTTTCCAACGTCGATAACGCAGTTCGTTTCAATTCAACGGTCGCAAGAGTAATGACGTCTTTGAAAAAGTGAAAATATTTTTCTAGTCGACGCCTCGAAAGTTATTTTTAAAGGGAGGAGAAGAAGAAAAAAAAGAGTCACTCCTTTAATCGGGATGACGTGCTGGGTGGGCCCACTATTATTGGGAGCGAAAATTGTCTGGGCTGAAAGAGATTAGGATGCGGCGATTTCGGCTCTGAATTGCTTCGCCAAGAAGCGTGCACAGACGATGCGTACGTGGACTAGTCTGGGCAGAATATTGTTAATGGGCTCTGTCTTAGTGGATAAGGCGAATTATGTCTGTAAAGAAACGTTATTCATAAGCCAAAGTTACAGCCTTTCCTTTATTTTTGACAGCTACAATGGAGCACAATCATATCATTAAATGTCAAAGAGAGAAGAGATGCCAAGGTGCACTGCCTCGGATCAATGGGGCGCCTTCTATTGACAAAACAATACCAAGAATCGCGTATTGCCAAGCCGGCACTTGGCTTCCCATGCCGAGATCAATTTTTCTAGGCACTTAGACACCGCAACCCGCCAAGGACAATGAGTTTCGAACAGACTTGATCAGTTTTGTTTAGATTATGTCCCTCAAAATCGTCATGTAGCACAAGTCAGTTCTCAGTCGTGTGGCTAGAGAAGACGGTATCTGAAAGCAGGCAAGCAGTCTTCGGTGACTCAACCGGATAACAAGACATGTTAGTACAGTCCTAGCAAAGCATGGAAAATATTTTCTGTCATAATCAAACCTCCTTGCAATTGATTACTTTATATCCCATGCAGCCTTCCAACATTGATTGTTTATAATTATCTCGTGTATCTATCTGCCTACCCTGCACAGCTGCTGTGGCGTTTTGGTATTTCAATAGCCTCATTGCAATGCTTGGCTTTATTGAGTGATAACGCCAATGAACATTCGTATATAAGCCTTGAGTTAGAATTGGCGTTCAGAAAAAAGTAATAGCAGGTTCAGAGTCATCTAAAATTGATTGACTGATATTTCGTGTGAGCAAGCCACATGTGGCGCAGCACCAAGCACAAATGTTTTATGCAGGCAAAATTTAGCGGTGCATTTCTTCTTCTGCACCTCAATTCACAACATCTCCCATCATGTCGAACTCTGCAAACTCACAACCTGATAGCTTAATACAAGCGGAAAAATGTAAAGAATACTGGGAGACTGTTGCTTCCGATAGTAATGGGATGCTTGGCGGCGTTCTGGCTGTCATGCCCTCCGTTTCCCGCATTGATCTGCAAGGTTCGCGCACGTTTTTGGCGAGGCTAGGAATTGGCATCAAGAGTGGAAGACAGAGGATACCAAGAGTTCTGGAGGGAGGGGCAGGGTAAGCGTTTGTCTGATGGCCGAGGACAAAATTGCTAACTGTAAACTCGATAGAATTGGCAGGATCACAGAAGGACTGCTTCTCAAGCTGGCAGATCACGTTGACGTCGTCGAGCCCGTGGCAAAATTCACAGAAACCCTACGCGGAAAGCCTGGTGTAGGAGAGATACATAATGTTGGCCTTGAGAAATGGGAACCCACCGAGGGAGCTGTGTACGACCTGATCTGGATCCAATGGTGCATAGGGCATCTTAACGACGACGAGTTGGTGCAGTTCCTGGAAAAGTGCAAGACTGTGCTACAAAAGGAGCATGGCCTCATTGTCTTCAAGGAGAACTTGAGTACATGGGGACAGGACAAGTTCGATGAGCTTGACGGTAGCGTTACAAGGTAAGATTCTTCCAGCTGGCTTTCTGAGGCTTGGGCTTGGCAACTGACAAATGAATAGAGAGGATGCAAAGTTCCTGCAACTTTTTGACAGGGCAGGGCTGAAGCTGGTGAGATCGGATGAGCAACGTGGGTTCCCAGTTGTGAACAAGCGGCAGTTGCTTCCATTAAAGATGTACGCACTACAGCCAAAGAGTTAAACTAGTAAATAAAAGGCTTGTTTCTTTCATATATTACGCGCACATACACACACATATATATTTACAACTGATATATAGTTATACATTATTTAATCATTCTGAACATAACATCTAAATATATACATCTCAGACCTTCTTAATGGAAAGTGTGAGCGTTTAAGTGCTGCAATAACGGCGTTTAATTACCCAACCATAGACCGATGCTGGGATGTATGGATCATGTACGTGGTACGGCGGATACAGAGCACCTATGATTGGTTCGTGGAAGAAGAGGCCCAACCATTCATTACAGGCCTGTTATTAGCTATTTAAAGCCTCATACCTCAGCGTCGCAGGATTATTCATAAGTCCTGACACTACAATTGTTGGAATATTTCCTCATGAAGTTGAGCTCAGGCTCACATGTTAACTAATGCTTTTTGTCCTGCTTGAGATTCTTCATTTATGAGATGACAAATGCCCCTTGCCCATACTAGATTCCTTCACAGCCAGCAAAACCATGCAAGACCCCCAAAATACCCAAGAAGAAAGCAGCGGGCTTTCATTAAGGCCGATTCAAAATGACAGCGAAGTATCAGATATAAGTCTGCTATGGCAGAGTGCCATTGATCGTTACAAGGCGATCACGGGCAAAGAGGTGGATTTAAAACGCACTACCAACGTGCAGCAAGTTCTTGACACAATAGAGGATAAGGAAGAAAAGTTCAAATGGCGTCGCCATGATGGTTCTAAGATTGACAAGTTTAGGACGCTTGTCAAAGAGGCATTGGCCCCTATTCAATTGATCGGAGACATTATAGTGAATGCTACTAAAACAGTAAGATGTCTTGTCATCTATCTAACAGTACTAACTGCCACGCTAGATGTATCCGGCGACGGAGGCCATATTCGCCGCTGTGCGGTATCTTATAAGTGTGAGTGGCATGGGCTCCTTAACCACTTTGATTTCTAATCCCTTTCAGGTCTCGAAAAGCGTTTCCGCAGACTACGACAAACTCGAAAGCTTCTTTGAAGATTTGAAATCATATTTGACGCGTCTAAGCGTGTTGGAGAATAATATTCCGGCAGTTCCGGAACTCAAAGCGGCACTTACTGAAGTTCTGATATCAATTCTAGTTCTTTGTGCCATATGTACGAGGTACATGAAGACGAAACGCATCAGTAAGTTGCTTCTTTCTCCCTCATTCCTCTCCCTCGTTCTTCGCCAGCCTCAGTTTATATCGCAGTCGGAGGGCACAAAGTGTTTCTTCCTTTGCTTACGAAGTCAACAGTCAAGGCATTTAGAGCTCTTCTATCCGGAGAAGACTCCGAGCTGAAGGAAGCTTATGAAAACCTCCGCAAGGCAGTTGAACGAGAGAAAGGGGTTGTCAGGAACTGCATTTTACTGGGAGTGGAGAAGGGCAAGTTTCATGCTCGAGCGGCCGTTACTGGGATAAATGAGAACTTGGCTCGGGCGGAGCGTATTGATCAAAAGCTGGAGTACGTGATGGAGGAATCGAAAAGGACGAATGGATATTTGGAAAGTGAGCATTCGGCATTGGCTTCCGGTACCAAGCTAATCGAAGTTTTCAGCCCACGAAGTAGCCGTTGAGCGAGAAAGTCTCATCAAATGGCTGTCGAGTCTTGATTTTTGTGACAAGCAACGCAGTCTTTTCTCGAAGCACCATGGCGATACGGGGAGATGGTTGCTCAACTCGAATGAATTCCAGGGGTGGTTCTCTGTCAGTGATGAGGAAAGCTCTATGCTATGGTGTGCTGGAAATCGTATGAGAACCCATTTTTGAGCTTGGGAGTGCCAGTGATGCTAACTTTCTCAACAGCTGGCTCTGGCAAGTCGGTCATGATGTTAGTATTTCATTCATCGATATGACTGCAGGAAGACTGTTGTCTTACATACTCTCATAGGTCCACCGTCATCAACTACCTCGAAGAAAGCACAAAGAAGGATGAAGTTGCGATAGCCTACGTTTACTGCGATTATAAGGACAAGCGCACTCTTTCGGAGACCAACATTTGGGCCAGCGTGGTTAGGCAGCTGGTAGAAGCGTGTAGTCAGCTACCGCCTGACATTATTAGTTTTCGAGACAAGTATCTCGAAAAGAGGGCACTACCGAGCGACGAAGAGCGTATCTCACTCATCACTGCTTTGTCTAAACGTTTCCGGAAGACGTTCATTCTGATTGATGCGCTGGTAACGATATCTCCTCTATTGTTATTAAACCAACATTGACCTGGATATTTAGGATGAATGCCCTGAAGACAACAGAGATGCATTTCTTCGATTGGCCAGCGAGGTGCAAACCTCTGCACATCTGCTGATCACCTCTCGAATGAACCTGGACCTCACGGAAAGTTTTGACCATCTCACACAAATCACCATCGCAGCTCAGGCTTCGGATGTGGAGACATATCTTGATGCAAAGATGAAAGCAAACGCAAGAATGCGCTCACATTTGGCCAGAGATAAAGCTCTCAGGAATGATATTATTAATAATTTGGTCGAAAAGACTGATGGGATGTTAGTCAGATTCCCCCAATCGCTGTGCTTAATTACTGACGGCTATCTGCAGGTTCCTCCTGGCCCACCTACAGATCGAATATTTATGCGGTCGCACAAATCTCAGACAAGTTCGCTCATCGTTGAATTCTCTGGTTGGCAAATTAGAAGAGTTTTATGACGCTGCTTGGCAGAGGATAGAGAACCTTGAGGAGGGCGATAGTCTATTGGCTAAGAAGGCACTTTCTTACGTATTTCATGCCAAGAGACCGTTGACTTCGGAAGAACTTGTTCACGCGTTGAGTGTTGAACCTGGAGACCCAGAGCTCGATGACATGGGGTTTACTGAAAGGCATATTCTTCTGTCCGTCACGGCTGGTCTACTCCAAATTGGTGACGGCACAGACGACGCGAGGCTCGTCCATCTCACTCTCCATGAATACCTTTCGAAGCATAAAGATCGTTTCTTGGAACCGGAAAAACAGCTTGCAAAAGCTTGCTTGACCTATTTGTGCTTTGATATTTTCAGTACTGGCCCTTGCGAAGCTGAGCAAGAACTCGATAAGCGAATGGGTCAGTATGCTCTCCTCAACTACGCCTCTCATCATTGGGGAGACAATTTCGCGGCTGGCCAAGATCGTGATGATGTCGGGGAGATCATGAACTTCATAGAAGACGAGAAAAAGTTGGCTTCATCATTGCAAGCCATGTGCATCCCCCGACACCGCACCGATGGTTGGCATGAAGCCTTTCCAAAAGAATTTACGTCACTTCATGCAGTTGCATATTGGGGGTTATTTGATGTTTTTGAATCTGCTCTTGAGACTGGAGTTAACATTGATCACCAAGACAGCCACGGCATGTCTGCACTTCATCTAGCCTCACGTCGTGGCTTTGCAAACTTGGTGCAGGCCTTACTACACCGAGGCGCCGACACAGACTTGATGAACGAGCGAGGTGAAACCGCTATGCTTTGGGCCGCGAGGAATGGTCACGGTGAGGTAATGAAACTCCTCATCGCGAACGGTGCCGATTCGACGATTGAGGATAACGAATGTTGGACTGCTCTTCACTGGGCTGTGATTAACAGACATGACAACATAGTTTTGATGCTCCTTGACCAGCATGCCCGAGTTGTGTCAGACAATTCGCAGACCAACAAAGCGCTGATCTTAGCTGCTGAAGCGGGGAGTATTAGGACGGTGGATCTTCTTCTGCACCTAGGTGCCGAAATCGATGCTGTCGACGAACAAGAGAGTCCTGCGCTGCACTGGGCCGTCCCTGGAGGTCATGAGCAAACAACCTCGATTCTTTTGAAGAATGGCGCGAATTCCAACTCACGGGATTGCTACGAGAACACACCGCTGCATTGGGCGATCCCGTATGAGGAAATCACCCGCTTGCTTTTAAGGAGCGGAGCAAACTCGAACTACGTGAACGACGCCAGGCAGTCGCCCTTGCATTGGAGTGCCCACGCTGGATTGACCGCTTCAACAAGTGCCCTCCTCGAATATGGAGGAGACCCCAACACACCAGATTCGCGCGGTGTCACTCCTTTACATATGGCAGTAATGCAGGGCCACGAAGCTATAGTGAATCAACTCTTAGCAGCTGGGGCCGATGTCAACGCTAAAGATGATGACAGATGGACTCCACTGCATGCCGCCGTGGTAAGAGGTAACGACAACTTGATTGAATTACTGGCGAGCAGAGTGGATGATGCACAAGAGATCATGGATAAGCTTCAGTCCGAATTATCTGACCAGGACAACCGCAACATACTTGAGGAACTGGCCTCAAACAAATCACATGGAAGCATAGTCGTATCGGGCCTTCGTACAGCCGTTAACAGTGGATACAAGGAGAGGATCATGTCGTTGATAGAAAGTGGCGCCGACATCGACGCTCAGGATCCCATCGGCGAAAGTACTGCCCTCACACAGGCAGCGGAACAAGGACGTGCCGATCTTGCCAGTCTTCTCCTAGAGAATGGAGCAAACCCAAACCAGCGAGAAAAACACGGGAAAACAGCTCTCCACATCGCAGCCCAGAATGGACACCTTGATGTTGTCGCCGTCCTAATAGCTGGAGGCGCTGATATAGATGCTAGAGTGCACGGATGGACTTCTATGCTATTAGCAGCAAAGAATGAGAGGTTTGGGACTCTGGATTATCTGATCAGGAGAGGGACAGATGTCAACGCGGTCGACTATTGTGGACGGACAGCTTTGCATTGGGCTGCGAAGAATGGATGTATGGCTTCGACACACTTGTTGTTGGAAATGGGTGCTGATGTTCAGGCCAAGGATCAACTGGGAAAGACACCACATGATTGGGCCGTTGAAGAACAGCACGGGTTTGTTGCTAGTATGCTCCAGCTCTCAGAGAGCTGAGGGATGTGGCCAACTCAGGCTATGTTATCGTGGTGAGCAACTCTCATAGAAGTTAGCTAGTAGCCAGTCGCCGTAGCTATATATAAGCTTCTGGCTACACGTCTCAATTATGAGACCATCTAGCCTATAATTGCCAATACACCAAGCTTGAACGGTTATTTGTACAGACCATCCCGACTAAACCTCAGTCGATAGATCCACGAGAGTTAGAATATGGATAATAAGCATTCCTTTTTCTTTCTCTTCAATAAGTTCTATGTTAGGTTGAAACATACTAAAAAGTGTGATTTTATGTCGAGTGATGCAGCAAAAAGACTCATTTTCAAACATTAAACTCGCCACAAACCCGCGACTCAGTACTAACCGTGTCCAAACTGCATCAAGCTTCGGGCTTTTGGCCATAAACAACATGTCTCAAAATGGTCAGTACTTCCTCTTCACAAGCTCAAGGGTCACTTACATAGGCCACCAAGCATGGATGCGCCTATCCTTCATATCCGTCCTAACCTTTGCCAAAAACACCTCGACCTCTTCAGGACTCCACCCCAGCCCTCTCGTGAAGAGCACCATAGAAAGACCCGACAGCTCACCAGCGATGTTATGATTACACCAAAACCCTTAAGTCGTCAGCAAAACTCTTCCCCCAGCAGTAAATAACATACCAAGTTCCTTGTAATAGGGATCAGCAGGCCATCTATTAGTCGGCCACTTATAAACCACCTCCGTAACATTCACAAACCCCGCATCAATCATCTGCTGCTTATAAAATTTCGCACTCTCCGCCGTGCGACCGAATTTATTCGTCGCTTCGATCATGAGACTGGACCACTGATCAATGTAAGAATCCTTTTTGAGAGTGCCGTCGTCGCATTGTGCGGGGAATGTTATGTCTTGGCATTCAACCCATCCGCCGGGACTCAGAGCGTTGAAGGATTGGGTGAAGAATTTGGGAAAGTCACCGATTGAACCGGTCATCATGCGGGCGAAGATAAAGTCGAAGTTGTAGGAGAATGTCCACTCGTCTTCGAGGTCGTCGACTTGGAACTGGAGATTTGTGGGGAGGCTGTATTTGTCAGTGAGAACAAGCTGAATTATCAAGTTGGAAGGCGTACAAGTTGGGTTGAATGGGACTGAGATCAATGCCGATGACCTGGAGATGTTAGTATTGATGTGATGAGTGACATGGGGTCTTGTACCTGTGTTTTGGGGTGAGCGTCGGCAAAGTCAATCGCCCAGACGCCAGTACCTGTTCCGGCATCAAGAGCGCGGCTCAAAGGCTTGTCATCTCCAATCGGACTAAGATAAAGCTTTCCGCCAAGGGTGAGCGTGAACAAATGATGTTGCAGATCTACCCCAATCAGTGCATGCTCATGATGCCCGTATAAGCTCACTCACCTAAACGTTCTTGCTCAGACTGATGAGCGCGATGTTAGTAGGCAAGGTAATTCAAAAGACACGTGCGCTTCATACCGAATCATTGGGGAGTACATAATTGACTGTAAAGGTTAGCGACATGCTTGAAATGAGTGAGATCAACATACTGGACTCTCTGAAAGCATGGTATGTTCTTCCGTTCTCGGTGCGATAGGCCATGATGCTTGAATTGATTGACGCTGTACTGCTTGCAGCATCATCCTGCGCACGTCAGCTCAAATCACAAACGATCCTAAGTATTCCCTACCCCGATCGCTGAATCGTCATCAGGAAAATCCTGCTCACTCTAAACCACGTTAATTCAATTCCCATCGACAATCTCAATGCCGAACCTCAGCTTGCAGCGCGCTCTCATCGGTCGTAGGCGCCTGTCTATCCCCTTCAGTCACGGTAGCAGTCGCAGCGGTCTTGAGATCCGCAACATCATCGCCCCCCTGCTTCTTCTCAGGCTCTGTATCAGCTGTCATGGTCACCCGTCAAGGACGTTGCGTTGCGTGTCGGCAAAGAAGACACGTTCAAGGTGAACAAAAAAGGTCAAGATTTTCCCCCTCATCTGGATAAACAAGATAACGTGCCGAGCCGCGCCTCGTTACTGGAATAAAACGTCGCGGGCGCAGAGAAAAGTAAGCACAGCTGATGTGGCTTGTGGCTGGCATGTTAAACCCGTCACTTTCTCGACTGACTTCGGAATATTTCTCTTTTCAGGGCAATGGTTGACCTTGATTCTCGGATCATCGAACCTAAAACGACACCCTCTCTCCGATCCCAGCGATCGTATCTCCCGGGCTCCGCGGTCGATGGCGTTGAAACTGGGATGAAAGAGCATGGTTTTTAGTGGTGCTCTCCCGGTCTAGACGGTCTAGCGCTGAGTTTAGTCCGCCAAAGATTATGTGGAGGGGCTGGAACACAGGAGAGCTTCGTTTGCATTCGCTGTCTTGCCGAGGCGATGAATGCAATGTGATGCATGATCATATGCTAGTGAAAGGAAGGGAACATTAATGATCCTCTCGGGCCTGAGAGAATTGTTTCTTTTTGTACAGCCAAGTCCCCACAGGCTCGGCCCGCTGGTCCCTGATCGCAAACTGCACCCGCGAACCAACAGCTTCAACGCTCGGCGATATAAGCACCGGTAATTGTTGAAGACTGTTCTTGGCAGCACCGTCATGGCTGCAGCTTCTCTTCTGCACCGTTTGCGCGATGTGTTTGGTGATGTTCGTCCATCAATCGCAATCGCGGGGCTGCTTGTAGTCTTCGTGACACTCTGGTCTGCCCTCTCAACATGGCGACAGTACAACCGCCTCCGCGAATTTAAAGGCCCTCGCCTAGCAGCCCTCTCAAAATGGTGGTTAATCAAGAAAGTCGGCGGTGGAAGAGCATACCTCGACTTTTGGGAGGTCACTAAACAATATGGTATATTCCCCCAGCAATCGCACCACCATCGCAAGCTAACACCGCAAAGGCTCAATTGCCCGAGTCGGACCCAACGATCTTCTCACCGACGACCCAGAACTAATGCGCCACATCCTCAACGTACGAACCGAGTATCGGCGATCAGATTGGTACGACGGCATGCGCTTCGATCCAGGAAACAACAACATTCTCTCGTGGCGCGACGAAGACGAGCATTTTAAGCTGCGCTCTAAAATGTCCGCTGGCTACGGCGGTCGCGAAGTGGAGAACCTCGAACCAAAGATCGATAAGAACATACTCTCCTTCATGCATCTCCTGGGACAATACGCAGATGAGAAAAAACCCGTTGATCTTGGGCGGCGCGCTCAGTTTTTTACACTAGATGTCATTTCGGACCTGGCGTTTGGTGAACCGTTTGGGTTTCTGGAGACGGATTCGGACGTGTACAAGTATATCCAGATCACGGAGGAGACGCTGCCAGCTGTAATGGTCACAACGGTAATTCCGTGGCTGGTTAAAGTACTGAGTTCGCCGCTATTCAAAAGTCTTCTGCCGTCGGAGAAGGATAGGCTTGGGTTTGGAAAGTTGATGGGGTGAGTATGATGGTGTTTAATTGACTTGGGTGAAAGTGCTGACGGATTGAAGAATTGCGAAACAGGTCACGGCTGAGCGATTTGGGCCGGATAAGAAGGTTCAGAAAGATATGCTTGGGTCTTTTGTCGCTCATGGTCTTACGCAGAAAGAAGCAGAGTCTGAGATCTTGTTGCAGATGTAAGTGCATCTTCTCAATTGGTGTCATCGCTAATAATTGCAGTGTCGCGGGCTCAGATACAACAGCTACAGCCATTCGCTCGACCATGCTTCACATCATAACCAACCCCCTCGTATACTCCAAACTCCGCGCTGAAATCGCCGACACAAAATTCCCAGAACCTATTATTCCCGACTCAATCGGTCGAGATCTTCCATACCTCCAAGCCGTCATAAAAGAAGGTCTTCGCATCTTCCCCCCCGTCGCAGGTCTTATGTCCAAACAAGTCCCTCCGCAAGGCGACACCTGGAAAGGAAAATTCATCCCTGGGGGTACTAAAATCGGATACTGCGCCTGGGGAATTTTCCGCCGTGAGGATATCTGGGGTTCAGATGCAGGAGAGTTTCGACCGGAGAGATGGTTGGAGAGTAAGGGTGAGAAGTTGAGGGAGATGGAGAATGCGCTGGAGTTGATCTTTAGTTATGGACGTTGGCAGTGTTTGGGTAGACCCGTTGCTTTGATGGAGTTGAACAAGGTCTATGTTGAGGTAAGTTTGATGATGATGGGAGAGGGACGAAGCTAATTGTGTGCAGTTGCTGAGACGGTTTGACTTTGCGATTTGTGATCCTACGAAGCCTTGGGCTGTGTTTAATTGTGGTATTTTCTCGCAGTCTGAGCTCATGGTTCGCGTTCATCGCAGAGAGTGAATCTAACTACGGTCATGGAGGTATGTACAAGGAAACCATTGAGCTTTTTGTAGCATGGCACAGTTAAGCTGGCAAGGGATATTTTTTGGGAAACATTCAGATGGCTGGGTAATAGTAAAGCTGGAGAACAAACTGTCAAAGAGCTCCAAGAGTAATACAAAGAGCGGCAAAGCATTGGTTGAGTTGAGTGTTCTTAAGGAACTGTCAGGTTTAGGGATATTACATCAAGTAAATAAGAAATATTAACATATTTTCACAGAATATGAGAAGAGTACAATATATCCCAAAAAACCAAATTTACATTCTTCTTCTTATACTAAGAAACAAGTAACTATTACTCCGTACTCCAACCGGGTTTCAAAGTACCCATTCATAATAACATCCAGAGACAAAAATAAGAAATCAAGCCCAAACGGGATCATTTACTCGGCAGCAATAGCACCGTCAATGCACTTGGTACCCTCAGCAACCTTGGAGACAAAAGCCCAGCCCCCATTGCAGATACCCCAAGTAGTCTCGGAGAAACAGTGCATCATGCCAGACTTGACATCAGAAGGACAAGCCTGGAACTCACCAGACCAAGCGGGAACGTCGGCCTCAGGCTTGGCTGAGTCAACGGGGGCGGGAGCGTCAGTGGGCTGAGGGGGGGGCTGAACGACTGAGGGTTTGGCGGGAGCAGAGGGCTGTTCAGGAGCGGGTGCAGGAGAACCAGACTCAGCAGGCTTCTCCGGCTCAGGCGCAGCAGCATCATCCTTAAAGTTCGGCTCAACACCCTTCGCACAAGTACCCTCACTCCCAGGCGTACCCTGCTCATAAATCTTACCGAAATTACCAGGCTCAGGGAAGTTGATGACACTTCCACTGGCACCGGTAGTACACTCCCCAGGGATGTTGGCACGGAAAATAGCAGGCAGCGTATCAACGTAGCTACTATCATCCTTTCCACCTACGACTTCAATAGGAGAGCAGACCATGTACATCTCGCGATTACCGATCTTGTTGAACCAAGTCCAAGCAAACGTCGCCGGTCCATTCTGCATATCCTTAGGAATAGGAATGTTGAACTGCTTAGTACACTCCTTATCCGTATCATTCCCACACTCATTGCCGTTCTCACGACCATGTGGATCTGTACCAGTAGATGCAATGTTACCCTCAGCCTCAGCGGGACAACCGCCGATGATGCTGTAGATGGTGTGCCACTTCTTAGGATCCTTGGGGGGTTCCTTTCCGTAGGCGACGCTGAACTGGCAGGATCCGCCGCCGTGGACGGCGCTGCCCCAGAACTTGACGAGCTGGGTTTTGCCGGCTGTTACCTTTGTGACTTGCTCCGGGTGCTGGGTGCGGCCTTGGCAGGGAAAGGGGAGGTCTTCGCTGAGAGGCCAGGTTTGGTAGAGGGGTTCTGTGTCGAGGTTGAAGGGGTGGGGTTCGACCATGATGACGTGGGAGAAGACGTGGGTTGCGGCGAGCGCTAGGATGCTGAGGGTTGAAATAAGAGATGCCATTTTGGTGGTTGGAAAGATGATACTTCTCTGGCAGAATGTTGTGCTGTGTGTATTGATTGTTGATCGTTGTGAAAGTTGGTTGTTGTTATGTTGCAAGACTACAAGACTGCAAGTGTGTTATGATGAGAAGAAGTGAGATGATAGTTGTTAGTCATCTTGGCTCATTATATACTGTAATCTGGATATTCACAAATGTTTGTGTTCTTGGCAACAAAGAAGGATAGTAGGATGTCGCCGAACACGATGCTTATTGCCTGTAGAACGGTGAATGTACCGCTGTCAACACCCAGAAACGAGAACAAAGAGCCATTGAATACCCTTTAACGTTCACTGTTCCCTAAAACTTCTTTCACTTCACCTGTTCATGGCTTCAATGTTCCAAAGTTCTTATCGCTCATAGTCACACAACTCGGTGAATATTTTGCGAAAGTTTGACCGCTTGTCTATCCTGCAAGTCTGTAGACACTGTCCATCAAGTGAAGACGGTTTTGAGAGACGCCTTAGGGAGCAAGAAAACATCTGGCCCGAAGCCAAAGTGCCAGAATTAACTGATTTTCGTCAAGATTGACCAAACTTGCTCAAGTCTTTTCGTCTCTTAGGATCGAGGTCCCCATCTTTTCTTGTCTCCCCTCAGGAGACTGTGACTGTGGAAACACGCATGTCGAAAAGTGCCGATCCATTAATTCCACTGGAATATTTATACAAATTCTTTATAAAGAATACCTTTTAATCGCCCTCGCCATCCCGGGAGAGGCAAAAATTTGGGACCTTTATCCTAGGAGACGAAAAAGACTGAGGTAACTTGGTGCAAGCTTAGAAGGCTTTATTATGAGTTTATTTTGGCATCATACATCGAAATGTGGAGCCCTCTTGCTCGCCGTCGCCGTTATCATGTCCGCCATCAATCGCTTTCGCCGTCTTCGTTGTCTGCATCCTCATCGCCTCCAGCCTCACCCTCACTATCTCCATCGCTCCCGGTCTCATCATCCCAGACCTCATCGTTACTCGGCAAGTCCCACGACCGCTCAAGGTACTCCCTCCGTTTCGAAAAGCATCCAAATTCCCGACTGCAAATCAGGGAATCAGTGTCGTCGAGCTCGAGGGTACGGTTCTTCCCGCAACCTCGACAGGGCCGATGGACATAAACATTGACCAGTTCCCCATCGTGAATCTTCAGAGTTCCTTCATCTTGCAACTTTTGGATTTCTCGCATAACGTCCTCCCAAGTCTCGGCGAAAAGATGCGGATCAATACAGCAGTACTGGACACTAAGAGTTTCGAGGGTCGCGGCGTGGCGCTGAACAAATTCGACGAGCCCCAGGGGGGCTATCTCTCCGCAGCTGAACTCGACGCGTCGAAGTCGGTCATACTTGATGTCGGCCGGCATCGCAAGAAAGAACGACATACCGTGTAGCTCGAGAAGAAGATCCTCTAATTGCGGTATGGAGGCAAGAAGGGCAGCGATGTTTCGATTCTGAATTGCGAACCCGCCTACATATCCAACAAAACTTGGATCCCAATAGTTGCTCAGCACAAGATGGAACTTGGCCAAGTTGCAGGTGGAGAAGGGAGACACAAGTTGTCGCAGGAATGGCGACTTGTTACTGTTGAAAAGTTGGACTGAAAGACCAGGCTGGTGTGGGGCCTGGTATACCTCAAGAGAGGAATCGACCCTGAATTCAGTGAGTTGTATGCGAGGATTCCCGAGGACCACGAGAGCGATGAATATACCACGAGCCTGTTGCCCGACGGTGTGGCAGAATGCTTCCGATTCCGATTCCAGCCAATTGTAGTCAGTCCAGTCAAATGACGAGGCAGTGTGGACTTCCTGATAGCTCATGCGATTTCCTCTCTAAAGCTTTGTTAGTGTCTGAGAGCTTATACGACTACAGAGAACTTCTTGTTTGATATGACACAAGGGAAATGACATCAGCCTTTGACTTACCACCGGGAACTGGCCGTCTGGGTCGCGTGTCATGTTAACCTCGCCATTGGCAGGTGGTAGTCCATATTCGTTGATCTGTCTGTCCAATTCATCATAGAACCAATCTGGATACATGGCTCCCGCGAGCTCGTCCCATCCTACTACCCAGTCACATCTAGGCGGGAAAGGAGGTCGTTCGAGCTTGGAAACTCCAAGACGCCTCCACATCTTGACAACTGGGCTGCTCGATTCTTCACTCTGCGCGCCCGAGTCGAAGCAATCATCGGCTGTGCGGTTACTGATAACGAGGCTTCGCAGTGACTTGAAAAGAGGTAAGGCCTTTCTGAGGGCGTTGATATCGGCATGGCTTCGGCGGTTCTCGTGGTGACCTTGGAGGACAGCGTTGTACAGTGTCCAGAACTCTTTGTGTGGCTTATCGGACCAAATTGTTCCACTTCCCTCTTCTTCGAAAGTTTCTCCCAATAATACGCCTTCTTGCGCTTGGGCCAAAGGTGGGGGTACGAGGCCACAGTCCTGTAGACCTCCCTATCGGCAAGACGAGGCGATAAGGTCTGAGGATGTGACAGACAGCCATTCTTGCGGATGGTTGGGATGTGAAAGATGAAAGATGCAGATGTGGAAGCGAAGGCACTGCTAATACCAATGCATCGCTTGCCCTAGGCAGCCACAACAATCCTGTTGGCCTTGTGCAACCTCAAGATGTGGACCGCCTCCTCCAAGCTTATGGAAAATCACGTGAAGTGAGTGATCTAAACCTCTGACCATCTTGTCAAATTATAGGATTTGGTTACATAAACTTAGGCAAGGCTTGTGACAGAAATATAGACTTTCCACAGTCTCGACGAATCTTACTTCACTCTATGATGATGTTACAGAATCTCAGCTAAGAATTAGGGTGTGATCTAAACTTGATACACTGTTGAACTATCTTAGTCCAATTTAGGATTATGCTGCAGCTCACGCAGCTAAGAGTTTGGGTATCTTGAACCCCAAGCCAGGCACCAACCTGGTTATCTCCTTGTCAATCAGAGATCGTGTTGGCCGCTCAGCATCCCTCGCTTGCTTCCTCCTCCAAAGCGTTCAGCTGTAGATCCCACTGCCCGTCTCCATCGTACTTCCAAGTCGAACCAAGTTCCTTCAAGGACCCATTTCTTCCACAACCGTTTATAGGTGTACCCTCAAACACATTGTCGATGGCCCCTTCCTCAAGCTGCATGATGCCCTCGTCCTGGAAATACGCCAGATCTTCGATCGCGTTTGACCAGAGGTCTTCGTAGCCGTCATCAGGATAGAGACTGCAATGTTCGATGATGAGTGACTTCAAGGTGCTACCCTGACGCTCTAGGAAGTCGAGAAACTTGTCTGGGTGCAAGTGCCCGCAACTGAAGTGAACACGGCGCAGTCGCGGGAAAGTCATGTTGGTAGGAAGTGCGGAAAAGACGGGCATTCCGTGAGGCTCAAGGTACAACTCCTCCAACTGAGGCATGGATGAAAGTGTGCGGGAAACGCGGCCCTCTTTCATGATCCACTCGCCGAACCTGTGGACTGTGAAATTGCTGAGAACGAGGTTGAACTTGGTGATGTTCTCCGCCAACGCGAAACCCCCGGCAAGTCGCTCAGCGAATGGGGACTGATTGTCGAACAAGGTGATGGCCAGGCCGGGCTGATAATGTTTCGACAGGATGTCGTGAGATGCGTCGACACGAAACTCGGTGAGCTGAGACTGCAGCTTGGGATCTTCAAGGACCAAAAGCGCAAGATGAAAGACTCGTGCCTCTCGTATCAAGGCGAAGAGCTCGGAGCTGGGAGCGTTGTATTGATATTCGGTCTTCTCGAATTTGTCCGTTCGCTATTCGCCAAATTCGGCGTTTCCCTGCGATGCATCAGTAAAACCTTTTGAAAACCAAGAGACGAGAAGAGAGGAGGCCTCGCAAGCTTGGGCACGCATTGCCAAAACTGTAAGGTGGAGTTGAACTTACGACAATACTCCCATCCGTGAAAAGCTCATCATGCTCAAGTGTGAACGCATAGAGATTCGACATGATGTCGCCAAGAAACTCTACGAACCAGTCCAAGGTGTTCACTCGTGACCTGTCATTCATGCCTAATCCGCTGGCCTGCCAATCGCATCTCGGAGCAAGAGGAACAGATTCGTGTTCTTCCCCTTGAAACCGCCTCCACTTCTGCACCACAGGGCTTGACGAAACGCAGCTCTGGGCGCCCTCGGAGAAGCTGTCGTTGGCATTTCGGTTGGAAACAACAAGGCGTTCGAGCTTCTTGAAATGGGGAAGTGCTGCCTTGAGTGCTTCGAAATCAGCATGAGTCAGGCGGTTCTCGTGATGCCACTGGGCGATGCTTCTTAAGAGTTCCCAGCCCTCTTTGGTGGGGTTCACTTTTGAAGGTCTGCCTCTCATCATCCAAGGATCGAGGGTCTCGCCTGGATGAAGCTCAAGATGAGCACGTCGGTCGTCGGAGTCTTCGGGAAAGGTGACCACTTTCTGATAGGTGCGCCAGTCGGGTATAGTCTCTGGGAGAGGGACAGTGGTGTCGTCGATGACTAGTTCGCGAACACCACCGATGAGAAGAGGGTTCTCTGAAACCATCCGAAAGACATTGAGATCAAGCTGGTGACAGGAAAGATACAAAACAGGGAAAAGATATGGCGACGCGATTCGGCTCAGTCGCTTGCAGCTTACGCGGATGGCCTTTACGGCGCTTCCCGGTAGGCGCTCTATAATGTGGTCGATAACCTCGTCCGGGCAGTCGAGTAAGCTGACCGGCGCCATCTTGCCTTGATGACTGGGCGGGTTGTGAGTGTTGAATGCGCCTGCGGTTGATGTGGTGAAGTTGAAGAAGAAATTTCGGTGCAGAGGAGGAAAAAAAGAGAAATGGAGATCGTGAAGAGTTTACGCGTGATTCACAGCGTCGCGTCTGGTTGTGTAACCGGAAATTGTGGACCTTAAGGTATCTCCTGATGCCTATGTTAGGGACATCATAAAAAATAAATAAATTTATTAATATCTATATGAACTTCTATAAACTTGGAAAATAAAACTCTCTAAATTAATAAAGACTATAAAAAAATTCAAAATTTATATATATTATACAAAATTATAAATTCTCGACTAGATGCTATACTGGCGCTGACACTGCCTCACAGTGACATTTTCCAACTAACTTATCCAGCTTCAGGATGGAGTACACGTCAAAATAACCTGCCATTGGCCTTTGACTGAGAAATCTGAGTTCGATCCCGGATGGCACGTTCATGTCACAATTTTGCATCTTTGCTTGAATGAGAGAACTTTACATTAAGAGATATATAAAATTGAACCATTATACCCTGCTGCACGCGCAACACAGTAAATATATCCAGGCCCAGGTTCCGTAGCCATTCTAGTATTGTAACAGACCCGAAAGGGTGCTTTGAGTGAGTGTATGTAGATGTTAATGAGATACAAAGAGTGAGACTCTAACCAGAGTAACCCCAGCGAGGAGCGTTGATGATAATACCACAAATGACGCCGGAGATGACACCAGCGACGGGGAGAGTGATGATCCAGCCCATGTAGATCCAGGCAACCATACGCCAGTTGATAGAGCGCCAAGTACCGGAGCAGAGACCAACACCAACGGTGGCACCAGTGATGCACTGAGTGGTAGAGACGGGGAGCTCTGAAGGATGCGTTAGTCACAGTGAAAGAGGAGGTCGAGTTCGGAGGGAAAGACTTACTAAGACGAGTAGCAAGGATGATGGTGATAGCGGCACCCAACTCCATGGAGAAACCTCGAGAGGGAGAGTGAAGAGTGAGACGGTTACCAAGGTTGCGCATGATGTTGTATCCGTAAGTCCAAATACCAAGAGCAATACCGGCACCACCAAAGCAGCTACTCAAGTTAGTCGTTGATCATAGAAGTATCAAGTAGAAAACCTACAGAATCCAGACAGGGACAGAAGACTTGCTACCCTCAAGACCACCAGTTCTCCAGATCTGGTAGATAGTGGCATAAGGACCAATAGCGTTGGCGACATCGTTGGCACCGTGAGTGAAAGAAGCGGTACAAGCAGTCATGACTTGCATAAAGGTGTAGAGGTACTCAGCACGGTTGTCGTAGTGAGCGACGTGAGCGTGAATCTCGTCCAAGTCACCGGTTAGCATGCTCTTCTTCTTCTGCATGGCGATGATATCCTGGTCAACGCCAGAGAGGAAAGCCTTCTTGAGGTACCAGAAGAGAACAGCACCGCTGAACCACTTTCCATCAGGCTTGGGACCGACGAGGCTGCGAGGGGCCTTGGGCTCAACACGCTCCTCAATGTCAGGAGTACCCTCAGATGAAGTCTTCTTGTTCTCGGTGGTAGCCTCCTTGCCCTCGTTGCTGGTCTGGTCTTGAGCACGCTCAAACTCATCACTGCCATTGCGACCGGCACGGCGGAGACCATCGAGCTCTTCGCGGGTAAGGTGACCCTCGTAGAAATCCTTGATACCACCAGCAGCGCCCTCAGGCTGAGCGGGAGGAGGAGGGCGACGGAGGAGAAGAGGACCCTGGAAGATGTTCCACCAGCGAAGCTCCCAGTCGTCACAGATGACGAGGCGGTAGAGCCAGGGGACGAGGAAGATGGTGATGAGGAGAGCCCAAGCGGCACCGACACCGATGATCATACCAGCAGTCTCGGCGTCGTTGAAGGTGACCTTGATGCTACCACCCTTCCAGACGATAAGCATGGTAAGGAGAGAAGCAGTAATGCCGAAGTAAACGGGAGTGAGGAAAAGTCCCTTCCAGACAGGCTTGCTTCGCAGCATAACACCATACTTGGTAATAAGGAAGATGACAGCAGCAAAAGCACCAGAGAGACCAGGAGCAATAATCCAAGCGAGAAAGACCGAAACGACACCAGAGCTAATACCCTTATCGAACTCAGCCCAGTGAATACCATCAGCACCGACAAGCGCAATACCCATGCCGATAACACCACCCATGATGGAGTGAGTCGTCGAGACGGGGAGACCGATGCGGGTACAGAAGGTGAGATACAGCGAGGAGGAGACGATGGCGCACATCATGCCGAGCATGAGAAGAGCAGGGTCGGACTCGAACTGGTCAATGTCGACGACCTTGGTGCGGATGGTGTCGGCAACACGGGCGCCGACACCGACGGAGCCAGCGAATTCGAGGATGGAGCCGAGGGTCATGGCCTGGATGTAGCTGATGGATCGGGATGAGACCGATGTAGCCCACGAGTTGGCGACATCGTTGGCACCTAAGCTGTCAGTACCTTATCACAGGTTGAATGCGTGAGTGACGTACCGATGTTCCAGACATCAAGGAACGAAAAGATGGTGCCTATGGCAAAGATGTAATCATACTGATGAAGCACCATGATCAGAGCAGACCGAGAACTCGGATTTCTCTCACTCTTGGAAAGTTTCTAGAAGAGAGTGAATTGAACTGAACAGTCGATGTCGAACATTGCAGAAACAGCCCGCACTCCGACTCCTTATATCGCCATGTCCCTCGCCATGGTGTGTGGAGCGGGTAAGGCTTGGCGAACAAGCTTAATCTTATGCTTCTTCGGATGGTGCATGTGTCTTTAGTGGCAAGGTCCCTCGGTGAGTCCTTTGGTAGATTTATCGTCTTGGCGGGTGTGCTTGGCACGCGAGCAGGGGGAGCATCTCGTGCGTGGGTTCTTGATGTTCGTTGGGTAGGCTGGAAGAAAGTGTAGAAGAGATGTGGGGGTTTGAGAGAGTAGGGCCTTGGTATCGTGGCGATGATGCCGAGATTTTTGAGAGTCAGATATCTGATGATATGGCTACGCACATGAGGATATTGAAGTTGTGAATTGGAGGCTAACTGCACGAGAGTGACAGTGACAGGCGAGGGGAGTTGATGCTCATGCGCTAGGACCAGAAGAGTCGCTTGCTGGGCTTGCGACATGGCCTCAAAGCTCCAAACAAGGGTGAATAGCATGACCGGACGTATTGAAATGATCAGACTTCGCCGACAATAGCGTCAAACCGGCCGCCAAAGAAGAATGCACCACCGTAACTGTAAATACCGGAAATAGCGTCTTGTCCTCGAGCCGTCAAAGTCGATGACAGAAATACTTGTACAGACAAAGCCTCATCATTGCCCAATTATTTTCTGCATCTAAAAGGACACTCTTCTCCGTGGAATTCGTTATGGCCGCTCATCAACCCACGTGCATCAACGATTGTCGTTGAGAGCTTAAAAAGAGGCTCTTTTGAGCAGGGGGCGGGAGCCAATAAGATGGGTCATAGCTCCACGTGGAGAAGGTCGTTCGCCCAGAGATAACCTCCCCAGATGCCAAGACCGATCAATTACAGGGGTGAATTGTTATCACTGTTTTGCTTGAGACAAGTTTGTGAAGATCAAAAGGTTAACGCGAATAAAGTTATTAAAGTTGTTCTTTTCTTCTTCTTGTTATATCCGTATAACGGCGCCGAATACTATGCAGGACTAAAGACGCTTGTGTAGATGTCTCGTCAGTTACTGTGATGGTGATTAATCGCCATTTCGAAATCGCAAAGTCGCATTGATCTTTGACTGTGAGACTAACGAAAGCCAATATCCCACATCGTTCCATCCATTTCAACCCGTCTTTCGCCAAGCTCTCGCCAAGGACCGCGCCACTACTCCTTCTCCTCCCGCTGCAACATGAGCTTCTCATACAAGCACGTTTCCTCCCCGCCAAGTCTGCCGCTGACGGTTCTAGAGACACCGAAGCTTTTTACATCCTGTTCCTCGGTGCATGTGGTTCTTGGCTTTAACAGCGGGAAAGCATCCGGGATTCCCTTTGCCTGCTGGTTGGTGGTTTGAGCTAATGGTTGGCAGTAAAGATCCAGCACTGGAGATTCCCTCTTGGCTGTTAACCTGCTTCTGTAATGGTGGTTCAGCTTCCTCGGTGATCGCCTTTTGTGGCCTGTCTGTTCTAGAAGTATCCCCGTCTTGGCTGGTAATATTGAGCTCATTGGGGCGAGCTGAGATTTTGGAAAACTCTGCTAGTGTTGGGTTTTGAGAGGACGGCGAACTTTCTTGGTGGAATTCAGAGGCTTGGCTGTCTAAGCAATCTGCATATTCCAACCAGTTTGCCTGAGTAGTTGTTGAGGCGAGATCTACCTTGGAGGGGACTGATCAAGGTTGCTCAAGTATCATTCTCTCTTCACATTCTTGCTTTTGCTTAGATCTTACTACTCGTTTATCGCCGGGAATCGCCTTCGAGATCTTTGATTAGGTTGAGAGTATGTCAAACAGGACAATTTTGCATTCTGAGCGTGCCAGAAAAGAACCTGTGGCGGTTACGGTTGACAGGAATTTGTTTCAATGTCTTTGCCTGGCAATAGTCTGACCATTACCGACATGATGATGACCAAGCGATTTCACTAGGGCACTCCTTACTGACTATTGCCTTACCCCCAAAAACAGAAGTGATGTAGCATTTTTCTCGCTTGACTGCTTGGCTCAGCATGCTCACAGAGCATGTACAAGTATTCTGTCCTACATTAGCGACTCCCAACGATCAAGAACTGCTAGTGGCAGCTTATGAGAAATATTCAGATTGCTTGAAACTAGCCTTTTTAAATACATTGAAGTTCCTTTGTCATTTCTTCTTATTTCCAGTCTAGCCACTTGATAGCAGGCTTTCGTTCTCAGTCCCTCACTTGTTTTCAAACCGCCACTCGAGATTCATATTCTCGTTCATTTTCAACAATGTATCCCGAACCATTTTCCACGTTGTTGCCACCTGCTCTACCCAAGGATCATCGCCTTCTTCGGGAGGTCTTACCTCAATCCAACCGTACTGTGACTGCTCAGCAGCTATCGGTTCACCTGGCCGATTTATCCACAGTCGAGCAATGAATTCAGGATGGCTACGCCAGGACGATATTCTGTGATAGTCCTTCATACAAGGTTGAACCTCTGCCCACGATAAAGGCCTAAAGTCAATCTTCTTCGTCTCAGTCCAGTATCTGAAACCAGGCCACTTCCCTCCCTGGGACATGTTGCCTCGACTGTATCCATGGAAGCCAATCCTGGGTACATCTTGCCGAGATGCGCCTCTGATAAGATCTCTAGGATCACTTAGATTGTCGACCATTGTTGTGAACATCCAGGGAATACCAGTATCAGACGGAAGCCGCAGAGAAGCAACATTGTTGAAACTACCATGTTCTTGCCAGGGATCGCGTCTTGCGATCCCCCAAAGGTTATTTGGAGGCCGCCGGCTAATGGTATTGGGCCCATATTGCTGAAAGCCCTCAATATGCCAGCCCCTCTCACAGGCGTCTATGACCAAGGTGAACGCCTTGAGCATTGGGGTGCGAGAACATATAGGTGACGAGTATTCAAATGGCATCTGGGCGTACGTCTGTTCCCCATTCTCCGGTAGAACTTTACCTGTTTGAAGTCCTGTAGTGATGTCAATACCCCTAGTCAGTTTTGATCCAAACGCAGGGGACAAACCTGGAGCTCCTCTTGAGAGGGGAGGCCCTAAGAGCCGGCAAACGATGCGCCGGATAGGAAGATCTGCTTGCTAAGAGGATTCTAGCCCTTGCTCTTGGGGTAGTTCAGATACCCCAAACATAGGAAAACTTGGCTCATTTACCACGAATGCGTCGTGTAGAGGGTCAAGTCGAAATACTTCTTGTCCACGTGAACATGCCACGAGGTAACGAATTCGATTGCATATTACCTTGATTTCCGGACATGAATCACGAATTCGGCTCAGTTCCTTATCATCTTCAAGTGTAAAGCGATCGGCCATGCTCGTTCCAATGGGTGTTATGACCGAGGGAATAGCAAGTCTAATGATCTTTATCTTGAGCTCGACAGGCAATCGTTCGAAGGGGAAAGGATCCATTGCTTGGGTTATAGGATATATTTGCCAACAGTTCCACCACAAGATAAAGCGTAGAGAGAAAGAAAAGAGATACAGGTTGAGAAGAGAGGCTAAAGAAGAGGGAGATACCTTTCCTTCCTTTATACCTAATTTTAAAGTTTATGTCTGAAAGAGTATTGAAAAGTTTGGTGTTACTGTCAATGTGTCCGAGATCTACTTTTCGAAACATTAAGTAGGTTCATAAATACTCTTATGCTATAGGAGGTCCGTCCAAGTGGTATGAAGTCTAAACAGTGAGCTACATGTGTTATTTGCAGTTGGGATCCGTGACTAAGATTTCAAATCACCACACAGAACTTAGCTACACAAGCTTTGATGACTTGAAGTCTAACAAGAAACCTAAATTCTCAAGGCCTATTACAGAAAGCGACCAATTAGTCCACTTCTATAGCACCAAGGGTACTATTGTTGACGTCATCAAGTTAACTAAGTTCTCTGTGGTGATATAAGCTCTCAGCCACCCAACTTCCACAACAAGTCACGGTGAATGCTCAGAAACTGTCACGTGAATACATCACAGTTAGGAATAACGAATACATATGCGCTACTTGTGTGTCTATCTAAGGTCGTACCCAAAGAGTAACAGCCCTAATCTAGAGTGCCCGCGCTGAGGCCAGGAACAGGCCAAAGGCGACACATCTCTTACCAAGCCAACTTGGCTAATATTCCATGAGGCCATCTCCGGACACAAAACTTGCGACCTTCATCTAACAAAAGCTGTAAAATACCAAAAGCAAAAGGAAGAAACCAGTGTTCAACAGGGACAGGCGTCGTTCCCAGAACAGGCTGCAGAGGCGGGATGTACAGCCAGAAGATAGCCATAGCAAGCGAAAAGATGATAGCAGGGAACAGGTACCAGTTCTGCGTGTTCGGGTTGAACAGTGGCGGATGCTGAAAGATACTGAGTCGACGAGTTCTAGTCGCCATCAGATTGAACCACTGCATCACAACAAGGTTGACAAAGTAGATAGACGAAGCCTCGTTGGTCTTGGCCAGGTAGTAATCTGGATCAATACCAGCAGGAAGCTTTCCGAAGCTGAACCACAGCTCACTGAAGGGGATGCCCTGACGCTGGAGATACCAGAATGCCATGGCGAAGGAGGCGACTGTTTGGAGGACACCGTTGACTCCGTATGCCTGAAGGATGAGCTGCCAGTTGACTAGGCGGTCCTTCTTGATGTTGCGAGGGGGACGAGTTAGGACATCGGCTTCGGGCTTTTCGTAGGATAGCATTGTCGCGGCGGCGCAGTCGGTGAAGCAGCTAGCCAAAGTTAGTAAGTGTTGGGCTACAAGCAGCAGGGATACTTACCAGATGATGATCATAAGGAATGAAGACAGAGCTTGGGGCAGGCCAAAGGCTACAAAAGCCATGACGGGCCAGAACTCTGAGAAAGAGCCGGCAGGCAAGAGGTATGAGATGACCTAGGATCAATGTCAGTCTGTGATCCTTTACATAGAGCACGTCCAAGACATACCTTCTTGAGATTGTCAAACACAACCCGACCATACTGCACAGCAATAATGATAGATGAGAAAGTATCCAGCAGAACCATATCCGCCGCCTCCATAGCAATATCCGAGCCACTACCCATCGAGATACCAACATCAGCAGCCCTAAGTGATGGAGCATCATTGACTCCATCGCCCGTCATGGCCACAACATTGCCTTTCTGGAACTCACGAACGATTCGAAGCTTCTGTTCCGGCGTTGTCCGTGCAAATACGATCTCCTCATAGTGAGTGAGTGTCTTCCACTGATGTTCATTGAGAGACATGAGCTCTGGACCGCTGAGGACGATGGCACCGAGGTGGGAGATAGGTGAATCTTTGGTATCGTCGGGGCTGTAGCGCTGGAGGGCTGTGCTGTCATCGACAGTTTGGGAGGTAACGATACCGGCTTCGCGGGCGATGGCTAGGGCAGTGAGGGCAAAATCACCAGTGACCTATTGGATCATCAGTTTATACTACGGGTACATCGTGAGGGGGGTTACGTACCATGGCGATTCGGATACCAGCGCCGCGCAGCGTGCTGACAACATGAGGAATGTCGTGCCTGAGGGGATCGACAATAGCAACCATTCCAACCAACGTAAGGCCAGTGTTTGACTCCCGTGTAACTGCGTGCTCAAACTCACTCGTCTCCCTATTCTTGGGAAGTTCACTGCCCTTGACGATCTTGCGAGCAAGCAACAAACATCGTTTACCTTGTGAAGAGTAGATGTTCTTCAACTGCTCCACCGTAGCCCGCATAGCCGCATTAAGAGGGATAGTTTCGCCATGCTCAGAGACATAGTGCGAGCAGCGACCGATAAGAACATCAGGAGCACCCTTGATGGTCAGGAGGCTAAATGCCATGGTTAGAAGGTTCATCTTGAGTGCCATGGTGAGTACTTACATATCGTCGGTGTTGAACGCGGTCTCTTTGCTAAGCGTAGCAGCTACAGCCTCGTTCCTGGCGCAGGAAAAGCAACGAATCATGAACTTGTTCTTACTGTTGAAAGCAAGGTCATAGATCTTGTTCCAGCAAGCACGCAAGTAATCAACACTGCTGGGATCAACAAATTCGGCGAATCGGAGGACAGCTTGATCAGTCGCATCACCAAAGATCCTCCTATCAGTCAGCGGAGCGTCCTTTGTAGCGGCATCAAACTCAGATGCGTTGCAAAGAGCAGCCAAAGCACGAAGCTGGATGATCGGGTGGGTAGCAGATTTGGACTGGCCAAACTTGCCGCGAGCGTTCTCGATGGTCATGTTGAGTCCTCCGACTGCGCAGTCAGAGACCGCCATCTTGGCCTATAAACATATCAGCGTAGTTCAAACAGGAGGTACAGAGGAAGCTTACAGTGGTAAGAGTGCCAGTCTTGTCAGAGCAGACGACCGAAACGGACCCAAGTGTCTCGACAGTCTTGAGGGACTTGCAAAGAATCTTGTTCTTCTTCATCAAATTGGCGGTGATGGTGAGACCAGCGGTGATGGAGATGGGAAGACCTTCGGGGATGAAAGCGATGGCGACGCTGACACAGTTGACGATGAGGGTTGGCACGTTGATGAAGTCGGGATGCTTCTTTTTCAGGAACGCGCCCCTGTTGAAGTATGTCAGTGCCATAACGGAAGGGTAAGGTAGTGGAGGGGACGTACCAAATGATGCAGACAACAGCGATCATACTTATCATGATACTGGCAATGATGATGACAAAGTAGAGTACTTCCTTCTCAAGCGTCGTCATCTGGACCTTGGGCTCGTTCGTCAAACTCGCGATACGTCCAAACACTGTCCTGTCACCAGTAGCAACTACAATACCAGTACACGAACCGAGTATACAGTGTGTACCTTGCAGGCCAATGTTATGCGTCTCAAGGTAGTTGGTATCAGTATGATCCACAGTACCCGCCACAGGTTTAGACTCTCCTGTAAGGACTGAACGATCAAACTTGACGTCGGAGGAAGCCTCGATCAAGCGAATATCAGCGGGGAGCTTGTTACCAGCCTTGACCCTGATGACATCGCCTGGGACAATGTCCGCAGCATTGAGGTCAACGAGATGACCATCGCGAATAACATGGCCTTCTTCAGGAAGCATATTCTTGATTGAGGACATGGTACGTGAGGTAGACCAGTCTTGAAACATATTGAAGAGTGCTTGGATGAAGAAAACGGCGAGGAGTACAATGGCGAGTGCCTTTCAAAAATTAGCAAGATCAATCAAAAGTCAGAGAATGGAGAGACTCACCAGGTTGGCAACAGCAGGAGGATCACCCAATGGCTTCCACGAGACAAAGACGAGAATACAACCCGTAAGCAGAATACTTCCGAAACCGCCAAAGAAGTATAGGAAGATTGTTCTGAACCAGTGGGTTTTGGCGGGAGATGGTGCATTTCTGCCATATTCGCGCTGTCTCCTCTCAGCTTGTTCGGTCGAAAGGCCAGCGGTGGATGAAGTAGTGAGTCGTTTCTCGACGTCGAAGGGGGCGATGGTATGCCACTCGAGGTCCGTCAAAGCTGTCACACGCATCGTTGTTAGCTCATGTCAACCTAGTAGAGTCATGCGAGAATATCTTACCTTTTGTCGTAACGTCCCTTGCCTTGGCTAGTTCAGCTTGTTCTTTCCCCTTTGACTCCTCGATATTGAATGACCTGTTACGCGACTGTGAGTACCTATACCCAGCTTCGGTTTTCCAGACTTACACTGTGCGGTAGGTGACAGGAAGAACAAGCGACGGGTCAGCGCGATTTCTCGAGCCCGCTCTATGAATACTCAACGAATCCCTTGAGCGAGAGCGAGACCGCCTACGAGAGCGCCGTTCACCATGACGCGAAACCCGAACGGCTTCATCGTCATCGTTCCAGTGAATGCGCTCACCGAAAAGAGCGGCGTCCTTTTTCTCGTCTTCAATCATGTTGAAGGTGAGAGGACAGGTAACCAAGTGAGAAGGGATGAGATGTCAGAGGCAGTAACAGAGTAGAAAAGAATGGTAAAACGGCAGGAGAAGCTGGGAGAATGCGAGCCCTGATATTTGTTTTGGCATGTGGATAACAGAATAATCGCTCATCATTTCCAGGACAGCTCACGTTAAGCGACTCGTAAAGGCTGGCTGAAGTATTTCGTATAAGTGAGTCCATAACAAAGGTACAATCCTCAGATCATAGCTCAGCTCCGCCTTTAATTCCACGTTCAAAGCAGGATTAGTGACTTTTCTCTTTTCTCGATCCCTTTTCTCCACAGGGCCTGAATCAAGAGGCGTAGGGAACTTAAAAACCGGTGTCGATAAACGAGAGGGATGTGGAGGCCGTTTAGCGTCCGCCCTCCTCAGTGCCATGATATTAGATTAGCCCTGGGAGTGTACCAATACTGTGGTTGAGATATCACCAACTTGGTGTTTCATGCGTACACGATTGGCCATTCTAGGGCATGTGGTTGGTCACCATGTGCACTGCCTCGATGCCAATAAGCAAGCTGGTTACGCTTAAACGAGTAATCCTTGAGCTATGACGCGAAGGAATCGTGGGGAGTCTTGGAACTGTCTTGGTTCCTCGTGCACGGTCTGACTCGATATGCAGGGCACGAGTGAGGGAATATCAAGACACGATAACATTGGACGAAATCCTTAGCTGAGGAGGCGCAGCGTCGATCGTTCTAGGTAATCCGGTTCGGCATGTCCCTGAACTGGGCAAGCTGTCGCGTATGCAAGCTCAGTCTAACTAATGCAGCAAAGGCACAATGTGATCAATGCACTCCATTGACAGAATTAAGCACCGACATCCAAAGAGCTAAGAGAAAACAAGCCTTTTCTTTCCGAGCAAGTGGGTGTATGGGTTGCAGCAAATGTAACATGATCCAGGTTTTGTCAACGGACCCCTCCCTCTAGCCGGAATCTGGCAGCTCGCTAGCAGTGAGGAAACAAAGCCTGGATGAAATGAGGTGTCCGAGATGAGACACTAGCGACGGGCGCAGCTGCCAGCCCACTCACGTTTAGATGCAGGTTATCAAGAGGCTCGATTTACGACGTCTTGGCTGCGAGAGACAAGCTTTTTAGCGCCGGGTCCTAGCGTTCAGGGTCCCCGCCAGTGCAACGCTGTCACGGTCGTTTCGCAAGCCACTCGATGCTGTACGAGAGATTACTTCTTAATATGTCATATCATGATTAAATAATGATCGCGAGATTTAAACCGGACACTTGGTTTGCTAGCCGGGTACATTAGTGAACGGGAACAGATGTAATCCTGTGGCAAAGCGCGATTAACTTCTCGATGAACCAGGACAAAGCAGCGCGTCAATGCAAACTCCCTGGGGTGTTTTGGAAACTCTCATTTCTTGCTCCTTTCACAAGCCCTGAGAAAAAGGTCATCTGGCACAAACAAAGAGGGGAGTTCCGCCGTTGGTGGAGGATGAGGGATTTATCTTAGTCGTGGGTTTCTTTACGAGCGCCGCCAGGTACCGTCTTGTCATTTCTGAGCCTTGAGAATAGGGCTATAGACTACCCCAGTACAAGGCGCTGTTAGCTCGCGTGGGCCAGTATTTAATCCCCGACCCATCGCGCTATCCAGATTCAGGGTGTCAGATTCGACTGGCGGCCTCCAGCCAGCTCCATTTTGCGCAGAAATTACAGACAAAGACCACTTCTGACGAGTCTTCTTTTACAAATCTTAATGATCGAGAGCGTAATATTTATGTAATGCGAGTTTTTGGAAGGCAATGAGGTTGTAAGACCAGGCAACACAATCTCCAAGCGAGGCTGTGAATTTTCTGGGGTCACCACGTCAAGTCTCGAGGGAAGGTCGGTGAAGAAGCACGCGCAGTGTCCAAGCATAACTCGATGCAGTGTTAGCTAAGTCTTTTCGGAACAGCCCTGGGATAGGACCTTTGAACCGCAATATTGCCAACCGATCGTCCAAAGTACATTTGCGATTAAGTGGTTACTCGGTAATTTACTCACTTCCTGGCAGGTCCTGGCAGGTCTAGGGTAATGCGTTCCGAGACCAAAACAGAAACCTCTCATCCGGCTTCTGTTCTTTCCTTTTTCATTTAATACTGGAGTAAACTTGTATTGATTCTTTCTTCATGTGCTGTGCATCTAGATTATTGACTTTTCCCTACCAGCATCAATCGTTCTATCAGCAAGGTGTTGCATTTAGTGTCAGGTTATTCGCATGCTGCCGTATCCGTACAATGGATTTCATTATCGATAAGCCATATCTTATCGTCAAAATACCATGCGTGACGTCACATCATAACGCCCAATTTCTCCATCACCAGCTTCACATGATGAGAATACAAAAGGTGCACTCTCGCCCTCATCGTTTCCATTGAACTCTGCCACCCCGCGGGATTTGGGGTCCGTTGAAGATCTAACCAATCCCAACCCTCAATTGCTCGCTAGATCACCCCCAAAACTCCTCCCTCCCCCACGGCGGGGCTCCTCCGGCCTCGGCTTCAACGTAAAAGACGAGCTGTGATTGGCCTCATTGTTACAAAAACGGCCTTCTTTCCGATGTCATCATGTTGCCCATCATGCGCTCATCTCCACGCTTCGGCATCCGTACATATACCTCCCACTCCCTGCAAACTCTCCTCTCACCAAGATTCATCTCCTCATACACTCACAAACTGCCCGCCATGAAGCTCCTCTACCCAACATCCCTCAAACTCGACGTCCAGAGCCTCGAGGGCTTCTCCGTCGACCTCTTCCCCTACGACGTAAAAAAGACCATCCCCGAAGAGCACGTCGATGCTGAGATCCTCGTCACCTGGACAAACACACCCGAGAACCTAAAAGACGCCGCAAAGCGCCTCACAAACCTGCAATGGATCCAATCCCTCGCCGCTGGGCCAAATGATGTTCTGGGTGCTGGTTTTGACGCCTCCAAGATTAAAATCACAACGGGTTCGGGTCTACACGATCACACTGTCGCTGAGCATGCGCTGGGTCTGCTGCTCAACGCCGCGCGCCGCTTCTACGAGATGCGCGATTATCAACTCCAGGGAAAATGGCCCGGTCATTTGGGCGGTCCTCAGCCCGATAGACCCAAAAACGCATTCACTACACTGCGCGATGCTCGTGTTCTCATCTGGGGCTTCGGCAACATTGCAAAGACCCTCACCCCGCAGCTCATCGGCCTCGGCGCCGACGTTCGGGGCATTGCGCGCCGAAAGGGCGTCCGCAACGGAATTGAAGTCTACAGCGAAGACGATCTCGACACACTCCTCCCCGAGACCGACGCGCTTGTCATGATTCTCCCTGGCTCTGACTCCACGCGCCATGTTCTTAACGCTCAGCGCCTGAAGCAATTGCCCAACCACGCGTGGGTCGTCAATGTGGGGCGCGGTACATCTGTTGATGAGGATGCGCTTGTTGATGCGCTTGAGAAGGGAGAGATTGGCGGTGCGGCGCTGGATGTGTTTGAGACTGAGCCGCTTCCTGAGCCGAGCAGGATCTGGAAGGCTCCTAATACTATTGTGTCGCCGCATGCGGCTGGTGGAAGACCTCAGGGTGCGGAGGGGCTTATCGCTGATAACCTAAGACGGTTTAGGGCGAAGCAGGAGTTGAAGAACCTCATTTAAAATAGAATAGAGAATAAAATTAAATACTTCAAGTCAGTCATGATCGGTTTAGAGTGAAATTATGGTGATCGGAGCTTGCATTCTGCAGACAAAGCCTAAGGTCCAATTGATGAAGGCATTCGCGATAAAGCTGTGACCCACTTTTCCGCCATGATGAAGCAATTCGCAGGCACTCCTTCAGTTGACTGGACATCTCTCAACGAAACACCATAAGCTAAATGGGACTCACAGATTATCCCTTGCTATAAGAAACTATCTCAGGTCTGACTGGTAGTGTAAACAAGTTCTAAACGAGGCTTTACCATAGCTTAGAGTCGAAAGGTTGGCTGGAGATGAGTGAGAGAAAAGAAGCTCAGTCAAAGTAGCCTAGCTCTAATCGCAATGAGATGGCTTGAAGTCCGATAATACTAAATTAAGTCAAGGATATATCACGTCAAAGTGAAAAGCAGAGAGAATTGAGTGATCGGCCGATCTATTGACTATAGAAAAAGAAACTAAAGCAAACTGCAAGTCCGAACAAAACGAATGTCTAGTACAAGTTCAAATCCCCATCCAGATATCCTAAGCTGAGATACCGTGCTCCCCTATTACTTTTCGTGCTGTGTCAAACCCAGCCCAAGCTGCAACCATCCAAAGCTGAAACTCGATCACCCTCCAGTGTTCCTCATGGCAGTGTCAGTGAGGAGTTGTCACTTAGTTGTGCTTCTGCTCGTTGTTGCCAGCGTTGTTGTTGTTGGCCTTTGCAGAAGTCTTGGCCTTCTCACCAGTCTGAGCCTGATCCTTGCCATCATTCTTGCTCTCAGTCTTGGTGCCGCTCTTGTTATCAGCCTGCTTCTCAGAAGGAGCTTGTCCGCGGGGCTCATCATGAGTAGGAGCAGTAGTAGGAACCTTAGCCGCAGGACATCCCTTAGCAAAGACATAAAGCTCATCATCACGACGAGGAATCTTGGAGGGAGCAACCTTGTACAGCTTGCACACAGGCGCAGAGGCATCGGCAGGAAGACCAAACAGGAAACTCTGGCAAGACGCCTGAGCATCACAAGCATCCTGGCACTTCTCCGCCGTCTTAACACTAGGCGTAGCAAAAGGCTGAATCTTGCTGTTACTGGCCCCAGAAGGCGCAGTGTTGCAGACAAGATCCCGCGCAGCCTTGCTCTTCACCTCACCGCGCGGCTTATCCTGCGTAGGCTTGGTGTTGGGCACAGCCTTGTCAGAGCACGCCTTGTCAAAGACATACAGGTTGTTTCCCTGGTTAGGGACCTGGGCAGCAGGGACGGAGTAGAGCTTGCAGGTGGGAGCCTTGGCATTAGCGGGAAGGCCGAAGATGAAGCTCTTGCAGGAGGAGTCGGCGGCGCAGAGCTTCTGGCAGGCCTTGGCGGTGGAGGCGGTTGGGGAGGATAGGGGTTGGATTTTGGCGGAGGGAGTGGCGGAGGGCGCGATGTTGCATTGCTGAGAGCGGGTGTCGAAGGGGTGGGCGAGGATGGCGGTGGCCATTGAGGCGGTGAGCATGGCGATGGTGGTCTTCATGATGAAAGTGGTTGAACTTGAAAGTTGAAGTTGAAGTTGATGTGAGTAATTGGAAAGAGTGTTGAGAGAGTGTGAAGATGTTTGATTGAAGTGATTGTGTTGGTGAGTGAAAGGTCAGTCTTTGTCGAGATTTCATGATTCCTTTATACCTGTTGAGCCGATCATATTCAAGGATCTCATAGACAGCATTGTTCCGCAACTCTTCATGACCGCGTCAGCTATTTCCGTAACGACGTGAAGATCAGACGCTTTGACCTGCTGGAGTTGGCAGCATCGCAGTATCGATGGCCATGCAAATTGAGGCTGGAGCCAGGTTCACATCATGCATGTAAACAATGCCTCTGCTGACGGTCCCGAGCTTACGTGCCCCATTATGAGTTCAGTCGAGGTAAATCTTCTAGAGTTACATGGCACAGAAAGTATGATCTTTGGTGGTTAGTCAGTAGCCGTCTACTGGTTCACAGCATGACGTGTTCTATGTTATAGTCACAATGCTATGTCTGCCTTCAACTCCATTCGATCAAGAATCTCGTCAATCATTAGTGGTCATGCTTCCATTCGCTGGACGGAAAGTTCCGTCGTTCATTACGCCTGGGAAGAAATGATCGCTGGTTATTTGCCAGCATTGGGCCGATCCCCCACATGCCGTTGAAACAAATCATGGTTCCTTTACGTCGGAACCCAGGAGGCTGGAAGAAGTCTGTAGGTTTGCGCTAAAAGCTTGTTCGTGGGTTAGAGGCTTGCAGTAACTGCTGATGAATCGTGGCTGAGGCTCTGCTGAGGCTCTGCACAAGGGATTATTCGAGTTATGAATAGAACTTGGCTATTATTCACGGTCCAATCATTATTTTGTTCACAATAATTCTTACTGACTTTTCCAATCACTTTACAACACTCGAGTTCACATCGATAGCTAGGCATTGTTGTGTAGACAGTATGCCCAGTCAGTACCAACCTTGATCCTGTTCACCATATAGTTCATATTTCGTGAACATCTACCATTAATCAACAGCTCCCGGGTAGTTTTCAATTGGTCTTTGGATATTATTCTCCTTGTATTAAGTGGCTGTGCATCGCCTTTTCTTCGATCCACTCATCATGAAACGGCCAGCGTCCAAACTACTGCATACAGTGCGCCCCAGAAAACGTTTCGACTAAGCCCGCATAAATATCCACGTCATTGGAACCAAAGCTCAACAACCTGGTCCGATCTGCGGACAATGACACCTACAGTTACTATTCTTACTCTTACCAACAGGGGGGAGGGGTCTTGATTGGACCATGATATCAGCGAGCAGGCCTGTCAACGGTCATAGCTGTGTTGTGTCTTCCCGCGGATCATCCCACTTCCCGCTCCGACATTAGCTTCAGTGACAAGCTTTCGGATATAAATGGATATCGGCACTTTTCACCAATAGAGGTTCTTGTATTGTATTCGGATGAAACGGAAGAAACATTTTGCCGAGCTGACTTTTTTGATGTTCTGTCGGGAGAAATGTATAAGGATGGCAAGCAGCAGGGGTTGAGTACGAAGGCCTCAATATTGAGGCTAAGAGTGGCTGAAGGTTTCAAAAATCGACTTAACCATTCATTTTGAAGTAGCTCAGAAAAGAGCTTACGAATTTGAAGAGTGGCAGTAGTGGAAGCTGAGTGAAGCTGCGTATGGCAGAGTAGAAGCTTGCATGAATCTGAATCAATAGTTCCGTAACAGAGCCCATGGTGATTCCACAATGTGTTTGAGAATCGGGAAGAATGGGCTGTCGGGCGTGTAGGTAAGAAAGCTCATACGTGCGTCTTCGCCGACGAAATGACCAATTTCGGGATCGAGACCAACCTCCGGATGGATGATGAGACGATCGAAAGAGCCCCTTCGGAGCTACTCGAGAGTAGTACCAGCCGATACTGGATCTCCCGGAAGTCAAGCCAAGAGGATTATCTAGCTGAGTGAAGAAGATAAGGACAAGTAACTTCGTAGATGTCTTCGAACACAAGAGTAATCTATCACGAAGGGCGGGTTGCACGAGATGGAATTGCATACCTCACCTGTCCCCATCACGCCAGGGGAAAGCTAGCTGTCTCTCAAGCCCACGAGATCTCAATTGAGAATGAAAGTCGGGTCTCCAAGGGCGTAGCGCAAATTAGACATCCTCCTGTTTCCCGGCATGACCTCCGGGATGATACCAACAGTTCAGCCAGCCACAAGACCTTGACCATCTACACCAAAGCCAGATCATTCAACTCCTGAGCCCGGCTGCGTCAAGAAGATGCTCCTTTCCCACATCACGATCATCAATCTGAAGATTTTTGAGCGTTAGCTCCCAGACTATCGATTTCAGATTCATGCAGACCTGCATGTTGAGGGTCTTTGTACACTGAATAGCGTGACAAACGCGTCACTAGGAAAAGACTCCTCTCAACTACATTAACAGACTACGCTAAAGGTTTGGATGTTTCGAGGATAAATACTTGAGTTCTCTCTCATCAACTTCAAGTTTTCTCATCACAGCATCAAACACTCTAACAAACACTCTCATTCATCTTCACCACACTCTTTCAACCACATTCTTTTACTCTTCCCAATCTCTTCAACAGTCTCAGTCACAATGAAGTACTCTCTCACCCTCCTTTCCCTCTCCATGGCCTCCGCCATGGCAACCCCCTTTGCCTCCAGCACCCAAAAGTGCAACATCGCTCCCAGCGCCTCTTCCAACCGCAAGGTTCAACCTTACCATACCGGCAAAGCTGACACCGCCATCGACTGCCAGACCTTCTGTGCCTCCGATGACTTCTGCAAGAGCTTTGCCTTTGGTCTCGTCAAGGGTCACTCGCACCCCAGCTGTCTCCTTTTCAAGGTCTCAGCTTCCGAAGTTCCTGCTCGCAAGGATGGTCTTCACGTCTTTGATAAGCAGTGTGCTGCTGATCGGGTACCCACTTCTGCACCTACTACCTCTGAGCCTTGGGGTTCTGTGCCTAAGAAGGTTCTTGTTCGTCGATCTTTGAAGTGCAACTGTGCTGCTTCTGGTTCTGCGAGCGGTGATGTTGAGCCGTTCAAGACTACTACCGCTGCTACTGCTAAGGACTGCCAGGCTCTTGCTGAGGCAGATACTTCTTGCCAGAGCTTTTTGTATGGTCTTCCTAGCGGATCAAGCACTCCTGTCTGTAAGCTTTACAAGGTTGCTGCTGCTAAGGTTCCTGCCCGCGGCGACACTCTCTTTGTCTTTGATAAGGGCTGCTCTTCTAAGCAGGTCCCTACTACCCCTCCCACTGAGGACGCTCCCCGCGGTCTCATCGGTACTGCCAAGGCTAGCAAGGTTCAGAAATCTGCGCCAAAGGCCACCAAGGCTGCTGAGGTGAAGGTTGAGAAGCAGAACAACGACGCTTACAAGGTTTCCAACCCTAAGCCCAAGACCACCAAGGTTCAGAAGCCCAAGGCTAAAGCTACCAAGGTCGTCAAGGTTGAGGACGACAACACTCAGTACGCTCAGGTCGGTGATGACTCTGTCAAGCACCAGGCCAAGGTTACCAAGGTTGAGAACAAGCAGCCCAAGGCCACCAAGGCCGCAAAGGTCGACAACAAGAAGGTCCAGAAGAACCAGGACAAGTCTGGCAAGACTGAGGCTAAGGTCACCAAGGTTGAGAACAAGCAGCCCAAGGCTACCAAGGTCCAGAACAGCAAGCCCCAGGCCACCAAAGTCCAGTACAAGGATGAGACCAAGAACACCAACGACAAGGACAACACCAACGAGAACAAGAACGTCAAGGCCGACAGCCCCAAGACCCTCGCTACCAAGGTCCGCAACAACGAGCACCAAGCCACCAAGGTCCAGGCTGTTGAGCACCAGGCTACCCAGGCCGAGGGCAAGAAGTCTGCTTGCAAAACCACCAAGGGCTCTGCTGCTCAGCCTAAGATCACCCAGGCTTAGAATGCCCTACGCTGAGGAGGAAGTGGCCATGTCAAGGTGGTTCTATTGTAGAGCCTTCATTTCTTTCCCGGTTTTCGTCTCTGGGACACCTCTGTCTGTCCGTCGTTTCTGGCTCCTGGAGCGACGACAGGGTCTGCCTCTGTTGACAATCATTTTCCTTTCGTATCTATCTGCTTCATCTTCTGTACTCTTATAATGTTTACATAGATTCGAGCTATATAGTCTTTCAAATAACACCCATTTCCTTTTTCTCAGTCGACGCGCGCTTTGATAACAGACTTTGTTCATTATACATTAATTCGGGATGAAGATGCATTTGCATAGTGGGCAGTCGACATGATGTTCCTTGAACCAAGAGTCCAAGCATTTGGTATGGAACACGTGCTCGCATGTCAACCGCCGTACATCTTCCTCATCCACTAGAGTCTCAAGACATACAGCACTTCATAGCAATCACTGTTAGCATGACTCCAGCTTTGTAGCATTTCGACGTACCATATCTCTGCCAGGCTGACTTCTGTTGAGCTCACACTTGATTGCTTTCTAACATCCTTGTACTTGATAGATGGATTCGCTCGGTTCAATGTCTGTAGGTTATGTCGCTCTATCGGCGTTCGCTGTCTTGGTGGCACGCGAATGACGGTCATCCGAGGATTTCGACGGGTGTTACAGCTTCGGAACTTCAACAGGATACTTCGCGGGTTAACCTCAACTGGCATGCAAGCTGGTCGGTGTAACCTACATGATGATGGTCACTATGGCGAGAGTCCCACCGAATAAGAACCAGGGTAGGTGCACGCTCGAAGCCCTGTAATCATAGCTTTTAGCCTCTAGCCCGTACTTCCGGATATGTTTCGTAGATGGAGAGTTCATCGGAGCACTTACATCGAGGACCCTTTACATGTGAATATCTGCAAAGCTCGACCGCATTCAGGATCCGAGACGGGTAGACATGCCTCGGTTAAACCAATTTCCGAGTTTTGACTGATTTGTCGGATAACCACGAGCGGATATCAAAAGCCAAGGCGTTTCATCAAAACATTGGCATTTGTCTGATAGCTGTTCAGAGCAGCAAGAGATGTGAACAAGAGCAACAAGAAAACAAAGGTCAAGAAGAGCGAGTACAATGAGAAAGTTGTTGTTCAAATCATGCTGAATTGATATGGACATTGCCCATCTTTCAAGGGATGCCCAGAATAATATCCAACAGACAAGACCAGCCAAGCACAGTAGCACTCTTTTGCACTGCCACTCTTCCACCCTCGCTAAACCCAACCCGGAAACTAACCACCAGCCAAGAACCCATCACCCAACGTCGTCATCACCCATCAAAACACCCCGAAACATGCTCAAAATAAACGATATGGGCCCTGAGATCGTCTCTTGACGCGTACATAGCATTTCGTCTAGAACACGAATTAGTTTCAGGGCATCATTGTGTGCACGTCGCGAGGGCTGTTAATATACATATTAAAAACATGACTGGGTTCGTCGTATAAATGTGGATCGCCAAGTTTACTCCTGATGATGCCAAGTCGGCTTTGTTCAAGTTATCCGGTAGTTGCGTACACGCGGTGAACAAATTTTCTCCCTTGAGCAATTAACAAATCAGTCACAGAGTATCTCATTAAGGTTTAAGCATACTGATCAACTCTAGGGGCTGGCCAACTTTATCTGACACTTCAGCTCTGGCCCTCCCCATCCTTTTCCCTGCATCCCTCATCATCATGGGTCTCGACTTTGGTCAGGCGATTGGCACAGCTTGTGCGACATTCGCCATCACCAACATCGACGACATTTTCGTTCTCGTCGCGTTCTTCGCCGAGGCTACGACGAGTCGATCGCTCACGCCTGCCAAGATCGCTATCGGACAATATGTCGGGTTTACGGTCATTGTCGCCGTGAGCATGATTGGCTTTGGAGCGTCGCTACTCATTCCTGCCGAACCAATTGGATTTCTCGGTCTGTTGCCAATATTGCTGGGTATATGGTGGATTCTGAGTTATATCTTTAGCAAGGATGAGGATGAGGAGGAGTCTCTGGATCAAGAGTTGACAACTGCCGATGGGTTCAAGAGTGTCTTCAAGGTAGCTTCCATTACTGTCATGAATGGCGCCGACAATATCAGCACGTATATTCCTCTCTTTGCAGAAGCGAAAGCTGGAGAGCTGGCTATATATATAGTCGTTTACTACATCATGCTTGGCGTATGGTGTTTCGCTGCATATCTCATCATGCGGCAAAAGCATGTTCTACACATTGCTCAGAAATATGCCCGCAGGTTGGTACCGTTCCTCTATGTTGGCCTTGGAATCTTCATCATCGTCAACTCAGAGTGTTATCCCTGGGCTATTGAGGAGATTGATGATGACATTGCATCACATCCAGGCAAGATTGTCATGGGTGTTACGACTGCTGGTTTTTTGGCGATCTGCATTAGCGCCATGCTTTGGAGGAAGTTGAGCCAGAGGTCGGAGGAAGTTCTAGTAGGTGATGCATCGTCTGCTGTCGATGGTCAACGAGGTTCACAGGAAGGAGGACGAGACACGGAACAAGAGGTTGGAGAGCAATCTGAAGTTATCAGAGACGCAGGTAGGCTCAAGACTCTCCTTCTATACTGATACTAGAAGTTGACTGACAGGAAACTAGGCCACAACGATGGTTCTACGAACAAGACCGGAGCGCAAGTCAAGAATGTCCCCGTTGACGTTCCCAGGGAGGGAGGCTCGGCGGTATAAAGACCATTACAGATAAAGAGATGACTCTAGCGGGAAGCAGCACCTGGTCTGGCATCAGGTTATTCTTAATAATATTTCTCCCTTGCGACATCGTCATCTTGCCAAAGACACTACATAACGCCCAATCGGTCGAAGTGTAGGGTGAGCAGGGCTTATCAAAGCTACAGTCATGTGCAGATTTTCTGCCGTCAAGTGCATTCGCAGAACGCCCCCCATTCGACGCCATGCCGGTATCCATGATCGATAGTTCTATCTTCAATTTCGGCCCGCTTGCCCATGGTTTAGACTTCCTTTGAAGGGCTCTCTGTTTCAGATGTCAATGCGACACGGCGACAAAGGTTGCAAGTCCTAGACGTCACGTCGACGCTTATCTGATCCACAAACCACCCGGGCACTTGTGTTGTCAACATACAGTTCGTCGCAAGGAATTCTATCGATAAATCACCTCTAAAGTTGGGGATAGTAGGGGTCTAGATTCGGGCACCTCGCAGGCATCTTACTCGCCAATCAGCCGAGTTCGTCATCCCCTAGCGACATGGACGAATCAGAATTAATACTGACATGTCGTTGGACAGAGTTGTCACTTTGAATCACCAGACTATACTGAAACAATAAAGAAGCTTTGAGGCCCGATTGATAGTGTGCGACACTACGTCCGTCGATCTATCGCCTTTCAGGCTGAATCATGACATAATATCCCGTGCTTACACCGCTTTTTATCCCATTCTTTCGACCCCAAATTCTCAATGCGCCACTGAAACCAACAGTCAACTTTTCCGACATATCAGAATCTCATTTATTAGATACAAAGATGGCTGCATCAAGTAAGAATCTGGAACGTATCGCTGAACTCCGACAGAGTGAGGTGCCGGTCCCATGGTGTGACGAGTTTGAGAAAATGATAAGCGGCATGAAGTTAGTGTCGCCAACTTCCCTAAGAAAACTATCTAACTTGGGGCATATAGCTTTAACACAGGCAATTCGCAAGAAATGATGGTTTACAAATTAGCTACAAAAAAGAGACTGCTCTCTTTTAACGATGAGAGTATTCCTGATGGTAGCACCCTTGCATCATTAAAATCAAGACGTATGGAGGTAGCAAAAGAGATGTTTGGAAAACTAGGCCAAGACGTCACCATCGAGCCCCCCTTCTTTCTCCTCTGGGGCTGCAACATATTCATCGGAAACGGCGTCTATATGAACCGAGAGTAAGCCTCACAACCCCCACAAGAGCCCATCTTGCTCAGAACCACGCAGGGTGTCAATCCACGACAACGCCCTTGTTACTATAGGAGACGGTGTACTCATAGGTCCTGGAGTTTGTATCTGTCCAGGTACTCACGCCGCGGATATGCACAGCAGGAGAGAAGCGCAGGGTACATCGTTTGCGCTGCCGATTCGTATAGAGGCGGATTGTTGGATAGGAGCTCGAGCTACGATCTTACCGGGTGTTACTATAGGGAGAGGAGCGACTGTTGCGGCAGGGGCGGTTGTTATCAAGGATGTTGAGGCGGAGACGTTGGTGGGAGGAGTTCCGGCGAGGTTTATTCGGAGTTTGAAGAGTGCGTCGACATGAGAGCCGGTGGCATTGGCAGGCTTCCTTTCAAGGCTCAGGCTGTCGCTTACACGAGGACATTTCAAAACAAACCGATCGCATTGATATCACTAATCCTGTCTTGGCTTGACCCAAACGCCATGCTTATCTGCATCACCCTCTGTCCACTCATGTACAGCTGCACTGAACTTATGCACCCGCTACGGCACCCGCAACCTCTCCAACAACCTCATCAATAATCTTCTTCAACTCCTTCGACACCACCGCCGAAAACAACACCATAACCACAAAGAACTCATCCCCCTGCACATAAACACTAACTTCCTTCTCCCCAAACCTCGTCCAGCCCGCACTCCCATACTTGGCCACCTTACTCCCATTCTGATCATACAACTCGAACCCCGTGCCAGTCATCTGATTAACCTTCCACTTGAACTTGCCCATGTGTGTATGAAACCCCCAACTCCCTGTCATGCTGCTGTTCTTGATCACCATTGGTTGGTTAAACACCGACACGTCGATGCGTGATGTGCTGAGATGCATTGTCGCTGATGCTATTATGTTTTCGGGGGCGGCTGGGCCGCGGTGCATTAGGAGGGTTGAGCTGCTGGGACGTTTGTAGATTGTGTACAGAGGAGGAGATTCTTTTGGTGCGTTGGAGGGGAGGATGAAGAGAAGGTTGTCGTCTTGTGGGTGTGGACGGATGGTGAATAATTGGGAACCATTGGAAGAGGAGCCTTGGGGGCTGGATGATCCGTATAAGACTTTATTGAGTAGTTTCTCCATGAGGACGACTGTTAAGGTGATGATTGGTTTACATTGACTGTTATCCTTTTTGCTGGGGGAGCTGAAAAAGCCAAGAAGGTCGGTGAGGGATCCATTGTCAATTTATGTCTGTCTTGCCAAGTGATGTCAAAAGTATAAGCCATGTCATATCCCGTAAAGGTAAATATGCTGCGACGGAGGTTGTAATCAGCATGTTAGTGCACAGCCCTGTTGGTGGCAAGGGAGGCTGATTGGTCAGTTCGCTCAGGCGGTTTTACGTGCATTAAATTCCGACGCGGAACTGAGACAAATGACGACGGGTTCCGCTGTCAACAACGGTGCTTTCTGTGATGGAATCTTTGCAGACGCACTTCTGATTCTTTATTTAGCCTCCATTCAAGGGGTGTATCTGTTAAATCAATCCTTGTAAGGCCCGTTGTCACGTAGCAAACAACGTTCCCTTGAGATTGCGACTTGATCCAGCAATTACTCTCAGCCTATCAAGAGTTCCGGGTCGCATACCGTAGTGAGAAAGGCGAAAGATCTTCACTGCAGCTCATCGTACAAGGCTGAGCAAGTCTGTCAGAAGCGCTGATCTCGGGATAATAAAGGCCTGTATGCCTTGGATCAACAACCCTCAACCATCTAATTCGCCAAAGCAAAAGTTAGACTCATTAAATTTCGGACAGAACGAACAAATCATGTACAAATACTTCAATCTCGCTCAATTGCTTCCTTTTTTAAAACATGCCAATCTCGTGGCTCATCCCTATCCCCATCCCCACTATTCCAAATCAGGTAAAATGGCGCGCTCCGTCATCGTCCAAGTGGAGCAAAACATGTGAGATCCATTTCCAAGGCTGAGCCCAAGCTTACATCTCGACCTCCTCAACGAGTCTGCGGGGCCTTTAACTATCTCGGGATTCCAGCCCATTCCCCAGTTCAAGGAAGCCTCATCTCAATCTTATCTGTTTTGGGTGAGATACACCGCTCTGACGAACAATGCCTGGCGTTCCATCTTACAAGGGCTGCGATGCTTGTCGGAAGCAGAAGAAAAAGGTAAGTTAGTGCCATATTGAGGTTGGAGAATTTTTGAGTTAATGAGGGGATAGTGTGATAAAGCTCAGCCGAAATGCGCAAGGTGTGAAAGGCTTGATATTCCGTGCATCAACGTTGGGAAACAGCGCTACAAGTTCAAAGTCCAGACCCTCGAACAAGGAGACAGTATAAGCGTCCAAAACATCGACACAGAAGATGACACTACGAGTTCAAGTTCGCGGTCTTCAAAATCGCCTATTTCTTTCACCCAAGCGTTGATCAAAGTTCCTTTCAACAAAACAACCATGGTCACTCAAACACTTGTCTCACGGTTAGAGATTACAGATCTGCGATATGATATTACCTGCTACGGCGACTTTCTTCGGCATATTCCTGCGCGGTTGGGGAGGAATGAAGCTCTTGATGCGTCGGCTGATGCGTTAGCTACTACGTTTTCGACATTGCATCGACCGCAGGGGTATCAGACTGTTGATGCGCTTACGAAGTATGTTAAAGCGATAAGTTCGTTGAGATTATGCTTGGAGGATCCTGCGAAGGCGAGGATGCCGGAGACTATGTGCTCCGTATATCTGATTATGATCTGTCAGGTGAGTGGTCTCGTAGTGTTTGTGGGTGATGCTGACAGATTCAGGGCTGGTTGGGAAGAGATGATGATCCGACTACGAGTCACGGCCAAGGTCTGGCATATCTTCTTAAAGCAGCGGCGCGAGAGAACTGGAAAGCCGGTTTCGAAACAGACATGCTCTTGACATTCTGCGTTCCAGTCGTATGTCCCATTGAACCCGTCTCGCCTCCATGCCTTGAAATCTTATCACTAACATCCTTAGATCATAGAAAGCATCTCCAACCCAAAGGTCAGACTAGAAAAGTGGTTCTGGGATATGCTCGACAACTTCAAAAAGAACAATCCTCCCTCAACGCCCGAAAGCGCAAAAGCCCAACAAGACGGCCAAGACGCAGGCGGAATCCCCAGTCTGTCCATCCGAAATCTAGGCCGCTTGCCAGACTTCATAAACGACCCTGAACTGCACCGCATGGAAATAACATGCGCATATCACAGACTTTGCCGCGACCTACGCAAACTCTCCGAAATCGTCAAAGCCGTAACATGGGCGCCCGGTTTCTTCCCAACGCCCATGCAACTCCGCCTCTCACGCTCCTACAACTCAGCCTACTCCGTCCTCCTAACCGTCCTCGTAATAATCGGCCAACTAATGCAAGCCTTTGATCCGTACAACCTCGCTCTCGTCGGAGAAGCAGCACTATGTTCATCAGAGGTAGTATCCCTCGCGCACCGAATAAGTCAGTACAGACCACTGGGAGCAAGCCATGTTCCGTTGACGCTGGCTATCGCATGGGCTGCTACGGATGAGCCGGGGATGAAGAGGCAGTTGGAGGAGACGTTGGAGGAGTATCAGCAGGACTGGACTGTGACGCAGTGGATGAAGGTTGGGTACTGGTGGACGGATAAGTTCGCGGAGTTGAGGGGGAGGTTGGCGCCGAGGCTTTCGCAGGAGGAGGAGGAGATGTTGATTAGGAGGGGGGAGGGAGTGGAGCTTAAGGGGCAGCAACCTGCTGATGAATGTTGTGTTATGTAGAAGTTGACGAGGGCTACCTGATGGGTATGTAAAGCTGGAGGAAAGCAGGCTCTTCCTCCTCTACGATTATAAGAATGTGAAAGTCCTTCGTGTCATGCCTGCGGTATAATGTCACCTGACTGATCGTCAATCAATGAACTTACGATACATATAAGAGCGATAACAGTCGGCTAGATCGTCTCGGGTTAGATATTCGGAAGATTGATAATCGAAGAGCTCCCCTATCTATTGTCGGTGCCAACAAGCATATCTACAACAAAAAAATGAGGATCAGATTACCAGCAACCTACTGCACAGGCTAATCGACAGAGTGCAAATCTTGCTTCTAGTGTTCACCCATGTTCAATTCACATCTAATTAAAAAGAAAAATGAACTTAATCGCAGAATACTTTTATCGAGCTGCCACCCAGCAAAGATATCACTTGGAAGCCACAGCAGTGATAGCGGCGAACAGATCTAAAACCGATAGCCTATCGCTCGAGTCAGACAGAGATAGCTATCTGACTGAACTACTCCCGGGCCGACAACCTGTCAGTTCAAATCCAGACTAACTCCACCACTTCAAGAGCCCCCTTTCATCCGGATCCGCAATATCTGACCCAAATCCTGACTAGACAATCTCCCAAATCTCGAAAACCCCACAGAGACAATAGTCGCGGACAAGCCTAGCGTTCTGAACCGGTTGGATTCATCCACCAAGAGCAAGCCGATCATCGGAATTGGACCGGGGATGCGAGCATCAAAGCTTACCCGTGTCGGAACTAGTCAAGAGAGCGGAATCAACGCATTGATAACCCGTTCGAAGCTATTCTTTGTTGGTGTAAGTTAAGTTTGGGGGGCCTGACTCGTCTAGCCTTGGCACGTGGAAGATGTCATACGAGAAGAGCGGTAGGCTAAGCCCAAGACAGGCGGCTTAGGCTTAGCATGAGAACCCCTCAAACGTGCAGTGATTGAGGTGAAGCATGGCTGGAAAGAGAATACTTGTGACAAGAGCTTGTTGATATCGCTTCTGGTGCTATAGGCACGATTCTATCTATACGGGCAAATTATACATCGCTGGGTATTCTGATCCAGGCGTTTACCCAAATCATCAAATATTAAAAAACAAAAATGATACAAATGGTCGCCCATCCAAATCTATACTCCGTGATAGACCTTGACAACACCGGCAGCCGATCTTTCAGAGTTTGTCTCTACATCATCGGTCCGTATGCTGTCCTTGCTATGGCTCATCAACTCATCAGGGATGCACCCCACGGGTCCTCTCCTATCTTCAGGACCAGCATCTTCACTCGTGATTTGAATCTCGTGCTTAGCGTAGATCTTGAGCGGTAGAGCGTATGTGGCGTTGATCTCTTCCTCACTGTCGACTTGGTGCAGGTTATGCTCCGCGCGGACTTGGGAGCGCACGACGGAGCGATGGTTGGTGAAGTTTGAGCGGTATGCTTTGGAGGGGTTGTTTGTGCTCTTGCCGTATGTCGAGCCGCTGAATGAGCCGAGCTTGAAGATGCGGCGGAGGAGGGTCCAGATGTAGGGAAGGTTGGCGGTTATGATGGCGGTGGAGGATTCGCGGATGTACCAGAACGTCCAGTTTGAGCCGAAGGGTTCGTTGAAACTGTAGAACTTGTTGAGGATGGCGGAGAGGATCTGTGCGTGTAAGTTTGGGTTTCAAGCGAGTTAATGTGAGGTTAAGCTTACAGTGAAGGCACCCAATGCGAAGACGCCAATGAGGACAGCCTTGCGCTTCAATGGGAGCTGCGACTTGAGAAAGATTGGCATTGGGATGAGAATGATCATAATATCGGATGTAATGTTAATGACGGCGTTGGTGATGAGATGGTTCGTCGCAGCAGAACATTGAGCTATAACCGTTAGCTTGATTCAATTGAGCAGTGGTGTAACATACTGTTCTTTGGAGGAACAGCCCAGTACTGGTTAAATGGACGACACCAAACACCAAGGTACAAGATCTCCATGATGACGAAACCAGCAGTGACATAGGCGGCGACAAACTTGACAGCCAAGTTCTGACTCAAACTCATTCTGCAATTGTTAGAACCGTAATTGAGCATCGGGACGAAGCGACGTACGTGAGGCGGTTGTACATGAGCAACAGGCAGTACTTCATGAGCCAAATGGTGACAATCTGCATCTGCTCGACGACCAAGACCCATTTCGATCCGTACTCTCTCGTTCTAATCTCCTCGGCATCGAGGACGACGTGTTCGCTGGGATCGATGAGGTTGCTGCTCGTTTGCGAAATAATCGACATGCCGACCATTAACACGGTATCGGTGAACTGTAACAATACAATTAGACAATTGCGCTGGTGGATTGGTAGTGGTGATGGTGACGGACCATTGCTACTACCATCAAGTAATCCTCAACTTGTAGCTTCTTGACTGAACCCAGTAACATCCGTCGTGATATCCTGTACCAGGGTCAGCTTCAAACCCAATTGATCCTTCGTGAAATGTATGTGTCTTACATTCTGGCAATGACAATGATCCACGATAGACTGTACCAAGTCCATATCTCAGCCTCAAACGCCGTCATTTTGTCGGTCGCACGTAATTAATTTGTCTACAAATCGGCTTCGTCTGGGTTGTCGGTTTCGGGGGGATCGACGACGGGTGATTTCGTAGTGGTGTTGGTGTCAATTCGACGTGGAAGGGCTGTCGAGGATGCAACGGCGCATGACTTGGTCTGAATGAGACACTGGAAATAAAAAAGAAAGACGGACGCAACGCAGCAACAACACAAGCAACGCGGGGGTGGGTTAAAGGGGGGAAAACGGGAAACCAAGAGCTTGGGTTTAGTTTTTATTATTTCCTCCGAAGGTGGAGTTTTTCGAGATTTAGGAATGAAAACCGTCTCAGGGGATCGGGGGGGACAAACCAGTTCTTTAGCTTGGTCTAGAGCTGACATTAGTCCCGATTTTACGCCACTGATTCTTCAAGCATCGTTGGACCGAACAAAAGATGCGGGTGTCGTCGGTCCTTGGGAGAGGGCACATTAGCTGGGATGAGGCTCTGATTCGCTATCATCCTTGTCTCAATTCAGTGGGAACGAAGCTGCACGATCGGAGGAATGGCAATGCAGTTTTGCCACGTTTTGCAGGCGATTGTGATTCAAATGCTTGCAGTCATAGACGCAGGGCATGGGGGACCCCTTGATGCAAGCTGAGCCAGTAGATCATGTTACGTCTAGAACACCACCCTGCCCTAGACAAGGCCTGAACAAGCCCTGGAAGGATGGAAGCGCTCTTTTTTCTTTCGGTGGCGAACTAAACTGGCACAGTGGCGCCCAGCCCTCGCGTAACGTCTTCCCATATCCATTCCTTGGGCGCTCTATCAACGGATCATGGCCGCTGACCCTGTTTTTTATCTCCCCGAATAAGCTAGACGCTGATTTACAGTGGGCTCATGGCTGCCAATAGACTTTGCTAGTTTCCTGCGCCAAGCAACCGATCGCGTGGGCACCAGGGGACTTGACTCAGTGATCACTCCATGAAGGCCCTCCCCCTCAAGCCAAGGGAAGATTGAGCCGGATCGTCAGTAACAGAATTGTCTCAGCTCCCCTCTGTCACTTTTGCGCTTATCTTGAAGTTGAGACCGAGCTATCCGAGCCAAGATTAGAAGATTGATGGTCGCGATAATTACTGCTTCTATCCATAGTCCTGTCAAAGAGGAGCACAGATCCTCCCCACTTACCGAATGAGGCATCTTGAATTACGTGACTCGTGGGAGGCTTTTTCTTACACTCTTTTCTTTTTATTTGAAGAGTGACATGTCTCTTTTCGATTCAGTTTCTTTGCATCAAAGCGTTCGCTTCTATGCAAGCCTCTTTTCTTAGCTATCGATTCTGGGTAAATGTTACCTGCTCTTTATCTCCTAGACCTTGCGCTTTGCTTCTCGGCTGCAGTCTTGGCTTCTTTCACATGTGGGTATCGGTAAACGATAACCGACCTCTTTCAAGTTCCCCGATATTATTCCCCTGAACTATTGCATTACACTTCTCAATAACTTGTGCTTATTCCATCCAGGGTAAGATTCATGGTCTCCGCGATAGCCAAGCAACGGAACCACTTGAGCTGTGTACTGTACCCTTATATGGTGGGTTATAAGGTGATCGGTCTCCGGAGATGATTCCGGATTTACCTTAGCGAATGCCCCCGTATAGAGTCCTCTCCACCGCGGGAGGCAGCCTTAAGAGGGAGGTGATAATTGACGAAGGGCCGAGACTGGTAATATGTAACATGTTATGCGACGATTGCTGATTGATATTACGTACAGTAGTCAATTGATCGTTGCAGGGTAGTTTTGAGTCTGGGGCATGCAAGACACCAAAAAAGCAATGCTTAATATTTCCTTCTAGAATAATAAGCGGCGCAGTAGAAACCCGGTCAAACGCAAAATGTCAGCTGCAACGTATAAGCAATGTCTTTTATATCCGTGGTTGCGGTCATTTGTCAGATTTTACAGAGGCAGGGAACCTTGATGATTTGCATTTGAGTTATTTTCTGTCTCGCTAAAACGTTTCGTTGATCATCATTTGTCAAAGCTCGTCAGCCTCAAATCATGACATAATATGCTGTGGCTTACACGTGGCTCAGTAATCAACCTTGATGAGGAATCACCAAATTGCGCAACATCACGTGATATGATTCCATTTCAAAGCGGCTCTTTGCGATTCTCTCAAAATCCATGAGAAAGCGGAGGCAGAGAGAAAATAAGGATATAAACACATCGCAGCCTCAACAACGCCAAGATTACTCACATCAACTGCCCGAAACTAAATCGACTTTCATCTCACCGCATCTCCAAACTCTCATCCAAAACTTTGCCGATCTCTGTAGATCAATACCAGCAAAAAAAACAAAATGGTGCATCATATCACTTCAAACGATGAGCTTCAAAAGCTCCTCTCGTCAACAACATATGTCGCCGTCGACTTCTTCGCAGACTGGTGTCCCCCCTGCAAAGCCATCGCCCCCGTCTACGAGCAACTCGCCACCAAGCACAGCGTCGACAATGTCCTCGCCTTTGCAAAAGTCAACGTAGACCACGTCCAAGACGCCGCGCGCCAGTACGGCATAACAGCCATGCCGACGTTCCTGTTCTTCAAGGAAGGGAAGCAAGTCGCTGTCAACGGGCAGGTTGAGATCAAGGGCGCTGACCCGAGGAGTCTGGGCGCTGCTGCTGAGAAGTTGGGGGGACTAGCGCAGAAGAGGGTTTCTGGAGCGTAGAGTGAGGAGGGTTTCGGGGATTTTACTCCTGGGGATCGGCCCGTGGAGTTTGGAATTGTTCTTTGGTATTGCTTTAGCGTGTTGGGGAGGAATGCGGCCATTGTGGAGGGGGAAAAAGTTAAGCTGGTGTGATGCTTTGAGTATGGTTAGCGATGGGACAAGGGAATAAGAAACATGTCTGTTTCCGGATATGATTGAGTTTACGTGAAACGGGACTACAGGTGTATAGCGTCATTTGAGGTCTTTCTGACTCGATGACTTTGAGAACAATCAATAGAGGAATGCTATGAATCAATGTATGACGATGAATTATTATTCATTGGTTACTAATGTTTCAAGTTTAACCGTGATATTGCGATCGTCATGTCAAAACCTGGGGATCAGCATCGGTGTGACACGCAATGACAATTGACAGCGGTTAGTGACCCAATCGTTTCCACAAAGTCCGGCCAAGAGTCCTTTAGCCTTCTAAAATGCTAAGATCAGCAGGATACTTACAGGGTCTTCCAAGGGTACGATTTCACCGATAGAATTGTGTAATTTGGTTGAGACTTTTGTTAACGTTCAGGGTAAGGGCCTCGTGAGACTCGTCTCAATATCGCTCAACTTCATGAGGGGATATGGCTGAATCACAATTTGAGAACTTTTAAAGGTAAATAATTGACATACAAATTAGACACTAGTAAAAGAAGTGTTCACTTTGAATGGCCATTTATCTATACTAAGTCATTTCGAGGTGATGCTTTTGACGTCGCCTGGATACGTCGGTATGAAGTCGAGGAATATCTGTTAAGAGAAACAGTCTATCTGAGTAAACAATGCCCTGAAGAGTGTTTGGCCATGTAAGACGCCTTACCAACGAGCAATCAATGAGAAGGACAGTGGAGAGTATTGTTCTTTTAGCATACCATTACAAGAAGGGAACGCGCTGCATCAAAGAACTGCCGCGACGCCTTTGGTGAACAGGATATATGTGAACGGGGTTTCGATTCTTATACCTCCGCCACTGCAGATGTAGGTCGCGGGTTCAGCTAGGCTGGCAAAGGATTTTGATGGTACGGCCGTGAGTCGTCCCAGATCAAGTGAACGCAATGTCTGCTGTATTATTTGACATCGGAGTTACAGACGTGGGAGGTCATAGAAGAACTTTTGTTGTGTTAAATCTTTACAAGTCTGAGCTCCTTATTCCATTGTCTGCATAAGCTTCGTTTGCACCGCCGACACTTGTCACCTGAACAAAGGAGATTTAGAGAGGTTTAGTAACCGATAGGCTTGCGACCGACTCAAGCAAGTTAGTGTTGAGCGTTCGGGATAGGAAGGAATTGTTGCCACTCCACATTGCTGTTCGCATGTAACTAGTCATAGAAGCAATTGAACTCGACATGTGGCGTGATGGAGTCTGCTTTTGACACCGGAATCGTTCCTGCTGCAGTAGTGACCGTTGAAGAATCCTTTCCAACGTTGGCGAGATTCGTTGAAAGTTTGCGTCATCTTGGGAGGGTGCAGACATAGCTTTCGGCTCCATTGGCTCACACTTGACAGATTCTTAAGTCTTTCGTGGAGTGAAATGGCGAGGGTAGCAAGTGTACGTCTTTGCTGCGTCAAAGCCGCTAGCAACGATCGCTCCTGTTACGTTCTGGTGAATCTTGCCGTTCTGGAATTTAGTGCATATGGGAGTAAGTAGAGATGAACCAGAGGTTGATATGTTGTCATCTCTATGGAAACAGAGCCAGTCATTGTATCACTTGTTGAAGGGATAGCTGGAAGATATCCCTTGAGTCAGGAGAAGGAGGGAAGGGTTCGGGTAGTGAAGTATAAGGAGTTAGACATATGCGAGGATGGGCATATCTTAAGCATGACTGCAATGATATCAAGGGCGAGAGGAGCTCCAAGACTTATGTAAGTAGGGGTTGAGAATAAGGGAATACGAGTATATGAAGTTGCCGGGATGTTATGCCTTTCGAGCTGGTCGTGGCCGCGAGGAGTAGATTGAATAGATAGTTAGGCACTTGAGATGAAGATGAAAGAGTGCAGAATATGTTACCTACCACTGCAGACGAGTTGCCTTATTTCGAGCTAACTGTCCAAATGTGCCATCTAGCAACGCATTCATTGCAAACGCCGCGAAGTTATACGTTAAAGCCAGCCAGTCAGCCACTTAGCCATGGGAACAGCCCAGCGACCTAGTTCCCCATTGGAAGCCTTGATAAACGCGTTGACACTGCCGAAATTCCTTAAGAACCGTTGAACAAGGCTCTTTTTGTATCGATTTGGCCTAGTTTTTATCTCAAGGTGTTCATTTATCTTGACCACTGAAACAGAAGCCTCGGTCTTGTTCACTGCCGACCTTGATCACTTGTTTGGACCTGAGACTACTCTTTGACTCGTTTGAACTGGCACTGGCAGTAATATTATGGCCTCTATCTTCTGCTCCCATCGTACCAGTGGCATTGACGGTAAATACTCACTCTCCGCAACATCTTTTTACCTCAGTGACTGCACCTATTTCTACCTTCGTCTCGCATCCCTCTTCCCAACATCTCCTCCCACCTTCACTTCTTCCTCTCTGCACTCAAAATTAACAAGGCCCTTCAAGGCGGAACTTGAGATATCGCTAATTTGAAACTTCCTTTCCATACTGAAGAGGAACTCAGACAACGCTGTCCATCACACAAATCAACTCCGCGGTACCAAAGGTACCAGCACGTCAACGTAAGTGCACATCTTCCGCCCTGCTTCATCAACATCCATACTGACCGTGAAGCAATAGAGGATGTCATCTTTCCCCTTTGGCGATCTCCCTACGGAGACGAAGAAGAATGTGATCCTTAACGCCCTTCCTTCTGTCACCGCACCTCATCGATACTACCTATCAAACATTGCTCGTATCCATGAATACGTTGAAGAACAGACCCTCAAGAAAATACAGGACTCCGACCCAGTTATCGCTTCGTTGTCGAATCAGATCCGATGCCTCAAGGCCATCAACCCCCAAGATGGGACTGCTATCATGTCTAGCGTCGGTGGTGTCGAGTTTCGCCCTGACCCGAAGCACGACACCTTCAAGGCCATGGAAATGCGCCTTCCTGCCGTTCATCCGTCTGCGTCCTGGAACCCTCAAGGGGTCAAGGGCTATCATAAATACGCCCTGCCTTTCCAGAACGTGCTTAACGTCGCTTATCGAACCTACCTTGCACGAGGTCAAGCACGTAAGTAGACACCATAACCTTCGATGAAGAGTACCTTATGCTAACAGACTTACAGCACCCCCCGACGACGGATTGACTATTGCAGGTCCATCAACTGCCCCCGCGGTAAAAGCCCCCCCCACCTACTACAATATACCCTTTGAGAAAGATCTTCCGATCTTTGCCCGCCTCCCAAAGGCCAAAAATCTGTCTCTGATCGTCGAGTATGCCGGCCGTGAATGGCATATTAACGGCTTCCAGATGAATGGGCCTGACGTTGTCGGTCGACGATACCTTCTGAACCGCTGGGGTCTTATTCGCTCTGGGGACCATTCTTATGTAGCCGAAGAATACTTTCGCTCCCGCCGCATTCCTGCCGACACCGGCATCGCATGGAACTTGCCCGGCAGAGACCGGCTCAGCGATCCCGAGGACCTCGAGGGCGTCCCAGTCCCAATCTCTCGCTACGGCATACCCAACATTGGCTTCAACGCCTATAGTCGAGGCAACATCTCCCTTGGCGGAAACTGGGCGGGATTTCGGTTCTGGGTCGACAACAACAAGGTTGAGTTCAGCCCACTGTGCTGGCAAGAGGTCGAGCCGCTGATTGGCGAGTACTATGGTCTCGACGAGCGTGGCTACAACACCTTCACCCCCGGACTCGTCGCCAGAGTTTGGGTTATCCGCTCGGAACAGGATCTTGAACCAACTGAGAAACCTCACCACCACTGGATTGAGGTTAGAGAGCCTGAGTTTGGCGATCCGGAGTGGGTTGAGCAGATCGCAGCGACATGGAAGATGACCCGCCAAATGCTCTCTCATGTTCGTGGCAGTGCCATCGAGGAGGATGAGGAGAGAAACGTCGCCGCGGATAACTACTGTTTCCAAATGGAGCCGTGATGATGTTGATGGAGTACCAGGAATGCAAGCTGCGGAAAACTAGTCCAGGTTCAGTGTTGCACAGAGAAAGTAGACTTGGGAACAGGCATGGATGAGTAGATCTTGAGGTGGACTCTTCCAGGACATCAAGCGTGAGAAAATGTAGCTTTGATAGAGAAGATAGTGAAGACCCAACAGCCTTGTAACTCAGCCGTATATTGCCAATCAAGCATACTTGAAATCAGCTCGTGTTCGGCCGTAGCAAGAAGCATACCCTGCTTAATAACGGGGCTTATTCTTCTTCGTATTCCGGCGATTACTAGATACGGCTATCTCTTGCAGTAGTCCGACTCAACTGATTTCTTTTATATCTCTATCTATTTCATACCTACAAACAGTTGGTCGAGTAGCTCCGATAGTCGTCTGCGTTGCTCGATTGCACGATTCTAGGTTCTTGAGGAGTTCTCGTTGAAGACCAAGAAAGCTTCTCCAATTCTGGACAAGAAGTCTCGGCTTTGCTGGTTCGACGAGTAATATTCTTGATATCAGCACAGCCTTGAATCCTTCATGCAGGATAGTGGCACGGCATCCCTGCAGCACTGTCTGCCTGATTTTCCAATATGAACATACATAACAGCCAGTCAGCCCATTGTTTCAATTTCTTGCAAGCTCACCTGGATCATGCAAAGTAAGTAGGACTTGCACGACTTCTGTCGACTTCAGTGAAAATGACCGAAACCTTAATAACGACTTTTCCAACTACTCCAAATCCGACATGGACTTTGCCACGCTTTACACCGCCGCCAGAATGTCTTGACACCAAGAGCATATGGAGAATGGACACGGATTGCTATTCTGGCACGGCGCAAGGGCTTTACAGAACAACGCAGACGTGTAACTACCTCTGGCTGGGATATACTGACTATCCCCATACGACCGGTGGCCTTGGTCTCGGATTGAATGGCTTTTGTGGTCCAGGTTGGAATCATCCAGCAACGGAGTGTCCTGTTGGATATACGCCTGCACATACCGTCGACTACACGCCTGATGCGACCACTTCACGGGAGATACTGTGTTGCCTAACGTCCGTAGACCGTCGAGATTTTGTCTGTGCAGGAAGCTGACTGATTCACAGAGCATATGACTTCGAATGGAGTAGGCCGATCCTGACAGATCAAAGCGGCAGTTCAGCAACACCTTACGATAAATTCTGTGTCGCTTCCAATCTCAAACCATCAGGCACTTCACCCTTGACTCTAACAGCCTTCGATCTCTCTTCCGCAAGCTCTCTACAAACAGACATCCGAGTCTCAACGACGATAAAATTCGATCCAGAGAAAGACCTTCTCCTAGCATCAGCCGTCACCATATCATATCAGATCAACTCAGGTGGAACCACGTGCGTTCCTGACTGTGATGATCCGTATACAGGTGGTCCTTGGCCACGGCCTGCACAAACAGTCACTCCAGCTCCCGAGTCATCAAGAAGCGATTCCGGCTTAGTGGGATTAGAGAAGCTTGTCTGGGTAGGAATTGCGTTTGGGATTGTGGTTGGGTTGGGGATTATAGCTTGTATTGGATGTCGTATACATCGTAGTAGGAAGGGGAAGAGAATGGGTGCTACGTCGGAAGCTCAGGGTCGTGAAGGGGAAGTACAAGATCAGGACATGATAGCCATGGAAGTACCGAAAGGGAAGAAGGCGGATTAATATCTTAATTTTAATAGTAATTGAGTAATCTGGTGACGGCAGGTTTGCAAGTAATAATGCCAAAGTTATAGACGGAGAGAATGAAATGTCAGAGAAGAAAGGATACTAAGAAACTTGTTCTGGATACTCAAAGACTGATCTAGGCACTGCCTCCAATGAAACACCTCAACGAGGAACCTTGCCGATCCTACAAAGTCTAAGCGATACCATGCCCATCGCACCCCAGTCCATAGCAAAACCACAAATCTCATCAACTCTACTATCTCAACCACGGAATCCCGAGAAGCCATTCAGAGCATTGAAACCCGTTGATGACGATTAGATTTGATGTCCTTCAGTATAATGTGGTGGCGCAGCCTCGTTGATGATCGGGGCTGTGCTGACAATTTGATGGTGGACACGGTCAATTTTGACCGAAGGAGCAGGGTTGCAGTCAACTGTCACAGCTTCTGATTGGATGATTGGACTCACGCGCTTTTTGCTATCACATTCGCTAAACCAGCTTGAGAGAGAATCTGTAAATTTTGGCTTACTTTTGCATACCCTTTGCAGTGGCTATGCTACATGCGCCGTGAAGGAATGGTTGGAGACTAAGTAATGAAGATGTTCAGATCGCGGGCTGTTGAGATAATCGAGTTTTGAATCAGAAACATAATACGTTGCCATCCCGTCTCTTCGGAGACTGGTTTCACCTCTCAGAACAGAAAGCGCAGTGCAAAATCTCATGACCCTTCTCAGATCTAATATTCTATTGCAAGCTCATCAACATGGAAAACTACCCCCGTGAGACATACGGTCGTTCTTCGATCAATCCACGCAATTCATGCTCGCGAAATCCCTATGAAGAAGGTGACCGAGAGTCACTTTCCGAGCCTTTCAGCCCTACAGGGCTGCTCGGGGAACGATATGATCTGCTTAAACAGCAAATGGAGGCCAGATCACGAATAACCAATCCCAACGACAGTCCATTCACAAGAGGACTTTTGGGATCTCTCGCTGAATCCGAGAGTAGGGGCTACCACCCTTCATACGACAGCACTAAAGCAGCAGGCGGATTGTCTAGATCAGCGTCAACGGCAAGCTCTTCGAATCGATACAGACCAAGACGAACACCGAGTGTATCTTCCGTCCGAACAGACTCGATCTATTGCGCTCAGTCTGGTGCTACGCCGCCTCCTCTACTAGATATATCGTCGACGCTTCCCCAAAGGCGAGCGTCATGGCGAGACAGGAACTCGCAAGGTATCAGATCACCAACTGTTCAGCCACTGCTGAGTTTACCTGAGACATCGAGCACCCAGTGGAACAGCTCTTATTCACCAGCGCTGGGTCGAAGCCATTCAGTTGCTGTTCGGTCTTCAAGTAGCTCTTGGGGCCCTTCAGGCAGCAGATCCGGCTCACATGTAACACCAGATCCCTCAGCTCTTAGTCGCCGAGTCTCTACTGCTGCTGCTCCAGCTCGACCTGAAACGTGGTATCAGGGTGATCGGGCTGAGCCGAAGCGTCGAGGGACGTTGCGGAGCTGCTGAGCCCCATGCCAGCGTTCTGTTGTTAGAGGGGCAACAACAGTCTCACAATAACGTTAATTTGGAATGCGACTTATGAAAAGAAATTGTGTTAATATGAATAAGTCTAATTGATCTTCATGCGCCATAGCAAATGCCGTTTTCTCTTCCATTTGCGTCTGAACTTACCTTACCCCTTGTCCACCGCAAAGTAAGGGAATCCGGGAGCCACAAAACCACACAAAGGAGAGTATAAGGAAAAGGCCAGAAGAGACAAAACGGACTTGCCCACTAAGGATATCTGAATAGGGGAAAAGGACATGATTCGGTCAAGGGGAAGAAACCGATGGTACTGCTGATGGAGTCGTCTCGACAATAGGAAATGCGCTTGCGTTTGCGCGAACCATCTTCAGATGCTTCGCTTTCACTTACTCCAAGATCCAGAAATTATGATTTGCACACCATGAGGTCTCGAAACCTTTAGTCCTCGTTATGGTAATGGTGCGTAAACCACTTCTTCAGGTGGTGAGCCACCCTTCCAAAAAGCCTATGCGACTTACTTCCCGGTTCTTCTTCGTCAGAGGATGTGTCTTCTTCAGATGATTCATAGTCAAAGTTTATTGCGTCTTGCTTTATCCATTCGATAAGGCGCTCGTTGACCTCGTCGAGGAAATCGGAAGACATTGCCTGTGGGTTATTTCTCGAAGGCGTTGGGCATTCTTCAGAAGGGCGAGGCATTGTCGCTCGTCTGACTTTATCAAACTTTAATCAATGCCTGTTGGCTTGGGCGTCAAGTTGAGTTGAGTTGAGTCGAGCTGGGTTGGGTTGGGTCGGATCGAGGTGGTTCATAATCGAAACGTGGGAATAAAGAGATAGGTTACCGTCTTTATCTCCACCAGACATGAATGTTAGTTATAGCAATTCTAGTCAGCTGTTTAGTTGTAAGCTGCAGAACACTGGAATTTGTGTGAAGTTTTGTTCTTTGTTTAAATCGGCTTGTTCAAGACTTTGATAGCTTTTGTTCAGTGAAGCTGAGAGTCCAAGGGGTGTGTTCCATTGAGGTCGCAGGATTTCAGCCTCAAACCTCAGATACAGGCCTAAGATGACTTTGTCAGTGACAGTGGCCACTCAGATACAGACGTACGGATGTATATGGTGCCCCCGCTCCTGTTAGCAGTTTCCAGCTTCATCGGCGGATTGACCAACTAGATAAGGTTGAAATCGGCATTAGCTCTCGGTCGTTGACGGCGCGCTGCAAAATATCGCATTTTCAGACGACGGAGACACTTGAAAGTGAGAGAAACTGTAGTTATTTGTCAAGAGTATTTATTGTTGAGAACTGATCGGATGTTCCTTGTCTTCGTCGAATTCGTTGGTATCATTTCCGAAATCAGAAATGATCACGCCGTATTCGGATTGGAAGAGGACTTGCGAGGGAGGCAGGTGCCTTTTCATGAAGTCAGGCCGTCAATATCGCCCGAAGCAAATTCAAGGCATGCAAGACTGACCTTGATTTCAACGGTGGAGATCGGAACTACCTGTTGTTTCTGAATACGGAATGACTCTGAAATCAACAAAAGTAACCATTGCTGTCGTTTATGGACCGAACGACTTCGATCTCCCCTGTTGCCTTTTCTCTTACGGCTATCAAGGCTAAAGTCTTATACCAAAACCATTTTTATAGTTCTACAAAGTTGACTTTGATATCAATTATCTAGATAGTCTCGGCGACCGACAATTTGCTGGATTCGGCAGTAGTGCGGTTATTAGTCGACTGTCAGTGCATGACGGTGCATCGAGGCTATCATAACTCTGCAAGTTGAAAGTGAAACCAATGTTCCATTCAGGGTCATCAGAGTAACTCTGGTTGAAGCAATAACGGAAATACATTCTCTAATGTTCTGTTTTGGCTGGAGTCTGGCTGAGGGCTGACGTGCCTTAACTCGCAAAGTCAACTCCGCTGCACTAGGTCCAATGCAAGCATCTTTGCCAAAGCCCGATAGGAAGGCAGGTGAAAGAATATTTACGATATAGGTCCAAAAAGACAAGATGCTGTCGATGTCCGAATCCTCTGAACCCAACATTGGCTTTGTTGAGCCTCGGTCCAAGTCTGAGTGCAGGATGAGGCTTTGAGATCACCAACCTCGGAACTGGGCCTTGGAAAGGTCTCTTTATCCCCAACGACTCCAGCTTTCGGTCTCTCGGCTGTAAGTAGTTCCGATAGCGGTACGATGACAGCTGCCTTCCACTTCACCACTGGCGTGCAGTCACCGAAACCCTTCACATTCACCACTTGCAATCACGTGACCCCCTTCTGCCTATAAAAGCAGCTCCCTCGACCACAACTTGCTCTTCTTATCCAATTCATTCATCACTGGTTGGCAGGGTCAACCTTCGCATCTTCCGTCGTCCCGCGTCATTGAAGCTGCACCAACACTTTACGACCAACCAGTAGGTCAACCCAAGCTTCTTCCCTGTCTCATTTCGTTCAACTTAACAAACGTTCTATATTACCTTTCTCTCGACGATATTATTCTTCTTCTTTCATCCACTCAACCTTAATTCATCTTCACCATGGACTCTGATTCTGGTGCACCCCAAGCTGAAGCTACTTCGGATCCAGTACCTACGCCTGATGATGGTACCTCGATCACGTAAGTCTCTACAAGTTCATCTGGAGAGAAGCGCAGCGCATCTCCAAGTAACGAAGTTCCTTCAAAGCGTGCCAAGACTGACGAAGATGCTGCCACATCTAGCTTTAATGCCCAACCGCTGAATAATGGGAATGAGTCACTTCAAGTCCATAGCGCCGTTCAGTCTGGGGATGTCATGGAGGCTATCGAGCCGCCAAACAGCAACGCAGGAGCTCCTTCTAGAATACGTGTTCCATATGGGTTCCCAACTATAACCCTCGCTGAGATGCAGGAGCTCAGGGAGTGGCTGGCAAGTCATGCCAACGCCACAACCAACAATCAGGTTGCCAATGGTATCCATACACAACTTCTGAAGTCAATGGAACCAAATCAGCAAGACCTGGAAGCAATTTGTCGCACGGTTGGCGTTGATACGAATGGTATCGATTGGAAGACCGGCATTCACATTCCGGGGGTGATGAAACACGGATTGAAAGCAAGACCTCATCAAATTGCTGGTAAGTTTTATGCGCTGTCGTTGCTCTCACTTTGAGACTCATCGCTAACATTGCCTGCTCCAGGTGCCACCTGGATTTCGACCACCCTCGAATCACCTCTTCGCGCTGCGCTTCTAGCGGATGAGTGTGGAACTGGAAAAACTGTTCAGATTGGCATTGCCTTGGCCACCCACTATCATCGCATGAAGGCAGAAGTTGAAGCTGGGACCTTCAAGCCTCGTGATGAAAAGCGATGGTTCAAGCCAAGTGTACTATTTTGTCTACCGGATCTTGCCTACCAAACATTTCGAGAATGGTCGCACTGGTTCCCAGATTTCTTCAACATCCAGATTTGTCATGGAACAAAAGCCCAGGCTGCTGATGAGTTCATTGAAGGCCATATCATGGATGAAGAAGATGGTCTGCAGTCCTGGGTCGATGAGAATGCCTCATCGCACAAAAGCATCGAGGTGAGTGATACTATCTACACTTTAATGCCTTTTTACTAACGTCAATGGGCCAGACCCTTCGCAACATTGCTATCATTCCTTATCACACGGCCGTGAGACGCATGATCTCCCACGAACAGAGTCAAGTTGCCAGCCAGGTGCCAGCGCAACTACGTCGAGGACTGAAGCGAAAGAGAAATAACAAGGACCAAAAGGAAGAGCTTAAGTTCTGGATTAAGGGTCAAAGCTACAACTGGGTTATTTGTGATGACGTATACGCCATTCGCGGACCTCGAACCAGAACACACCAGTTGATCACTCAGTTGGAACATGAAGCGACACTGGTAGCTTCAGCGACACCACTTTTGAACCACCAAGAAGACATGTAGGGCTATGTCACCTTGCTGTGGAGACGACAGTGGCCGTTCGTTTTTCGCCCTGGCTACGGTGGTTTCCGCGCATGGGTGTATTTCAAGAAGAAAGCTTGGCAGGCTCTCCAAGGCGGCGAGGAGTACAAGGGCCTCACTATGGACCACATCATCCAATCAAGGCGTTCAACAATTGGCCCGTTGACCTCTCGTGACCATAACATGAGGGAAGAGTACATTACGTATATCCAGGACAAGAAGGGTCCCTTGTTCCTGATGAACCCGGACCTCTTTCAGAGATTCTGCGAAGAGATGAAGTCCCAAAAGCCTGGAGTCGCACGAGAAGCTATTCGACCTCTTCTCGAAATGTTCTGTCTTCGTCGCGGAATGTTAACTCCTGCGACCATGCCTGACGGTACAACCGTGGTGCCAAGCGAAGGCATCCCTCCCATGTACATCAGAATGGTCAAACTTCAGTCTCATAACGACGAGGATAAGGATGACTTGTACAATATCATAAAGAAGCACTATCCATTTCTTTTTCACGACTCTTGGGACGTGGACAAGGATATTGGCCATGGCACTATTGACAAGGCCAAACCTATGTGGCCAAACCCAACGATTGTTCGAACCTTGGCGTTGTCAACTACCAACATCGAATTCTACCCTCTTACGCAAAAGCCTGATGGGGCTAATGGGGATAAAAAACAAACACCTCTTAATTCGAAACTAGGCCAAAAGGTGATGGACAACCGGCCTTGCTTGAACAGATTGAAGTCGTTCAGCCTCTCCGGAGCAAACACAGGGACTATCGACACTGATGTTCCCAATGAGATCCAGAAGATCTTGCGGAAGGATGGAGTTGGTGGATTACTATGGTATCTCAGCGTGATGCAGGAAAATCAACATGTCGAGTTCCCTGAGACTCGCGAAGACATCCTCAAGACGTTCTGCCCACGAAGTCCCAAGCTTTGTTGGACAATCAATCGCGTTCTGGAACTGAAGGAACAAGAACATCGTGTTCTTGTCTTTGTTGACAATCCTCTGACCTCCCTGTGAGTTTTACCGGGCCTCGCAGTATCAAGCTATTGCGACTAACATTTCGATAGGATTCTGATGGCCTTACTTACTAGCCTCTGCGTGAATGCTCTCAACATTAGAAGCTCAAACGATGTTGATCAGCGAGCTCACATGGTTCGTCAGTTCAACGATCCAGAAAGCCAAGTCGACGCTCTGGTTGTCTCCTTTCAACTCGATGGATTCGGCATGAACCTCCAAGGAGCCTGCCATTATGGAATTGTCGTGGAATATCCCAAAAACCTCCCTACCATGCTTCATGGGTTCGGCCGACTTTGGAGAATGGGGCAGGAATATGAAGTCCACTGGGATGTTCTCTATCTGGAGAACTCGTTCGATGGCTGGGTCGAAACATGGATGGCGTCGAAGTATGCCGACATCCTTGCAGCTGAGGGAGAAATTCCTGACGAGATCAAAGGAGAGTACAGGGTCATCTGCGGGTTTGAACTAATCAAGCGGTATCTCGGACAAGACAGCAACCGGTACCCCAGAACTCGAGTGACTTGGGCTGAACAGGAGCATCCTTTGGTAGCTCGAGAGGGCCATTTCTACTCGGCGGTGGCAAACTATCTCATGCAGAATCCGGGACATTACGAGAGATTTCTCCAGCCCCTGTCTGACATTGCTCGTCGCTGGAGTCCGGACCAAGGCGAATTAACTCTCGACATGATCGAAGGGAGATCTCTGTCGTTGGAGGATGGGGTTATTTTGGACTCACGCAATCCTCTCACGCCCGGCTACGTTGCAGTCAGCGCAGGTGATGGTCTACACCAGGAGCTCAGACAGGCTGTCGAGATTCGGTCGAACTTGAGGGATGATGATTCTCGCTTGAGGATGGAACGGGAGCGGCGACTTTGAGAGGAAACTTCGGGACACGAATGATTAGTTCTGGTACGCATTTGCATGGAATGATGGAACTTGGCCGTTTTCATCCCAGATATGGAGGCCTCAATCGAAGACTGGGCGCCTAACATAGCGCTCTGGGTAGGGCTGAGAGCGCAGGTTGCGATATGGTTAATCTGGGATTTGGGGCTTTCTGGGCTTATGGCTTTGACCTAACAGCTCATACTGTGCGATCTTAGCTTTGCCATGCTGATTTACTACTTAAATGCTACAATTTTGCCAATCTGCGTTTCCCCATGTGCCTCCGGAGAAGAACAGCAATAGGCTCCGAGATCTATTGGGAAACCGCATGCTTCAAGACTGAGGTTCTCTCGGACAACATTGCAGATACTTTTCAGATCAATAACATAGCAATCTCAACCTTTTCTTAACTTTCAAACTTGCTCATTGGGCGAGGCCAAGCGACAGCGGTTTGTAGGCACAGTCGCAGCATCTGTCATACTATCAAATCATTGCGAACAATGCTCCCTTGAACCTGATCACCCTACAGCTACCAAGGGGAGCCAATCACAGTAGTCCGACCTCAAATTTCTATAGCGGATTTAGCGCATGGGTCTAGCTGTTCCCCGCCGTCATCTCTTACCCCCATGTCGTTCGCCCCAGATCCGATTCCACCTCTTACAATATCCTAGCTACAGTCAGTCAACATCATGAAGCGAGTAAAATGCTGCACTGCTTGTCGCCGCCGACATAGAAAGTGCGTTACCCAGCCCGGAGCCTCCCAATGCGGGACTTGTCTAGAGTCAGGGCAGGAATGCCGGTTTGAGAATGACATTCGGTTCAAACACACTCATTCAGAAACAAAGAAGGAATCTGGACGGAAATGGGCCAAGGTTCCTCAGAAGAGTAAGTTGCCAATAACAAGCTCTCTTGTTGAGATTTATAATGACTTGTTGTAGTTTCTTTCACGACACCTCGTGGAATTGATGGCAAGGTGCCTGAGGAAGCGGACACGAGACAGGAGGCGAATGAGTCGGCAACGCAGCCGATATCTGAAGGAATGATGGAAATATCGATAGACGACCCCATGCAGTCCCAACCTGAAGCTGGGCCTTTGGAACAGGTGTTCAGTTATTGGGGATCGCCTTCAAACCTCATCACCGACTCTCCAATCGATCAGAACATGAGCCCAGCATACCAAGCAGAGAGTCCATCACTCCCACGAGCATCCATCCCATTTATTCTCGACCCCGACAGGAATTCTCCTAATGCCACTGGCCAAGGTTTAAGCGGCCAAGGTTGCAGTCAAGATCACTTCGAGTTGACGGAACGAGAAGCCTTCCTTTTCATGACTTACATCCACAAACTCGCGCCTCTTGTAAGAATTCCTATCACGAATAACATCGAGATCTAACCCTTGAAGTCCGACGCATGCGATGACGCTCGCCATTTCGCACTAGAAGTCCCCCGTCTGGCGCTCCATCAACCCATGATAATGAACGGCCTCCTCGCCCTCGCAAGCCGCTACGACTCCCGCTGCACCAACAGCTCCGACGACATTGAAAGCACATTCTATCACAATAAGTGCATAAAATTGCTCATCGAAGCTTTCGCTCAACCGCCTGAAACGTGGGACTCGACGCTTCTCACAGCCGTAGTGATCGCGCGCTTGTACGAAGAGAACGATAACGAGACTGACTCTTACTATCACCATCTCAGTGGAACGCAGAATCTGTTGAATCATGAGGCCATTGCTCGGTTTGTCATGCAAGGTGGCTTGGCAGAGGCAGCGAGCTGGGTTCATCTTCGACAAGCTATCTACGTCTACGTTGTTCGCAGGGAACCTCTTGAGATATGTCTTGAGAACTTTGAGAGGTCAACGGTGTTTCGGAGATCTGATGACTCCGCTTATGCGAACAGGGCAGTATATAACTTTGCCAAACTCATGAGACTATTTCTTCCAATGGAGAGTCCAGACGGCGATCTTGGAAAGTGGGAAGCTGTTGAAAGGGAGATGCAGGAATGGTATGAGGCCAGACCGGTTTCATTCAAGCCCGTATTCCACAAAGCGGCGGATATCTCAAGTGACAGGCCGTTTTCAGTCATTTGCTTCGCTGCGTCGGTGCCTGGTAAGTAGTTGTTTGCTTTGACCTTTTCGGTTTGCTAACATGATCGAGTGGTGGCGATGCAGCATTACTACGCATCCAAGGCTGTTTTGTGTTTGCGCGACATCAAACAGACTACAAACAATCACAGGAGACAAGAGTTTGAGGTGCGTCAAGATAGCGCTCTTGTTGAAAAATGCTGACGGATTGTTAGAACAACATATCTTCGTATCTCTGCATGCTGATGGGTCTTGCTTTGTCCAATTCTCATGTTGCAAACGCATTCTATCTGCCTGCACATATGCTTTCGCTCTGTAGGTTTTCCCCTCAGTCCAAATGTGAGAATGATTGCTGATGTGAGTTTGTTTGTAGGTGGATACTGCATAAGAGATCCCTGTGTGCGAACCCATACCATACAGTATCTGGAGAAGGTTGATGAGGTGATCAAATGGAAGACAAAGGCACTCATTGGAACTTTGAAGAGGGAGTGGAATGGTCAAGACTAGTGGGTGTTTACTGTCTCATTTGCAGGTGCATTATCTCACAGGATCAGACAAGTCACGCACCAAGTCGGGAGAGAGGATGGTCGTCAACCACATCAGCTCATATTCTTTCCACTGGCCATCCCTCCCCGGTTCACTGCAAAGTATCGCGACTTCCCATGCCTAAGCTACGACTTGGTTACATTCCACCCTTCAGCCCTTCATAAGGAACTCACAACTGTTGCTTGTATCCGTCCTTTACATAGTTGTACAAGACAACGCCATCCTCAATCGTCGGAAGCTTGAGGTTAACGTGATCCATCGTCAGGGTCTGCCCAGGCTTCCAGCTCTTGGCGATACGAGCCATGGTGCTTTTTTTGAATTTGCTAGCAGCTCCAGGGTTTGAGAAGCTTGGCGACGGCGGAGTAGAAAAGACCTGTGGCGGTCAGATGGCGTGTGAACTTGGAGTGATGAAATAATCTTACCTTCCCGCTTGATCTCTTCGGTCTCCATGTAGATCCAGTGGACACGATTTCTCGGATACCGACTCGCAGCGTGACCCATTGAAAGGGCGACCTCGTGGAAAGCGAGGATCCCTCTCAAGTCACCCGTGATTTCGGGATACATAGCTGGATTCAGAAATAGTCTCAACACCGCCTTACGAGAAACAGCAAGATCGTGCACCATGTCGAGTGTTTCTTGAACGTAGTAGTTAGTCCACTCGACCTGTTGCGTCTGGCCAATGCTGGTCAGAGCACGAGTAGCCCGGAGGACGTCCTCAAGGTCGTCGGCCATCTCGAGAACGATACCGCGATGACAGGCGCCGTAGAACCTGGGACCTGGGATTTTGAGCGTTGCAAATGTCGTGATGACAGCATCGGTGGGATGGTCGGCGTCGTTGAAATTGCAGACGATGAACCCACATTCAGCCCTTTTCCAGATGGTGGCGACTTCGTGGGAGTTCAGTCCATGGGCGCGCATCATTTCGTTCAAACTACTACCGACCCATCAGTGTCTTTCTTCGAGAGGCCTTGACTTTCCCGACTTACGTTGCGGTCGAGTCCTCCTTGACGAAGATCAGCACTCGCTTTCCTTGGGCTTTCAGCTTAGAGACCGCATTCACGGCCCGTTCCATCTTCTGAGCGAGAACAGATCCAGCCCGTTCGATGAGAGGCTGCAGGCTCTCTGACAGATTCGGATCATGGGGGCGTGGCTCCATGGCGGCGTGCCTTTGACGAAAATGGTATAATGCCTTGCGGAAGTTCAGCGGTGATGTCAAGGAGAGAAGGTGTGCGCTCCAAGTTGATGTAGAGCGAGAGCGGAGATGAAGACTGAATTGATGGCCAAAAACATGCCACACAGACCAAATGGCAGCGGTGACGTGAATTGCGAAAAAAGAGCAACTGGATAATAAATAGCTGGACGATAATGCTCGCAGTGGTAGGCACAAGCGCTAGCACAATCGACACAATCAGACAATCAGCGCGCAGTGATTGACAGTGGCCATATGTAGCTGATCTCAAAGCAATTCAACCACTTGGAAGATTGTGAACTTGTTCAAACATCAATCAGAGCAGCCTAGAACAAAACACCAAGGACAAAGACTTCAAGGTATAATCGTATATTGAGATATAACTATCAATGAAAAGGATTTAATGGGCAAAACCAAAAGTCTTAGTTTCAGTGCATATGTCCGTCACGTAGTCTACCTCATCCATCACCGAGGGTGGCATATAGTGTTCGCCAGTTGGAGTTCTACTATCCGCACCCTCTCGAACATCTGTACAGCCTCGCGAGTCTGTACGAGAATCATTTCGTTTCCACTGAGGGAACTTCTCTTGTAAAACATTCAGTATACTTTCCTGCATGTGCTCGAATATATCCTCTATCAGCTCCTCACGATGCCCAATGCTTGCTTCATCGTTAGAATCAACAACGTCGGGGAGCCGCCATCGAGGATAAAGGTTCATATGGGACCACTGTACTTGGAAGTCGTTGTCGCCGTCTTGAAAATAGTAATAGCAAAGCCTGCAAGGAGGCTTGCTAGTAGCGATAAACATGACATCATTCCAGAAGTCACAAGGTCGAGTTTTGCGAGCTTTGACAAGATGGCCGTGCAAATTCGCTTCGCAGTGAACCAGAGTCTTTGATGGAAACTTGAGCTCCTGCTTCTGGATTTGTTCATCCAGGCCATGTCTGCGAAGCTCCGCGATGTCGCCCTCGTAATATGTTAGGTCATGATCTGGAAATGCAGCCTCAATAATTTCCGTTGGCGAAGCGTGCGGTCCGTGGAGGCGAGTGAACCTTCGGAGACGGGATGATGGAATGTAGTTGACCGTGAAGTCTTTGAATAGCGAGGGCCACTTTGTGGAAGCATCGATTATGGCCTCGGAAGCTTGGCGAAGTGAATGAAGACGGCCAAGATGATGGCGCAGCTGACACCATTGATATGAGATTTCCGGCTCGGTAATGCCGATGTGCTTGTCGAAGACTTTATTTATTCCGGTATTTTGGCTGTGATGTATAGCTTTGATAAGATCTTCGCAGTCACGGAAAACTATTTCCAAGTCTCATTTAGTCCCTAGCATTTTTGCCAATGTCGGAGATGAAGGTGGGGCTGGCTTCTTACATTTCTTTTTGGAGTCAATAGAGGAAGTCATGTCGCGAGGAAACAGAGACTTGTCTTTGATGGCTTGCAGCTGAGCCATGTCGCTGAACCCTATCATTGTTAGATTAGAGAACTGTCTGCATTTCTTTATATGCTTACTGCTAGGCTCCTGTGATCTCTCGCAGTTATCTATGCAGGACTGCAAAGCGGTACCCAATCCGTTTAGGTATGCATCAAATCTGAGAAAATTGAACTCAAGAATACGATCAAAGACTTGCTTTTGTAGTCCCTTGGGAGTCAATTCATCAGGGTTGCTTCCCACGTATCCGAGGAGGTCAGAGAGAAACGACTTGGCTCTTTCCAGTTCAGATGCTTTCCTCGAGTTTGAGGCAAAAACGTAGTCTGGTCCACGCAGTCCTTTCGCAAGAATAAGCGCTGTGGCAGAATCGCCACCCTTCTCATCATCGAGGATTTGTGCCATTTTACAAATGAACTTCTGGTAATCGGTCAAGAGGGCATCGCTGCGACTCTTTCCAGAGGAGTATCTGATATCGCTCATGTGTTTGCAAGTCTCGTTGACAGCTTGAAGCAAAATACAGAGACACTGATACTGCCTCTACTGCTTGCTGTTGAGAGCCTCGGATGCTTGGTTGACGGAAGAGCTCATCTTGTTGTTGTGAAATAATACACAAAGAAGAGATGATAAAGTTGATATGAAGAGAAAAGTAGATAAGGTTCACTGATTGTTCTGTGTTCACTTGGTGCTGAGTATTCTACGTTTGCGTGGTGGGCCTCCTTAATATAGTAAATCCCAGTCGAAGACATATCTTTGTGGACCTCTAGTAGATTTCTCAACTTCCAACTCTGACCCAACACATATCTGCGGAAATCCTCCTTTATTGCCTCCATCCCTAAGCCACTTGCTTATCTTTTGCGAAATGCTCAAGGAAACGTCAGAGGCTGAAATGCAGATGTGCAGAATTGTCTTGGCTAGTAAGGAACTATTTCATCATTCAAGCCGCCTGCAATCACTGTGCCGTGTTCTGTCGTCTTTGACGAATTAAGTACAACCATGAGAGGAGCCTGTAAATTATACAAGTATATATGAATGCAAAGTAATCTGTAGCTTGAGTTGAACTCATTCGCTGGTTTTTTATCTTGTTTTCAAAACCCTTGCACAACCCTGGCCGGTGAGCTTCAATGTCGTAGTGGATGGAATGCACAGTAAGCCAGACATATCATAAGCAAGCAGAGTATGCACCTTTTTTCCCACTGCGGTTAGTTGACTTCGAACGGGTTTGGGGGCCACAGACAGTTGGCCCGATAACTAACATAAACATCAGTGATAAGTTGCATTTCCCACTAATGACGATGTTCCACGTCCAGAAGTCATAAAAGATAAATGCTTAATTGTGGCATTTGCGCTTGGCATTCATTGCACGAATAACACGCGACTCAATATTGAGATCTGACATAATCGTGGTGGGAGTAATCGCGTGTTGAAGCTGAAGTGAATGAAATTGAGAAAGTGGCCCGCCTGGTGATGTGGCCCGCCTGGTGATGAACTACGTTATTAGGCCTTAATTTTAAATACTTCTTAACCCTCTACCATAATATCCTCACTTGAAAAGCATGGCGGTTTGTACCTGCCAAGTACTGCTGGTCTTGGTGGCGTCCCCAGCAACGAAATTAACACTCCTATTCGCGGCGACTTCATCTTCCTGTATATCTGTTTTGCCGTGACTAACATGACAATATTCCAAAATAATCGCCGACGGAACCACAAAATCATATTCTCTAGCTTAATGTTTGGTTTCTACATGGCACGAGTCACAGCCCTTGTCCTGCGCATTGCCTGAGCGAATCAACAGTAAAATAATCGTCGAGCTATTAGCAAACATCTTGGTAAGGCGTAGGGTTGAATAAAGGCGTAGCCAGATCACAGACTTGATGAACCTAATTCTTTATGTAAAATGATATAATAGTATCTTTGCACTCTAGTAATATTTAACCCTAGTAAAGTTAACTAAGTAAGGGAGCTATACTATTTACTTTATTCTTCCACTCTCTACCAGTTCCTACCATGGGATCACAGTACCATCATGATTCCGGAACGATCCAGTCAACTCCTTGTGTTCGAGACTAAATGTGGTCTTTACCATGTTGGCTACACTTGTTTCAACCGATATGCCTCCCAGAGCCTCCATATCCATCCCGCTGTCGGCTGTGAGGTCCGTTTCCACCAGGCCAGGGTGGAAAACAAAGGTCGTCAACCAAGGCTCCTCAAAGGACATTAAACGGATAAACCAGTTGAGACAAGCCTTGCTGGCACCGTACGGGCTTGAAGACTTGGGAAAGTGGCTGAAGAGCTCTTGTGAGCCAATAGAGCCCATAATAGTAGAGATGGCAATGAACTTGGGACTACCAGTCTCGCTGGCCTTCAGAAGAGGTGCAGTGGCCTGAGCGAGCTTCAAGGGTCCAATGGCATTGACAGTGAGGTGCTTGAGAGTGTTGGAGGCTGATGTGTCAAGCACACCGGCGCCTCCCTGAGCGATACCAGCATTCGCAATGACGATGTCCAAAGAGTTGATGCCCTCGTTGCGAAGATGAGCCACGGCGTCATCACTGTCAGTCTCAACTGCAGAGTCTAGCTTTACGATGATAAGCTTGGTGTCAGGACCTTTGGGCAAGTCATGGAGGGCCTTGGAAGTTGGGTGCAGGGGATCGCGGACAGCAGCGACAACGGTCGTGGAGGGCTTTTGTAAGATGCGTTGCACGAAGCCTTTACCGATACCGCAGTTGGCTACTGTAATAAGGTACTTTGACGGGGCGCTCATTTTGAGAATTGAGTAATAAATGCAAGTCGATTTTATATAAATAACAAAACAGATGAGGTGAACCCAGTTTCATATAGAGAATCGAGCCTTTTTACCATGAGTAAATGTAAAGAAGAGGCCGTTGAACTGGTTGAATTGTTATAAGTCGAAGATTAACGTCTACCGAAATATAATGAAGCCGACTCCCGAGCTGTTACTGATACAGCTCATGCATGAATTCCCGAATTACAAAGGTGGATCCTTTAGTGGTTTTGGTTTCTCAATATGTACCTGTGACCAATTAGGCGCCTAGCTACCTAGCCATCTCCCACACTACTCCTGTGCTCCAAGATGTAATCATGCCGATTCCCAATCTGTTCCTGATTCAACACAATGCGTGATGCCCGGATTACAAAATTAGGTCAAGGCTTGCAGCGCGCTTCCTCGGTACAGGTTTCAAAGTCACGGCTATAACCAGGCAAGAGTCAAAAGCGACATTTCCGGCTGATGTTGTCGTAAGGAAGGTAGATTTGTCCTCCAAGGGATCTCTTGTCTAGGCGGTGAAGGGACGAGATGCCGTTGTCTCCACCGTTAGTGGCGAGGCTATTGCTTCATAGAAGCTGTTCATTGATGCCGCAATTACCGCTCAATTCAAACGATTCATCCCGTCTGAGTTTGGCGTCAACACCCGCGAAGCACGTGGTACCAAATTTGGTCAATTTGTTGCGCCAAAGATTGCCAACGTTGATTATCTTATTGAGCTCTCCAATGAGTATAGCTGGTTCTCGTGGACTGGCATAGTGACTGGGTACGATGCTCAAAATATGCCAGCATTATCAGTTTCTGTTAGGCTAATTGATATCACAGGGCCTTAAAAATGGCTTTTTAGGATTCGACCCTCAAATGTAAGACCTGCCAGATCTACTACTCGGGCAATGAACCATTCTCCAGTACCAATCTTGCCTTTATCGGCAAATATGTTGCCGCTTCATTGGCCAAGCCTGAAGCCACGGCCAGCAAGTTGTTGACCATAGCCTGCTTTACAATTACTCAGAATGAGGTGAAAAGGTCCATTGAAGAGGAGATAGGCTCTGAGCTCACTGTGGCTAATGTCAAGACTTCAGACCTGGAGAAGATTGGGCAACAGAAGCTTGCGAACAATGATCCCAGCGCTTTCATAGAGTATCTCAGCCAATATGTTTTTTCGGACAGTGCTGGACAGGCCGTCACGGAGAATACTGCCGTTACAGTGCTTGGCTTACAGGAGGAGAGTCTTAGAGAGACTGTCAGGGCAGCGATTGCTGCCACACAGTAGACGCGTCACAAAAGTTAGCATTGTGATAGAATTGGACAGTCACAACATTTGCACCCAACTTTGCCGGTTTTCTTTTCAAAAGATATGATGCGATATTGCTTGCGAGTCTATACTGATACTCAATATAGCCTTTGTTTTTGTATATCGGCTTCTCCTCAGCTACTTTCAATTCTCGAGATTGACTTGTTCTACGGACAAGATAACAAAGACCACAGCATCTTCCCCGCAAAATACTTACCCTACAGTTATCTTTCTATCTTCTTCCCATGAAAGCTGCACAATAGCTGAGTTACCGATATGAGACTCTACCTATATTCAAACATTTTTAGAACTCTCAGCCACCATTGACAAAGTCTATCAGACCTGCCGATAGCGACATCCTTTGTGTGCGTCAATGAAGGGCCTGTCGAGGCATTGATCGAACTCAAATTACCGGCTAGTTTCACATAAACCACCTCTTATGCCCCTTTGGTAAGGACCGAAGCTTGTAAGTCTCGAGACTAATTTAGCATGCCAGACAATCTTCTCCTATCCTAAAATGACGTTCTGAGCCCGGCAATAGCTAATTGGTCGGTGAGGCCTGTTAGTAATGCAGTCGGAGAAATAATCCACCCCTATCAGTAACATCGGAGCTAATGTAAGGCCATGTCCGTCCTAAATCTTCTGCCGCTACAGGAACTCCCGGGCTTTGTAATCTCTCAACTCAACAACTCGCAATGTCGGTACTTCTAGTTGGGCCATTCAAGATGCTCAATGAATAACGAGGTCGTCCCCTTCGAGTCCTCGTTTCTCAGCCCTCGGAACATCAACAGCTTTGGCACTGGCGAACTTACACTGTTACGAAACCTCATTCACTCCTCAATCACCCAGCTACGAAAAGGAAGACATGTCAACATGTTTAGTTACAGGCGGCACTGGCTTCGTTGGCCTCTACGTGATCAAGCTTCTACTCGAACGAGGCCACAAAGTCCACACGACCGTCCGTTCCCTGAAGAACAAGTCCAAGTGCAAGCCGCTCCTGGATCTTCAAGCTCAATTCCCCGGTCAGCTTCACATATTTGAAGCCAACTTGATGAAACTCGGTTCCTTCGCTGAAGCCATGAAGGGCTGCCAGGTCGTTTACCATGTCGCTTCCCCCTTTCTGCTCCCGGACCAAATCACGGATGGATTCAAGGACTGCGTGGAGCCAGCACTCCAAGGCACCAAGAATGTTCTAGAGTCGGTCAATGAAATAGAGTCTGTTCAGCGAGTCGTCCTCACCTCCTCTGGTATGGTTATCTTCTTTCCTTTTTTGTTTCAGTTCTTGATGAACTAACGTGTTCTCTCCGCCAGTTTCTGCCACGTACGGAGACAACGCCGATGTACTCAAAGCGCCGGACCAAACTCTTACAGAGTTGTGCTGGAACGAGAGCAGCAGCGTCAACCATTACCCATATGCCTACTCCAAGTTGGTGGCCGAGCGCGAGGCCTGGAAGATGCACGAGCTCCAAACCCGCTGGTCTCTCGTGGTCATTAACCCCGGCCTGATCGTTGGTCCTTCCCTTACACCCGACTCCGTCTCTGGCAGTTTGCACTTGCTTGAGGCTATGTACCGTGGTGATAATCGCATGGGTGTTGCAGACCTATCCTACCCGGTTGCCGACGTACGGGAAGTCGCCGAAGCACACGTAAAGGCTGGCGAAGATACGAGCCTCAAGGGCCGTTTCATCGTGTCGGGTGATCGTGCGATTTCCCTGCTGGAGATGGCTGGCTTCGTGCGTCCGGTTCATAAGAATCCCAAGGCGCTTCCGTGCTGGAACCTGCCTACTCTGATGGTCTATGCTGCTGGACCCTTCATTGGCGTCTCCAAGAAGTGGTCGTCTGCCAACCTCAGCACCCCCTTCAAGGTTGATAACAAGAGGAGCATTCGGGAGCTAGGGCTCAAATATCGCCCAGTTGAGGAAACCTTCCAGGCGCATTATAAGTCCTGGGAGCAGGAGCGGGAGCAGGAGCATGAGTAGGCGAAAGCTTTATTGGCATGTGACTGATGCGACGGTGTCTGTTCTGTTCCACGTATGTCGTTTTATTCTAGTAATATCTATTTAGCTATGGTGCTTGTAATCTCTTTCTTGATCATGCGTTCTCAGTGCGTAGTTGTAATTGTATTGAATTGCTATGCAGCTAAAGATCGCATCTAGCGACACTATCTGGAATCTTTTTGCGTAGTGTGTTTCCTCTTATTCTGTTGTGCACTCCCAACTAAATAAGAAATGTAAAGGCCGCTTATCCAGCCCCATCTATCCAGGTTCTGAATGTTCCCATGATCCACAAATATCTGACCGTATGTCTTGAGAATGTAATGCCTGGGTCGATACTGCGTGTTGGGCAGTAAGGTGTATTGCACTGAAGTGCTTCTGAGGCATGGCTTGTACGGCCAATCTAGCGTTCCAACCATGAGAAATAAAGCCAACCCTATGCCTTTATGACTAAATCTGGTGGTTCTACATACTTCCCCCAATTGCAACCCCCGATGGACCGACAGGCATGGAGTATTCACAAGACTGTTAGCAAAGACGGCAGCCAGTGAAGTAGCAAATCCGTAGTCCACTGATTAGTAGCATGATTAAGTTTTCTAGTTCGGCTAAAGCCGATCAGGGTAGGCTTAAGTTAGTGGCGTGACGATCAGACTTGCAAGTCGGCATTCGAATTGTCCCGATGACTGATAGCGGAGCTTCTAGCTGAGCCTCCCTTTTACTAAGGCAAGGTACGTGCAAGCACCAAGCCTTTCGGCTACAATACATCCGCCTTTTACTAAGCTTTTTTACAACGTCACGGAATACCCGATTTTGACTTCTCCAGGTTGTCTACACAAGATGCGGGTCTTAACTCCGGCTTGTCGAAGTTTATTCTAGTGATACTACGTCGAGATTCATGGCATACCTATGCTTAAACGACCCTTGCTTCGGCGGTTGTTCCTCATTTATCTTAAAGCATAACTTATGGAGATTAGGCAGGTGAACGGACGTTGCATCTCAGTAAGTGCCAGAAGACGAGATGGCAAGGTGTTCGATTCCAAAACCGATATATAAGAGAGAAAACTCTTGTCTGCTCTCATGCCGTATCCTCATCCACTCTACGACTCTCACAATCATAGTCACATCTCAACACGATTCCTACCAATTTAACTTTACTTCGATTCATTTCATCATGGTTCCCACGTGGTTAAAGAATCTCGTCCTTTCTGGAGCCCTGCTACAGACTGCCTTTACTCTCGATCTCCCCAAGTACCGCGGCTTGAAGACAGCTCAGAATGGCAGCGTTCTCGAGGTCACTTTTCACAACCCAGACTCGGCTATAAACCTCTGGGGTGTCGACTTCCAGGATGGCATGACTGATCTCGTTCGAAGACTTCACAATGATAACGACACCAAGGTCGTCATCTTCAAGAGCGATGTTCCCAAGTTCTTCTGTGCCCACTTGGACCTTCTGATGCCTGGCGTTGGTAAGGACTAAGCTTCCATTCATCCACTTATGACGGGACTCTTTGCTAATGTTGAGCCTCAGCAACCGTTGGGCCAAAGTTTGCCAGGCTCATGTATGAAATCTCCGATCTGCCCCAGGTGACCATCGGCGCTGTCGAAGGTCGCGCTCGCGGCGGGGGTAACGAGTTTCTGTTGGCCCTGGACATGCGTTTCGCCTCTGAACCTGAGTCATTCTTTGGTCAAATCGAGGTCGGTACCGGTCTCATCCCCGGCGGTGGGGGTAGCCAGCACCTCCCTCGACTTATTGGCCGCGGTCTCGCGCTCGAGTATCTCCTCAGCGGAAACGATATCAACGCCAAGGATGCAGAGCGAATCGGTTGGATCAATAAGGCCTTTTGTTCTTCTGAGGAGATGTACGAGTATATTGACGGTCTTACCTCGCGCTTGCGTCTCTATCCCCTGCCGGCCATGGCTGCCATCAAGAAGGCGATCAACGCTCGGTCGCGTCCTACTTTGCAGGATCTGCTGCGAGACGCTGCGTCTTTTACCGCTCGTTTGACTGACCCGGCTGTGCCAGTTTTGATCGGTAGGGCCTTGGCTGTCACCAACAATCTCACTCTTGGCGATGCTGAGCTCAACCTTGGCCGAGATCTCCCCCTTGTGTATGAGTAGAGTCACGTCGCATAACAAACGAACAGCCCAATACCTCAGCCTAGAGGTTGTTTCTTTCCACTGTTTGGTAGGAAGTCTCGTGACATAGGATTGTATTATAGTTTATTCTCAACTTGCACCACCATTGTATTACGGATTATGGAGCTGTCGAGAGAAGTAGGCCATTTTAGTGTTAAACGCTGATATCATCTGGACCAAAGGTCACATGTATTCTCTATTCTTTTTCTTCTATTGTCGTACATTGCTTTTTATTCATAATAGGAACACAGACTTGCGTTTCCTCACCAGCGGTTTGTAGTGTAGACTTTCAAGTTCACATCCCTTCCGTCTCCCAATGTCTGACTCGAATATCTGCATCATAATCCCCATAAGCGCGTTCAATACCGTGCTACTAGAAGACAATGGTCTTATATACTCAACGCTTTTGTTTGCTTACGCGTTTCTGCAATTAAGTCGTCAAGGCATGGGACCTTCAGAGTGTAGAGTCACAGTTACATAGCAGTGGCCGACATGACGAATCATGCCAAGCTCAGGATGACTAGAGTGCGGAAGCCCGCGAAATTAGGGAGCTCGGGGTAATTATGCAACGTCGGCAAATGAATGCGCCGATGGCCCCACGGCTTGTTACTGATTGCACCGATGGATTACACTACTTTTACTGACAAGAGAGTTTCCAATTCGTATCATGCAGACATAATAAGGGAGTTCTTGTCCAATTCATAGGAGAAACGGAGCATTCATATCTTGGCATTGTGTCACATCACAGGTATAATACCACCGTAACATATCATCCAGACTTCAGTATTGAAACGTCCTCTACGACTTTAGCGCTATGTCTCCGCAGCTACTTGTTGTAAGTGCCTCATGGTCTCGACATACTGGTCTCCCAGGTACTGACTCATGATCTGTCTGCGGTAGATCACCGGTGTCTCAGGCCATGTGGGCTTCCGCGTGCTCGTTGAAGCTCTCACCAGAGGGTACAATGCTCGAGCCGTGATTCGCAATGCATCTCAGGCCGATCAAATCAAGGCCACCGATTCCGTACAGCCGTATTTGACCCAGGTTGAGTTCGCAGTAGTCCCGGAACTGCTCGTTCCAAGTGCCTTCCATGGCGTACTTGACGGCGCGGACGGTGTAGTCCACGTTGCCTCTCCACTTCCTTCAGCAGTAAGTTCTTTTCCCTTCCTTACTGGTGACAAGATTTATCCGCTATAATCGCTAATCAGAATACTCTCCATCATAGAGCCAGGAATTCAAGCGCGACCTGATCGAACCAGCCGTTAAAGCAACCTTGGGCATTCTCAAGGCGGCAAAGAAGGTCCCGACAATCAAGAGAGTTGTTATTACCTCTTCGATCGCTTCTCTTATAACCTGGGACTACCTTGTATCATCCGATACTACGAAAGTGTTCACTGGTAAGTGGGAGGGATAAATTCCTAAAGATGCTCATCACAGCCTTTTGACACGGTTTCGCCTTCATAGTACGAGACACTTACACCCCGACCAACCTTGACGGTCCCTTCGCAAACGCCATGGACGCCTACGGTGTCTCCAAGGCAGCAGCCCTTGCCGCCACGGAGCGCTTTAAGGAGGAAGAGAAGCCGCACTTTGAAGTTGTCAGCATTTTACCCAGCATGGTGACCGGAAAAAACGAGCTGAACCGAACGCCTGAGGATGTCGGTAAAGGCAGCAACGGCACCACCCTTGGCGTTTTGCTAAACAACAAGAGCGATACCCCAAGTCTCGGTGTGTCAGTCCACGTAAACGACGTGGCAAGAGCACATATCGACGCGCTGGACCCTGCGATCCAGGGCAATCGCAACTACCTCTGCTCTTCGGGCGGAGTCGAGGGCACCACCTGGGAAGACGCCAAGGATATCGTCAGACAAAACTTCCCTAAGGCCGTGGCTGACGGCAATTTCCCCCTTGAGGGGAGCCAGCCTTCGCGGCCTATTCGCCTAGACTCGTCTAATACGGAAGAAGTCTTTGGGTGGAAGTTTGCAAGCTTTGAGGAGCAGGTGAAGAGCGTTGCGGAGCATTATCTGGAACTTTTGGCGGCGAAGTAGGGTACACCTATCGGCCAGGATGATCAGCAGTGAAAACGCCTGGCTGTAAAGGCCCAGTCTGCTTGCTAGATCCCGGGTAACTTAGATATCAATATTTTTGATAACACAATGATAACAGGGTATGCTGACAACAACGTGTCCTTTGGTGAAGGTCTATCAAAATTCCGTCGGTCTGTGGCATCCCTCCCCTCCCTTGTCAACTAAATACATATCGATATGATTAATAAGCATGCTAACTGCCGTTCTCTTGACGCCCCCAATTGGATTTGTCAGATCGCATCGGACTTATCAGATCCACTCGGTGGCGATTTCTAGACCTGACCGCATGCAGTCTAGCTAAAGCTTAAACCAAAAGTTTAGGAATCTGTCCAATTTCTAAGCCATTCAACTTAACTCAACCTCACGTTGAGCTATAATGCCATCACCTTTTCTGAACCCTGCTGTTCTTCGTTCGCCAATTTGAGCTCGACTTAGCTACTGATCTTGGTTACAAAAGATTATGCAGGAACCCTATATGCAAGAGGACAAGTTGGTCAATGATGATCAACTTGCGGTATGTCTAGCACCTCGTGACGTTGTCACGCTGGAAAGACCCTAGGCTAACACAAGTGCTATAGAATCGACGAGCGCGTGGAAGACGGGCTCAGCGGGAGTTCCGCCAGAGACAGATTGACACCATCAACGAGCTCCAGGCCAGCAAAGAGTCCATGCAGGCCGCCATAGCCTCAATAGCGCGCGCTGGGGCTCAGCAAGACAGCGCCGGAATGACTGCAGCAGTGCGCGACGCGTGTCGGCTCGCTGGGGTCGAAATACCCCAAGAAACAGGCTTGACACGTGTAGACCCCCCGAGTTGCTCTGTCCGTGAAGAGCCCCCGGCGCAGGAATCATCAGAGGTGGCTGGCGCCAGAACGGTTTCATGGGAACAGGAGCCAGGCACCACAAATATTCAAAGACAGTCTCCTCCCATGTTGCGCAGAGCTCCCTATACAGGTGGGCTGGGCTTTGAGAAGTTCCATCATGAATCGGGAAGAATGTCGCCAACACTCGGCTACGGCCTCTGGTTCGGCCCCGAGACTTCCATCCCAATCGAGTATCCGCCCATGGACATTGTTCCATATCTCCAAGACGGCTCTTCGCTCGCCATTACTGTGTTTTGGACCAGCCTGTCTTGGGGCTTCCAGATACTCGGCGCCGCGCTCGGAGGGAACATTGAGGCGGTGGCTACAGCCCAAAACATATTCAGTGCTATTATATCCACCAGTCCTGGCCGAGATGTCTTGAACGGCATCCACGCCCGCCTGATATATCGTAAGACGGGAACGATTGATCGAGACCATCCCGGCAACAGGCCAGAGCAGTCCCCAGGGATATTGGCAGCCATGACCAGGCTATGCGAAGATAACGGAACCCCATTGGAGACTTTCCTAACGCCCATTGCGATGGAGGATCTGCTGAGAAACAGGCTAGGTCCTGCTTACGATGTGATTGATCGGACTGTGCGCGGGTGCGGCTCGCCAGAGGAAATAGCCCGCCTTCGTGGGCTGGTTCGGATGATGACTATAAGTAGTATATGTCTCGGGGACGGGCCACGGTGGTCAACTGAGAAGGCGGAGGACGTGGTTACGTATTGGGCTCATAGCGCCGGTTTACATATATGTTGATAAGTAATAGTAGATTTAAATAGGGTCAGTATGTATTAATTAAAATAGTATTAATATTTATAATATTATTCAAGGACAGGCTTATGTCCAATGCCAGGTTTGGGTTAAATCCCATACTTCAATAAAGAGTTAGAGTTAAAGTCAAGATTTTGTTCTTTAACAGTATTACTCTCTTGAGATTAACATGGCTCAGTTATCAGCACCATAAGCACCAAGTTAGCTTCAATCTCAAGAAGCCAATAAGTTGGAACCTCTTCAATAAAAATAATTGGATGTTTGGAGCTGCGGAGCTAGTGTCTACGCCCCTCTCATCCGACGTCTTTGGCTTTCTTTACCGACTATAAGATCGGGAGATGGAAGTGGAAGTTTATGCGACCCAAATATGTTAACAGTGGCAGCTTCATGGGGCCCGCGGGCGATATGCGGCGGTTCTTTCAGCGCGTTAAGGACAAGATGGGCCAGGACCTGCTCGAGATTTCATCGTGCGAGGACCTCGCTGGAGACCAGGGCATCTTTGCCGAATCGCCAAAGTTCAATTAGTCGGCCATCTGCGTTAGCTGGCCATCAACGTACATATGACCCAACAACCGATCATCCTTGGCGTAATGGTTTGTACGGTGTTCTCGAAGACCCTCGACATCTCCAAAGTCTGTCCTCGTTGACGCTTGGACAATGCAGCTTTCAGTGCATGAGTTCAATAGCGATGGGTGGTCTCGGTGATCATACCTGCTGGGCATCATTCCTATACCTTTACGGTTTGGCAATTAGGCACCCAACAGCTCAATCCACCTTTGCTCATAGTACGTATCCAGAAAGGATGCCTCCAGGAATCTGAGAAAAGAGTAACATCTAATGCTTGGGACTTCTTATAACAGTCACAAACTCACTTTTTGGACACGTCGCTTGCTTTGGTTCAGCCAGACATTGATTTACAGTTTTATCAGGTTGTTCTACAGCATCGTTCTACAACAGTAACTTCGTTTTACCATGTCATCTGGGGAACAATCTGTGCCGTCATCTCCTCCCATTGTGTATCCCACCATCTCGATGGCGGAAGTAAATGAGGGCTCGGAAAACACAAACTTCGCCACTTTCGACTTCGACGCCAGCGACATTGAATTAACCCATAACGAGACAGAGGCGCTTCGTCACATCGGAAATATCACTAGTCGCGACTACCTCGCCACTGGCTTTATGCCGGCACTTTCTGGGACTAGCCTTAACACAGAGGCACGTATTGAAGAGCAATCTGTTGTCTCATATAGAGTGGCTGGGGGAGATATTTCGGATCGTTAGAGACCTAATATACCGCCTGACCCTTCCTACGAGATCCAACATTCCCTTCCTTTTGCGTTCGATTTTGGCCAACACAATAACATGGCTTCATATCATGATAGGTTTACCACGCACCAAGTCAATATGGAAACCCCACAGTCATTAACACAATATCCAACCTCCCGGCCTCTGTCTATTGCAACAACTGAGGCAGTCAGAGCTCGCATGGGACTTGATTCTCTGGATCATACCTACGGTTCTTCAGGACAAATGTGCGACACAGAGTAAGTGATCAGTAACGAAAATTATGAATTAGAGTTTCTGATTTACTCTACCAGGTCCCATAACAATACCCCTACAGCTTTCAGGTCTTGTCCTTTTTGTGACAGGATGTTCCAGGAAAGAGAGCTGGCGAGGCACCTGGAAACGCACCAGCCGAAAGAGCATAGAAAGCGTTACTATTGCCCTGAATGCCCAGAAAAGAGCTTTATTAGACATGATGTCCTTCTAGACCACCAAAGTAGAAAACATGGCCGAATGCGGAAATCTTCGTCAAGGAGATAGCTTTATATAGCCTTGCGCACTGCTTTGAATCGAACCATCTTTCGAAAGTATATTCCTCCTTGACTGTATGATTCTATTCCAAACTTAGGCCCTCAGCCTTAGCTTCCAGCCTCTGTTCTCTGTGAACAGACCTTTCAATGACTTCCATGATATGACTTTACCATGTGACTCTAATGATGCAACCACGTCTCCTTCTCCCAAAAGGGTACATTCCCTTATGTACGGAAATATACCGAGACTCTCCTTCTGCTCTTCTTCTGGTGGTCATTTGATAACAAACCTGGAATACGGCCCGCATTGCCTACCGAATATTTCTCCACTAAGTATAGCGCCCCAAAATAAGCATAACCCACCTCGTCACCCCGCATGTCAAGTCACCACCAGCACTAGCATTCCGCTGGCCCTCTTTCCCATTGAGGCTCTACAACGCACCGCGGTATTTACCCGCTCTGCAGATCCCTCCCCTCCATAACAAAGCTCGTATAAAACCCTCCATCTCACCTCCACTTCCTCCTCAAACTTCTCACCGTCATCATGTCGAGCACAGCTACACAAACACATGAACCGATTGAGCTCACAACGCTAGAAGGATGTCACGTCCGCGGTAAAGAGCTCGAAGAGCAACCTTCTCCCCCACCGGATGATATACCCCCGCCGTATGCGTCGGCGCAGGTCCAGCGATGGAATTATCCTAGGGGAAATATAGCCAAGTTGGCTTTTGCGTTTTTGTCGTTTATCATTGCTGGGATGAATGATGCGGCTGTTGGCGTATGTCCCCAGTCCCATTCGTTTAACTTTACTAATGATATCAGGCTTTGATCCCATACGTACGTTGATCAACCCGTTCAGACGATTTCTCTAACAGTTATAGCTTGAAACATATTACGATCTCAGTTATACCATCATTTCTCTCATCTTCCTCACTCCGTTCGCAGGATACTCCGTCGCTGCATTTACCAATGCGCGCATCCACATGAAATTCGGCCAACGTGGCGTCGCCATCATGGCGCCAGTTTGTCACCTCATAACTTTCATCGCACTCGCCCTCCATCCTCCTTACCCCGTCCTCGTCGTGTGCAATATCATGAGCGGTTTCGGAAACGGGTTGACAGACGCATGTTTCTGCGCTTGGGTTGGAGCCATGGATAAAGCGAATACGGTACAAGGCTTCTTACATGCGTTTTATTCGTTTGGCGCGTTGTTTTCGCCACTCATTGCGACGAGCATGGTTGTTTCGGCGGGGCTGCCTTGGTATACGTTTTACTACGTTATGGTGAGTCATCACGTACGTGTTATACTTTGCTTTGGCTGACGTCGTAGATTGGCATTTCTGTGGTGGAATGGGTTGGTTTGACTGTTTCGTTCTGGCAGCAGACTGGTGCTGTATATCAGGCTGAGCATGCTGCGAACAATTCGGAAGGTAGTGGTGCCGGAACCAGAGAGGCGCTCAAGTCTAAGGTTACGTGGCTTTGCGCGTTGTTCTTCTTTGCATATATGGGTGTTGAAGGTATGTTCCCTAATACTCTCTTTGCGGGAAATGCTCATTGTTCTAGTCGGTCTTGGTGGATGGGTCGTCACATTCATGCTCCGCGTCCGAAAGGCTTCAGCTTATGCCTCGGGTGCATCAGGCACTGGCTTCTGGGCCGGTATGGCTCTCGGGCGCGCATGTCTTGGCTTCGTAACCGAGCGATTCGGCGAGAGACTCTGTCTTTCGATCTATCTCCTCATCTGCATCGGTCTCCAACTCCTTTTCTGGCTTGTACCAAAATTCATCGTATCAGCCGTTGCAGTCGCTTTTCTCGGCTTCTTCCTCGGCCCTCTATTTCCTGGAGCCGTCATGGTCACAGCCAAACTCCTACCCGCCAAGATCCACGTGTCGGCTATCGGATTTGCCATGGCGATTGGCGGTACTGGCGGAACGGTGTTTCCGTTCGCTATCGGTGCTATAGCTAATCATAAGGGTGTTGGTGTTTTGCAGCCTATCATTCTGGCGCTGATAACTGTTGTTGCCGGTGTTTGGTTGAGCTTCCCCAGAATCAAGAAGAAGGATTAGGATCCAGAAGCTGGCGACGCTGTCGCAGCTCGATGGTCAAAGAGGGACTTCTGTTTGGCTGTTCGGCCATGATGCATGGGGTATTATCAAAGGCATATGTGAGACTAAGTTAGTTGAAGGGATAGTAAAGACTCACTCGACGAGTGGTCCGTTAAAGAAATATCTCAGTATAGACGTGGCCAGTAAGGAGATATCACCAGTACTACTGTCTCAAGGTATTGAAAATTTGCCCTCATTCTTCATTACCAGTATCTCATCATTCATGCTCTTAATGGGCCATCTTTAATATTTCCGCCTCATCTACCCCAGATTTCCGTTTCACCGACGATAACGGCTGCTCGGGAAGAACCCCGATCTCAATATCCGGGGTACTCGCCCCAACCAATCCAACCCCTCCAAATCGTCTTTTCTATGGATCTTTACGGCCAAAATTCCCCCAAACTGTCGATCATCAACAGTCCATCGGCCAGAATTACCCACTCAAGAGCCGGCATTCTCTCAACATCCCCCATCGGCCGAATGCCCGTGTTCACACTCAAGCAACTGCGTTACACTCAAACTCGTATCATTATAATACCCTGCCTCCAACATCTCATCCCTTTCAACCAAGCACTAATCTTTTCCCCTCTAACAAACTAAGCACCGCCAAAATGTCCAAACCAATCGTCCTCCATCTCGGCGACGACATAAAATGGAACCATGATCTCTACAAGACCTTCACATCTCACTTTGAGATCAAGCGCTCACACAGCATGTCCCGCCCCGACTTCATCAACGCCCTTAAGCAAAAAACCTTTGGTGATTTCTTCGCTATCTACAGACCGTTCTGGAACACTGGCGGTGAGATGGGAAATTGGGATGATGAGTTGATCTCACTTCTTCCTGCGTCGTGTAAGATTTATGCTAGTGCGGGAGCTGGCTTTGATTGGGTTGATACAGCTGCTCTTGCAAAGCGAGGTACGTTCACCACTCCTTTTCTTACTATAACGATGAATGTTAATGTGTTTCTAGGCGTCACGTATTGCAACGCAGCAGCCGCGTGTACAGAATCAGTAGCCGACGCAGCAATCTGGCTCATCATCTCTGTATTCCGCAACCTAAGCTGGTCCAGCACAGCAGCCCGCTCAGGCGACAAGGACAAATTCATCGACGCCAACAAGAACCTAGCCCCCTTATCCCGCAATCCCAGCGGTTTCACCCTCGGGATCATTGGTTTCGGCCGCATCGGCCGTCGCATCGCAGAAAAAGCGTATAAAGCACTTGACATGAAGATCATCTACAACGACATCGCCCAAATGCCCTCGTCAATCGAAACTCCCCTTAACGCAACATTTAAATCATCAGACGCTCTCCTCGCTGAAGCAGACTGCGTCGTCGTCGCAACGCCGTTTGCAGGCGAAACTCTTCTTAACAAAGCTGGTTTATCAAAGATGAAGCGTGGCGCAAAGCTTGTCAATATTGCGCGTGGAAAACTCATCAACGAAGCTGATCTCGTTGAAGCTCTTTCCAGCGGTCATTTATCAGGTGCTGGACTAGACGTCTTCGAGAATGAACCGTACATCAGCCCTGAGTTGCTAAAGATGAAGAACGTGGAGTTGTTATCGCACAACGCGGGTGCGAGTCTGGATTCGCATATTGGCTTTGAGAAATTGGGGATGGAGAATATTATGGAGTTTTGGAAGACAGAGAAGGCAATTTCGCCTGTTAATGCTCATCTGATCAAGCAGAGCAAGTTGTAATTCTTAGGGTTCGGGTATGGTTAAAAAATGATATGTTGTTAGTCTAAAGGATGTTTGGTTCCTCAATATGATACACTTCTGGTTCCCTTTCATTAGTAAATCGTCTTTTGTGTAATTGATCTACGAAGGATCGAGGCACAGACCAGTCAGTGTCGTGATTCTCGTCAGATCATCCTCTGAGTGAATGCATAAAGACGTGCGTTTAGCGGCTGACGGATGAAACGTAACATCTCTCAGGTCAGATCCTTCACCAACACCAGGATTAGCCACTCCTTCTTCACTACACTTACTTCACTACACACACAATAAACTATTCTCAATTCACTAATATCTTGAAACATTCCCAGTCTCCGTTCACATCTCAACATCCCCATCCATCCTCCTAACTGGCCATCTATCCGCCATCTCAGCACCCTAAATCTCATCACCACATCAAACACCCCAGAAACAATCTCAATTAAACGTTCCATCAAATCGCAATCCCCAATTCCCTCATCCGGAGCATTTCTACCAAATCGGCCCGTTACTGGCCCTCTCGAGATGAAAGGAGCATGGACTTCATCCCCCTCCTAGACCCTTGTTTCAAACATCCGCACTAGTCCAGCAAATCACATCGCCGAACAGCCATCTACCATCAGATGAAACCCCGTTTCATCCTTTCCCTCAGATATATATTAAAGCGTTTCTGAATACCCCGGTTTATAATGCATCTCGAATGTTTCCGACGTGAGATCCCTGGGAATATCACCACTGAGTCTTTTGATGACTGAAACATGTGATGGGTTGAAGTATATAGATGTAGTAATTGACCAGAATTAGTCGTGCTCTGTAGCCTTCTTCATCACGTTCTTTTTTTCTTGTTTAAGTCATTCTTTGATAGAATGCGTTCATTCCTTATTTTAGCTTGCCTCCTCGGCACAGCTCTATCCGCTCCTTTCCAAACATCTTCCCTCGACACCACCCGCGAAGGCTTTATAAAAGCTCATCCCGGCGGTACAAACAACGTTGAAGTAACAGATAACAATCTCCTCAACGGCACATACGCCAAGAACAAAACTCGCGTTTTAACACACCGTGCTGAACAAGCGACGTTACCACTAAAGCTAGTGAATAACTTTAGCGGCGGAAACGTCAGAGCGTATATCTCAGGGCTGGACTCTGACGGCACTGTCGTCTTCATCGGCGCGAGTGGAAACCTTGTGTATCCTAAATCAGGAGGTTCGAAAGTGCCTGTTGAGATCAAGGATAACATTGCTATTCCTCTCCCACCACAGGGTCAGACTCTCGAGTTTACGGTGCCTATCTCCATGAGTTCAGGGCGTGTTTATTTCGCCAATGAAGATCTTCACTTTTTTGTCGTTGACATTGGAAGCGGCGATGGTTTAGTGCAGCCCTCTGTTACGAATCTTCAAGATCCTAGTGCGGGTGTAGACTGGGGTTTTGTGGAATTCACCTACACGAATGGCGTTCTGTACGCCAACATCAGCTATGTCGACTTTGTGGGTATACCGCTTGGTATGGGGCTTTCTCTCAAAGATGGAAGTACTCAGTCGTGCGCCGGGCTAGAGTCTGGCGCTGTGAGCAAGATCTGCGATGATCTTGTTAAGCAGAAAGATGCGGATGGGAGAGCTTGGACGTTTATGTGCATTGCGAATGCCCAGGGTAAACCAGTTCGTGTGCTTTCGCCGGGAAACCAGTATGATCTTGAACCGATTACCTTTGGGGACTATTGGGATACTTATGTCAACGATGTATGGAGTAAATACTCCTCGCAGGACCTCATTATCAACACGCAGTCTGAAGCAGGCAATGTCAAGTGCCGCGTCACGGGCGACCAGCTCACTTGCGATGGCGACAACAGAGGATACGGCAAACCCAACACCAAGGACATCTGGGGTTGCAACAGTGGTCCGTTCACGGTGATGGAAGGTGATAATGCAGTTCACGCGGCAGTTGTTCCTCGACTCTGCGCAGCATTCGTTCGAACTACACTCCTTGTTGACGGAGGCGATACACAGCCCAAGTTAGGACAGGAAGCGTACTACAAGAATGATCCTACGAGCCACTATAGTCGAATTGTTCATTCGTATGAGGTCGATGGCAAGGGATACGCGTTTCCATATGATGATGTCAACCCGGATGGGAATGAGAATGCATCAGGTGTTGTTTCGGGCGAGCCGGAGACTTTGACGATTTTTGTTGGTGGACCTTCTGCATAGGAGGTATCTGTATACTATTTACTTCTTGTAAGAATATTTTATTGATACAAGGCCGTGTAGTAGTTTCTCTTCATGTCTTGCAATGCCTGTTGCGTATCCGTTTTGTCCTGTTATGTTCGCTGTAGATTTTGCAATCCTTGAAGTGGCCTGAGTCGAGGCACATCGTGAACAGCAGAGCTTCATGCGAGTGTCGCTTCAAATACCATTGCATGAACAGGGCTCACTCTAGAGGATTTTTGAGATGAGTTAAGGTACCAGAGAAACATAAAGCCGCATAAAACGAATGGCCTACTTGCTAGACTATGCTCTGCAACCTGAGGTGCGAGCATACCATGCGTTCAAATTACATCTCCAGAACATCACAACCTGTCATTATAGAACTTATTTGCAAATAATCCCTCTATGCAATTTAACGCTATGACTAACTATACAAGCTCATTCACCCTTACAACCTCGCAGCGGCATTTCCACCGGAACAACAACTCTTTCCCCCAAAGGCCAACTGACTAACCTTGTCACTCTGATCCAGCGCGCCCTTCTTCTCCGCAACCTGCGTGGGGGTGATGGAGTAACTAGGCGGCACATCCATACAAGGATTGTTCGTAAAGAAGTTCCTAGGTCGGAGCAATAACGTCATTGGCTCGACGGGCATGATGGGGAAGTCCTCAGGTGCAGGGATGTGTGTAACACCGAAAGTGTGCCAAAGAACAATGTCGGTGTTTTCGGTGGATGCTGATCCTTCGGCGATCCACTCGGGAAGACCTTGGGATGGCTCGCCGGATGTTTGGGGGACGTGACGACCCGCAGCCCAGAGTTCATCATCACGATCTGCAACTATTAGCATCATACCATATAAAGAAAGTTGAAAGACTTACAAGGTGTGACATGAACAGCATGGCGGGCAAAACCAGCACGCTTCCAAACCAACGATCCCTCCTTCGGCAAAAGGCCTGGAACCTCTCTGCTAACAAGCTTATAAGACGCAGGCTTCTTCGAATAAGGATGCAGCTTATTCTCATTAACCATCTCCCACGTCCTGCTCGTCGCACCGTTATAATCTGTCTTTGCCTGCCCACTCGTCCTCAACTTTGTCTTCTTGGCGTAGAACGCATTGCCGTATTTATTCTGGGGACTTCCGACAGGTGCCTCACTAGCAACTGTATCGACCATGTTGACAGTGTTGTTCACGCCGTCGATCATGGGGTTCACGCGCAGACAAAACAGGTGCTGATGGTTGTGCGCGTTGACCTGGGGATAAACCTCTGTTCCCCACGGTCCAGCTTCTTCACCCTCGTTAAGGGCGTATGTGTTGAGAATGCCGGTGAGTTTGATCTCGGGCTGGATTGTTCCGTCTTGGTGGAACACCCACTGGCACGCGTACTCGTAGTTAGCCGCTGTGAAGATCTGTTGCACGATGAGTTTTCGCGCGCGCGTGACGGTGACGGAATCATCGCGGAAGTCAGTGTGCTTGAAGAGAATACCGTTATCCTCTTCATGAATGCAGATAGCGTTCTTGATGGTTCGGATAGAGCCATCGCGCGCGGCGAATTCAGCGTCGAGGTAGTGAATCACACCCTTGCAGTCGCAGCCCAGCGCGAGAGAGTTGGCCATGTATCCTGCGCCGTATTCACCAAGATCAAAAGCGTGCTTTCGCTGATGAGGATGCTCAGGCGCACCGTACGGCACCACCATTTCCGAGAGGGAAAGACGGTAGAAGATAGGTCGCTCAATACCCTTGTCGGTGAAAGTAATGTGGTTCAGCACAATACCCTCCTTGTAGTTGAATCCAATATGGAATTTAAAGTTCTGCCACGAAAGAACACGTCCATTCATCGTAAACGACACACCCTCGGGCTGCGTAATGTTGATAGGCTTGATATCCTTCCGATAACCACCGTTCTCATTGATATAGCGCGGGGTGTAGTCAATAGCCTTCTGCTTGCTCAGCGGGCGACGCACGCTGGGGATATCAATGTGGATGATGGCCTTCTTGGCGCCGTCGTAGATGGGGCAGAAGTCAAGGGGGTACTGATACTGGAAGGTATCGGGGTCAGGGCGGTAGTACATGAGTGCCTGCTGGAGGCGGATGTTGCTGCCGAAGCGCTCGTCGTAGCCGATTGTCCAGGGGTCGCAGTAGACCTTGTGCATGTCTGATTTGGGGATGCCGGAGATTTCGCACTGTTCTATGACCTTGGGGTCTTTGCGCATGATCTCCTCGACCTGGATGAGTTCCTCGGGTGTGATCTACTTTGTCAGCTGTGTTCAAAGACTACCAGGTTGAGAGGACTTACAATTGGCTGAAGGCCATCTAGCTTCTCCCACTTCTGTACCTTTCTCGTCTTAAGATCCACAAGTCCATCATAAACCTTTCCATCAGGAAGAATGACAGTGACATCCGCAATTCTCGCAGGTTTATTTCCATCAGAAGGATGCTCAAGCCACCTCAACATCTCCTTCTTGCGGGGCTCGTGTAGAGTCACAGCATTGAAGAGGAGTTGGCCGGACTGATACTTGCGGATAGCCTCGACGGCAGCGGCGATCTCATCTCCGGAGAGAGGATCAAAAGGATGATGTTGCGTGAGACCCATGATGACTGTATGGAGGTTTGCTGGTTAGGTGAAGACGGTATGGTATGGGGGAGGAAGAGGAGGGATATATAGTTTTTGGGACATGATGATAAGAGCGTCTCGAGTTGGAAATACACGACTCTTTTTTCCGTATCGGGATTGATGTGTGACAGCTCCTCTAGCTCTCGTGGTGGGGAGGCGATATCGCGGGGTAATCGTGAGCCTCACGGAAAGATAAACTGAATTGGGTTTAGTTATCGGCTGATAAGATAGGCTCCTCAGATCTCGACCTCCCCGCTTGAATTTGTTACAAAACAGGTAATTATAACCTGTTTTTCGCACCGGATATTGAGTCCCGTTGAGTCCCGTACGTAACAAGATCATGATGGATAGGAATATCTCTGTTTTGGTACTTATTACACCTCGTGACACACACCAAAGAAGCTGTTTTATCCAGAATTACCTCTTTCATCTTGATTGCCACTGAGGGGTTGAATTGGTCTGGCCCCAGGAATTGGGACCCGAGTTCCGGAGTGGATAAAAGTCGATCGAGCCCAGAATTGTTTTATTTTCTTTAGGTAAAAATATGAGCTTTCCCCGGATTCTGCGATTAGCTTGTCTTGTTCATCTTCGGTGTTGATGCAGTTGTGCCGATTGTCGCTGCGAGTGGTGTTGAGTTGCGACAAGTCGTTCCCAATTGCATAGACAGAGCTGCGTTCTTGTCATCGCAGACATGATGCATGTTCTATCAATTGCACGATGCGATACTGCCAGGCTGAGCCTTGGTCTTGGTCGCTGACAGGATGACACCTCGTCGCGCGATTGATGTTTGTCTCGGCGCCGTCATCAGCACTCCAAGCGCTATCTCAGCTCCTCAAGGCCAAAGACCGCCCGCCAGTCGGTTCAACAAACCCGGCAATTGTGTCGCGACAGCATCATGAGAGCCTTGAGGTGAACAATCCACCCTCGCGATGGATCAATGCTGGAGAAAGCATCGCGTAGCTGCGATATTCGATGTTGGCCACAATTGTGTGTGTTGGCTCTTGTGTCACCTCCTGAGTCCTGCATGCTCATGGTAGGAATCGTGCTAGAAGAGGAACGCGCAATTGCGCGCTGCGCCAAACAAACATGAGTGAGGTCATATATTTTAGACCGCAATTTCCACGAGACCATCGATTTGCATTCTCTCTTCTTTTTTAATATCATGCATATTCTTTATACTCAATAGCTATCAATATCACTTCGGTTCATTGTCTCATTTTGTTCCCGCAACTTCATCCTTGAGGTCTTTGCCTACGTCACCTCCACAATGGAGCATCGTCCCCTCCCCCACCACTCTTCCGCGATACGCCGCTACCTCAACGAACCAGCTTGTCTGTACGGCAGATTATGGGCAGCTAACGGGTCCGACCGAGAGAAATTTTACGTCGATGCCCATAAACCCCAGCTTCGCACCGTTCAACAAGACGTCTCCCGACGAGAACCAAGTCAAGCCAACCGATTTCCATTCCTCTGCGTCTTTCACTTCGCAGGCTGCGATCAGAAGTTCGAGAATAAAAGGGATTGGAAGGACCATGTTGTATCCCAGCATTTGAAACCCGAACGCGTGTTTTGGGAGTGTAATGAAGGCCTTTGCGCGCACATCAAGCGCACTCGTTGGCAGCAGCGATTATTCCTCCAGGTCAAAGACATAAAAACCCTACGATTCCAGGACTACAGCGGTACACTCTTCGCTAATATACACGATTTCCGAACGCATCTTGTCCAACGCCATCGATCCCCCAAGTCGCACGATAAAAAGAGAGATATAGCATTCCGTCCCGATACAGAGGGGCAATGGCATGTGGACCGTCAAGACTCGTCGATGCGCATGGTATGTGGACTGCCTCAAGACCTTGGCTGTCCAATGCCCCAATGCGCATCGGTGCGGTTCACCGGTCCTACAGCGTGGGATCAACGCCTCAACCACGCTGCTGAACACTTTCTTGTCAGCCCGCAATGCCTGGGTGTATTCGGAGGTGAAAAGGATGCCGAGCTAGTACAATGGGCCTCCAGTGATGATGTCGCCATCTATCAAAAGGCTCCCACTGCTTGCTTTCAACAACATGATTGCGGTAAGTCGGTTGCAGATAGTGGCTACAGCAGCATGCCCGGTATGCCCCGGCACCCCAACCCGTCACAGCAGGGCGATTCGTCCCCTGTGGTGCCCTCCAAGATGCCTAGGGGGGCGAGCGATGCCACGTTCGATGACCACAGCACGGAGGAACTATATTTGAGTGCAGGGTCTCTCGGTATTGGAGGCTGGGTCCGAGATCATGGGTACATCTATATGGAACCTGTGATTGACGAAGAAAGCAGTTCTTCAGCATACCAGTCTTTCCAGGAATTACTCTCTCAATACGAGTCAATAGAAGCTGATAGTACCCTCAATACCTCCCAAGACTCCGACTCTAGTGATGAGTCAGACGGAACGCCTGATGGCAATCCGGAGACTGCAGCTGTTATGCAATGGTTCCATGGGTGGCTTCGCCAATGGCTCTCGCCTTTAACACAGGAGAGACCCAGCGGAAATGGTAGTAGCCAGGCTACCGCATCTCAAAGCCAAACCAGCTCCAGTTCCAGCACGCAGAAGAAGAAAGGAACCGGCCGGCCTCGCCGTGTCCCAAAGCGCAAGCGAGGCAATGACGGCGAAGACGATGGCAATGAGGAGAGTCCCAAATCTCAACGTGTTGATGGAGGTCAGCAGACACGAATGCTTGCCTGTCCGTACTTCAAGCGGAACCCGCGAAAATACGGTCGGCCAGAATGGAAGAGCTGCGCACACCCTGGTTATCGGGACCTCCATCGCGTAAAGTAAGCACCACATCCAACGCCATAAAGCAACCAAGATTCTAATCCTGAGAAACAGAGAGCACATGTATCGGCGACATTCGCTGCCCGAGTACCAATGTCGGCGCTGTCGCGTGGATCTCAAGACCTCAGAAGCCCTGGAGGCGCACTCGCAGCAATTGCAAGCGTGCACGCCAACCGTCGGCAACCAAGACGGCTTGAACCAAGAGCAGGTAAAAAGAATGAGGAGTAAGAAAGGAACGGGGAAGAACAAGAGCGAGGGGGACAGGTGGAACGATGTTTACTCCATTGCGTTCCCTTATGATCAGCATACGCCCAGCCCTTGTATGTCAGCTTTACCCCTACCTATCCCTTCTTTCCAGGAATGACTAACAAGATCAGATCTCTACGATACTGACGAGGACAAAAGTGCCAGGGAGTTCAATCTATGCCACGAGTTCGGCGGTTTTTTAACGAGGGAGCTGCCCCGGCTTGTCGGGAGACATTTGAGCACGGTTGGATACCCGTTGCCCGAGTCAATACGAGACGACATTGAGCAATTGGTGAGACGGTTTGTTCCTCAGCTGCAGACTTCTTTTCTAAAAGAGATGAGTTTTGTGGCAAGCACTAGCAACGAGCAGCCAGACAGTGCATCAGCAACAAATGACGCAGCCAGCTTCGTGGAGTCTACGACAACAAGACGCACTTCTGAGGACTCAGCGACGACGCTTCAACGGGACAATACGCATGAAGACTCAGTGACAATACTCCCAAGAGGAAGCACCTCTGAAGCGTCAATGTCCATGTTTCCGACAAGCAACGGCTCTCAAGAATTAACGACGATGCCTCAAATTAATTACGTCGGAGCAGATTCGACGATGCTGCAGAATGGGACTTTCTCTGGGCAGGGCATGATGATCCCGGCATCTCAGACGATGCCACCGTACTTTTCGCCGACAATTGAGGATTGGCAGGTAATTTATCAGCAGCTTGGCTATGACCCAAATCTTGCTTTGGGGTTTGGTGGGATGAAAAATTCATAGGATACAAGTTCATACCTACTTATTGTATAATATAAATTTTGACCAAGACGTGCTTCTATTGCTACAGCGTCATGATCATTCGGATAGGAGACAGTTCACCGAATTTGTAAGAACAATTATTGCATCACGAGTCAAAAGGTTGAGCGGTAGCCGATACATTATTAATTTCATCAGTGGCGATAAGGCAGCTCTCTGACCCGCCTGCTTCTTAGTGCTGGTGTCCACTAAATTGGTCAGCTTTCAGCGGCTGCCAGCGCTACATGTCAGTGAGCAGGCGTCGCAACCAGACCTCGACCATGAACTCCAAGAAATCATCACCCCAAAAATGCAAGATACACACAAACAAGCTCTTTGTTACTCAAACTTTTATTAATAGTAGATAGATCATTCGCTCAGACTTGTATATATAACATGACATATCGACCGCCAACTCCAGACATCTATGATTTGCTTTGCTTTGTGGCTTTCCTTTCCGTTCCTATAAATGATTGCTCTGATCGAACTCGTACATTAAAACAGATGCAGCACTCGTTCAATCTCTAAATAATGCAACTTAACATGACCCAAATTAACACAAGTATCCAGTATAATATGCTCGCACTCACGCCTGTCGCGCCTCAAGGTTCTCGTTACTAACACCCTGTCCAGGCTGCAATCCTGCTACACTAGCAGCCACGATACCCGGCATACCAACGACTGACATCATCGGCGAGATAGGTGGTCTGTTCGAAGACCTTGACGAACCGCGTCGACTGCGAAGCTTACTTCTAGGTCGAGACTCGGATCTCTTGCGTCGAAGCATCTTCTCCCGCGAGCGCGCCATAGCATCGCTCAACGCCGTCATGCGTCCGCCGCGAACACGCTTCAAGAACTCGAGATCATCGCGAATGCCGAGAAGTGCGGTATCCATATCATACCCCTCCAGCTTCTCCTTGGGAAACGGCTCAGTGCCGTCTTCTTCAGAAGTATCCTTCTTCTTACGTGAGAAGCGGATCCAGCTTGGCCACAGCTTAGCGAGGACTTTGACAAAGGCGTGGAACCATTCATCAGGGAATAAACGAATGAGTACACCGATGGGAATAGAGAAGAATCCAAGAACAAGAGAAATTCCCCACTGAATACCGTTCAGGCGCGTCACGACAAAGGCGTCGCTGCCGAAGAAGATGATGATGATCTGTCCAGCTGCCATGATGGTCATCATAAGCATGAACAAATGGTTGCGGTGAAGACCCTCGAAGATGTTGAGCTTGTTATCGATACGTCGACTGTTGACGAGCTTGAAGATCTGCATAAAGACAAAGATGTTGAAGATGAGGGATCGTACTTCGCGTTCTTCATAGCCGAGGATTGAATCGCGACCGAACCAGAGGACGAAACAGACGATGAGCTGGTAAATCGATTGGCCGATGATCATCTTCCACATGGTAATTGTGATAAGCGGTGCAGTTCGAGCTTCAGGTTCGCGATGAAGTAAACTTCCAGTGGGGGGATCGGTAGCAAGGGCGAGAGCAGCGAAAGTATCCATGATGAGGTTAACCCAGAGGAGCTGGACAGCGTTGAGAACAGATTTCTGCTCATCGTCCGAAACAGCCGAGATGAACGTTACACCCACAGCTGTGATGTTAACGGTAAGTTGAAACTGCAAGAACTTCTTAACCGAGTCGTTAATAGCACGACCCCAACCCAAAGCCACAACAATAGAGGAGAAGTTATCGTCCATGAGGATGATATCCGATGCTTCCTTGGCGACTTCTGTGCCAGTAATACCCATCGAGAAACCAACATCCGCCGCCTTGAGCGCAGGAGCATCGTTTGTTCCATCACCTGTAACAGCGACAATCTCACCGAGCGAGCGCAACGTCTTGACGAGGATGCGTTTATCCTCTGGACTCGACCTAGCGAGCACACGGAGTTTCTTCACGACTGCTGTGCGGTCTGATTCAGAGAGCTTGCGGAAGTCGGAGCCTTGCATCACGGCGTTGGGCTCGTTGATGGTGCTTTCGGTGAGGATGCCGCAGTTGAGAGCGATGGCGCGCGCGGTCTCGACGTTGTCGCCTGTTACCATCTTTACGTTGACGGAGGCGATACCGCAGTCGTTCACAGCTTCGGGGACGCCCTTGCGCACGGGATCTTGTATGCCGACGACGCCCATCCAGGTGAGGTTATGCACCAAATCGGTGAGATCGATCTCGGCGTTGTCGTCTTCGGGGCGGAGGGTGAGAACAGGAGGCCAATTCTCAAAGTCGCGGTAAGCAAGACCCAAAGTTCGCAGAGAGTTTGTAGCATAGTTGAAGATGATAGATCGCAATTCCTCTTTTCCATCGTCGGAGAGGGCCTCGGTGGTAGGTGACGTTGTAGGATCACCGAGAATGGTGGTGCATTCGCCGAGAACAATTTCGGAAGCACCCTTGATGTAGAGTCTGTACTTGGGCTTATCCTTCGTCGGGCCGGGGATCTGGACAACGGCGCCCATGCATTTGCGCTGGGAGTTGAACGGGAACAGGCGTGTGACGGGATGGTTGGCGCGTTCGATTGCGAGAGGACCGAGACCGAGATATCGACGAGCCCAGTCGAGAAGAGCAGTCTCAGTCTTTGTGCCGACGAAGCCTTGCTTTCCTTCTTCATCTGATTCAAATGCTGTGGTGTTGACGGTGATGGCAGTCTTGAGAAGTTCCTTGTACTCAGGATCAAGCTTGGACGAGAACTGAGCCAGCGCAATGGTCTCCCGCTTCTCAGCACCAGCAGACTCCTGCTCGAACGACGAATCGCCAAAGGAAAAGAGTCCGCGAATACCCAATGATCCAGCGACGACGGTCATGATATTCTCAGTAAGCGTACCAGTCTTGTCGGAGCAAATAACCGTGGCGTTACCCATAGTCTCACACGATTGAAGATGTCGCACCAAGTTATTCTCGCGGGTCATCTTCTTCGTCGCGAAGGCGAGAGAGAGTGTAACTGCGAGGGGAAGACCTTCTGGGACGGCGACGACGATGACGGTGATGGATGTGATGAGGATCTGGAGGAAGTCTTGGCCTTTTTGCTCGCCAGTTTCGTGGTTGTTGGGGAGTTTGGCAAGGAATTCGATGAGGAGGACGAAGAAGAGCAAGAGACCAGCTGCGCTACCAAGCTTTGCAATGTACCCTGACCTGTTAGTATGTATACTGAGATGTTATGCGGTGACTTACCAGCGAGAAGGTTGAGCTTTGCCTGAAGAGGCGTCAGTCCCGGATCATCACGAAGCGACATCATCGTCTTTCCATGACTACTCTGCTCTCCCACCGCAGTAACAAGAAACGTTCCCACGCCATCGAGAACTTTCGCACCCGAGATGATGAACGGATCAAGCTTCTTCAATTGCGGCGCCTGCTCATGCAGCAGCGCATGAAGAACCTGCTCCGCGGGAACCTTCTTAATAAGATCCGACTCTCCCGTCGCCGAACTCTCATCACAGCTGAGATTATGGCCCTCGATAAAAACACCATCCACGGGGATGACATCGCCTGGCTCAAGAAGCATGACATCGCCGACTAGTACATCGTGAATAGAGATATTCTGGGGTTTTCCGGAGCGGGTGATCTTCACGACGCGGTCTTCCTTCTTCTGGTTGAGTTTCTGAAACTGTCGCTCTTTTTGCCAATCGTTTGCTGCACCGACGACAACGACGATTGTGATGGCCACAATGATAGCGACGCCTTCGACCCATTCGACTTTCGCACCGCCGTCTTCATGCGATCCTCCAAAGGTTTGGTACAGACCTAAAGCAAGTGATACAACAGCTGCGATGCAGAGAAGGATGAGGACGCGGTCCTGCAGAGCGATCCATGCTAGTTCAAGAAACGACTTTGACTTTGGTTCCGGAAGCCGATTCGCGCCGTACACTCGTTTCCGATCAGGAAACGCATCTTTTCCTGAAGCGTGCGCATCGCTATGCGTCGTCTTCTCAACCTTTGAAGAAGTCGCTTCTTCGAATGACACTGCACCAGCGAGCTTTCCCTCATCCACGCTCAATCCCGCCTTTGCATCAGTCCTCAAACCCTTCTGCAGACCGGGCAGTCCACCGAGCGCAACAAAAGCCGCCAAGTTCTTTGGGTTAATAAGTTTCGCCAATTGACCCGGCGAAAAGGCAAATGGGTTGTTTTCCACGTGAAAGAGGTCTTCCTCGCCTGGGTCGGGCTTTAAGATTTCGGCTTGGTCGCCTTTTCTTAGGGCTTCTACTTCGCGAGACATCTGTTCATGATCGGTCCCGACTTTTGTAGATGGCGACGAGAACCATGATTCGGTTCGAGATTTAGCTGTTGGTACTGCAAGAGTATTCGTATCATCTAGCGGAGATGGAGAGATTGAATCTGCAGGTGCTAGTTCTACTGTGTTAGCGTGCATGCTCGTATGATGTCGTTGAAGTCGCCGCACTGGAGAATTACCGGGATCGTTTGAGTCGACAGCAGCAGTGTCGACAGTGATTGTAGGAGCGCGCGGGCGTCGTGGAGCGTTAGAGTCCATGTTGACGACCTGTGATGGAATGTGTTCATGAGAATTGGGAGAAAAGATGAAAAGAGGAGAAGCCAAGATATTGAGACTCAAGCGCTGGGGTGAGAGGCAAGCAGGGGATGAAAATACACTTCCGACACAGCCACAGCCACGAGGCATGCCAAGATCCTGGGCGGGCTGTGTGATTGGTGATACGGAGGGCTAAGATGTTATTGCTTGGAGTTGCGAATCTTGGCATTTACAGGGGTACTTTTTTGTTTAATCAGTAGGACTTGTTCCGTGCTAAACCTGCTAAACAAACTGCCACAATACTAGAATCTTGATGGAAATAATGTACCACTTTACATCACGGGTATAGCCTTTACCTACTCACAAACATCTACAGAGGTACTGCTCTTCAGTGATCAGTTTGTCGTATTCCAACCACCAGCCAAGATCTAAACGCCCACTAACCGTCCAGGCCGTCCCCACTCCCAAATCACAAATCCAAGGTCCCCCCCATAAGTCGCCCCACAACATCATTGTCTAAGCCTCGTTTTTTAAGCTTAATAGCGCCCATCACGCTAGATCTCATTGACTCCTTCCCTCCCTGGTAACCTTCATCTCCCTCTGTTGCAAAAAAAGGGGGCGATTTAATAAATCCAGTTTTTAAAGTTAATTCAACCATCTTCTCTGTGTAGTTCAGAGTCCAAAGAACTCTCTCATCCTGTTATGTGCAGTTTTATACACAGCCCGGTATGGTCCACTTAGGTCATGCAGAGGGAACCTTTTGGAAGATGGTGATGTTTGGAGCGAGGGGATTGGCTGGGACGCGAAGAAATCTTGAATCAAATACATCATGCAGTGAATGGCATGATGACTAGATGATGCCCAATTCGGTAGTTCGTTGAACATAACGTGTTTAATGGACACCAGGCACGTTAGACGGTGAATAAACACCGTTGGCAAGTATCGTACGTGGCACTCGAGGCTTTGTACACATGACAGACCCGCCAGTGACATCTCACCCTCTTCTCAAGGTATCAACGGGACTTGATAGCGCCGATTTGCTCCAACGATCGATACTGTATCATCGCGCATAAACAACACAAAAAACCAGAAACTTACCCGTAAACAAGGAGGCCACCCGTAATTTGAATGCCGGGGCAACCCCTGTCTTTGGTTAAGCTTAATTTCGCTGCATATTTTCCTGCTCGGCTCCATGACGTCAGTGAAGGCATCGGATGATGGCGGCAAGACGAATTGGTAAGGTAGGGGAAAATGGGATGAGCCACCAGGATATTCATCTCGGGAGGTTCTGAATGGAGAAGGACGGTATTAAGCTTTCAGCTAGACAATTCCGATCGGGGCGGTGTTGAGGCGATGCTGAGGCTATGGGAGACGCGTAGATTTTGTGTATTTGTTGAGAGAGGCAGCCGGGAGAGATGGAAAACATGAGATTTGAGCTTGTGATGCCGAATTGAGGACGTGTTGAGGGGGCAAATTGAGAGGCGAAGGTATTGCGGTTGATTGACGCGTTTATGGTGACGACGTGACCATGAGGAGGCGACTACAGATAGCTTGAACGCCTGCGATATCAGGAAAAATAATTCCTGAGGATGAACTTACTGCCTGATTATCAGGATCGCTCGTGAAGAGTCTGATCATCATTTGCGTCGTTGTCGCGCTGTCGCATCTTGGGCTTCTTCGCGTTGGTGATTCGAGACTACATTGAGTACCTAGGTACAAAGCACATGGGAATATTTCGCGACGAACGTCGCAATAAAAGAAATCTCGGAAGGAAAGTGATCGGCTTGAATCGGCGATAGCTCCAATTGTATTTCTCCTCCTCTCGACGCAGATTAACATTACGCGGGATTAATGGCTCGAGGTCAAATGTCAAATGCGCATTCCTACCCGGGACCTTTAATTTTAATCTTTGCGCAACCACAGTTGATGGGAATTGCTGTAAATTACACCAGATCTACCATAAAACAGACGAGCCTTTGCCGAATTTGACAACACAAGATGGGCGAACCATGAAATTTAAAGACACTTACAGCCTGCAGGTAATATCCCAAATCTCTTGCCTTGTCTGCAGTTATAGTCGGTCATCGCTGTTGCATCAATCGCGTCGTGCGAAAGCATTGTAGACCACGCGACAGAACGCACATGGCTCGACACTCAAGTACTGCGGTTTCCAATCGAAGTAGGCGTTGGGGAATGGGATCATTAAGACAACTTCACGCGGCGTCTCAAACACAATTCATGTCAACCCAGTCTTGGGTTTCAAGGGCCTTGGAGTTCCTGTGATCCAGGCCTAGCTTCATGATAATAGTACTTACGCTTGGAGTAGGGTTCTTGCACTCTATCTAAGAAGCTCTTGTGACCTCGCTACGTTCAAGGACAGATACACAGCTTGGGAGTGATCCGTCACTGTTCATGTCTCCCAGCAGAGCTACAAGGGTTCACCCATCGAATGATCACCTATCGTAGTCGTACTGCGACATGCCGCATTCTCCTCAGATGTAGAGTCGCAGCTGCACCGACAACTGGCAGTATGTAGTCTACGTCCTGAAACTCAACGGCAAGCTGAGGAAAGCCGCGACGATGAGTCCATCGAAGAAAACTGGATTGACCCTGAGCTTAGGCTAGCCAACTATCATCTTTCATTCAGTTCTAGCTGAATGAAAGCAATTCTGCTGGTGAATCACAGTTCTTCCGATGCAAAACCATCTGATGCAGAAATCGTTGCAAGAGGATGAAGATCGAGCGTATCGGAGCGTATCGGGTCGAATGAAAGAACGGGTATTGGAATCAATCGTATCGTCAAGCTGGGTTTTCGACGGAGTCGCTGTTCGAGAACATAGGCGCGGCCGTGAACGATGGCGGGAGAACGAGTCGCAGAGGAACGGAGGAGGGTCGGCGCAGGCGGGAGGGGGGCTAGAATCGTTGCAGATGTATTCCATCCGCCGTTTCCTTGGCGCGCACCTGTGTAGTAACAGCAGGTACCTCTCAGTTCTTGGGGCCCAGCCGATGCCGCAGAGCAATTAGATGTATGTGATGCTGTCGTAGGACAGCAACACTGGTGATCGCGGGTGAGTCGCGGTAGGGGCGGCGAGTCGTCTGCGGGAGGGTCGAGGGCCGAGAGTCGATGGGGAAGGCTGCATTTTCCGTAGACTTCTAGCTCTCCGGTGACAACGCTCTTGAGTTCTCAAAGCCCATCAGGGTCACGCATCGCCGTCGCGGGATGGGTTGGTGGGGTCTTGCAGCGGGGAAGGCATCTTGGGTTGTCGCAGGGAGCGGACAATGTGAAACAATAAAGGAAGACTAGGCGAGGACGTCGAACTCGAAAGTAACAGCGGGAAAATAAACCATCAGGAAGGCCAGGGGCGGTCAGGTACTCTTTGGCGAACGCATCTTGAGCACGAAATCGATTCGGTTTGGGATCGAGGCGTCGAACGCTAAATCTTCGGAGGTCAGGTGTTGCGACAAGTGACTCCTTGTCGGCGGGACAAATTCTTGTCGTTGAAAGACTGGCTGGTCCTGGATTCGAGCACAGGAGGAGCGCAAATGTACTGAGATGTTGGTCGAGGTCCAGACAGTTGATTGCTCTTTCGAAAATGGAGACCATGTACGGAGTACGGGGAGCTCGCGCCACAGGGCGCCACACTCACTGGCCTGTGGCGCTCTCTCCAAGTGGATCTGCGCAATGCCAAATCCTCCACCCGCCCAACTTCAAACGACCACCATGAGCGCAAATGACGAGATAAAAGAATAAAACTAAGTGCAATCGATTCCTTTCAGTTCAAAGATCAAAATCAATATTTGGAATTCACGAAAAAAGAAACTCCTGCGAGGGGACTCGAACCCCTAACTTTCAGATCTCCTTATTGTAAAAGTCTGACACGCTAACCAATTGCGTCACGCGGGATGCTTGACTTATTTGGTATCCCCTGCTCAAACTTTGGAATATAACCATGACAACTGCAGGACATGGTAAGTTATTTCACTATTCTCTCAATCTTCCTCGCCTTGACTACAGTATTCTTAGCAGTCAGAATTGAAGAAATTATTTTCTCCCTGCCCTTAGTGTAGTTATAAAAATCAGAATATCTTAGGCTGTTTTATCGAACGATTTGTTGTGGGATGTCTGTGAGATTGTAAAAAACAGGACTAAAATACCCTGCAGGCTGAGTGTATACCACAATTGAACTTTGATGACTGGCTGAAGGAATAAGATCCATGTATATACATCAATTGGAATCAATTTTTACTAACCAGATGTGAGAAGACAGGCTGATTCAGGCGGCTGAATTCCAGGCGCGAAGTCGGCAAAGGCTTGATTCATCAACGCCTTATTGCAAAGCTGTCTTGTTGGAATTTTCAGAAGCGGATGTACTCAAACAACTGGAAGAAGCTTACAGCCCAAGCTATCCCCATAGAGTTGAAGATGACACGACGTGCCTTCAATTCCTCCTCGAGATCAACCCGTCTTCCAACCTTGATGGTAACATTATTTCCACTGGCCTCGACAAGCCAATCATCTGAGCCAAAGATATCGCAGAGTGCATCTCTGAGCTTGTCTGGCCTACAGAAACGCTTGACCGGGAACTCATGTCTGAACACGAGCTTCTCAGTGTCCACAGCATGCTTGTTGCTACATTTAGTGGTAGTAGTAGGCATTGTGTCGTAATGTTGGACTTTTTATTTGATGGAGTTGTTTACTTGGATGGAGTGTATGGGGATGACAATTTGGGTTCTTGGGGGCCTTTTATAGGGAGCCTTGGAGACGAAAGGCAGCCAACATTGACACTGCTTGACAATACGTGCGGTTCACTTGCTGAAGGAACTCATGATAAGAGCATCAATCTGCGCTGATACGGAAACTTCACGGGACACAAGACTAATCTATCCCTGAATTATGACTCGTTGACAGATACCAGCCATCAGTTGGACAACGATGTGCTTCCGTATATCAGCAGCGAATGTCTGAAGTACTTGTCGCGCATTAACGACATCAATTAATAGCAGTGTTTAAAGAAAGGGACCATGTTGACGTCCCTCATGACCGCAATGACCTCTCTGAATAGACCGCTGTCAGTGGTCCGGTGGAAATCTTGAAGGCGATCAAGATTGGTTCTTAAAGGCATCTATCTGCTTTCCTTTGATGGGGCTAGTCTTAAGTTTCGACGATCACATTCTCTGAGCATGGTGATGCTCGACCCAGCAAAGATAATGAAACGAAAGGACTCCAACGGTCAAGTATAAATAGACCTACAACCCCGAATATTTCTCATGCCAAAAACATCAACACAACCAAACCTCTACATATTACCAACATCAACTAAAAACATAATCATGCTTTCTGGATCCTGTTCCAAGACCGATCAGGGAGCCGCTGAGTGGTCCTGTGACCATAACATCGAACTTGACCTCATCAACAACCGGCGAACATTTGAAGCCGCCTTGAGAGTCATTTACCCTCTTGGGTTTAAGGTAAACTACAAGTACAGTCCCAATACCTGCCATGTTACTGCGCTTGCGAAAACCCCAGAACCAGCCGACCTGCAGAGAAAGCTCCAAGATGTCGGTGCTATTCTTCAGGGCTGAGAAAAATGGGAGCTGAAATGGATGGCCCATTATCGCGCGTAGGGAAGAGAAGCGTGCAGCAAATGCCATTTTGAGATGCCGAAGGTTTTGAGCTACCAAGAAGAATTATTCACATAGGAATGGCATAAGTTAAACCACCATAAATGACGAGTGAAAGAAGTGATGTTGAGAGATGTTTAAGTTAGGCCAATAGTCACACCAAGATCTCCGTAGTCACAGCGAATCTACAATAAGATGTGAATCGAGAAGTGAACGAATCTGAAAAGCCGAGGAAGCGTGAAACCACTTTGTTATGGATGTTCTGAGCCCGTGCAAGCTTCGAAGTTCCGGGACAGTGATGGTAATGTTTCCCAAAGGTCGCGACAACTTCGAATTGGAAACAGCACTGAAAATACCACGGGAGCAGTATGCTCTAGATAGATAGAGATGAATAGATACTAATTCTGTGCGGTGAATATCAGCTCTCAGTCTCAACTATAAATAACACAAAACTAAACAACAACCGATATCAAAACAGTATACAACTATCTATATGAAGGGCACATCTATTACAACTGCTATACAGCAAAAATGGCTGCAGAATCCAAACTAGGAGATAACACAATATGGCACACGTTTACAAGATATATCCCAGAATGTTTTGTTAGCGACTATTCCAAACTGGAGAAAGGCTTGAAGGAATTCTTCCCTGGCGGAATTGATGTCACATTTGAGAAGGAAACCGCAGATCATGTAGCACATTACAAGGTTATCGGGCTCCGAGACAGTCTCGATAACATCAACCTACAGAAATTCCTCACGGACGGTGAATATGTTTTACGGGATTGAGCGCGGAGCTAAAGACGGGGGAGGCAATAGTAAGGCAGGCAGGCCACCATAGGAGAGACTTCGTCATTCTTTAGAGTTGACGTTGCATAGCCATATGCTGCTGAGTTTACCTCGGTCAACGATATAATTTGAAGTTTTAGTATCTCAGGGATTTAGTTAAGGGAAGCAGGTGATATCAGAGGAGCTCTGAGCAGAAGACAAGGGAGCAAGTGATGATGCTTGAAAGATTATGCACATAGCACGCACGTTTGTCGTGAATGACCCCTTAAATATGCGCAAAGAAGCTTCTAGACCAGTGAACTACAAGACTATTCACTTTTGAGAAGTAAGGGGTCGCTGTTCACGGCCCAGGGATCGTGAAATGTGCTTGTCGAAATGGTAGTGACAATGCAACGGGCAAAGTGTATTGAATATAGATCGCGGCGACGAGTCAGTTGAATGACCGGCCAAAGAGGAACAAAACGTGACCACATATCCATTGAACAATTACACTCCAAATACTCAAGAACGATATCCCCCACAGTCAAGATGTCCCGAGACTCTACTATCGGAAACAAAGATGAATACAAGCCATGCACCAAGTTCATCCCTCGCAATCTCGTTGATGAAAAAAAACAAAAAGGCTTTAGAAGAAACGTTGCTCAGCTTCTTTCCTGGTGGAGTAGTCATGACAAGGACAGTGGTTGGGGAGCTTTATAAGATAGAGGGACTTGTGCTCAAGGGTTCAGAGGATTTCAGTCTGCTGGAAAAACTGCAGGACCTTGATCTCCTCATGAAGGAATGAGAGACAGGGGTGAAGAGGTGGAGATACTGGGAGGGGAGTGTCGTGATGGAAGGCCAGAAGGAGAGAGGCTGTATTCATAGCACTACATAGCTGTATTTGGTCAGAACAAAGAGCTTCGGTCGGGCTGCAAACGAAGGCGAAGTAATAATGTTTTGTTTGATAAGATCATTGTAGGTGCCAGAAATGTGAATGCTACTTCAACGAAAAAGTGTTAGCTGAGTAGGTATGTCCAACACGTTTCCCAGAGGATGGAAGACTCACCTGAGTAGTGAAGCCATTGCAAAGAGCACTTGAGGAGCAACTACAAAAGTTCCGAAACTCGTGTTAGCTGAGAGGCCATTTTGCAAGGATTCACTCTCGAGAAGTGCAGAGACCGTAATCACCGCGCTTTCGAGAGTGATGATATGTCTCAGAGCCCCGTGAAATGACTACAGTCTGAAGGTTGTTCATTGACTTAGGGCTGGTAATCACACCCCCAAATGAGTGTGACAAGTGTCTGTTGTAATGGCAGCGAAACCACCACGAGCTGAAGATTAACTATAGAAAGAGGCGATTCGCCAGTCAATTAGCTAGACACTCAGTAGACGTCTGCAACACTACATCAAACCTATCACAACTTCACATTCATATTCACTACTTGCAACCATGCCTGCAGACTCCGGTTCAGCAGATCAAGAACCCGAGACTTGGGGCAGTCAAATTAAATATGTCCCCGTTCGTCTTGTCAAGGACGTGAACAGTTTCAAAGCAGCATTGAAGAGACACTATGGTGAAGGAGTGACGCACCCTATCAAGGGCTCACACACAGAAGAGGCCGTCTATGAGGTTAAAGCACCCAAAGCGAATACAGGACCCACAGATCTGGTGAAGACTCTCCAGGAGGAGGATGTCCTTAAGAAAGAGGGATGAAGGGGGAGAAGAAGACGTCCAACATCATGGGTTCCGTCGCTGAGGGAGGGGAGATATAGCAGCTGACACGTTTGCTATCTCAGGTACAATGAGACAATGCGATAAATTATTGACTCTTTTAAACTGAAGCCTGCGACACCGAAGTGAAGTGATGATGTAAGGTGATTTGTTTGTCCAGACCACCAGAAAGGGTGAGGCTGTGAATAGCTGCTTCAGAAACCTGTTCGCTCTCGAGAAGTGAGGGTAATTGTGCGCTGTATATTGCGATGGTAGTGACACCAACATAGCCGCCTATTAATTACATCGACGTATTAGAAAAATGAAATAATAACCAACATCATAACCCACTCATAGCATAGCCACTTATACGACATACCCTTTAATTAGAACATCTATAGAACAATGGCGACTTACGGGTCTCAAATTCATGACATCCCCATACGACTTATTGGCGACGAGAGTGCTTTCGAAAGAGCCGTAGAAGCCATTTATCCGAATGGTGTCACGTTTACATATCACAGAACAGGGACTGCCGCTTCGCCATGGCCAGTATGCAATGTTCAAGCGAATTCAAGCACTGGACCAGCCGATCTCGTCAAGCACCTCCAGGACGCTGAGGTTATCATGAAGGAGTGATGGAGTCATGGGAATATAGGTGGAGAAAATGCAAAGAGGACCTCAGAGGACAAGGAGGGCAGATATGGCAAGAAAAATGCTGTGGCTATTCTAATAATTTAAAGGAGCTCTGAATAGTTGATTCAATAGATTAAGCCATTCTCCCTCAATATGAAGGCTAAGAAGAAGTGATATTGTCTTCTGATAGGCTGAAAGCACTAAGTTCTGTGTAGTGATTATAAGCTCTCAGCCACAGGCCTCAACCGCAAGTCACACGTCTAAGGCTGAAAGCATGTAGCAGAAAAGCAGAGAGCTGTGAGTAGAATCTGCAGTGCAAAAGTGATTACAACCCGTTCATGAAAGTAGAGTGAGCTAACACGACTTTAATGCTCAAAAACCATCTTACTCGCGTCCCTTTGGGACTCACGTGGACCAAAGCCATATAGAGTTTGGAATATTAGGGCACAGCTTACGAATGGTACAATGCAAGCATTCTACGTAATTGAAGTGGCCCTCTTATGGACAATTACTCATCATTAAGCAGTCGTTAGGCAGGCGTATCAATAGTTGCTTGATGGTAAACTGGCTCGGAATGAATGAAGAGGAAAATGACGCAGAACTCATCAAGAAGCGGACTGAACAAGGTGAGGTATTATTCTGGGCCACCAATCAACAGCATGAGAAGCGGATTAATGATTTATGCAATATAGAGGATGAAGATGGGCTCTAACTTCTGCTTCTTACACACAGAGACGAGGAGACTTGCCATAGATTTTGCCATTTGTCACTGAGAGCTGTGGCTGACTTGGCCACGAAAGGAATGGGAAGCAGCTGGACGGGAGATGGGGGCACTGGAAAAGTGTCCCCAATTGGAAAAAGGTCCTAAGTTTGATGGGGAATGTGCCCAAAGTGTCAGTGGAATGGAAGACTGCTGAAAGACAAATCATGGTTCTGCCAGACTTCCTGCACGCGTGAGTCTGCCAGGCTGTGGCCTAGGTCTAACTTGCCGAGATATCGATAGCGTTTACTTCGTTAAACTTAACGGTCTTGTCGTCTTGTAGCATGATGAGTGCTTGGTTAAATGAGTCCATTTGTACGACGGCCGTATGATCACAAGGTTCGTCCACAATTTCAATGTGTATTATGCTTGCAACACGAGTTCGAAAAAGCCCTAACTTAATTTCCAGGGGAATAAATATGCGTGTACTCGCCGATCAAAAAGCTGCCACTAAAAAGTCCTCTCTTTTCCAAACAAGTACGCTACAGGATGATGATTTTCAACTTGTTCAATATCGCCATCTTGACCCTCGGCAACCAAGTGTTCGCGACACCTGTCCTGGGCGACAACACACTTCACGCTCGCAGCCCCCCTCCACCACCTCCCCCCCAGCCTCCTATCCCCCCAGCACCTCCAGCAACCACCACAAACAAGTCAACTGTAGAGATTCACCCACGTATTGCCCCCCAAGTCGGCCCTATCCCGAAAATCCACCTTGTCCCAAGGCACCAGCTCGACAACTTCGCCGGCAAACCCGTCCCTCCACATCGACCACACCAACGGCGCGACCTTCCAGACATCGGCAAGGTGGCCGCCTACCCGTTCGGCAAACTACCAGACTTCGTAAAAGACAACAGGTATGAATGGAATAACATACAATACCCCGCCTATTCCTTCGGGAGGGTTCTCCTGGGCGCAAAGTCATATGCGAACGCTCTGCCGAGAACTTGCAGTGGCTCTTTGGTTGGTCCACGACACGTCTTGATAGCTAGGCACTGCTTCGGGGATAAATTAGCCGACAGTATTTCATTTGAATCCAACTTTTTTGAGGGCCGGAGCGGAGGGAAATCGCACGCGACGGACGTCATCACTCTGGACGGCCTAGAATGTCAAAAAAAGCCCAAAGATGGAGAAGAGAAATTTAATTGTGCACTCTTGAACGACTGGGCTATCTTGATCCTCGCGGATCGAATGGGTGAGACACACGGGTACCTCGGAGTAAAAGAATTCGATACAAAGACACTGATGAACAAGCAACCATTTGTGAGTAAAAGAGAACAGAACAAATGAATCAACACTAATGTTAAGTAGTCACACGTGGGATTTCCTAATAAATTCTTGTACGATAAAGGAAAGCCTTTGAGGCAGGATGGAATAACAGTGGAGAAATGTTATACCTCTTGCGACATTCCTGGCGACCGGCTGTTGACTGACGCAGATTGCCAGTGCGGAGCATCAGGAGGACCCTTGTTTCGAATGGAAGATGGGCTAGCTTGGCAGTATGGGGTGGCGAGTTCACGTTTTTGGGACCTCAAAAAAAGCCAGACTCCTCCGGATAGGTGTGCTTTTGTATCGAGCACCAAGTTTATCACTGCAGTTGCTATGGCGCGACAGCAGTTTCCTTAGTATCTCTGGCAATCGGTATGCTGTTAGCAAGATAGCTACGTAACTGTATGCGAGAAGATGGAACTTGATAAATCGCGTCGATTGGCCAACGAGACCTCCCTGCTTTATGGCTTATTTAGTCTGCGATGTCGACGCAGCGGTCTTAGCGGGCGTCAAGAGCGCCCTATCAAGGCAGTGACAATGGAAGATATGATGAGAGTAAGAGAGTGAGATAATGGAATCAGGGGATGAACCTTCTTGCACACCTTTACGCACCTGCGAAACAAGCCAGTGGTCGTGGCGAGCTGAACTAGACGTGTTCAGACCCCTGAACAGGTAAACAGGCCCAGAACAACCACTGATGGCGACGGAACACTACACTACTGGCACTAGGACGGTGATCACATCATGGAACCTGGTTTGTGTGACTGCAGAGACCTCTGACACCCAATGAGCGAGAGTGGCCAAACATCTAGCTCTCTACGAAGGAGGGTTGCTGACTCCCTACGGTCACAGGGCCTGAGCATCTAGGATGGCAATAAGCCACTGAACAAGGGTGAAAAACGAGCTGCAGCATCAGTACGTGCCAGCTGACTGCTGAAGATGATGAGAGCATCTTCAGCACATCGTTGATGTCGTCGAAGGGCACTTCGATATGAAGCCCTTGGTCCTTGTGACTTGACGAGACTCATGCTACCATTCAAGAAGACTGCCTTCAGACATAAAGGAACTGACCGCTATGAAAGATGGCTGTATTATTGGATACAGGCTTCTGTATCGTGAAGGCTGCGCGTCAGGAGTGGTGAAGGATTGCGCGACCACTAGGTTCCCCCTAAACACAATCACATATCGACGGGCAACCCGGCCACCCACCATGGAGCGCGGTGATGGGTCGAGAAGACTTTGTGGCTTGCATGGCATCCAAGTTGTGAATGTGCCGTAAGTTGGAGGGTAACATGCACTGCTTCGACATCTCAGCTCGGAGTCTCGAACATGGAACTCACATTAGGCAGCGCCACTCGAGTAGCCCCTGGCGGGCATTCTATCCAAACTTGAGTATTGCGAGAAGAAACACCGAGAGGACCGTACTTGAAAGATATTTGAGGTGAGGAGCCTCTTCCTTGACATGATGTGAACTCCCGTTGAGAGCTGAAGATATTAGAATCCTAGAGGCGAGCTTGCGTATTTATAATGAAAGACTTGAATAGAAAAACCCTGATTTAAGAGATGAAATCCGAAAGAACCAAGCAATGCGCACGACGCATATCCACTGGTGGACGATCTCGGATGCAACCGCTTTTCTTTTGCTCCATTGATGTACATCGTAAGACGCATAGACTTGCTACCACCAAACATCAACAGTCTGCTCTGAGCCTAGTTCCCCAGGGCTTCTTGACTCCTATGTCTGACAGATGAGTGGAACTTCCATATCACCATGATTTCCAACCAGGCTTTGCCTTGGCAAGCGAGAGAATCGGAATACTGAGCCGTGTTATTATCTTGACCTGAATCCAGGCGAGGCTTGATAAGAATTGAAATGAGGCCAACCTATCACATCACCAAGTTAGAATGAGCTTCATCAGCCTTCATCGGGAAGAGTAGGATGTCAAACTTCCCCAAGTTCAAGCCAAGCCGTCATTCCCCAACTCATATCTATGTGATAACATGCATTATTGTTGGCGCTATCTCCCCTTGCTTCTTGGCCTCGGTTCCGACCCCATCCGTACCACGAGAGCTGAATCCCCGTAGTACTGGCGGGATCCCAATAGTAGCCCCCGAGACTCTTTTCCCCAAGAAGCCAAGCGAAATCCACGCTATACGACGCTGAATCTGACACCAGAGCCTCATCGGATGAAATAGGAACCCAAGCGCATTCCAAACACCTTCCAGCAACCAATCTACGGAAATGTACATTTCTCCAAGGTCGCATTGCGTCTTTCAACCCTGGAGCAATAGAGTTCCGTCTCAAGGATGACGTGCCAAGAATACGAGTCCCCGTAAGCATCCGAAGTCCAAACCAACAGCATACTCAGACCAATCCAGTAATTGCGCCGATGGCTTCGCTTAGAAACACCGTTAATAAACTGTCTGTGCTCATCATCCCCAGTTATCACAGTGAGATACCCTTGCGGGGTAAGCTAATCACTCCCCGTTCTGGCTGAAATAGCTGATATCTAGGAAAAGCTAAGACTAAACCCCAGAGCGAACCAACGCCATAAAGTGGAACAACGTCACAGCGCATTTGGGGATGGTGCAGATCCTGTAAGACACCAATCACCAAGCGGTGAATCCTTCGAGAAGACGTCTAGTGGGAGATCCTGTCGAAAAGAATCCGGGAAGGCGGGCTATCTCGAGCCTTTCATTTGACACTGAAAAATGAGGAGCGGGCGTCGAGTCGATAGTGCAGGCGGCTACTGGAATGTTTGTCTGAATAGGGCTAAGCACATACATGACTAGAATGCATTAAGAAGCGGCAATTCTTCTAGAAAACAACTTGGTTGCAAGATCAGCGTGCTTAAAACCAACCCTAGCATCATTTCACCGGCGTATCACTGGATAATTACAGTGGCGGAGCATCGTTAGTGGAGTGTTAGTGAAGTGCTAGTGCAAAGTTCGCGGAGTAGACAGCCCCCAACCCCCTCAGCGGGCAAGATCCCCCCGCAGATATGACACTCTAGCTGTTGGACTAGAGCGGGAATCTTCGGAACGGTCTGGACTCGCCAAGAGGGGGTTCTGATACAGGCGCTACGATGTTGTGATGCAATGCTCCGAATTTCTAGGCTGCGAGTTTTGGTGCGAGGGGTTAGGGTGGTATTCGTGACCCAATCTCTGGCACATCCCTGTTGATGCTGTGAGATGGGCTTACGGTTGCATTGAGCAGCCCACATGCCGTACTTTAGGTAGCTGTATTATTGTCATTGCGTAAGTTTGATAGCGCAACGCTGGGGGAGATTGAAGGCTGAATCGACGATTCACTTACAGCTTGTTATCTCTTGGAGGTGATTCCAATAATGAGGAGAGCAGCCAAGGTGACTCCTCTCCTTGGCCAAAAAGGGTGCGGAGGCAGCCAAGTAGACTAGTCAGCGGAGTAGCCAAGCCAGTCTCTCCCTTCAACATGCGGAGACAACTACCACCCTCACTCTTGGCCAACAACTAGTGAATCATGCAAAACGATACAAATTACCAAAACAATCATCTAACAACTTACTCTCTCTCATCGTGAGCTGCAATGACGCGGGGGAAACGGTACTTACTTCTGAATCCCTGCTGCTTTTACCCCATGTCTACTCCGCAACCTTAACCGTTAAGCTTAATCTCCTTCCCTGTTCGGTATGGCCTTGTTGCTGCGGGCGTACAGTTCTGGAAATCCCGCACTCTTAGCGGTGGGGAACAGACTTGGAGTTCTCGTCTACCTGGCTAGCTTGGTTTGTTAATGTGAGGGCTGATTTGGAGGTCTTCAGGGAGGCAGTGCATTGCGATATTCCCCAATAAGAGAGAAGACTAACGGCTCGTGACGATAACGCCACTGAGGTTGACCATTCTTCTAGAAGAAAAGAAGCATTCTCTAGCTGAATAACTCAAAGCTTAATACGTTCTCGTGTGAAATGCAACCTGTTAAACGCTCGGAACTACTATCCATAATGGTTTAACCCATCTTGGCACCGTTTTCTAGCGCTGTGATAAACCTGCTCGTATACTAGAAGCGCAGACCATCTGTTGATCAAAGACACACAACACCATGACAGTGTTGTCAGCTAGTTCATCCCTGTTTTCGCAAGACGAGTACTACCCCAAGTTCTTGGCGAGGTTCCACACGGGCTATTAGGTCTAGACCAACTTAATCTCTACTTCCCAGATCTGCCCTCCGAATTTCACGTCTACGGCATTGCCGACTCCTACTCTGCACCCCGCAATGCGGGGGATGGTCAAGGCCATGGGGAACTTGGGGGATGATCACTGCATCCCCAGGTTTCGGTCGCTGTCAAGAAATGTCTATATAACTGTCCCTGAAGCGCCCACTATTTTGTTCTCATCAAGGCAGTCGATCGCTTTGACTACCCAACTACCTCTTACATCTTATAAACTTCTTCTTGACTTGTAATCCATCATGGCTCAACGTGACGACAAGACCGACATCAGGGACGTCGAGCCCCAGATCTTTCAGAATGAGTATCCTGAGAAGGCAATCCCTCAAGTTGAGAAGATTGATTACTCTGGTGCTCATGAGAAGACTGATCCCAAGGAGATTGCTCTTGTGAAGAAGCTTGATCGATGGATGATGGTGAGTGACTGATTACTGATACAAAGGAGATAAGTGTGCTGACGTTGATAGCCTATGCTTTGGAGTATGTACTGGCTCAACTATCTTGATCGCAATGCTATTGCTCTTGCGCGTCTGAATGATCTTGAGGAGGATCTTAACCTCAAGGGAACTGGTAAGCCCTACCATCACATCTTCAAGGTCTTGACTAACAATGTGCAGAGTACCAAACCTGTGTTTCTATCCTCTTCGTCGGTTACATCCTTGGCCAAATCCCCTCCAACATGTTCCTCACTCGCACCCGCCCCTCTCGCTACATGGTAAGCTGCCTCTCTCCCATTCACTCCCGGGTACAAAAAGACTAACCCTTCAGGGTATCATGATGATGCTCTGGGCCGTCGTCAGCGCCCTCACTGCCGTCGCAAAAGACTTCAAGGGTCTCCTCCTCACCCGCTTCTTCCTCGGTCTTACCGAAGCACCCTACTACCCCGGCGCCGTCTACCTCCTCTCCATCTTCTACACCCGCAAGGAGGTCGCAACCCGCATCGCCATCTTGTACACCGGAAACATCCTCGCCACTGCTTTCGCTGGTCTCATCGCTGCTGGTATCTTCCACGGTCTTGATGACGTCGCTGGCATTGCTGGTTGGAAGTGGCTCTTCATCCTCCAGGGTGCTGTTACTTTTGTGATTGCTGTTATTGGCTACTTTGTCCTCCCTGATTTCCCTCTTACTACTCGATGGTTGACTGAGGAGGAGAGACAGTTGGCGCATAACCGTATGGAACTCGATACTGTGGGTAACAAGGGTGAGACCAGCACCTGGAAGGGTCTTCAGCAGGCTGCCAAGGACCCTATGGTTTGGATCTTCTGTGCCATGGCTCATCTCCACTTGGCTGCCAACGGCTTCAAGAACTTTGTAAGTCTTTCAATCCCTCAATTTGGGTCAACTACTAACAGGTTAGTTCCCCACTGTCGTCAAGACTCTCGGCTTCAACACCACCATCACTCTCGTCCTCACATGCCCTCCCTACCTCATCGCCGGCGCCAGCACCATCCTCGTCTCATGGATGTCAGGAAAGTACAATGAGCGAACCTGGCACATCACCGCCTCCAAGACCGTCGCAGTCATCGGATTCGCCTCTGCCGCCGCTACTCTCAACACAGCCGGTCGCTACGTCTGCATGGTCATCTTCACCATCGGAACCTACGCTGTCAACAGTCTCATCCTCGGATGGTGTGGCTCTGTCTGCGGTCAGACCAAGGAGAAGAAGGCTGTTGCCATCAGCATGGTTACTATGATCATGAACATTAGCTTCATCTGGACTCCTTATCTCTGGCCTTCTAGTGATGAGCCCAGATATGCTATTGCCATGTCGAGCAGTGCTGCTTTCAGTATTGGTACTGCTGCGCTTGCTTGGGTTGCTAAGATTATTCTCAAGAGGCGAAACCAGAAGCTCCGTGCGCAGGATAGCGAGACTGAGGTCTTTTATGTCTACTAAAAGACATTGGATGATGAAATGATGATTTGAAATCGACCAGAGTTTATGGAAGAATGGTAGGATTTAAGCAGGAATCGAAGGATATAGAGATGGTAGAGTAGATATGTCAATACTTGGTCTCTTTCGCAATATCAGACTGCTTCACACAATCATGCCTCCCCAGTCTGACGTGCATGTTAGTTACTCAAGACGAATCAATTACCTGCGACACAAACTGAGTTGATCAGCCGAAGTGAAGCAAAAATGATGCAATTAATTGTCGATAAAAAATAACATGGCTTAAAAGTGCAAAAGGTAACTCCGGTACAGGGAATCGAACCCTGGGCTCCGCGGTACTGATCTCTCAGGTTATGAGAGCGCGAAATGTTAGCCACTACACCATACCGGATTAGATGGCTGATTATACTTTGGCGTTCGGAACTACGCAATAGAAATGCCAAGCAATCGGCAGAGTACCTGTCCGAGAAATTGGCTCCAGTAATGTTTTCACAGCTGCCCCATATGTCCAGCGACACCTCGCGAAAGGCACTTGAACAGGACATTTGGTGCGTTCATTCTGGTGAGCGAAGACCTGTGCGACCTACGCCAAAGCCAATGCCTCCGTGAACTGCGAATTAGCATGAACTCGAGGGACATCGATAAGGGCTTTCGTGTTCCTGGTCAACTCAGGTCATGGTGATCAGGCAGTCGTACTTGCGCCAGCATGATAGTGGTATAGAAGATAATCTTGGTGTACTCGGTTGTTAGCCTGTTAGTTCGGTCGAAGTTGATATGGCATTGATCAGTTAAGACGAAGGACAGAAAGATAGCGGCATGAGAGTTCACAGGCAACTCGGTAAGAGCAAAAGAAAAGACTGAACATAGTTGAAGACGAAGAAGATGTTAAGTTGATAGAATGATTTGCCATGTGAGAAGATTAGACGACCGATGATGTTTGTCATTTGTGCCATCTCTGGGACTATCTGCAATACAGAAGAATTGAAGTATGAGACTTTATATCGTATGTTCTTCACCGCAATGCTCATACCAATGTCCCTGAGTCCTGTTCAAGCCTGCACTGCCATAAAATCTCTCGACTGAGGTGTTCAGTGTGAAGCTTCAAGAAACTTGTCACTACAAGTGAACATCACAACCGTCTCTCCTCATGCCATGGGCTATATTGATCCTATTCTCAGAAGCAACTTCTGGCCATCTTCAATCATGGATGGTTCACCATCACAAGGCCTCAGATGGCATATGAGACTGGCAGACCAGGCAGCGGCCCCAGCCCTGCATCATGTTCCCATCCACTGCCAGCTTCACCCAACGACCTGGCAAACAAACACTCGAGCCACTGCTAGTGGCAATGGACACTCTCCCTTCTCCCACGTTCTGGGTCTCTTATTAGTTCACACTTCAAATCCGATCAACTCTTCCTTTTTCTTCCTCCACACACCAACATCATCCCCAAACGTATCACGCGCAACTGACTACCTTATCCTTCCACCAACAATTTCTTACTTCCTTCTTCTATCATCAAGAGTCTTGGGGTAACAAGGGAACTTTCTTATCTATCACATATCAGAGTTGAAGACTTCCATTATATTAGCTCTTGGTATCACAGGACCTGTCCGTCAACTTACTTAACTCAAGGAACAGAACCAACTCTCTCAGAGTACCACCCATCAACGATTACCTCTTCCTTTACACAGTATCATCCTCTTCGATCTCAAACACGTACAATTTTACCTAGTCTCATTTGCAGGACACAAAGTCTTCTGTAGTATCTTGCTATTTCCACGGAAGACGTTTAGTTATCACATGCCACATCGCTGTTGACTTTGGAGAATTGTCCACAACTTCCTAATCAATTCGTTTCCGCATCTGAACGTCAACGATATCCCCCTCTTGGCTCTACCGAAAACTTAACGTCTTCCTCCTCGCGACAATCGCCTTCGTTTGATCACGCCACGCGTTCGGCACAGACTTCTCACTAGCAAACTTTTACCCTTCTTCCATCTACGCACCAAACGAACCATTTTGCCTACGATTTGACCTTGAGATCTACACCTCGATATCAACAGCACCACCAACGAAAACCTCCAATCCGCATCACAGTAAGTCATCATTCTTTATCAGTTTAACTTGATATCATCCTCATACACAACTTGTCGTTTCCCGTGTCATATTTAATACTAACTCTCTCAGATGCTGTTTCCGTTTTCTCAACTCCCCATGGAGGTCAAGGTAGAAATCTTGCGCTACGTACTCCCACCGATGGCTAGCCCAGTGGATCACGGAATTCACCCACAGGCCGCTTACGTCGCCGCAGAGAATCTAATGTGCGTGTCCAAGGAATTCAAGCAGGTGGTTGAAATGGTTCACTGTATCAAGGCCGTCAACAACGACGATGGAAAGACGAAATTTACCATGGATCCCATGCGGGATACTCTAGTTGTGTTTTGGATGGCGCTTCCGAATCCGAACCCGAACAATTCATGGATTCAGTCCATGAAGGTGGCGGGCTACGAAGTTGACGACAACGCCCTACCAATCCGTCGTCTGATCGCCCATAGCCCATTCCCTATGCAGGCCCGGTCACAGGACCCCTCCGGATTTAGTAAGTCATGAACAACCGTCAATGAAAAAATCGCTAATGTCGATAGTTTCCCGAACCAACCGAGCACAAACCGTTGCGAACACTCTTCGGTGGTTAGACGTGCCTTTCGAGACGGAGCTTCCTATGTTCTCTCACTTTCCTTTCTTGGAGGAAGCCGTAGTATCAGTCTCAATGATGAACCGAATGTGGCATATTTCCGGATTCCAAATGGAGGGCCCGGATGTTGTAGCACCACGCGAAAACGGCGAGTCGTGGGGCCTCAACCGTGTTATGCCTCACAATCGTGCTGCCTCGCGATACTTCAAAGCTAAGGGTATTGAGGCTGACACAGGAATCCCTTGGGAGTTCCCACCCTCTGTCTTTTCCACCAACCACGGATGCCTTATCTCGCAGCCAGAAGATATCGCTTCGCATGTTGATCAGAACGCTGTCCTTATGCAACCGCTAGACCGGCCATTCATTGGGCTATATGGGTATAGTCGCGGTACTCGCTCACTGGGAGGCAAATGGGCTGGCTTCAGCTACCACACACATACCCACAAGGTCCAATTCACCCCGCTGGCATGGCACGAAGTCGAGCCGATTGTGCATCGGCTGGGCTACAATCATCACGCGGTCAGCCGTCAACTTCCTGGCGGAAGTGATCCCCAGTTCATCGCTCGCGTCTGGATCATTCGGGAGGGAACAGAGCCGAAGAATGAGCCACATCACTGCTGGGTAGATGTAAAGGAGCCCGAAGAATACGACGAGCCTATGGTGATGCAGATCGCTACCACCTAGAAGATGGTGCGAGATACACTTCTTCGTCGACATGAAAATGGGCGTTACTATCTGGATATGAACTGAGGGAATCTCAGGAGCATATTGTCATGTGAGGGGTGATGAAAGAGGGTAGCATTGGCTGTTGAGGTACACTTGCATCGAATGAATGCTCTAGAGAGACTGGGATAGGAGTTTTAGGATGAGTCGGAGTCCATGTGCCAAGGAGATTTACTGACAGGAGATAAAGGTACGGGTATTGGCGTCTAGGATAAGGTTTGGGAATGAGAAAGTTCTTTTTGGGTGGACTCTTTCGTGGTAGGGTTATCTGTCTTTCCTGTATGAATCTTGTTTAGCATAGCTCTTCCTAGCCCATCACTTAGAGGTGGACATTGGCCTAGATTTGAGGATAGTGTAATTCATATGAAGATAGCAAATACTATGGAAAAACCAGGAGAAGATTTAGTGCTTAATAGCTGCGCTTTATGCCAGGTTTACCAGCGATTGACAGGATAAGGAGTTCTAGGAGACTATGGTTTATATCTGGTGGTTTTAATTTATGGATGGTGGCTCTAAGCGAATATCATGTCTCCCGGATAGACTAATACATTTTGCAAAAATGCCACCAGTCCTGTAATTTTTGATACGAGGTAGATAGTAAATACCTTGGACTACTTATTAAGCCTCGTGGTTAATTTTTCAACGTTCGAGTTTTAAGCCCAAAAGGTCTCTTCCAGGAGCCTTGCCCTCTTGGAACCCACCATTATTGGATGGATAAAGCCCAAACAATTCTCCTTACCAAAATATTTACAAACTCCTTTGGATCCTGGGCAGAACGCGACACAGGTCCGAAGCAGCCGAAGGGTTGGACTTTGAAGGAGCTATCTGGCCTACTGTCAGAGATAATCACAATACCATGAACCCTTCGATGGCTTGTTCAGTCGATGCTGAGGCCGGAGATCCTCAGTCCAGCGACTTCAAGCATGGGAAACAACTCCCCGGAGTGCTATCAGCGCATAATAGAGAGCGCCCTGAACCGCACAGAGGCTGCAGGTCGCATGTCCAGTCCCCGATCTTCTATGGCTCATCTTTCTCTCCATTGATCTCGACATCACACGTTCCAGTCGTCAAAGATCGTTATGAGTGTATATTCTCCCTTAATACTGCGGCACTACGAGCAAGAGGCCGAGTCTTCTTGGCACCCATAATCAACACACAGCATATGGGAAAATTCGACAGATCCTGTCTGATCAAGTTTCACCTTTTCGGTTGAATAATACAGATTCCATGGAGTTACTGGAAAGGATAAATGGCCAAAACTTCGCAGTTGGAGAGGAGGTCCTTAGGGGCTGAGTTCTATGGGCAGGCTATCCCCGGAAATCTCCGAAGCCCTGCTGGAGGGCCTCAAAGGCCGCCTCGGCGGTAATTCTCACGCCCCTTGAGGTTCTTTTCCATTAGTGCGAGTAGGCCTGAAATATAATCTAGGGATATCTTCAAATCATGTCTGGATTAAACGATATTTCTAAAAGATCGTGTTGCATTATCTGGTCTTTCGCCACGGCCTGCCAGTAAAATCGCGCAGAGGCTATAACGGAGGGGAACAAGAGCTGCGAGAACAATTCCTGATGTCTTGCGGTGTCTGGTCGTATAAGGTGGGCTGGTGATGTTTTGGTAGCGTCTCTTACCCTGGTATGAAGCGGTTGTCTATAATGCACCATGTCACTAAGAGGCTGTATTTCTTGAGTCACTTTTCTGATCGCGACTATTTTCAGATAAGAAAAGTTACTGACTTGCTTCTTGACGGCAGCAACATTCATCTCCAACTCGGAGTAACGGCCTAACGCCAACATTCACGCCCTCGTCCACGAGCTCTCACAAATTCCTCAATCCTCTTGAGACCCATGACACGGGCACAAACGGTATTGTTTGCTA